TTCATGGCCATTTTGCTGAAGCAGATCGTCAACAACATACTCTTTTTCACATTTTTGTCTTTTAATAAGATCCAATAATATGGCTTTGGTTGTTTTTTGTGGTATTTCCATTCCCTTATCCTTCATAAAATCAATAATGTCTTGTTTTTTTGTGCCTGTATTCGGAATTTTGTTTTTCTGTCGGGAATGGTATGGCGCATTGTCCATAATAATCACTGAATTGGGGGAAATGTTTGGTATTAACTGCTGCTCTATCCACTTTTCAAATAAGTCGGAGGTCATGTCCTCATGATAGTCGGCACATGATTCTTTGATATTTTTGACAGATAACAGCAAGGCATTAGGTATAAATCCATTTTCACTGCCAGCATGGAGAATAATGATCCGTTTTCCACGGTTGCATGGTGCATTTAAAATGCACTTGTTGCTGTCGTCAACCCAGCCGTACTGCACAACATCATGGGTATCATACCACGTTTCATCCAGGTAAATCAGATTTCTTTTCTGCTCTCTATAGATTTTAACTTTGTGCAAAAATTCTTGACGGAATTCAACGATTCGAGACGACTCCATAATCACCATTCTTTTATCTAATTTTTTGTATTGAAAACCACACAGTTTTACAATACAGTGCAGTGAGTCTATGCATTTGTAATTATACAAATCTTCAGGATAATCTTTTAATTTATCCCGTATCATTTCCAACGTGGGCACCAAATTTTCTTTATAAAATCCGTATATTATACGACGAATATCTTCCTGAAAACCCACGTCTATTCTTTTTAATTTTTGCCCTATGCGCTTTCTGTGGAAGGAATGGTTGACTGCATCTCCCCTTTTTATAACCCGATAAATGGTAGACCGACTGATTTTTGTCAGGATACAAATTCTGTTTAAAATTTGATTTTGCGAGGAATCTGGATTTTCATTTTTCAGACAATCATACATATTTAGGATTACTCTTTGGGTCTGTTCCTCTAAATCTTTATGAAAGAATTATGCCTGCACAGGTTCATCAACCATCTCCTCGTGGCTTGGAGCATTTTCCCAAGGTCTCCAAAGAGCCATATTTAGGACACACAACAACAATCAACACAACAATTAAATCAACAAGTAAACTGAGTATTCAAAAGTCAAAAACACACAAACTAATAAAATCTATGAAAAAACACGGACAGACTAAAGAAAACACGTTTATTCACCGCTACACGGCACTGGCTAAAACTGTTTCAATTTTCAGTAGCCACCTGCACTTGTTCCGAGCTCTGAAATACACGCTTTCTCATTGGCTATGTCCACGCATAGGCGTGCTTTACTCCATGTGGACCGGTGAAATCTTTGCTGCTAAATTTGGCGATTTTTGCAGCAACAGAGCGTGTTAAATATAGATATATAAAACGCACCCGGTATTTCACAGTGTTTCAAGTGACTTCAGATAAAGTATACCGATATGAGGAACACGTTTTAGGTCATTGATCGTATATTAATGACGACTACAACATTAGCTAATTAAAGATCAACTGTACAATAAAACTGAATTTATCATAGTTGTCATGAATACAACATGTTTGTATTTACGTACTTCATCTCTATGAAAATAATTATTGCACGCTTTTTATGCAACGAGGAAAAGTTTCGCGCTACTGAATCCACCAAAATGCTTCTAACACCGTTAGCTTATGTAATATCTGCAAACTTGCGTATTGCATATTCTGATATACATTTACGTTATTATGATTATTTCCTACTTGAAATTCAAAGAGCTCTCAATTTATTTAAAGGATTGACAAATGGTGACGAGACGCACTGAAGCAATTTGAGACGTTCATTTCGAAGATGGCCCTAAAAAAAGTATCGTGAAGCCCTATTTCGATTAGGGCATCTCAAAAAAAAAACTGACATCTACTCACTACATTTGGTCAAGCAACCAGTTTGGATCAACCGGGTGATCTCCGCACTCTATTTTTGTTAAGGGTCAAGGTTGAACCTCAGAATCGCTGAATGAATTTATGAGATTTCTAGTGGAATGTATTTAAAATACTGTATATTAAAAAGTTTTTCATTATTTTTGTCTGCTTTGATTTTCAATGCATCCACAGGACCTGGGTTCCGAGCTTTCCGCGCTTTTACGTCTAACAGTACTGTACAATGTTATCATATTTATAATCTACGTATCTCACTTGCTCAAGGTTTTGATCGAGATTGTAAATACGCAAGAATTTTTGAAAATATTGAGCAAAAAGCTAAATTTTCCCACAATTAAGAAAAGTTTCAGCAAGCTTAGCTTGCCATACATTCTGAGTAATACATCAATGGTTGGTTATACAAAAGCATGTACAATTATGAATTTTGGATAATTTCACTTCTGACGCCTACTATTGTTATTTGGATGTTATATGATGTGTATATCACGAAAAACCACGTCATTGATTTATGTCGGTCGTCTGCCTTGTCTGTCTGTCGCTCTGTCCGCTAATTTTATAACTGCATATAACTCGGATTTCGATGAAATTTTTACACAATGTTACTATGGACGCTAATGCTTCGTATTGTTTAAAAATCAGTTTGATAGCGGCAGAGACAAGGGCCGAAAACAAAAAAAACACTTTCTTTTGACATAATTTTTGAAAAAAAAATTAGAAGTTAGAAAACTTGGAGGTGAAGGGTTGTAAGGAAGTGAGCAGGCTTAATCTCCATTTTTATACGTTCACAGCATTGGTAAAACTACGAACTATTAGATGTATTTGAGATATCATAGATACCTCTCTGTTACCCCTGACAAATATTCTAGGGAGACGGATCGAGTACCTATCGGTCGCGGCTGCTGCTGGCGTCGTGCGCCGACCGCGATGAGTGTTCTGGTATGGAAGCACGCGCAACAGCATAGTGTTCTCTATGCTCTTACCGCGCGACCGCGGTGACACGTCTGCGCGAGTAAAATATCGGGGAGAAGCGACGTTTCCAGATGCACTACCGGTACCGGTTTGTATGATTGTTTACTTAGACGGTCCAGTTTGTGCTGAACATATTCCATTATGTACGAGCCCCTTTCTACTTCAGTTGGCCCACTTCAAGATTTGTACCAAAATATGCCTTTATAAACTAAACACGACGAAACTATTTACTTCTAAAACAATTTATTTTCTCAAAAACATTTTAGATACACTCTAGTCGTAAAAAATACATATTTGAAATCACTTAGACCTATAACTAATAGAACATCTGAACAAATAAATAATGTGCGAATAAATGCGCGAAGTTAACAAAGCAAGAATTGAAAGATTACCATTATCTTAACCAAGTATTGGCAAAAATTTGGTGTAAAACAATCCCATATTTCTTGAAGCTTTTGTCTCAGTTCGGTGATTGTAGGAGAAGAATGTTGTCGTAGATCCTTTTCATCTCGTGCCACAAAGTTTCAATAGGTGTCAGATCTGGACTGCTAGAAACCCATTTCAAAAGTGGTACATTATTTTCTTCCATCCATTTTATAGCCTTTTTTGAGGTATGGCACGTTGCACAATCTTGCTGAAACACAAAATCTTGTCCGGATGTCAAACATTCTTCCATCATTGGTAAAAGCGATTCTTCTAAAATTGCCAAATATTTGTTTGTATCCACATTTACATCAATAAAATGAAGTTTTCCTACTACTTTTGATGACATACTGCCCAGACCATAATGGATGCTGGAAATTTCACTTTTCTCTTCAGACAGTCAACATGGAATGCTTCATTTTTTTGCGAATAACTCTACTGCGGCTGTCACCAATACAAACTTCGAATCGGGCCTCATCACTCCATTGTATTGCACACCATTGTTGAGATGTCCATTGTCTATGTTCTTTAGCCCATCTAAGCCGATTTTTCTTTTGCAGTGGAGTTAATAGTGGCTTTTCTTTGGCCTATAAACAAGTTGTGCAACTTTAGGGTTTTTACTTCACTTTTTTTATAAGAAAACTTACCTTGCAAGGGCGAAATCCCAGTTTGTGGGCCTCTCTATGAGTTGTGGACCTCGAAATTCTCCTTCCAACAGCGTCACTCCACAGAGCACCTAATTGTAAATAATTGGCACGCCTGTTTTTCACGATTATTCTTCTTAATGCTCTTCGGTCGGCATTTGTGATATTACTTTTTTTCACATATCGTGGCTTAATATTGACTGAACCAGTTACGTTATATCTTCTAACAATATTTCTCACACTGTACCGCGATAAGTCTAACAAAGTTGTGATTGATAACAACAATTGTCATGGCTTTTATTTTTCACAGCCACCTATGCGTTATAGACTTATTTTGCATTGAAATGAAAATAAGTTGATATGCTGTAATTGCAACATGTGTTATTTTTATGCTGCAAATTTGATTAGGCAGTGAAAAAGTTGGTGTTTTCTACTATATATTATCAAAATATTCATTGTTAATATTTTAAACCTATAACACCCTGCTACATTTTTATTATTTGTGTTTGATAAGAAAAAACTAAGATTTCAATAGTTGGGCCAACTGAAGTGTGAAGGGGCTCGTACTGATAGGGGCTATATCCTATGTTATACCGAAAAATATAAATAATACCTTAATAATAATCAAATATTTGAATCACATGCATATTCCCCATGTTCCATATTTTCTGGTCAATCAGTAAAACTATATTTATGTAAGATTTACTGTTTACTGACGCTTCGGCCACTTCTACAGCCTTTTTCAAAGTACAAATAGGAATTATAACGTCAATCCTAGGTATTTAGTTTCACTTAACTGCCAGAAAAACATGAATTATCATCAGTGTGAAAGCCATAGCATGGCGCCCATAGGGGAGGGGGGGGGCGGTTCGACCTTAAAATTTGCATATTAGCATGATTTTTAGGATTTGGCCCCCGCTTTTAAAAAAGTTTTGGCGCCAGATACACTTTCACAAAAAGCTATCTCTGGCCGATGATCGGCCTCACACAGTATAAGTTTCTGTTGTTACATTTACCTTCATCAAGTTTCACGGCTTACCTTTAATTCTACGTAGTCACGCAAAAAATGCAGATATGTAACAAAACACTTATGACGACGGAGAAAATGCCATGGACGACAAACGCAATGATTACTGCGGTTTTCTAGGCTTCACTGTAACTGTACAAGAGCAAGATGAGAGAAGCCAAACCGTTCTGTGCAAGTTGAAATGCTCTCTCCTAGACCGCGGCTTGCACCGACCGCCGCACCGACTGAACTGAGCAACAAGCTATCATTATTTATTTATCGGTAGGTTTAGAAGGATACAACGTTCATGTAAGTCGTATGCGATGGCGAAACTTGCGGCTACGAGGGAAATGGAAATGCTACCAGCAAGTTCATGAAGCGTACCAAGTGGTTATGTGTATTCACTGTTTGACGCGTACGGTATTTGGACGTGCAAAATTTCCATTCATTGCGTACGCCATTCTACTCAGGATAAAGTTTTTGCTTTTGAGCTTTTAGAGTTCAGGAGGGCTGACGAACAGTCTCGCATCGAGGCACCAACCAAGTACCGAACATGCATGAACATTATTTCCTACTGTCCTTAAACAATGAGTTGCATGATGATGAATCATTATCTAGGTTTTCTAAGCTGCTGTGACTTTAAAGAAGAGAAGTGTCATCGTCATACAGGAAAAGGTTACTATGTAAAGGGTGTTTTTTTAGAGGTATTGAACTTTAAATTGCAATAAAACAACGATGGATTATTCGATTGACATTAATTTTTTTTATTCGAAAGATAATCTTGAGGTATTACATTTTAAGTATGATTTCTGGCATATGACTGCCACAGCTGGCTCGGATGTAGTCCAATCTGGATGTCCAATTTCCGATGACTTTATCCAACATTTGTGGCCGTATATCGGCAATAACGTGGCGAATTTTGTCTTCCAAATGTCAAGCGTTTGTGGCTTATCCGCATAAACCAATGACCTTTCGTAGACCCACAGAAGATAGTCTAGAGGTGCTAAATCTCAAGAGCTTGGAGGTCAATTCACAGGTCCAAAACGTGAAATTAGGCGGTCACCAAACGTGTCTTTCAATAAATCGATTGTAGCATGAGGTGTGTGACATGTTGCACCGTCTTGTTGGAATCACATCAGCTCCTGGACATCATGATTGTTCAATTCAGGAATGAAAAAGTTAGTAATCATGGCTCTATACCAATCACCATTGACTGTAACATTTTGGCCATCATCGTTTTTGAAGAAGTACGGACCAATGATTTCACCAGCCCATAAAGCGCACCAAACAGTCAGTTTTTCTGGATGTAACGGTGTTTTAACATACAGTTGAGGATTAGCTTCACTCCTAATGCGGCAGTTTTGTTTGTTGACGTAGCCGTTCAACCAGAAGTGCGCTTCATCGCTAAACAAAATTCGCTTATGAAAATCGGGAACAACGGCAATCTCGTTTTGGGCCCATTCAACGAATCTACGCCTTGCTTGATATCGTTTGGCTTCAATTCTTGCACGAGTTGGATTTTGTAAGCACGCAAACCAAGATCCTTCCGCAAAATCTTCCATAAAGTGGATGGACACAGATCCAATTCCTGTGCTCGATGGCGGATGGACTCATTCGGGTCTTCCTCAATGCTACGCTCTACAGTAGCAATAGCTTCTTCTGTACGCACCGCACGGCGTCTCTGGGGATGCGAGTTATCAGTTAGAGTAAACGTGGTGCGAAAACGTTCCATGGTTAATCGAATAAAATGCTCTGATGGACGATTTTGTTGACGATAAAATGGACGTAGTGCGCGATACGTATTCCGCACAGAACCATTATTTTCGAAATAAAACTGCAGAATTTGCAAGCGTTGTTCAGGCGTGAGTCTATTCATGATGAATTGCCAAACCAAACTGAGAATAAATCACTTGACAGCTGTCAAATCGGTCGCCATCTTCAAACGTATTGGCAATTCAAAGTTTTATACCTCGAATAAAAACACCCGTTACTAGTACTGTTATCAAGGCAAATGTGTATAACATTGATGTATAATATTAATGTATGATATTGATGTATAACAAGAATAACAATGGACCAAATACAGATCCTTGAGGAACCTCATGGAAAATTGTGGTGACAGTAGATTTGAAATTTTTGTATTCCACAAATTGCTAACTTACAGGCTCGTAAGACTTGAGAAGCTCCACACTGGATAGAGCCATGGAAAAAAGGGAAACTATGTATACTAAGTGACATATAAATCCGAACACCCAGTTTAAATGGTTTTATTTTAATAAAAGTTGGTGAATGTATTCATCTTACTGTAAATAACAAGTGAAAAAATGCTCAGCCTTATCAGTTGGACATTCCGGTTTTTATACTGCTTTTTTTTAATTCACTAACGCTCTAAAAATGAATATTTCAGCCGCAGTAAAGAATCAACGTTGGCGGATTTTGGTTCTTGACATCCTTTACGATCGGTTACGATGCCTAGAGTACGGAGACCTGTACGATTTCGTCAACTTAGTGAGTTTGATAGGGACCGTATAGTGGGACTTCGGGAAGCTGGACTTTCTTTTCGGGCAATTGCAGTTAGAGTGCAAAGAAGTGTAGACACTGTGGTTAGGTGTTCGTGAATGGCTTCGAGAAGGCCGTACGCAAAGAGCCGCCTAAGATTATTGGCCTTAAGGGACCGTTTCTCCACTACCAGGTCCATTGCAAATGAATGGTTTGCATAACACGGAAGACCTATTGGCATGCGAAGTGTTTACCGACGAATGAGAAGTTTTGGCTTGTTTTCATACCGGCCACACTGGGTCCTCCCTTTAACTCGAGAACACCGACGTAATCGCCTTGAGTGGTGCAGACAACGGTCACTCTGGGATCAGGAATGGAACAGTATTGTCTTTAGTGACGAGTCTCGATTTTGTTTAGGCATGCACGATGGTCGTGCCAGGGTTAGAAGGCGACGTGGTGAAAGGAGGAATCCGCAGTTTTTTGTTGAAAGACATGTTCATCACACTGTTGGAGTTATGGTTTGGGGTGCTATAGCTTATGGTTCCAGGTCACCTTTAATCTTCATCAGAGGTAACATGAACGCGCAGCGTTATATCCACGAAGTTCTAGAACCCCATCTTTTACCCTATCTTGACACCCTGGCAGATCCAACTTTCCAACAAGATAATGCCCGACCACATGTTGCAAGAGTCACAATAGACTTCTTTCAACATAATGATGTCACATTGTTACCATGGCCATCAAGATCTCCCGACTTATCACCAAAAGAGCACGTGTGGGATATGATGGGTAGGAGATTGCTCAATTTGCAACGTCCTCCTCAGACTCTAGAAGCACTTCGAGAGGAGTTGGTGGTTGCCTGGAATGAGATACCAAAGGAGGACATTGACCACCTGATCAGAAGCATGCCTAGGCGCGTTGGAGAATGCGTAGCACATCAGGGTGCATCCACATATTATTAAAGGTCAAAGGGCTTTAAAGCAGTGCAATCATTTTGAAATTTTTATCATTTACTTATTATGCTTCATTAAGTACTTATACAAAATTTTATTAAAATAAAACCATTTAAACTGGGTGTTCGGATTTATATGTCACTTAGTATATAACAGTAGTATTTCACGCTGCATACAATCAAAAAGCGAGATTGTACAGCTCCGTATTTTCCTCAATGGTCTTGGAATAATCTAACAAAATAAATTGATTATTTTTATAGAAATTATTACAAGTTCGATTTGAATATCGATCATATTGAATCTTTGTTAATCTCCAAAATTAGTTATTGCGATTTAGTTTATCTTCCATTTCTTGACTCAATATCTCTAGCACGTCTCCAAAAAATCCAAAACTCATGTTGTAGGTTGGTCAATAATTTGAAAAATACGATCATATCAGCCCTTTTTTCAATGACATAAAGTGGTTGAGCGTAAATGAACTGTGTGAGCTACACTTAGGCCCGTATCGTCAGTCGTCCCTACAATTCTAGGGCGCGTTTATGGCCTCCTTGATTGTCATAGTCCTTTTTCTCCTTCAAAAATTTCTAGATTACCCTTGTCCCGTGTCAGCGTCAGCGCTCTCCTATTGTGAAGATATGTTTTCTTTTTAAATTGTAGGAAATTTCAGGCTGATAAAACATGATATAACTCAAAAGAAGCACAATTTGATGCAAATATATGTTTGTGACATAACTTCAAAATAGAGTTCTGACACGGAGAAGTAGAAAACTATGACAATCAAGGAGGCCATAAAGGCGCCCTACAATTGTAGGGACGACTGACGATACGGGCCTAAGTTACTTACACCTAGGGATGCAACGATATATCGGAAAACCGCTAAATATCGATATATCGACAACTAAAAATATCGATACTTATCGATATCGACAATACGCTGATATCGATATATCGATATCGAAAAATTCAATATATCGTATCAAGATATCGAAAAACCCACCCAAATTAAAATACCCACAAAATCGGGTAAAACGCTTGACTGGCAACGTGACTATACTGACTCTCTAGAAAATGAGGTATGACGATATGACAAGTGACAAGTGTATATGTTTTGTGATATGACATGTGACATGTACACGTGTTGTACCTGTTGGTTGCTAATAAATTAATACTCAATTTTAATTTCAAAATATAAATATAAAGTAGATTACGGTCATATTTCAAAAAAGAAGACGATACTGCCGTTTTCACTATTTGTAACATAACGTCTGAAAAAAAGCAATCTAGCATCACATATTAAACACAAACATCCTGAAGAATGTGACATTGGATATGAAACCAATTGTGGCAACGAGCGTTTCTTCTGAACGTATGTTTTCAAAAGCAGAAGCCTTTATAACTCAGAGCAGAAACCGGCTACAAGGAAGCAGACTGTCAAAGTTACTATTTTTAAGTTCAATAGCTAGTACAAAATACTGGAATTAATTTTCCCAAATAAATGTATGGAAAGAAAAGCACATTTTATATACCTATCAGAATTTTGTTTCACTTCACATACATAAGTATAAAAATTTATATCATCGATAACTGTTTGATATAACTGAAACAACATTGGATTTCTAATTTCTGTAAGCTTCCAAAAAAATATGAAATATCGATATATCGGCTTAATAGACCGATATATCGATAGATCGATATCGACTTAATTCGATATATATCGATATCGATATATCGATATTTATAAAAAGTTTGCATCCTCTTACACCCACATGCTTTTGCTATCATCCATTCCGCCGTTTTTGAGAAATAAGCTGATATCTAGAAGCAATATCCATTCTAGGGACATTCGATTCACTGAAACACTCACAATGCCCCTCCACAGGACATCATTCACTCGTAAATGCTTCACCTACAACGCAATTATTTTTTACAATGCTCTACGTCGATCCACAAAGTTGCTATCATATGATGAATTTAAAAGACATATGAAGAAATCTATTTTGAATAGAAGTGTATAAATTATTCTATAAAATTTATCTGTCACTTCACACAAAAATATTTCCAATATAGCATTCGTTTGTTTTGTATAACTGTTACAATTTTATACTTTTAAATAATGAAATATTGAATATCCTTCACTTATATATGTTATAAACATTAAATTGTTTATACACTTACATTTTTAAACTTCTAGCTCAGTTGTTCTTGATCTCATGAAAAGTGGTGTGGGTCAAACTTAACTCTTCCCCAATCATTCTGACTGTCAACCGAGCGAGTTCAAACTTGTACTGAAGGCAGATCACATGTTCCCCTGTCTCTCCAATGTTGTCAGATCGAATGCTACGTTGCCGGTCTCCTCACTTGATTTACAGAACTCGTACTAGATAGTTGCAGCTAAGATTATTGTTTTGTTTTTTTGAGAATTACAATTAAAGAATCATTCTACTACTTTGATCTGTCCTTAGGTTTACCTACTTTGACCTGACTAGGACGATTACCTTCTAAATTATGCGTAGCGATGATCTTAAGGCAGAAAATAGGATCCAATTATTTTATTAAACTTAAACGTATAGTTTGGTTCCTTCTCTTGTTCAGTGGAATGTGTGTACAGAAAGAATGAATATTTTGTGGTAAAAAGTTAACGATGGCTCCTGGAATATCTACAATCAAGAGAGGCAGCATACAAGTGCAAAGGGCTGCTAAGGTTGTCAATGGTACAGTATATTTCCAGAATTAAACATGCATTTACTTTTTAGGCTTCTGTCCTGTGGGTAAATCCTCTATAAGAGCCCCTTCCCACTTCAGTTGGCCAATCTTTGTTTTTTTCTTATCAAACACAAATAATAAAAATGTAGCAAGGTGTTATAGGTTTATAATATTAACAATTAATATTTTGATAATATATAGTAGAAAACACCAACTTTATCACTCCCTAATCAAATTTGCAGCAAAAAAATAACACATGTTGCAATTACAGCATATCATTTCATTTCAATGCAAAATAAATCTATGACGCATAGGTGGCTGTGAAAAATAAAAGCCATGACAATTGTTTTTATCAATCACAGCTGTCAGAATACGTTTAAAATAGTGGGTAATTAAGGTTTTCAAAATGGGTAGAGGAAAGGTTATTAGTGAGAAAATTCGATTACTGATAATTAATTTTTTTAATTCTGGGAAATCAAACTCAGAAAGTGCAACTTTGTTAGACTTATCGCGGTACAGTGTGAGAAATATTGTTAGAAGATATAACGTAACTGGTTCAGTTAATATTAAGCCACGATATGTGAAAAAAAGTAATATCACAAATGCCGACCGAACAGCATTAAGAAGAATAATCGTGAAAAACAGGCGTGCCAATTATTTACAATTAAGTGCTCTGTGGAGTGACGCTGTTGGAAGGAGAATTTCGAGGTCCACAACTCATAGAGAGGCCCACAAACTGGGATTTAGCACTTGCAAGGTAAGTTTTCTTATAAAAAAAAGTGAAGTAAAAACCCTAAAGTTGCACAACTTGTTTATAGGCCAAAGAAAAGCCACTATTAACTGCAAAAGAAAAATCGGCTCAGATGGGCTAAATAACATAGACAATGGACACCTCAACAATGATGTGCAATACAATTGAGTGATGAGGCCCGATTCGAAGTTTGTGTTGGTGACAATCGCAGTAGAGTTATTCGCAAAAAAAATGAAGCATTCCATATTGACTGTCTGAAGAGAAAAGTGAAATTTCCAGCTCCATTATGGTCTGGGGCAGTATGTCATCAAAATCAGTAGGAAAACTTCATTTTATTGATGGAAATGTGGATACAAACAAATATTTGGCAATTTTAGAAGAATCGCTTTTAACAGTGATGGAAGACTGTTTGACATCCGGCCAAGATTTTGCGTTTCAGCAAGATGGTGCAGCGTGCCATACCTCAAAAAATGCTATAAAATGGATGGAAGAAAATAATTTACCTCTTTTGAAATGGGTTTCTAGCAGTCCAGATCTGTCACCTATTGAAACTTTGTGGCACGAGATGAAAAAGGTTCTACGACAACATCCTGCTCGTACAATCACCGAACTCAGACAAAAGCTTCAAGAAATATGGGATTGTTTTACACCAAATTTTTGCCAAAACTTGGTTAACACTATGCCCCAAAGAATTTCAGCCGTAATAAAAAATAAAGGTGATGTTACCAAATAGTAATCTTTCAATTGTTGCTTTGGTAACTTCGCGCATTTATTCGCACATTGTTTATTTGTTCAGATGCTCTATTAGTTATAGGTCTAAGTGATTTCAAATATGTATTTTTTACGACTAGAGTATATCTTAAATGTTTTTGAGAAAATAAATTGTTTAAGAAGTAAATAGTTTCGTCATGTTTAGTTTATAAAGTCATATTTTGGTACAAATCTTCAAGTGGGCCAACTGAAGTGGGAAGGGGCTCGTATACCCATATGGGTACAGAGAATTTCAAAAAGATCCCTCAGCACTAATTTTCTTTCTTATGTTACTCATTTCGGTCTCTCTGTCGGTCTATCCGCTGATTTTATAACCGCCCACTACTTGAGAAGTACCCCTCAGATTTTGTTGAAAATTCCACACAAGGTGCTAAGCGAAGGGTGAAAAACGTATTTATTGAAAATCGATCTAGTGAAAATCGCCTAAAATTCGTTTTTGATGTTCCAGAGGCTGCTGATTTTTTTCTGGAAATTTGTTGTAGGGGGGGGGGTTGGTTGTCAGTGGTACGGGGTTGTAGATATAACGTCTTTAGTGTTAGTGATCCCGGTAAAATTAAATGATGAAAGTCCGATATACAGGGTGACCCATCCATGTGAAAAATCTATTTACGGAATGTTATACATGACATTTGAGGGCACATTTCTAAAATATTGGCCATCATGCAGGGTGTCCCAATTTCGACCTACATATCAATGTTGTGATTTTTCAAATCGAATTCCTCAAATTGTATTGGATATTTGGATAAACCAATTTAAAAGAAGAAAATTGATATAATATACGATGGGGTTTTGGTAATTAGTTACTGAGATATAAGGTGTGTTGTCTAGAAAGACCCCCCACTTCGGCGACCCCTCAGTCCGCCATTTAGTAGTATAACATGACATTAATAGATTTTCCCAAAATGGCAATTGTTGGCTTGTCGTGTACGGCGAATAGTTGTAGAGCCCACTACTAACTGTGCAATGATTAACAAACACCAACTGGTTTGCGGTGATGCCGTCACTGAGACACTGCTACAGGAGAAATATTTATATATTTTAGCGATATTGAATATCAAGAATACGCACCACTTTAACGCTCTGAGATGCTTTTTCAAATGATGACTTAACTGTTTTTATATCTACGCATATACTAAGTGACATATAAATCCGAACACCCAGTTTAAATGGTTTTATTTTAATAAAAGTTGGTGAATGTATTTATCTTACTGTAAATAACAAGTGAAAAAATTTTCAGCCTTATCAGTTTGGACATTCCGGTTTTTATACTGCTTTTTTTTAATTCACTAACGCTCTAAAAATGAATATTTCAGCCGCAGTAAAGAATCAACGTTGGCGGATTTTGGTTCTTGACATCCTTTATGATCGGTTACGATGCCTAGAGTACGGAGACGTGTACGATTTCGTCAACTTAGTGAGTTTGATAGGGGCCGTATAGTGGGACTTCGGGAAGCTGGACTTTCTTTTCGGGCAATTGCAATTAGAGTGCAAACAAGTGTAGACACTGTGGTTAGGTGTTGTCAGGCATGGCTTCGAGAAGGCCGTACTCAAAGAGCAAGGGGCACTGGACGCCGCCGTAGAACAACATACCGTGAAGATCGCCGCCTAAGATTATTGGCGTTAAGGGACCGTTTCTCCACTACAGGTCCATTGCAAATGAATGGTTTGCAGAACACGGAAGACCTATTGGCATGCGAAGTGTTTACCGACGAATGAGAAGTTTTGGCTTGTTTTCATACCGGCCACACTGGGTCGTCCCTTTAACTCGAGAACACCGACGTAATCGCCTTGAGTGGTGCAGACAACGGTCACTCTGGGATCAGGAATGGAACAGTATTGTCTTTAGTGACGAGTCTCGATTTTGTTTAGGCATGCACGATGGTCGTGCCAGGGTTAGAACGCGACGTGGTGAAAGGAGGAATTCACAGTTTTTTGTTGAAAGACATGTTCATCACACTGTTGGAGTTATAGTTTGGGGTGCTATAGCTTATGGTTCCAGGTCACCTTTAATTTTCATCAGAGGTAACATGAACGCGCAGCGTTATATCCACGAAGTTCTAGAACCCCATCTTTTACCCTATCTTGACACCCTGGCAGATCCAACTTTCCAACAAGATAATGCCCGACCACATGTTGCAAGAGTCACAATAGATTTCTTTCAACATAATGATGTCACATTGTTACCATGGCCACCAAGATCTCCCGACTTATTCCCAATTGAGCACGTGTGGGATATGATGGGTAGGAGATTGCTCAATTTGCAACGTCCTCCTCAGACTCTAGAAGCACTTCGAGAGGAGTTGGTGGTTGCCTGGACGTTGGAGAATGCGTAGCACATCAGGGTGCATCCACACATTATTAAAGGTCAAAGGGCTTTAAAGCAATGCAATCATTTTGAAGTTTTTATCATTTACTTATTATGCTTCATTAAGTACTTATAAAGGGTGTCCCAAAATTAACGCAAGATTTGAATTTGCCGCCATTTGTGCAGTGAAGTGTTGGCAACCCTGAAAAAAAGCAATTTGACAGCTAACAGTATAGGGTTATGAAAAATGGAGCGTTACACGATAGAACAACGTGTCTTCATTATTAAAGAATATTTCAAAAATAGTGAAAGCTTGGCGGCTGCAGTTCGAAAATTTCATACAAAATATGGCCGGAATAGTGTTTTAACTTCGTCAACTGTGAAGAGATTAATTGAAAAATTCATGGAGACTGGATCCGTTGGAGACGCCAAACACACTGGTCGTCCAAAAACAAGCCGTTCAAATGTGAATATCGAAGCAGTGCGTGAGAGTGTTGCGGACAATCCAGGAACCTCAATTCGACGTCGTGGACAAGAATTGCAAATGTCAAGAACCTCTCTACAGCGTATACTCACCAAAGATCTGTGTCTTCATGCTTACAAACTTCAATTAACACAACAATTGAAGCTTAATGACCATGCAGAGAGAAGAGAGTTTGTTGAATGGATTATTGAACATCAACAAATGGACCCTGATTTTTCAAGCAAAATCATCCTAAGCGATGAAGCACATTTTCATCTTGATGGCTTTGTCAATCGCCAAAATTGCCGCATTTGGGGTTCGGAGAACCCACGTGTGATTGTCGAAAAAGAAATGCACCCACAACGCGTGACTGTCTGGTGTGGATTTTGGGCTGGAGGCATAATTGGGCCATATTTTTTTGAAAATGATGCTGGTCAAGCAGTGACTGTTACTGGTGCTCGATATCGCGACATGATTACACAGTTCTTTCTGCCAAAATTGAATGATATTGATGTACCCAATATGTGGTTTCAACAAGACGGTGCCACATGTCATACAGCCCGTGAAACAATTCAATTACTGCATGAGACATTTCCCGGTCGTGTACTCTCTCGTTTCGGTGATCAAAATTGGCCTCCTAGATCGTGTGATTTAACACCATTAGACTTCTTTTTATGGGGTTATTTGAAATCACAAGTCTATGTCAACAAGCCCACAACCACCCGTGCATTAAAGGAGGAGATTCAACGCTGCATCAACGAAATTCAGCCACATTTATGCAGAAGGGTCATGGAAAATTTCGACAAAAGAGTGCGCATGTGCATGCAAAGCCGTGGAGGCCATTTGTCCGATGTGTTATTCCATACATAACCCTATCCTATGTACTTTATGAGTCAATAAAAATATAACTATTAAAAGACTAAAAATGGCATTTTCTATTTAATTCAAATCTTGCGTTAATTTTGGGACACCCTACAAAATTTTATTAAAATAAAACCATTTAAACTGGGTGTTCGGATTTATATGTCACTTAGTATATGTTTTTCTGAATTTCATCATCCTTAAGTGTACCCCCATTTCACCTAACCTTTAATTTGTGTTACTCCATCTATGATGGTTCTCTAAATATTTCGTCAAGTAGATCGACTCAGTAGTTACGACGCATTGATATACAGCAGACACTGACTGACAAACCGACATAAATGTGAAACACGCAGTTGTGCGATGCAGATATTTAATATTTTATAATTTAATATGATACATTTCCCTTATATAGTGCGATATGCAGACTCATCGTACCTAATCACGATTTGATTTTGACCTTTGAAACGATTTGACTCATCTCTTTTGTTTGAAATCTCCAGCGGAAGCATTCTTTGAATTGGTCAAGTTCGCAAACTGAAACTCTCTAACCTATCACCTAACCCACAATGTGTTTCAGACCGTCTCGGCTCCAGACAGCTTCTATGCGCCTTCGTCACCACAGGCTTCGTCCTTTGCGGCATCGTTGAGCAAAGCGCGTCGGTGGCTTTAAGAGCCAACAGCCCGTCTCCCTACACAGCTGCTGAGTTTGCCGAGTATGTTGAGAACACCAGCTACATCACGAGGTACTGCCAACAACCCGCAGATGACCGCAACGACACTCGTGACGGAAATTCAGGGGTGCATGTGGTCAGATCCATTCCACATATTGAGGTAAAGTCAGAACATCCCAACTAACAATTATCACTCCTATTAGAGTTGCAAGAATGATTATACAGTATTCCTTACACAGCATTGTATACTGTAAGAACATTAGCAAAACCCTCTTAGAACAGCTATACAAGCGGAATGGGCACACCTAATAGGACACTTCAGTCATTTAAGAGGTTGTATAAGGGCTGCAGGTAACAGTTATACAACAAAAGTGTAAGCCTCTTGCAGCCGCTATAGAACATTTGCGTCGGTGCAAGATTCAGTATTTGTCAACTATACAACTATTCTGTTACGTGATTCTCCTTTATTGCAACCAAACTATTTCTTATGTATTGTATAGACGAAGTGAAGAATATATAACTAACACAATACAGTCATCTTGTTTACTTACATATCGGCCATTGTGAATTTCATACACAGGTATATGATAAACTTCTACACTGTGATATAGGGCTATTGAATTACTTGCGCAGCAAATTTTATTGTGATTATCGTGTAGTTACGCAATTTCTACGGGCTTCGTATTTGATTCATATTTTGATAATGATCAAAACTATGTCTAGATTTTTAAGATGGAAAACTGAACTTATCTGCGTTAAATCTTCCACAAATCCTATATTTAGACACAATTACACTAATGTTTATCACTTTATATCTGTAATTTCAAACTGAAACATAATTATTTAATATCAAATAGAGGAATAAATGTTTGCCCAATATGGCAGGTATAATCATGACATCGTCCATGTTGTCTTTAGTTTATTAGAATATTTTGGTGTTGCCTGCAGGTGTTATACAACAATTTGACAAATGTCAGAAATGAAATACCGTCAGAGTCGAATGATTTACTTAGAATTTGTACCAGATATATATATATCTTCTGTTTGAACAGTTGATAAAACCTTTTCAACCAATATGCATGCGTTGTTTGTCTTAAAACAATGGTTATGGCATTTTAACAAAAATATGACAGCAGAAAGTTAGGTTATGGTGAAGTTGTATACCAACATATTTAGCATATGTACAGCCTTTAACAGTTACTAAACAACAGTTGTATAAGTGCTTCCGTTGGGAGCAATTTGTTGTCTAAAGTAGTAAATTTGCACAGCAAAACAACAAGGCTCGGGTTTGTTTTATAAACGTTACCATGGATGCAACAAGACAACCATTTTGACTAACCTGCAAATATGCCGTATAAAATAGTTGTATACACGTTTATGCAACAGTTAAAAATTTGCCCTATAAGGTGTTGTATAACTATGCTATAAGAATATTTTAAACACCTCACTTTAGAGCAAATATGTTGCAAAAAGCAAATTTGCATTCCACACAACATTAAGCCAGCATTTTGGTGTTCAGGCAACAACAATAGAGAGCCTTTATGGCTGAACGGTTCTTTTACCAAAAGCTTATAGCACTACTTTGCTAGTTGGGATATACACAGCTAGGCAACTTCCGACGATATGAAAGGTTCGCGCATCATTAAAACAAGAAAGATTGATATTCAAATCAATTTCGGTACTTTATTTTGAAGGTTTATTTATACCATTTATGTATGAAGAATAATATCGCTCAAATGTTCACCACGACTGGATTTACAGACGTCCACGCGATGGTCGAAATTTTCAATGACATTTTGCAACATGGTCGGTTCTATGGCATTTATCTCGGCAATGATGTTGTTTTTGAGTTTTTGGAGGGTGGCTGGTTTGTTGACGTAGACTTTGCTTTTCAAATATCCCCATAAAAAGAAGTCCAAGGGAGTCAAATCGCATGATCTTGGTGGCCACGGCCCATTTCCTCTGCGCGAAATCACGCGATCACCGAAGAAGGACTGCAATCGATGGATATTGACGTTCGTTGTCTGGCATGATGCACCGTCTTGTTGGAAATAAACATCGTCCATATCCATTCCTTCAAGTTGCGACAAAAAATAATCCTCTATCATCACGTGATATCGCTCAGAATTGACGGTAACGGCGTCCCCGGCCGCATTTTCGAAAAAGTAAGGTCCGACGATGCCTTTTGACCACAATGCATACCACACAGTCACGTTTTGAGGATGCATCGGCTGCTCTTGATACTCACGGGGATTTTCGTTCGCCCAGATGCGGCAGTTTTGCTTGTTTACCGTCCCATTCAAAGTGAAATGCGCCTCGTCGCTGAACATGATTTTTGATGAAAAATTCGCATCAATTTGGCGGTGTTCAAGGAGCCAATCTAAGAACGTTCGGCGCGAAAAATGGTCGGTCCGACGCAGCTCTTGCGTCAATTGGATCTTGTAGGCGTGTACATTCAAATCCTTGTGGAGAATGCGGAGCAAACTGGTTCTCGAAATGCCCAATTCTTGGGATCGACGCGTTGTTGATTGTTTAGGATCGTCTCTCACACTCTCCTTCACAACAATATTTTCCGGTGTGCGAACGCTCCTTGGCCGGCCAGAGCCTGGCAGATTTGCCACAGAACCTGTTGCCTCGAATTTACGCACCAGACGACCGATAGTTGTTTCGTTTGGGCGGCTGTTGCGACCGAAATGTTCACGAAACGCGCGAAACGTGTTTTTTATTTTTGCACCATTTTTGTAGTGCTCTTGAATAACTTTAATGCGGTCTTCAATGGAATACGACTCCATAGCGATCAATGGTAAACATTCAACTAACAAAATGACATGTCGGTGACAGAAAACAAAGATGGCGTCTATGTCAAATTGACGTTTACTTTCCTGCGTCCCTATTGGACAACCCGATATAATTTTTTAAGAGTAAGATCGCATCAAGACAGTTATGTGCGCGTGCTGGAATTTTCCTCAAATGGGGGGGCGATCGTCAGCAAGAAGCAACTTTTTGTGAAAGGGTATCAGCTCCCAAAGCTATTTAAAGATAGGAGGGTAGCAAATTTTCTCAGGGAAGTCAAATTCTAAGTATCCCCGATATTGTACGCAACAGGACGATCGCGTATCTAGGTTAACCTAGTTTATAAACAAACTGCATTTGAAAACCGAAATTGTCACATGCCTAGAACAATAACGTGGTTATCGATTTCAAACTTCTATTGATACTCCGCGAGTGTACATCGTTTGCCAAATTGAAATGGCGGACAGAGGAGGTCTTTTTCTATCAGCCCAGGTCCCTCAAACAGTTTTTAGCCCAACGTATTCGGTCGGGTAATAACAATGAATTGTTGTTTCTGTTGTGTAATTTACACGTACAACGTAACTCTTTTACTAGTTGAGCGGCTAACCGACAGGGACCACGTGGGTCCATTTTTCCATCGAGGTTCGCCTCTGCTGACTGCCTAAATTAGCGACGATCCCAGGGTGGGTGCACCAAAAACGTCGATGCTGTGCGCAAACTCATCATTGAAGATAGACATGTGACATATCGCGAGATTGAGGCGCCCTTGAAGATCTCAACGACCTCAACTTAAAGAATTTTACATGAAGAATTAGGAGTAAGAAAATTAGTTTCTCGTTGGATATCTCACCTGTTGACTTAAGAGCAGAAAGCAGCCATGGTTAATTGGTGTCGAAGAACGCTTGACCGTTACAATTCCGGAAACTCAAAAAATGTGTACTGCATTGTGATGAATCGTGGATTTACTGTTATGAACCAGAAAATAAACGACAGTTTGGGTGTTCCAAGGTGAAAAAAAGCCAACAAAATCATCCGTTCTCGAAGTGTTTCGAAAAAGGTGGTCGTGATATTTGTGTCGGAAGCAGGTCATATTGCAACAATTCCTCTTAATGAGCAAAGAACTGTTACTGCGGATTGGGATACCACCATTTGTTTGCCAAAAGTCATCACCGAGCTTCGAAAAATCAACCCCGAAAGAAGAATCATCCTCCACCGATACAATGCAAGCTCGCACGCAGCCCAAAAAACAAGGCAGTATTTAACGGAAGAAAACGTGGAATTATTCGACCGTCCTCCATATAGTCCCGATCTAAGTCCTAACGATTTCTTTACTTATCCGAAAATTAAAAACAGACTGTGTAGTCAAAGGTTCCAGTCACCAGAAGAAGCAGTTGACGCATTAAAAAATGCCGTTTTGGATCTGCCAGCAAACGAATGGAATAAGTGCTTCAAAAATTGGTTCGAGCGCATGCAGATGTGTATTAATGTTCGTGGAGAAAACTTCAAAGACAATAAAGTCATTTAAAACTACCTACCTTGTTGTTTTATTTCCATATGCAAAACTTAAAAGACATCCCTCGTAATATGGTGTGGGCAATAATATTGTAATAAGTATATTTTTTGAACTAGCCTAAATTCAAAAACGGGCCAACCATCTACAGCGCTGTTTCATGATTATGGCCAATCATCTGCATCGTCTAGATCTATATATAGCACAATAAACAAAAACAGAGCAAAATAATCTTTTATCATTGGTATAACCTCTATCGAATTACGATATACGATAACGCCATCTAGTAAAGGATACTCCTGTTCTGCTTTCGTTGGTTGTCCTACCTATAGTCTATTCAAACCTCATTTACTCTGGGTACTCGGATCTATTCGCTTGTCGCTGCCTGCCCAGGCATTTATAGCCTGGTGTCTGTTTTAGCGTGTGATTTGAATACCTTGGCATGGTCACGTCGATGATCTTAGGACATTCTGTTATTGTTAGATACCAATGACCAGGACCGATGAGACGGAAGCGGTGCTCCGAGAAGCATTTATGTGGGGTACTCTGTTTTCCCCACTGGCGGCAAGTAGGGTAGCGGCTCGAGTAGGTGCGGAACGATTGTTTGGGGCCAGCGTTTTGGGGGCGGCTGCACCCGCAATCATGGTTCCTGCATTCTGGCTCACGCCAGGACACGTTGTGCTCAGGTTCCTGCAAGGCATCTTCATGGTAAGAACATATTTTAGACGGGTCCTTAACATGAGTTAAGAGGTTACCAGGTGTAACTACGAGCCCCTGCCCACTTCAACATTTGTACCAAAATATGCCTTTTATAAACTATTTACTTCTAAAACAATTTATTTTCTCAAAAACATTTTAGATACACTCTAGTCGTAAAAAATACATATTTGAAATCACTTAGACCTATAACTAATAGAACATCTGAACAAATAAACAATGTGCGAATAAATGATGGTCCCCTACTGAGCGAGGGCCGTGGCAAATGCTTGTTCCGGAAGTCGTTGTATCCAGTATACAACTTCTTCCCGTCCAAGTGATTGCGCACGCGTTAAGGAATACCTCAGTACCGATTGTCGGGTGGCGGTACAAGTCCGCCAACGGGCCACTTTAGCTCTATTTAACATCACTAATACATAAAAAGAAGGTGGTAGACAAGGACCCGTCGACCGAGGCAGTACCACCCGCTAGCTTTTCCCAGGGTGTCTTATAAATGTCCGCATGTTTCCACACCTAAGCTATGCAGTCGGTTATCTACCAAAACAAAGAAATTAATGATGATGGATCCCTCGAGCACTAAAAACTCCGGACGTAAACTCACTCCACTCTCGGAATGTCCGGGTGGAGGGTGGGCTCGAGGGAACAACATCGAAGATAAAATTTGTTTTTCCAACATCTGCGGGATCAACAGCAACATTGATGCTGTTCATCACTACCTGCAATCCAATCGTCCCGCCGTGCTTTTCTTGACGGAGACAAAAATCTCAGAGGCTGCACCGATTAACCATCTCAACTTTCCAAACTACGAGGTGCACTCCAATCTGAGAAAGAACGGGGGAGTTGTGGCTTTTGTCCGCAGCAGTCTTTCCTGCTCCAGGGATCTTTCTTTGGAATCAGACCGGAAGGACATTCTGTGGCTTCGCCTCAACTCCAAAACATCACCCAAATTTATTTGCTGCCTTTATCGCTCTCCCTCGAACCATAACTGGGATGACCTACTCGAATACCTCGCCGTCCAGATCGACTTCCTGAACATCAATCACCCCGCTTCAGAGGTAGTTCTTCTCGGCGATTTCAATGCCCATAATGAGCTTTGGTTGGGCTCAAATAAGACCGATGCAGCAGGTCGTGCAGTCGAAGCGTTCGCTCTTACTCAAGGGCTGACCCAGCTGGTGACGAGCCCTACTTTTTTCCCCCGCGTCTCGTCACACGCCAGTAGCCTGCTGGATCTCTTTCTGACCACGCATCCTGCCCCTTACAGCACTGCCGTCCTGTCCCCCCTGGGTAACTCAGATCACGGTGTTGTGGAGGTTAGGTTTCGGTCAGAAGCCGCTGTGGCCGCAGAAACTCGCACAGGCCGCAAAACTTGGCATTACGGACACGCCGACTGGGAGGGGCTCAGAGACTTCTTCTCTAGCTTTCCTTGGAGAGATGTCTGTTTCACTGACGCGGATGCGTCGACTGTCTGTTCTTCAATAACCGAAATTATCCACGTCGGAATGGAGGAATACATCCCTCACACAGTGAAAGCTCCTAAACCAGGGTCCAACGGCTGGTTCAACAAATCGTGTGACACTGCTCGCCAGCAGAAGATCAAGGCCCACAGAACCTACTTACAAAACCCCACTGTAGAGAACAGACAAGCCGACGTCGAGTCCAGAAACAAATATAACGAAGCAGTTCGCAATGCCAAAACCCAGCATGATATAAAAGTCAGGCACAGGGTAATGTCGCAGCGCAATGGCAGTCGGTCTTTCTGGACGCTGGCCAAGCAGATTGAAAAGAACTTCTCACACAGTAGCCTTCCACCACTTACGTGTCAGGATGGAACTATTGTATTCGACTCAAAGGCCAAGGCGGAAGTGCTAGCCAAGATCTTTGCTGCCAACTCCACCATGGACATCCCCACCAACGCCCAAGTGCCGTCAATTCAAAGGGTTCCCCACACTATGCGGGAGGTAACATTCAGGCATAAGACCGTAAGACGAGTGCTCTTGTCCCTCGACATCAACAAAGCTTCTGGTCCGGACTTGATTCCTGCCATTGTACTGAAGAGATGTGCAGCTGAGCTTGCTCCAGTTCTTTCGCGTCTCTTCCAGATATCTTATGAATCCGGCACCTTCCCAGAAAACTGGAAATTTGCTCATGTACAGCCCATCCCAAAAAAAGGATCTAAAACCGACCCTTACAACTACAGGCCTATAGCTCTGCTTTCTGTTATAAGTAAAGTGATGGAGAGGTGCATAAATCGCGAGCTTCTGGACTACCTCGAACGTCACAGCTTGATTAGCGACAGGCAGTACGGTTTCCGGCACCAACGATCCACAGGGGACCTCCTAGCTTACGTCACGCAACTGTGGAGTAAACTCATCCAGTCTCATGGTGAGGCTCATGTCGTTGCTCTTGACATCACGAAAGCGTTCGATCAGCTGTGGCACGCTGCCCTCTTGAGCAAACTTCCATCCTACGGCCTCCCAGAAAAGCTTTGCAGATGGGTGGCTGACTTTATCTCTGGCCGCAAGATATCCGTCGTAATTGACGGATTCTCCTCTTCATCCCACAACGTCAACGCGGGTGTTCCCCAGGGATCGGTCTTGGCTCCAACACTGTTTCTCTTACATATCAACGACCTCCTTTCCTGCACGATCAACCCAATCCCCAGCTTCGCTGATGACAGCACTCTGCATGCAGGAATTCAGAGTGACAAGCCGATCTCTGCCGCTGAGCTGGAAAAAAGAAGACTAGCGACGACTTCTTCTCTGACAAGAGACCTGGAGGCTATCACTGCTTGGGGACGCAACAATCTTGTACAGTTCAATGCTTCCAAAACACAGTACTGTACTTTGACGAACAAAAAGCGTCCTAGCGCTCATACAGTTTCGATGGACGGTCGAGTTCTACCAAAGAGCCATTCATTTCGGTTGGTCGGAGTCCAGATCACCGAGGACCTGATCTGGCACGAACACATCTCTTCAATAGCTGCAGCTGCTGGGAAAAAGCTAGGCTATTTGTTTAGGGCTAAGAAGTACTTTTCTCCGCATGACCTTCTCACTCTATACAAGGCCCAGATAAGGCCTAGCCTCGAGTATTGCTCACACATTTGGGGTGCTGCCGCCCCGACTACATTGTCCATGCTCGATGCTGTCCAGAGGAGGGCGGTCCGACTGATCGATGACTCTTCTCTAACAGACAGTCTCGGGACTCTTTCGCACCGGCGGGCCGTCGGCGATCTAGCTCTTTTCTATCGCTACACCAACGGGCTTTGCTCCTCAGAGCTCTCTTCCATGATGCCGCCGCGCGATGTGCCTGCCAGACAGACCCGCCTGACTTCGGCGTCCCATCCTAACCGTGTCAAACTTCGTACATCCAGAACTGGCCGATACGACCGCTCCTTTGTTCCGAGGGTGTCTAGATTGTGGAACAATCTACGGGAGGAAGCTTTTCCCAGTTCTACTAACCTTAGGCAGTTCAAAAATCGTATTAACAAAATTTCTTTGGGATCATCATAGCAGCCGCGGTGTTCCGGCATTTAGGCTTCTGCCTGCGCGGCTGTTTCGATATAAAAAAAAAAAAAAATGCGCGAAGTTAACAAAGCAACAATTGAAAGATTACCATTGGGTAACATCACCTTTATTCTTAATTACGGCTGAAATTCTTTGGGGCATAGTGTTAACCAAGTTTTGGCAAAAATTTGGTGTAAAACAATGTCACATTTCTTGAAGCTCTTGTCTCAGTTCGGTGATTGTTCGAGCAGGATGTTGTCGTAGAACCTTTTTCATCTCGTGCCACAAAGTTTCAATAGGTGACAGATCTGGACTGCTAGAAACCCATTTCAAAAGTGATACATTATTTTCTTCCATCCATTTTATAGCCTTTTTGGGGTATGGCACGCTGCACCATCTTGCTGAAACACAAAATCTTGGCCGGATGTCAAACATTCTTTCATCACTGGTAAAAGCGATGCTTCTAAAATTGCCAAATATTTGTTTGTATCCACATTTCCATCAATAAAATGAAGTTTTCCTACTCCTTTTCATGACATACTGCCCCAGACCATGATGGATGCTGGAAATTACACTTTTCTCTTCAGACAGTCAACATGGAATGCTTCATTTTTTTTGCGAATAACTCTACTGCGACTGTTACCAACACAAACTTCGAATCGGGCCTCATCACTCCATTGTATTGCACACCATTGTTGAGGTGTCCATTGTCTATGTTCTTCAGCCCATCTAAGCCGATTTTTCTTTTGCAGTGGAGTTAATAGTGGCTTTTCTTTGGCCTATAAACAAGTTGTGCAACTTTAGGGAGAAATTCTCCTTCCAACAGCGTAACTCCACAGAGCACTTAATTGTAAATAATTTCACGATTATTCTTCTTAATGCTCTTCGGTCGGCATTTGTGATATTACTTTTTTTCACATATCGTGGCTTAATATTAACTGAACCAGTTACGTTATATCTTCTAACAATATTTCTCACACTGTACTATGATAAGACTAACAAAGTTGCAATTTCTGAGTTTTATTTCCCAGAATTAAAAAATTTAATTATCAGTAACCGAATTTTCTCACTAATAACCTTTCCTCCACCCATTTTGAAAACCTTAACTACCCAAAACTATTTTAAACGTATTCTGACAGCTGTGATTAATAAAAACAATTGTCATGGCTTTTATTTTTCACAGCCACCTATGCGTTATAGACTTATTTTGCATTGAAATGAAAATAGGTTGATATGCTGTAATTGCAACATGTGTTATTTTTATGCTGCAAATTTGATTAGGGAGCGATAAAGTTGATGGTTTCTACTATATATTATCGAAATATTCATTGTTAATATTTTAAACCTATAACACCCTGCTACATTTTTATTATTTGTGTTTGATAAGAAAAAAACTAAGATTTCAATAGTTGGGCCAACTGAAGTGGGAAGGGGCTCGTATATTTGAACAGTTTTTTCACTCATTACAAAGCTTGCTTAGATTTTTTGGATCATTATGAACAACAAGGTCTCCAAAAACTTTTTGCCGCAGGAAAAATCCAGGGCATCACGGCTGCTATGAGGATCTTAAAGAAACTTTGTTAATGCAATTTTTAATATGCCCAAGGTTCGTAGAACTGGGAAAAGCCTCCTCTTGTAGACTCTTCCACAATCTCGATACCCTAGGAACAAAGGAGCGGTCGTATCGACTAGTTCTGGATGTATGAAGTTCGACACTGTTAGGATGGTAGGCCGAACTCAGGCACATCGCATGGCGACATCATGAAGAAGAGCTCTCTATAGGAGCAAAGCCCATCGGCCTAGCTATAGAAGAGAGCTAAATCGTCGAGCACCCCAAACATGCTAACAATACTTGAGGCTAGGTCTTATCTGGACCTTGTACAGAGTGAGGTCAGGAGAAAGGTACTTCCTAGCCGTAGACAAAATTCCTGCATGCAGAGTGCTGTCATCAGCAAATCTGTGGATTGGATCGATCTTATAGGAAGGGGAATCACTGATATACCGTTTTCGACTTAGAAGCCTGAGAAACCCAAAAACTGTTTTCAATACTCAAAAACTCGTTTAGACACCATTATTTTTGTCGTAATCTAAATTAAAGTTCAATAGACATTGCATTAATAACAATTAAATAACAATGTTCTATAACAAACTAAGCCCATAATAATACTGTTTGGGGTTTCGAACTTAAGATACTTGACGACATCAAAAATATTTTTGATCATTGAAAGTGACCATTTTTAGAATTTTTTAAACTTCAACTTCTTCATAACTCAAAAACAGTAAACTTTAGAGAAAATGTATTCATGGCCTTTTTGTTATTGTCTAAAAAAATGGCGTCAAGTGGGTTGACTCTGCACTTCCTACGCAACGCCGACATCAGTTCATAGAGGATTAAGTTCATCGCAATATTCAAATCATCCGAGAAAATATTGAGTTGAGGACATGTAGAACAGAGAAATTAAACTTATCAAGTTAGCCAAACAAGCCCATATAAATAGTTCATAGGCATTCTTTTCCTACCCTACTGGTCGTTACCGACCATGTGGCAACGCTGTCGCTTTTCACATCTGCGCGAGTTATTTTTCGTCTCGTGCAAGCACCGTAGGTTTCTTGAGATTCAGTACGGATACGTATAACTAATTTTTTCAAATGTCCAGGTAAATCTATGATGTATGAAATATGGCTGATAGGTGCGTAGAATTACCGGGATTTTTTTTCGTGTTTGGTCTTTTTCTCCTCTAGGCCGATTTTCAAAAACCACAAAGCTTTTTTATCCTTGGCATAGTAGTCACGCTGTGTGAAAATTTAATCAAAATCGTCTACTCAATTTGTAGGCGGTTATAAAATTAGCGGACAGACAGACAGGCGGAAATGAATGACATATAACATCCAAAAAACATAACATCTGAATTTCGGAATTTTTCCTTCCTCCTAGTTTTGTCGTAGGAAGTAGAAACCACAAAAATCAGTTTTTTGTGGATGATTTCAACAAATTTGCACCAGGTTACGGTCTGGCAACCTCTTGGCTCATTTTAAGGTGGATCCAACAGAGGCGATTATGAAAAAAAATGAGAAACATTCGCTTTTCAGGGAGCAACATGGCCAGCCGCGCATATGTTAGCTGTGACTTGGATAAAATCAAAATACGTTAGCGGTTTTGTATCACTATATACCGGTAAGTAAAAAGTTCTTGATCCTTTGACAGTAGGGGAAATACGCCGATTCTAGAACCTCCAAAGGTCAATCACACGCCGATTCTAAGTTCCAATATAGGTGGTCTGTAAATTAAGCGATGAGACTAGCAATGTAACGTTCTATCTGGCAACACTGGAGGCGCCGGGCTTTGAGGAAAGAATGGGAAACATGTGATCCGCCTTCAGTACAAGTTTGAACTCGCTCGAGTCATTTGGTTGTCAGTAGCAATTCTTTTTTAGGGAAACATTTGTTGTGTTCTAAAAATGAGCGACATCAACTTCAACCATCGGTTTTGCGCACAGTGCAACGGAAACTCTTGTTAAACAAGTCTACGAAGGTAGTGTTTTGTCAAGAACCCAGGTTTTTCGGTGGTTTAAGGCATTTTGAGAAGGCAGAGTGTCGATGAACCACTAAGCCGAAGAACCGATGAAAATATTAACAGAATCATGTGAGTTCAGATCGTCAGTTGACAGTCAGAATGATGGGGAAGAGTTAAATTTTATACACGCCACCGTTCACAGGAATGACAATAAACGAGTTTTTGGCCAGTAAAAACAATTCTGTGACTCATTAGCCTCCTTATTCGCTTGACTTGAGTCCTTGTGACTTTTTCTCTTCCCAAAGCTGAAAAATCACCTCAAGGGAATTCGTTTTAGGGACATTCAAACGGCTGTAATCGACCAGCTGAAGGCTATGAAAGTATGGAAGTTCCAGCACTGTGTAACTTCCAGAAGGCAATACAAAATTGTAATTATATTTGAATAAAAAAATAGTCTCGTCCCTTAATTTACAGACCTCGTAAGCATTTTTCTCGATACTTCAACTACAACTAAGCACTAATTTGATACACACATTTCAGCGCTGAATCCAACAACAGCAACCTAAATTATCATTTTTTCAGCTGTAAACTTGGGGTATGCAGTGGTAGGCATTCTAGGAACTGTGGTGGTTCGCAAACTAGGTCGTGATTTTCTGAGCTACGTGATCTCTTTCACGTCTGTCGTGTGGTACTTCCTATGGTGGAGATTCGTCGACATTTCTTTATTTCCAAACAGAGTCAAAAGAGACGTAAGTATCACTCCATGTTGACCACTCCTAACTAGATACGTAATAGGTGATGCTGGCGATATCTCAACAGATATTTTTTTTTTAAACAAAAAGTACTTCCTCCCTTCTAGCACCCAAGCAAAACAACAGGTACTGACATGATGACTATACAGACGAGGTTGTTCCACCTTTACTATATGTTATATTGACATCACTATCTGTAATGATTCAAAAGAATAAAGATTAATTAAGGGTATACAGGGTGTCCGCAAAGTTGGGGTTTTCCTTTACACGACGTGTAGATCTTGAAAACATAAGCAATTTTTGTTAGTACCATATACACCAGTGTCTCAAGGGAACCGAGATAAAGGGCTCTACAACATCAAAAATATCCGAATACCGTCCTGTAGCCGCGACATCGCCGACTGGTACAAGGACACTGGCTCAACCAGACGACAGAACTGGCTCGGGGTCAGCGTGTCAGGTCAGTATGCAACCTTCAACCGACGGTTACGGTCACGTGTTTAGAGGTAATCGCGTAGACGAGAATCCCTCAACAAGCACTAGAGACGTGGCTAGAGAAGTGCAAGTATCAAAAACTAAAGTGTGGCAAACGCTGCGTGAAGAGGAGTGCAGTTTTGTGAGTGGTTGTTGCATCAACTTGACAATAATCCGGACTTTTTGAAGTGCATATTGGTGACAGACGAATCTACGTTCACGCGTAATGGGGTGAATAACTTTCGCAACACATGTTTGGTAAGTAGAAAATCCGCACGCTGTCCGTCGGGCACATTTTCAACAAACATTTTCGGTGAATGTTTGGGCTGGCATGGTGAACGGTATGCTCATTGGACCATTTATTCTCCCAAATCGATTGGACGGGATGCAATACCTAGACTTTTTACGCAACATTTTGCCTTCCTTGTTAGAAGATGTGCCATTAAGTGTAAGACAATCAATGTGGTTTCTGCGTTTGCTCGGTAGCGTATCAGCTGATTTCATTTTCTGTTGGAGCGGTATGATTTCGGGCAGAGACGTACTTAGCCCTTCTCGTCAACTGGAGAGTGAGTACTTTTTCCTTTATTTTTTTTTACTTGGTCGCCCTCGCTTCACTACACATTACCTTTGTTATTTCAAGGGTAGTTGTTTCTGAAAAGGAAAACCCCAACTTTGCGGACACCCTGTATAAATAATACCATCTAATAAACATTTTTCTCAAGGAACACAGGCACCTTCCATGGAGGCGCCTGTTGGCTTCAAAACCAGCTTGGGCCTGTGGTATAGCGGTGATTGGCAGCCAGTGGGCAGATGCGACTCTAATGCTTGGTGTTACAAAATACCTAAAACTAGTGTACGGATTTTCAATAGAATACGTAAGTAGACGTATTGTACTAACTCTCACTATAGTCAGTTATCAAAATGGAAATCGAGTAGGATGAGATACGCCTTGTTCGTTCCACCATGACAAAATGTTGTGTGCTGCGATGAGCTTCCGTTTTTTTTTTGTCATTGTTATATTTATATGCATCCAACCCCAGCAATTCTACGCACATATTGGGCATATTTCACTCATAATAGATGTCTAAGTACATTTACCATTAAAACCTAGAAATATATCCTACAGTCGGGTGTCGATACGTGCGACGTCATCCCCCGATGGACAAGCGTCGTCGACGGTGGTCCTACGTTACAGTCGGCAATCGTCTCTACACTTCTGTGCATGGTGAAGGTGAATATCGTCATGCACGCGGGATTGGTCGTCGCAACGTGGCTAACTTTTTCCTCAGAAGGGCTAGCTTGTGCCAAGCATAATCCTTTACAAGCTGATGACAGCGTAGCGTGGGAAGGACAGAGTCAACTTACTTGACATCATTTGTTTTTTTTTTTAGAAAACATCTTTTCTGCTTGAGAGTGGTTATAAGAACTTTCCTCTGTCTAAACAAGAAAACTGCGTTAGCTCTTTCATTTTAATACTTAATATTAAGAAGTAGCTACTAATGAAAATTGTAGAAATAATGTTTTTTTTCTCAATCAAGGAAGATATTCTTCAGTCGCTACCGCACATCGGACACTTTTTCGCCGCTATCATGTTTGGTGTTGTAGTCGATCATGTGAGAAGCACTGGATTAACGTCAACAACTACTTGCAGAAAATTCTTTGTATATCTATGTAAGTAATAATAAGCATAAAATTCTATGAATATTTATATACCTCGCATGTCACTCTAAGCTCGCGCTGAGATTTCTTGTGAAGTTTGTGTCCCACAGTACTAAATTATTGTTCTTTTACAGTAACTAGCACTCGAGGTTTAAAAATGAAAAACAAGTTTTTTTAATATCTTCACAACCGTCAACTGGAACAAACTAAAATAATTTGGTATGTGGGTTTATCTAAGTATTGTCCACATTCAAAAGTCCCATCAATTTGCTACAAATAATTACTCTTGTGTTTTTTCCTAGAGTGCATTGTTTCCGTAAAAATTAATAAAAAATAGATAATCAAAGCTTTATTTCAATAATAATAATATTTATTCACTCAATGTATAAAGATAACAAACAATATGAGTAAATAAATATAAGATCAAAACAGTCCCAATAGAAGGCATCGCCTGTACATGGACCAATAATTTAAGTTGAAACTGTAGAATGCAAATGACAAAAAAAGGACAAAAATCAGTTACTTTTCAAAAACCTTTGCTACACTGGATATTATTGATATTGGTCTATAGTTGTTAACATCTGTTTTTGTTCCTGATTTATGTATCGGTACCTATTATATTACCTTTTTTTAAAATTGAGGGATATATGCCAGATTCAAAGCATTTGTTGATTAGGTAAGTGAGTGGTTCTGTTATATCCTCAGCTATAATTTTCAAATGCTCGCTTTTAATACCAACGAACCCAGGACTTTTCCGATTTTTTAAGGACATAACAGTGGTGTATACTTCACATTGCTCGACTTTATCCAAAATAAATGAGTTCAAAGTTTTTTTTGGAGGCTGAGTATTTTGTACATTTGCTTGTATATTACTTGCTAAATTTTCGCCTATGTCAGTAAAGAATTGTACAAATTCATCGCATATCTGTTGAGTATTTTTTAATACTGTTCCCGATGTTGTATTTAACTCAGTGACACACTCTTTAACTTTTGTTTTCCCAGTAATCTCATCAATAGTTGTCCAAAGCCGCTTAGGATCATTTAAGTTATTATTCAATTTATTTAGGTAATGTTTTCGTTTGGTTTGCCTTACAAGCTCTATAAATTTATTTTTATATTGGTTGTAGCAGTCGGTATTCTCTGTAGTTGGCGTTAGTTTCATTACATTATATAGTCTTTCTTTTTCTATTGCCGATGTTATTAATCCTTTGGTAATCCAGGCATTTCTGCTTTTCTCTTTGTGACTAATTATTACTTTATTGGTACTAATATCTATTAGTTTTTTTATTTTCTCTATGAACAGTCCCGTTGCTTTGTCTATATTATTTATAGAGTATAATTGTTCCCAGGATTCTTGTTTGACATTTGATATTAGTTTTGAATTGTCGACAAAAAATTTGTAATTTTCCTGGTTGTTACTAACGGTAGGGATGTTAGAATGTTTTTCATTCGAAGATATCAGTAAAATAGTGGAGAAGTGGTCAGTAATATCGCTTTCTAGGATTATTGGTATACAAGTAATTTTGTTGGATAGGTCTTTCACAAAGCAGTGATCTATACATGTGCCACTGATGGACCTTGTAGGTAGGTTTATATAGGACAAAAATCCGTTACTTGATAGGATATTCAAGTATTCATTTGTGATGGGATCATCGTCCAAAATATTTATCCCAAGAAAATATGTTGCTTTAAATGAACTTTATTTTGATTTTGAAAAAAAAATTCGATATTCTTTAAAAACTCGTGGGGTTCTGAACATGGCAGACGATAAATTGCAGATACCTCAATTTTGTTATGGTTAATTTGGGTCATTATGTTTAAAATTTTGAATCCATCGGTGAAAGTGAATGTATCATGATTATATTGCAGTTTATTTCTTACAAAAACTATCACCCCATCGTTTTGGTTATAAGTGCCAAAGTTATACAGCGTGTCATATCCCTGCTGATTGAAGCAAGAAATATCAGCCACTTGCCACGTTTCAGTTAAAACTATTAGATCAAAATTGTACCATATTTGGTCGAGTAGTATTTTTAAGTAATCAATGTTGTGGTTTATACTCCTTATGTTCATATTAAAAATTCGAAATTTTGCATCAGAATTTTGTGTACATAAATTAAGTTCATCGACGTTTTGTGCTATATTTGTTGCAATACTTGGAAATCATTAATGTATTTATTTACTGACATTTTTAGGTCCTCTTTAGAGATAGGAGTAGTAAAAGATGAACTTGAATTTTAAAAAAGTATCCTTAAGTTTTGTTGTTCCTGATAATATTTGTACGATGGACAGTTTTTGTCGGTAGGTGAGTGGTTAATATTATAATTTTTTTTATATCTTTCATTTCCATATCTACAGTTGCAGCATTCTATTGATACATGCTTACAATTTTCTTCTTCGTGACCGTTGCCACAGTTGGCACATATCTTCTCATTCCTGCAATTCTTTTCTGTATGATTAAAACGGTAGCATTTTCTACACTGAGAAATGTCGTTATTTTGATATACTGTCAAACATTGCCATCCCAGAAGTATTGTTCTATTATTGTCTTCGAAGATTTTTTTGAATAGCTTTCCAGAAGTTTCCGCGTAGATAGTGTAATTGTTTCTTGATGGAAAATATTTGATAAACTTTACTTGTATGTCTCCACTCTGAATCATATAATTCTGATGTATAAGATCTTCTTCAATTTGCTTTTCATTCGGTTTCTCACTACTTTTATAATTTATTATTTTAATTTTTGGATTTAATATTTTCGGCTCAGTAACTTGGTATTTTCCATTCAATTTATTTTGAAGTTCATCTTTCAGTTTATTATGGTTTGATTCATCAATTTTTATATCAATTCCGCCATTTTTTGAGTTTCTCACACTTTCTATTTGAATGTTCAGAGATGAAAGATTTATTCTCTTACTCAATTCTCTTCTCGTATTATCGCAAGATTGTTTTTCTTTTGGAATAAAATAAATAAATAAATAAAATAAAATAAATAAATGTTCAAAAACACCACCATTCTAATGGATACAAGTACGGCATTTTTTTAATAATGAAAAACGTATTTAGGCAAAATTTGTTGAAACGCATTACAGTGGACCCCCGATAATCCGGCCTCTGTCTAATCCGGCGCCCCCTGTAATCCGACATGTCTTTGAATATTACATACATACGTATTTGACAATCTTCGCTAATGTAGATCACGCAGGTTTGAACAGGTTACAACTTGTACGCGCCACCGCTATCGTGCTCGACGCGTAAGCATTGTTTTACTTAGTTTGAAATTACTATTACGGACAAAAAAGTGCAACTTAGAAAATGGTTAAGAGATCATAATTTTCCTCAAAAAGCGTTGTTGCTTCTTGATAAAGCTCTCGGTCATCCGTCTGAAGAAGAACTAACAACTGAGGATAAATGCATCACTGCGATGTTTCTTCCGCCAAATTACACTACACTGATTCAACCAATGGACCAGAATATCATTCAGTTTGTCAAGCAAGACTATAAGAAAAACCTACTTCTGAGAGCCGTATCAAAAGACCAACCAATAGAAAAAACTTTGAAAGAATTTAATATGAAAGACTTGGTTTTTGCTCTTTGTCAGTCGTGGAATGCGTTACCGTCATCAGCTATTAAATCGTCTTGGAAAAAGTTATGGCCAGATATAGTCACCACTCCTAGCAACGTTCCACAAATCAGTGTAACTTCGGAAGTTATAGAACAAGTCGCTACAGAAACACAGATAGGTCGGGAAGATTTTGAAATCTGGTGCCGTGGAATGGATAAAGAGGAAAATGTTTTTCATGAAATGTCTGACGAAGAGATTATAAAAGAGGTTTCTAATTATACAAAAAACAATCAGGAAAATAACGACGACGTGATTGCAACTGCTCCACAAGTCACAGCACAAGACGCAATTAACGCCTTTGAGCTAGGTTTACAATGGGCTGAAGAGAATGGTACATCCTACAACGAACTTTTACTTTTGAGAAGACTGAGGGACAAAGCTCTGATCTCGCGTTATAACAACCTTAAACAAACAAAAAATTGATGAATATTTCCAAGCTTCATAATTTGATAAATTCATTAATAATTTTGATTGATAATTCTTGATTAATTTGGTACATATGTATGTGCATTTATGCTTAATTTTATAATAAAACGTAAGCTCTCTATTGTTATTTAATTTACTAAATTCGACATACATAAATTATGTATGATTTATACTTCAAAGTACATACATATACATAACATATATAATCTTACCATTGGATATGTATACTAAGTGACATATAAATCCGAACACCCAGTTTAAATGGTTTTATTTTAATAAAAGTTGGTGAATGTATTTATCTTACTGTAAATAACAAGTGAAAAAAATTTCAGCCTTATCAGTTGGACATTCCGGTTTTTATACTGCTTTTTTTTAATTCACTAACGCTCTAAAAATGAATATTTCAGCCGCAGTAAAGAATCAACGTTGCCGGATTTTGGTTCTTGACATCCTTTACGATCGGTTAAGGCGAGAATACACATGCTTGTTACACGCACAGAAGCATGCCAGTTACTGGATTGTGCGTGCTACTTGCATGTGTGACTTTCTTTGCCAGCAAGAAAGCACGCTAGAAGATAGCACGCCAGTAGATCGCAAGAAGGCGAGAATACACATGCCAGTAAAATAGCATGCCAGTGGCCAGTAACTTGTATGCTAACTACTTGTCCTACGACATCCCAAAATACACATGCTAGTTTTGGATATGCCAGTCTGTGAAAACTTTCCTTTATCTTCTTTAACTCTTGGTGGTAGGTTGTTCTTAGGTTTGTTATCTTACTTTTCATAAATTTCAATGTTAAATTGTTGTCAGTCATTTGCTTCAATAAAGACTTGTAAGCATTGTCTCTAGCGATTTTATTTTTATACAATGGAGATCATGTATTCCATAAACACGGATACTCCCTATACTGCATAACAAACAAAGTCCTTTCGTCTCCCCAACGAGCCATTTTGCCCCGAACTAAACAAATAGTTCTATAGTTCAAGAATCCGTTTTTCGCATGCGAGTTTCTGGTAACGATGTCGTTCACACACCTTTGAACATGACTCGCATGTTTCCTCCCCTCCATTCCCTCGACGAAATCCTGCTACTGGCACACAAAAATCAAACGTCTTGCGATCTACTGGCGTGCTATCTTCTAGCGTGCCTTCTTGCTGGCAGAGAAAGTCACACATGCAAGTAGCACGCACAATCCAGTAACTGGCATGCTTCTGTGCGTGTAACAAGCATGTGTATTCTCGCCTAGACGTTTGATTTTTGTGTGCCAGTAGCAGGATTTCGTCGAGGGAATGGAGAGGAGGAAACATGCGAGTCATGTTCAAAGGTATGTGAACGACATCGTTACCAGAAACTCGCATGTGAAAAACGGATTCTTGAACTATAGAACTATTTGTTTAGTTCCGGGCAAAATGGCTCGTTGGGGTGACAAAAAGACTTTATTGTTTGTTATGCAGTATAGGGAGTATCCGTGTTTATGGAATATATGATCTCCATTGTATAAAAATAAAATCGCTAGAGGCAATGCTTACAAGTCTTTATTGAAGCAAATGACTGATAACAATTTAACGTTGAAATTTATGAAAAATAAGATAAAAAACCTAAGAACAACCTACCACCAAGAGTTAAAGAAGATAAAGGAAAGTTTTCACAGACTGGCATATCCAAAACTAGCATGTGTATTTTGGGATGTCGTAGGACAAGTAGTTAGCATACAAGTTACTGGCCACTGGCATGCTATTTTACTGGCATGTGTATTCTCGCCTTAACGATGCCTAGAGTTCGGAGACCTGTACGATTTCGTCAACTTTGTGAGTTTGATAGGGGCCGTATAGTGGGACATCGGGAAGCTGGACATTCTTTTCGGGCAATTGCAGTTAGAGTGCAAAGAAGTGTAGACACTGTGGTTAGGTGTTGTCAGGCATGGCTTCGAGAAGGCCGTACGCAAACAGCAAGGGGCACTGGACGCCGCCGTAGAACAACAGAGCGTGAAGATCGCCGCCTAAAATTATTGGCCTTAAGGGACCGTTTCTCCACTACCAGGTCCATTGCAAATGAATGGTTTGCAGAACACGGAAGACCTATTGGCATGCGAAGTGTTTACCGACGAATGAGAAGTTTTGGCTTGTTTTCATACCGGCCACACTGGGTCCTCCCTTTAACTCGGGAACACCGACGTAATCGCCTTGAGTGGTGCAGAAAACGGTCACTCTGGGATCAGGAATGGAACAGTATTGTCTTTAGTGACGAGTCTCGATTTTGTTTAGGCATGCATGATGGTCGTGCCAGGGTTAGAAGGCGACGTGGTGAAAGGAGAAATCCACAGTTTTTTGTTGAAAGACATGTTCATCACACTGTTGGAGTTATGGTTTGGGGTGCTATAGCTTATGGTTCCAGGTCACCTTTAATCTTCATCAGAGGTAACATGAACGCGCAGCGTTATATCCACGAAGTTCTAGAACCCCATCTTTTACCCTATCTTGACACCCTGGCAGATCCAACTTTCCAACAAGATAATGCCCGACCACATGTTGCAAGAGTCACAATAGACATCTTTCAACATAATGATGTCACATTGTTACCATGGCCACCAAGATCTCCCGACTTATCCCCAATTGAGCACCTGTGGGATATGATGGGTAGGAGATTGCTCAATTTGCAACGTCCTCCTCAGACTCTAGAAGCACTTCGAGAGGAGTTGGTGGTTGCCTGGAATGAGATACCACAGGAGGACATTGACCACCTGATCAGAAGCATGCCTAGGCGCGTTGGAGAATGCGTAGCACATCAGGGTGCATCCACACATTATTAAAGATCAAAGGGCTTTAAAGCAGTGCAATCATTTTGAAATTTTTATCATTTACTTATTATGCTTCATTAAGTACTTATACAAAATTTTATTAAAATAAAACCATTTAAACTGAGTGTTCGGATTTATATGTCACTTAGTATAATTTGTCGGATTACAAGGTACTCTTTTGTAAAAAATTCCGGACTATAGGGGGTCTTAGGCAGTCCTCTATAATCCGACAAATTCGATAGTCCGACACTGCCCTGCATAATGTTTGTCGGATTACCGTAGGTCCACTGTATCTATTCTTTCTTGTAACTGATCAACAGTATTAATTTGTGCAGCATACGCTAGTTATTTAAAAGCTCCCACAAAAAGGGGGTTTAAATCAGGAGACTTCGCAGGCCAATGTACGGGTCCGTTTCTACCAATCCACCGTCGTGCTGATACCACATTCGTACTCTCGTTGTTAACGGAACATCATCTAACACATTTTCTATGTAATTCTCTAGAAACGATAAGTATCAGCTTGCATTTAAACGTTGTGGCAATACGTGCATAAACAGTTGGCCATTGAAAATACCGCACCAGACATTTCTAGAAAATCTGTGTTGAAACGAGTGGATTCTTAAAGAATTTATTTATTTATTGTTCGTATACAGGGTGTAAACGTTATTGTAGTCATTATTGAAATGGGTCAAAACAAGTCAAAAAGTTCATATGACCCATGGTCCAAAACTCAATACATTTTTGTCTAAATGGCTTTATAGTTTACAACTTTAACTGCTTCATATCGACCACAATCACTACAATCTTACTCATTTCTATAATCTAATCTAAAGCGTTTTTAAATTGGGTAATTAACAAATAAATGGCATCAAGTTTTTCTAAGTTAAGCCAAAATTTGTAGTCAGTAAGTAAGTTTCATTAAATTAAATCTTAGTTTTGACATTTGCATAGAGGTCAGAGGTATAGTTTAGTGATTGACCTTCGTAAAATTTCATGCCATACTGTCTTGTTTCAGCTCATTTCCCTCCTGCAGCTCTGATGTTTGTACTGGGCTACACTGGCTGCGACCCTTCAGCACCCGCAGCCCTTTACACTGCTGCTCTTGCTATGACGGGGGCCACTCCGGCTGGGGTTTTTGCTAGCGCTGCGGACATCGCACCGAATTTTGCAGGTGCACACACCAATTAAACGTATAACAATGTTCAGCTTCTAGACAAAGAAATGAGAATTGTATAAGGGAACCCTACAATTCTGGAGGCAGTATTATTTTGTAGCACCGCTAGAATATTGATCCCTAATCATGAGGTGAAATTAGCGACATGATAAGGCTGGGGATTTAATGAACGCGTTATATCGAAAACCTCGATTCTATGTAAAAAAAGTCATACTAACAATTTTGTAGGGAAATCAAATCCTTTATGTTTTTGCTTCTATAGAAATTTACCTTACGATTAATTAATGGTACATAAAATGATATTTACTCTTATAATGGCTGAACTAAGAATGTAAGAGTTAAAAATTTCGTCAAGTAGATTGACGCTATACTTCCTAAATCTTTTTTGGAGGTTTCAATGAAAAGGTATGAGACAAATCATTCCAAAGGCGAAATAGAATCGTGATTAGGTAAATTTACTGAGGTATGATGAATGCATATGCAAACTACGTAAATAAAATCTATCATATTTCTGTTTCCATGGCAGATGTAGGGAGAATATGTGCGACTTATTATGTCTAACAGTATCACTGAATAATAGAAGGTCTTTCACTGACAGCAAGTATGCAACAATTCACAACCATTTACTGGATACAGTTTCAAAGCTACAATTTTCATCCCTCCCAACCCATGTCCGAAAATGAGCAAGAATCTTTGAAACATTGTAACATTATGTTCCAGCGATTTTATTTCCTCCGCCTGTGAATCAATTTTCAAAATCTACGACTACCTATACTACAGTGTGAGTCTTCATAAAGTGCACATAGCAAAATCAAGGAAACTACACCTTATTTTATTGACGGAAAAATTATCAAAAAAAAATTAAAAACAATAATTGATTTTTTATGAATATTTTAAAATTTTTAGAGTCAGCTGTTGACCCTATTTAAATAAATCATTACAACTTTTAAACTGAATGTCCTATCATATTGGAATAAATTTTGTAGTGATTGCAAATAATAGGCCGTACCAGTAAAGTGAAAACGCGTTATTAATTATAACATAAACGTATGTTCTACAATAATTTCACTGTTAGTTTGATTAAATTCCGATTCTCATACGTTTAAGTTATCTAAACATAGGCAAAAAATTAACGAATTTTAGTGTGTACCTATCATTGAATTTTCAGAATAATTAAAAAAAAAATATTTTCTATAAAGGGGGGTTCTTTAAAAAAATCAATGCGGGCACTTATTCCCAATGCGGGCATTTATTGGTCAGACGCCAATAAACATAAAATAAACTATAAATAAAATAACATAAGCAATAAGTCAATATTTGTAGTGAGAAGGATGAACCTGATGCTTTAATAATAAATTATCAACATTTGGCGTCAATTTTTTAAGGGTTAATCTTAAATCTCCTCGGCTAATGATGTCCAATCTGTTTCTTTTTTTCGTTAGGAGATTGGTAACAGCGCTGAACCCCCTTTCTACTAGGTATGACGATGGAAAGGAAATTAAAAATTTCCTCGCTATATTCCATAATACGGGATAACTAACGGGTATGTTGTTTTGCAGCCAGAATTGCTGATATCCGTTTTTAAACTGAACCTTAAGTTCATCGTTTGTACTTAGTTCAGTCAGTTCCTCTTGTATTATGACATTCGTTTCTTCTATGTCACCATATGGATTAATTATCCACGGTGGTATTACCATAGTCAAAATATCCTCAAACCTAGATTCAAAATCTGAATAAAGGGCATTTAAATGTTGAACGTAAGCTGAAACGTCGTCTTCCTGGCAGCTTGTCTGTGACAAATTGGGGAACTGAGAAAATTCCAATATTTTGCTTCATTAGTTTAACTCTGGCAAGAAACTCTGTTAAGATGGACTTTGTTTTAATCAAATTTAAACTGTCGCCTTGTAATTGCAAATTAACCATATTAAATTTTGTGAACAAATCTGTTAAATAGGCGATGTCTGTTTTCCTCTTCATTAAATTTTCTTTTAAAATTTTATCTTTAGTATCCAGAAATTCTAAAATAGTCTCAAAAAGTGCAAAAAATCTTGTCAAACATAAGCCTTTCGACAGCCAGCGTACTTCAGTGTGAAGGAGTAATTGATGAAAGTGTTCGTCATTTTCTTCACACAACTGCGCAAATAACCGCGTATTCAACGCGTTGTTTCGGATTCGGTTTACTGCATCAATGACTAAATGAAGTGATTCATGCAATCTAAAATTCAAATTTTTAGCAACTAAATGTTGTCGATGGATGTATTGCTAACACCCCTGACACATTTTGTTTTAAATAGCTTATAAATCCACGATAACGTCCAACCATGGCAGGTGCTCCATCTGTAGCTACTGATATTATATTTGATAAAGGAATTGCTTTTTCAATGAAGTAATCCTTCAAAACATGAAATATTGATTCACCTTTAGTGTCGGTTATCAAAGTTCTTGCGAAGAGCAGTTCTTCGTAGATTTCTTGATTCATAATAAAACGAACATATGCCAATAATAATGCTGCATTATTAGGTAAAGTTGACTCGTCCAGTTGTATAGAGAAATGGGTCGTTTGCAAATAATTACATAAGAAGCCTTCAATATCTGAACTCATTTCATCAATACGTCTTTCAACAGTATTGTTGCTTAAGGGAACTCTTTTAATGATATCAGATGCAGGTTTGTATAAAACAGTTTTTAAAACCTCTTCAACGGCTGGCAAAATGAACTTCTCTCCGATAGTATGCTGTTTTCCGGATTTTGCTATAAGTAACGAGATATTGTATGACGCCCGCAAATCATCATCATTTAGTGTAAGTCTCTTCTGAAATTTATCTTTGAATGTTTGAAAGTATTTCAAATCTTTCTCTGTTTTATCAGGGTGGCATCTTCTCAGAAAATTTTTGCGGTTTAGATGGTTTCATAGCGTCATTGCCCAAAACTTTGTTGCATAAAAGGCACATAGGTTTCCTTAAAATTGTCTGGTTTCTGGGTTACCAGACCTGACAGACTTACAAACTGACACTGTGACTCAAGAGCTAAGGTCCCACGGACCGCTCTGACAACCAATGATGACTTGACTTGATTGGCACATAGGTGATTGTTTGTCCGGCAATGTTGGAGTGAAGCCAAATTTCAAATAATCAACACTGTACTGTCTACATTTCTTTTTCGATGCGGGCATGGCATCAGTCATCTGTGGGCAAAATTAAATTATTTAAATAAGACAGAAAATCCAGCAGCTGTATATTAAAAATATTTTTTGATTTTTCCGAAAACATTCCATAATTCGAACATCTTCTTGCAACAATTAGCTCGAATTACGGAGATTGCACTGTAATTATATTACCGATTGCTAAAACTTTCAAAAAGAAACTATTGAGGAGTACTCGTGTAATTTTGCATGATTGAATATTTAACTACTAATAACTAAAGTCATGATTGGCGTAATTTATCTATCTTTGCTAACTACGAGTACAAAACTAAAATTTAATAAAAATAATGTACTTACTTTTCTCCAGCACTCTCAAACAAAATAACACTGACTCACTATAATTTGTGTGATATACTATCTGTTTATATTTTTAAAAATATTTTCTTAGCACTTTCCTTTTCAAGATTCAGGAAACGAATAAACGTATTTGTTCCACATTCGTATTTATAGAGTGACGAATTGAACAAGTCAGTGCAAGGTAGCGAAGCTCTGAGACTGCGACTCTCAGGTTTTTACAAGTTCAAAATGTATTGCGACCACAAAGCGAATACCAACATCCTACAACTTACACAATTTTATAAACATATATAATAAATGTTTTACTTCATAGGTACTTTTATAAATAAAGTATGTGTTGATATCATAAGATAGTATGATGTAAGTAAATAGGTACTATCAGTGTATGTGTCGAGATCCACTATCGTGGACCCCCATATTTATTTCATGGAGCCCCAATTTTTTTTTCGCTGACGTAGACCCCTTGCAGGTTGTCATATACCCCTAGGGGTCGATATAGACCACTTTGGGAATCAATGGTTCAGCATATTCATTCTGATCGCTACTGTTGGAAGTGTATATAAACCTTTGTTGTTGTTAAAAAATGCCTAAAAGTCGTGCTACATTATCAAAACGGCGAAAGCGCACGCGTGGAAGCAAAAAACAAAAAAGGCTAGCAAGTTAACTGTTTCTTTGAGGTCCATTGCGTATAGCCCCACGGTACTCAATGGGTGTTTAGGCCTTAGGCCTTCGTGGTAGTTGCAGTATAAGCAAAATATTTATAATTCCACAAATTCGAGTATTGACTGTAATTGATGAGATATCACACAAGTCCGTGTTTCTCATCAATTTCGGTTTATCAGTCCGTGTCTGTTGTATATCAATGCGTCATAAGGTTAGGCGTACATTTGAAGATCATGAAATTCAAAAAAATAATCAAGTCGTCATATACAAAAACATCGCAGAACTCTGAAGTGGTAGGTAATCTTCTTAATGATAGAACGTCTTTATCACATAACACCTAAGTAGGTGTTATGTGGTCTTTATCAAAATGGCGGCAAATGCTCCGGCCATGACGCCATTTTGAACTTATCATTAGCAAGCAATAATCTAACAATAAAATTTTATGTCGCCAAAATTGTAGGAACAAATCACCTGTTTTCGTGCATATTTTGAAGACTATGTTTATGTCCATTTGTTTTTTATCCCGTGTTGTTGTAGGCACTGTTTTTGGACTTTGTCAAACGGTTGGTGCTGCGGGTCTCCTTGCAGCTAACTATGCGGTATCTGAAGGACTACATGGATCGGTAAGACAAAAATATAATCCTTTACAAGGTCATGTTGTTTTCACAAGTAAAATGAAGAGCGCACATGTGAAAACATTGCTTTAAGTTGTAACTTATTCACCGGCTAATAGCTGGAACCAGATATGTTGAATGATCTAGTTTACTGACGTTTCGGCTCACTTGGCAGCAAAACCCAAGTGTCGACCATGGATATCTTATCAGAAAGTTAATGAAAGTAACGATGTTTTACCTGATAATCTTGTAATGATGTAGATGCCATATATGGTGTCCGAACCCTGGGCATATGTGGTTGACCCGAAAACCTGGTTATCCATCAGAACATTTGACTCAAACCATTTGACACCTCGGAAGCAGACCAGAAACAAGAAAACTTTAAGTAATAGTCAATAGAGTAAAATACCCTGAAGCTACTTTCACATAATTGCACTTTTTTATTTCCTTCCACCTTCAAAATCAACATGACCTTAATTTGACCTCAGGTCATAATCAAAGACGAGGAAACAACTACAACTTTTCTGTGCCCTTAAAAAGCTACCTGTCTATTGAGTTTTCTGAATTCTCGAGCAACTCGTGCCAGATCTATTCCAGCGTAAACATATTGAAACTGACCTTCTAGCAATCATGGTCACGACCAACATGACACCTCCTAACAAGGTGTTTTGACGAGCTATTTCTTTTAGTATACTGTTTCTCCAGTTTTTGGTCTGCGAACTTCAGTCGGCACATTCACCATTTTTTTGTAAATCAGACGAACTTTATCCGCCTATTTCTCAGAAACTCATCATAGGATTGTTTTGGTCACAAGGACACTTTTGTTCGGGAAGGCAAGAAATATATCATACTGAATCTTTAACATCGACTGAGACTCATTTTCCATAAATTTCGTGACTGGTATTTCCCCAATCATGCAAGCTGGATGTCAGCTTGCTAATGCCATTGAAGATACAAAACCTGATCACGAGTACCTATAGTCAAAATCACGAAAGACGACTATTACGTCATACCATAAATTGTACTGAAGTAATCAATGCACGTACGTCGATGATAAAATCACGATGTCAGGAACATAATGACAACAAATTTATATTATGATTTTGTGACGTTAGGTTATTTCACTGATTATTTTTATTTTCATTTTATTTCATGGTTTTGAGTGATGCCTTAAAGGTAATTTTAGTGGGGAGTTTTTGTTTTGAAAAACAATACACTTATGAGTAGAATACCTTAAGGCAGGAACACCAAAGGCCAAAGTATTATTAGAAAACAACCTAACCTGCTTTAACATAACCTAACTATTCGTCTTTTAAATATGATCGATCATGCAACATGAAAACATCGTCTATCTTTGTTGGATACATGCAAATTAGTAATACAGTTTGTTTAGACAATACAATTCTGTTTGTCTCTGTCTCACATATCTGAAACATCATTAAAAATATTTACAAACCGCTGTCGTTTGTCTTTAATACAGACTAAAATGATGACGTAATCGTCAACTTTCGTGATTTCGACTAAATCACGTATCTTTAAAAGTGACATTATGCCGGTTTTTTTTGACATTATGTAGGTTTTTCTACAAGATATTAACTTAGGCCCGTATCGTCAGTCGTCCCTACAATTGTAGGGCGCCTTTATGGCCTCCTTGATTGTCATAGTTTTCTACTTCTCCGTCTATTTTGAGGTTCTGTCACAAACATCTATTTGCATCAAATTGTGCTTGCTTCTGAGTTATATCATGTTTTATCAGCCTAAAATTTCCTACAATTTAAAAAGTAGTAGTAGTGGCGCATCCACTTTTTCTTATCCATTCTGGAAATTACATATACAAATTTGCTGAATTTCAAAAATGATAGAGATAAGAAATAATTATATTCACTGTATACTGTCGAATTGCAATCCATATACATGCTAACAGTCATTACACACACGCGGGCGCGGTGATGATTTCCCGTAATTCTCCTCAGTTGTTCGTAATTTATAACTTTGAACATAACCTCTCTTCAGAAAGCACAACATAAAAATAACCCGTCAGGCACAGCCAATAGATATACTTCATTGGCAGCATATTCAGTAATGATTTTCTCACACAGCAAATATCACTGATTTTATACACATGCAGACCAATACACATAATCATCCAGATGCGATCTTGCTATTCAACCAACTTTCTTCTCTCAGATAAAAACTACAGACAAGGACCATTTGGCCTCACAAAATATATGCAACCAATAATGCGTGTAGTTTAGTTGAGTAATTCCTCCTCAGATGGACGTTCACAACGATCCTAGTGAGCGAACGTGGAATGACTATTTGCGCCCTAAAAACTACCTAGTTTGCAAGATGACATCTTATAGGTTTTTTTTTTGACATTTTATAGGTTTTTTACATGATACCCATGCGGAAGTTTATAGAATTACATAAAAACAATGTTTTATTTTGGTAACAGTTTCAAGCGTGCAAAGTAGGCTAGTGCAAAATAAAACGTCTTCATCGCTTGACGGCCACAGGTCGAGTAGGTCGTTGGCAGGCTGCGTTGTTGCCGGCTTGACACTGACAGTGGAGATATTGGTATTTTCCGTAACAATTGATGGCAAAGTAACCTTGTGTAAAAATTTTATCGAAAGCCGGAACTTTCTTTCCAAGTTATAGATGGCTCAATGATTAACGGACAGGCAGACCAACGGAAATGAGTGACGTGGTTTTTCGTGATGTACATGTCATATAACGTCCAAAAAAATAGGTCTTTCACGAATGCGAGAGTGTTTTGTGTTAAATAAAGTATTTTTATGTTTTGCAGTTTGCTGGTTGGTGGCGCCTGGTTTTCGGTTTTTCATCAGTGACACTCCTAGTGACCGCCACCATATTCATGGCATTTGGAAGCGGATCTGTGCAAGACTGGAACGTTTGTGGAGATTGCGAGATAGAGCTCGATACAGTCGAAGAGCCGTCTAAGCTAGAATCAGTACTGGAATGAACGGAATGTCGATTTTGATAATAAAATGTTTTCCAAAACGTTTTGTTTGTATGGATTGAAAGAGAACTCGCGTAAACAGTCGAAGAATACTGTCAAAGTTTGAAAAATTAACGAAAATAAAGTAGGTTTTCTAAATAAAATATTTTTCATGAACGCAACTTGATGGCGATATTTTTAAAGCGGTGCTGGTAGTTTGCACTGGAATTGCACATATAATTTTCGGACGGTTGTAGAAGACACGGCCGTCAAGTAGGTTGACTATGTGCTTTCCATGCTATTTTATTATCAATAATAAAACCAATGCCATATGAACGATATAAAAATAAGATTTTTTTGATTTTTTATATTTCTGTTTTACGACGAGGTATAATAACCTGTTGTAGTAGAAGCTGCTAAAAAGAAATTGGGATAAATTACCCATCGGAAAAAGTTGACCATGCAAATGTGTATAAGAAAATAGATCGACCGTATTAAAGAGATTCGAATGGCATCGAAATGTGACTAAAGTTATAGAAACGTTCACTGCAGTCGTATATCGTCTCAAGATATGTCACAATGTCAGATGCATGTCTAGTATGTGTGTAGAATTACAGAAATCATAAACTTCTTAATAATAAAACGTTTTGCACTGACACTGACATTTTACAACTCCCATCCCCGATTTTCAACAGCTCTGTTAAAACTTGAGAATAGGAGTATCTGAAAAGTCGAATAACAAAATGTTAGCGATTTGTATTTTCTTACTTGTCCTCCGCTATTTTTTCTTTATTATAGTAGGAAATTGTATCAAAATCCGAGCACCACTTTAAAAATTCTAGAGAGATGTCATATAAAAATCGTGTTTCATTCTTCCTACCAATTGCCGTGAGAAACGAGACGAAGTCTTATAAAACATTTTTAGAAATCGCGAGATACAGCTCGAACAACAGGCGAAGAGCTGTGTAGGTTTGGATCAGTACTGGAATAAACGTGGAAGCTGGAAATCAATTATAAACTGAATGAAAAAAATATGTTTCCGCCCGGGATCGAACCGGGGACCTTCCGCGTGTTAGGCGGATGTGATAACCACTACACCACGGAAACTTGTTAGGTGCTTTTGCAAAACACGTTACATACTCCACCAGCAATCAAGTTATGCAACACATAATGCACGAAGAAAAGAATAGTACTTTATATGCCTATAAGCAAGTATAGTTTGAATGAGAAGATAAAGATCTTTATTAACACTTCTATATAATATGCATTCGATATGAACATGGATTATATGATATGTACCAATGTGCAAATAAGTGTTAAAATTTATTAATACTTATTTCTTTATAGGAGGTCCTCAGCTACAATATCAGCAGATACTTATCTATACTCCTGATCATTGTACGAAGCATCATATATTTCAAAAACTATTCATTATCTGACATTGTGTCAATAGAGATTTTAATTACATGATCTTAATACATCCTGCCAACACGCTCTAGACTAGGGTTACCAGCTGGTCAGGATTCGTCGAGGCTTGTCCCGACATTACACATGATATGGCAAAATACAAATTGTCCCCACAAATTTAAAATTACGAGGTTTATAAATAAAATTTTGAGAAAATTATACTTATCGTTTGTGTTATCGATCTCAATAAGTAATGCTTTTATTGTGATGGGTGTTCAGTTAGTAAATAACTTGTATACCAAAGATAGAAATAGAATGGCAAGATTTAATTAGCCGAACTGTTAATAAGAATAAACTTTTGTGAAAATTGATAGATTTTAAATATTTTTTTAATTCTCCAACGGGCACCAAATTGGTCGAATCTGTGAACTCAGATGCCAAATACCTGTGGCAACGTAGAAAATAAGTATGTTATGGACACAGATGAGAAAAAAGTATTTTATTGTAATAACTTTATTTTTAATAATAAAAAATGTCTATCATTCGTAATATTTATTTGTCCCGAGTATAATCCCAAAATCCCGCCTTTTTGATTTTTTGCCCTGCTATGTTGGTCTTCCTATAAATCTACTCTAGACATTGGCAAAAAAATGCCTCGATAGAAGATCACCCTGTAGGCTTGATGTAGGCTGCTGTAAGCACGTCATAACGAGCACGCTTTCTGTCTTATGTCAAATGGCATAGAGTTTCCGTGGTGTAGTGGTTATCACATCCGCCTAACACGCGGAAGGTCCCCGGTTCGATCCCGGGCGGAAACAATTTTTTTTTTAGATTATTTTAATAGGTGATAAAACTTTCATTTAGATAGTTTGTCACGACGATTCGTCAATTCATATGGATATAGAAAACTACTAGGATTGCTTTTTCGAAACATTCAAGCAACAAATAATTTAATAAAAGCAACACTAGAACATAGTATATGACATATAGTCAAAGATAGTTTTTTAGAATATGTAGTTTGTTCTAGAATGATGTGAAAAACTAAAGGAACAAAACGCTACAAACAAGTTTTACTAGATTTACACCCGATTCATTATTGCCAACGTCGCAGACGAGAGAATAAGTTGGTTTTTGTAAAAAAATATTCTCTTCAGTTACTTTTTGTCGAGCTAGGGAAAGGGGGGGCAAGCTGCCCCCTGGATACGCCCTTGATGAGCTTACCAACCTTCACCAATACATATTGTCTCATAATGTGAGCTCTATGACGTGTTGCATTTATTATGAAAAACGATAGCAGCACAATATTAATTTCAAAACTATTTAGAATTTTCTATTCCCTCCTTATATTTTTGATACGAACTGCTCTAAAAATAAATATTCGTACTTTCTAAAAGAACTTTTTACATAATAATAAATTATTTAGATACCAATACATACAATAAAACACTGGCTCGTTATCACTCATTTATTTTTTATAACTGAAAAATATACACATAAATTAGATAAATGCTTACTTAATTTTACGTAGTATATACATAGTGTATTCGATACACAATCACTCAAGTACATCCTAGCTTTGTTTCCCTTAGAAATACGACACTCAGGTAAATAAAAAAACATGATACAAGATGCGCGTCTTATAAAGACCTGCATTCAAAAAATCACGGATAAACAAAAGTTCTCAAAACGCATACAGAGCGCTTTCCTAATTGGATGTCAATATTTTTGAGTCCATTTCAAGAACACTTCATATGAACGTATGTTCTAAATGCCTAACTGTTGAGATTCAGGGGATAAAGTATTCAAAAATACATCATTTCATCACCAGTGGCGTTCGTACTGAGTTTCACCTGCCCATTTTGAAATATATTGATGGTACGCCACTGATTTCTCTGGTGGAAAATAAAAATGTGGTGAGTTAAAAAATACCTCTTGAAAATTTGATTAAAATATCTTAAGTGGTATTACAAAAATCAATAATAATTTATTTTTAAAAACTTAACAATCCTGTATCTCAAAATTTAAGATATTTAGGTCATACATTCATGTGAAGTTTCTTTCTTGAAATGGACCCAAAAATAGCACCCTTAAATATTGACATTTGACACTGTATAGCAAGAAAGACTGTAAGTTTTTTTCTTCTCCAACAAGCATAGAGCGACCTTTTCACTAGCCTCTGGATCATCATTGATTGTATACAAAAAATATACCGCTATCTCCCTTGCTAATACCCACCTCATCAAAATAGTGCCATATCGGAACCAACAGAGATGTTTCCAAGCGTTTTTTCGAATTAAAATCGAGGTGGTCTGATTCATCTCCATCCTTTGTTGTAACCACAACGTGAAAATGAAATTCATCTTGGAAAGATTCCTGCTTTCAAACATGCACCATGTGTCAAAATGTATTGCTTGTCGATATCAAAATGAATGATTTCCAGAAATTTATTAGAGAGCTGCCACTTTCAGCGAAATGCACGAAATTACAACCTTTAGTTGCCGTTTGACAGAAAACATAAAGAATCGACTGTAACTGTTTGCATAGTATGGCAAAATACACAATACTAACTGAAATAACAGAACTGGATTTAAATAATTTTATAAATGAAAAGTTCTGAACAGTGATAATACTCAATGGCGTGGTGTTTTTCTTAACGTTGTAACGAAATTTTTGTTTCGCTACTCTTTGTGCAGATTAATGCAAATGTGAATTTTAAAGTGCTTCAAGAACTTGCAATAACTGCAGCTGCCAAAATCATTTTAAAGAATAAATACTTCGTGATATATCATGAAAGATAACACTTTTTCTTCTTTCATTGCAATATTGTTCGTAGAAGCAGACAAAACGGTCGTGAAAAAGTATTTTATTTTATTGACTTTTTCAAATTGAAGTATAATATTGGCAGATGTAGCCAGCTAATCAGGATTGTAATAATGGAAAAATGGACTTCAAAACTGGTACACAAGAGAAAATTCCCAATCAGCCACTCAAACTTTCAACAACAAATTTACTGTTTTTCTGTGATATGGTATATCAAAATCCCCCTCAACTCTCAATACGACCCTGTCTACAAATCCGTCAAAGTTCTACCTCACTTGATATATTTTGCTATATTTTGAGGTCGTTTTTTGATCGCAGGTTAACTGTAATTTTACTGCTAACCAGAGGTTATTTCTCAAGAAGCATTTCTCAAAGTCATGTTCACCCTAAAGCCTAAAGTAATAGCTAACTTTGACGAGAGGTTAACCAGGGTATTTTTCACGAGTATCTATCACACCTGATTATCTAGTGATATTTGAAAACTCCACATATCGACAAGTTAGTGACAAATAGGTAGACAGATCCGTATTTTGCTGTGTTTTTTTGTAGGCTACAGATTTATTTTGTATTTGCTAACAACTCTTTTATTTAGAAAAATTCCTTTGCATATAAAAAACGCTACAAGCAAAATGGCTAGTAATGATCATGACTACATTTCAAGTCAGGTAAGAATAAAATGAGAAAAACAGTTTTTAACCAAGTTAATCATCTCTACTTTTTAGAACTTGAAACACCATATAATTTCAAATGGCAATGAAACAGCAATACAACTAATTCAGAATGTGTCTCAGTATATGACTGAATTGATTGAGGTTCGATTCCCGAATTAGGTCTGAACATTACTCAAGAAATTCTAACAAGTTAAGAATTAGAAAAATGTAAGTAAAATGTGCAACTATATTATTAACTATTTTGATAGGTTCTGCACATACTTGACCTGTATTTGAATTACGTTACACTGATCACGGACAATAAACCAGAAACACATGCCTAAATTATTATTACAGGTAAAATTACAGCTTCTGGAAAGGACAACGCAGCCTGTTGTATTGCCGTAATCAATAAATCCCAGATGTACTTTAATAAAAAAATAAACATTTTTATATCTGTTATTGTCACTTTTTCGTCAAAAGTATAATCCAGATATGTGGACAACAGCTCTGAATACGGTCCTAAAATTCATTATCGCCAACGTTACAGACCAATACAAAGATGTCGCTTTTGTAATGGATACTCATGAAATATACCATATAAAGTTGAAGTTTAACTTTAATCTTACCTTTTTTTGATTGACAATGTCATGTATAGTCACTGATGACATAAGACACAAATGCCGCACGTCATGGAATACATAGATCAAGATATGTTAGACGTAAAAGCAGAGCTGCCACATCAACGAAAGTTAGCTTCTAGATAAATCAGCTGTTACATGTTATCACGTTTTACGTAATGATGAGATATCGTGAAAAATAACACAGGGCCACAAAAAGTCTAGGGGTCCTAATATATTTTTCCCGCTGAAGTCAGAAAGGGAAGTCGCTGGACACATTTTAGAGAAAACGCACAAAAACGATAGAAATCATATCACAGGCCAACAAAAAAAAAATAAAAAGCGATGCGTGCTGGGGGCCGTACTATATTTTTCTCAGATATTTTTCCAGCTGAAAACGAGTCTGACGAATATTTTAAGCATATTTCACTCATCATAGACGCCCCCAGATATTTACCCTTAAACATATCTCCTACAGCCAGGTGTCGATACGTTCGACGTCGTCTCCCGATGGACAAGCGCCGTCGTCGGTGGTCGTATATCACAGTCGGCAATCGCATCCAGAGTACTGTAGCCAGCGTGAAGGCCGATATCCTCATCCACGAGCTGTTGGTCATCCCTTCGATGACCTGCAGCAATTTCTCTCGGGGGTAGGAGGAAGGTCATTTAATTTTTTGTTATACATGTTCGTGGCTAACTTTTTTCTCAGAACATAATCACTTACCAACTGCTGACAGTGTAGTGTGGGAAGTACAGTCAACTTATTTTTTACGTTTTTAAACGGTCATAGCTTCGTTGAGGGGGAACGACAACCAACATTTAAAGCAAGTAAACGCTCGTAATCCATTTTGCCTCAACAAAAATTAACAATGAACCACGCACACGCATCACGATATAACGCAAGAGTTCCTTGGGACGCAGCTGGTGCTGTCAGCGGGCAGCATGCTCTGGTGGTCGGTAGCCGAAGCGGAGGACATCAGCGGCCGTCGGACGAGTTTGCGCTGCTTTCGGCGCGCCCCCTTGCTGGGAGGCCCCCCAAGGTAGGGTGGACCGATGGCAGCGGCCACCGAAGACGTCGCGTACGACTTCAGGTGAGATTTTAGGCATGGAGGAAGCGGTAGACGTTCTATGCCATACGCGCTAGCGGCGCGTGAGACGATGCAGCGACAACAGAGTTCTTGTAAAGACACCACTGGAAAAAAACAACATAGTCCACCAATCATGCAAAAATGTAAGGTTGACGCCAAATTGGAGGTGGTTTGCTTAGGGACAAGAGGCGCTAGGATACCATACAGTGATTTTCAAGAAACCGTGAAAAATACTCGGTGACATTAGAAGTGTTACACCCAGAAAAAATAATTTCTTCAACTTGTTTTTTTGGCGACATAATGACTATACAGGGTGTCCGCAAAGTTGGGGTTTCCCTTTACACGACGTGTAGATCTTGAAAACATAAGCAATTTTTCTTAGTACCATATACACCAATGTCTTAAGGGAACCGAGATAAAGGGCTCTACAACATCAAAAATATCTGAATACCGTCCTGTAGCCGCGACCCGCGACATCACCGAGTGGTACAAGGTCACTGGCTCAACCCGACGACAGAACTGGGTCGGGGTCAGTGTGTCAGGTCAGTATGCAACCTTCAACCGGCGGTTACAGTCACGCGTGTAGAGGTAAACGAACCCTTATAATCGATTGCGTTTCAAAAATATGTAAATAATAATAATGGCACACTCATACACCAATAATGAACTCGTTGATATGTTGTTAATTTATGGCGAATGTCTTCAAAATGCTACAGACGCTTCGCGAGTGTATGCAGATCGTTTCCCTAGACGACATCATCCAAGGCCCCGCAGATTTGTGTACCTGGTCCAGAGAGTCAGGGATACGGGCCATTTGGAGGAATTTCGAGGTGGGCACAGTGGGAGGCCTAGACAACCACGAATGGTGCAAGTTCAGGAAGAACTACTGAATCGCGTAGACGAGAATCCCTCAACAAGTACTAGAGACGTGGTTAGACAAGTGCAAGTATCAAAAACTAAAGTGTGGCAAACGCTGCGTGAAGAGGGGCTGTATCCGTTTCACGTCCAACGTGTACAAGCCTTTCAACCTGACGATTTTCCAGCAAGAGTGCGGTTTTGTGAGTGGTTGTTGCATCAACATGACAATAATCCGGACTTTTTGAAGTGCATATTGGTGACAGACGAATCTACGTTCACGCGTAATGGGGTGAATAACTTTCGCAACACTCATGTTTGGTCAGTAGAAAATCCGCACGCTGTCCGTCGGGCACATTTTCAACAAACATTTTCGGTGAATGTTTGGGCTGGCATGGTGAACGGTATGCTCATTAGACCATTTATTCTCCCAAATCGATTGGACGGGATGCAATACCTAGACTTTTTACGCAACATTTTGCCTTCCTTGTTAGAAGATGTGCCATTAAGTGTAAGACAATCAATGTGGTTTCTGCACGATGGTGCACCGCCCCATTTTAGACGCGAAGTGCGTGAGTTTTTGAATTAATTATTTCCGAATAGGTGGATCGGACGTAATGGACCCATAGCGTGGCCTCCGCGATCTCCAGACTTAACACCATGTGATTTTTTTCTTTGGGGAGAAATGAAACGCTTAGTGTACAAAACTGAAGTGCATACGGTTGATGAACTTCGTCACAGAATTGAACAAGCTGGTGCTTTCATTCGGGGGAGGGACTCCATTCTCAAAGCCTGCACCCATGCTTGGCTACGTCGTGCACGCACCTGTGTTTTTGAATCAAACGGCGATAACTTCGACCAATACCTATAAAGTACGTTTACCTAAAAACTGAAAACGCGGCAACGCCGTCATATTTGTTACCTCTGTTCGTGGTCTGCACCACCGCCTGCGTCTGCTCGGTAGCGCATGAGCTGATTTCATTTTCTGTTAGAGCGGTATGATTTCGGGCAGAGACGTACTTAGCCCTTATCGTCAACTGGAGAGTGAGTACTTTTTCCTTTATTTTTTTTTTACTTGGTCGCCCTCGTTTCACTACACCATTACCTTTGTTATTTCAAGGGTAGTTGTTTCTGAAAAGGACAACCCCAACTTTGCGGATACCCTGTATTTAAGTATGGTGTGGCAACAACAAAAAAATGTCTCGAGTTCGAAGACGTCCAAATTATCACCATGTTAGCGACTTTGACAGGGGTAGAATGATATCCATCTAACTGTATGTACAAAAAGCGAATACGTAATGATGAAGTATCAACATACACTCTCGACGATGATCCGTCATGAGCAAAAAAAGGACATAAAAGAAGTGAGCTATGATTTTCCTGAAATACTAACTTTCCAGGGCAACATAGAATGTTGAGTTAATTTTCCGCCATACTGTCACTAAGCTTACCACCTGCAGCCTTAAGAAACACTGTCTTTGTCCTCTACTACAAACCTTTGTTAGATCTCCACAATCGTTCCATGCCATTCCGTTGCAACGCCATTCGAGACAGCTCACTGAAACTTTCGTGTATGTTGAAGTTGCACAGTGGTGACACCTCGAAGAAAGCCATGCTGTGCTTGTCGGCGTACAATTGTGCGTCTCTCTGACCTACTTTTCGGTTGAATGCTAGGTGCAATCTGGAATGAGATGATAATAATTTATTATAGAAACAGTAAGAACTACGAAGTTGCTTAAGTGAGGGCAAAGTTGCGTATTTGGGTAATTCAAAGTACTTTCGCTATCTTGAAAAGTGACATTACGTCGTTTTTTGACACAAAATAGATTCTTGTGACATTATGCAGGTTGTCAAGATGTCAACTTAGCATTAGGTGTTGTACACTTGATATGTACTAGTTCCGTAACTGTACGTGTTGCCTAAACGCCATGTTGTTATCAATGTTTTACTCTGGAGTCTGGAGTGATGTAAAATCTGGTTCAGAGATGGCATTATTGGAAATCTAAGCTGTAAGTTGTATGCATAGTGGGGATTTGTGTGCTAATAATAATTTGTGTTGATGATAATTCCATTGTTTCTTGTCTCAAATGCACTTATTTGAGAAGTATGTAAAGCTAAAAATTAGTTACGCATCCGCTTTTTCTTATGCAACCTGGAAATTAAATATGCAAATTTTCTGGATTTCGAAAAAGAGATGGATAAGAAAAGAAAATCCCTGGTTGAAAATCAAAATTTCCTGGGAAGCCTTGAAATTATCAGATAGTCATTTGTTTCGTTTTTCCCGAATTTACTTGAGATGGGATTTCAAAGTAAATTTCATGTTGGAATTGTCACTTTTTCTCCTATACGATGTAAATACACTTGTATTTACTACAGGGTGCGCCATCTTTTATGTCGGAATGTAAACATGAAATAACTTTGAAACGAAAAACTGATTTCTATATATAGGGTATTTTTATTAAATATGGTCCTTTACGATTTATTGGGACTATTTTTTTCGCACAACATCTATCAAGTCGCCACCTTTATTGGCCAAAACAAAATGTGCCCGTTTTGCTGCGTTTTCCATTACTTTTTCGAGCATCTCTGGTGGTATAGCGGTGATTGCGGTACGAACGTTTGCCTTGAGTTCTTCAGTGGTCTGGCGCTTGCTGGCGTACACTTGACCTTTCAAATAACCCCACAAGTCCGGTGGGGTCAAATCTGGAGACCTGGGTGGCCAGTCAATGTCACTTCTTTTTGACATCAGACGTCTAGGGAATTTTCGTTGTTTCATTTGCAGTGTGGCATGGCGCACCGTCTTGTTGAAACCAGTAACCATCAGGTCCTTTTTGCTTCCAAAAAAAGATTCAGCATCAACCATGCGAGCGACTGTTTGGGCGGATTCCAAGCGACGTGAACGGTCAGTTGACAATATTTTTTGTGTTAACTGCACCTTATAAGGAAACAAATGCAAATCATCCTTCAAGATGCGCCGCAACGTGGTTCCACTGATGCCAAAATGCTAAGCGCGGCGACGATACGACACTTTTGGATTGTGGGCAACGCTGTCTATGACCGCTTCAACCGATTCATTGGACCGTCTTGGTCGTTGATGAACGGTATGTTGACGATCTCCCACTGTCCCGTACTCAAGAAAATTCGAAACCAAACGACGGATAGTTCTGTCACGTTATTTTCGACGATATCAACGTGCATTAACATAACTGAAATGACGATTTTCAATGTAAATTTCGGCGCGTTATTTCGATATAAAGCGATTCATGACTAAAATTGTAGTTAATTCGCTGGGTGAGAATTATAGGGTTCTATGTTACAAAAGTGATTATTCGAGAAAAACGCATCTGAAAGTCCAGTGTTCTGTAACTACGCTTACAATAAATTCTTTGAATTTTCAAGTGTCTCCACATTACGTTACCATTAATGAGTCATGTTATTCGGCTACAGAGACTTGTTATTGCTGGTGTGAATTGAGAAAAACTTCAGCGAAAGTAAACATAGAAGCGTGGGAGTCAAAAAATGGTTATATTTATGAACATTTAACTTTGGTAGTACAATATAAGCTGTTAAATAAAACATTAAAAATATCCTAATAAAAATAAACTAAGACATAAAATAAACTAGTTCAAGGATTTTTGAAGTCACAGCCTATATTATAGAAACGAAAAGGAAACATTTTGTAGTTAGTTCCTGTTTTTGTTAATTTTCTTTTTCTTAGTTTTTCCACTTTGCTCCGGTAGTACGGCTTTATAATAATTCTGATCGATCAGTGGCATCCATTTTACCATAAAAGTCAACGATTCAACTTTATTGGCTGAAAGCGCTACTTTGGAAGTAGTAGTTGCCGATTTCACTCTACTTTGTAGAGCATTTTCCATTATTTTTTCTTTTTGTATTTCACATGCTGTAAAAGAATTCTCTGAACGAGAAATTTTGTAATGTACAATGTGAGGTATGGATTCGAAGTGATGAAACCTTAGAGAACGGTACTCTATCATAACGATGTAGGGAAGAAACAGTTTGGAAGTTCTTAAAATCCTTAAGTTGCATTTGTATAATTTTATAAGGTCTATGTGTATTTACTTTTAGAAGGATCCTGATAAGTGACAGAGGACTATAGTACTGTTTTATCTAAAACCCTTTCAATGGCACTGTGTGCTGCATCAATCTCCCGAACACAGGAGTGACCAGGCACAGAGTACTTAACTGTAATCGTTTCCAATTTATTTTGGCCTTCCCAAAGCAGTTTTGTAATTTCAAACGATATAATTGAGTTTCTGTTTTGGGGGACGCAGCTGTCACACCACAGAATCAATTCAGTCAAACTGGGATGATCTTTAACCACCTGACTCAGAATTTTGTAAAGTGCACTTGCAATGTCGTTTCCTGTCCTTCTAATTAGGTGTTCTGCCCATACTGCACAGTAAACTTGTTTTGTGAGAGATAAGTGTGCCGTTAAGTTATATACTGATAGTTTACTTTTATAAAAAAACTTGCTGTCCTCAGCCTTTGGGCAAGTCAAAACGTTCTGGAGATCGAAACAGAGAACTGCGTTCTCCTTGCAGTCTCTGTCCGAATTTCTTTCCTGTCGACAAGTCTTTTTCTCAAGCATATGTTTTTCATAATTAATTTTTGTTTGCTCATCAAGCTGTTTCTTCCATTTCATTTAGCTTCACAAATTCACATACGTCACAGCGATCTTTTTTCGGCCGCTGGAAATAAATATTATACTCCGTACAGAAAATTTGACGGTATAAAGACTGCTTGACTGGAGTGTTTCCTTTTTCTTGCATCAACTCGACATAAAGCTTGTATAATTTTGTTATATTGAGACTTGATTCCATGTATTGTCGAGTAGTATCAGCACGACAATAATGACTATCAATTTTTGGCACAGACTCAATGTGATCTCTTACCAACTGCTTTACATCTTCTGGTATACTGTGCTTTGTGTGCTTCCCTTGCACTGATCGAGCAGGTGTATTTCCCACATTTCTGCTATTTATATACACGGTGTAAATACTTTTTTGGCTTATGCTTAATGTTCCCAAAAAATAACTTTTACATACTTGAATTCGCTTAGAGTCTATAGTAAAATAAAAAGTAGCTTTCTTCTTAGAATTGTCTTCACATTTGCCCTTGCGTCTTCTTTCTGGAACCTGCTTAGTAGTATTTGCTAGTAAAAATAATTTTTTTTCTTCTTTTGTGAGCTTATAGTATCCTTCAAAAATTTCTTTCCGTTGATCCTCAGTAATGTATGTACTGCATTTGTTACGACACTGGACACTACAGTCTTTCAAGTTCTTAATAGATCGAGCAGGCATAACTTTTTTTCGAGAAGATACATACGACTCCCCTCTGTTTCTTTTTTCTTTGCGCACATTAAGTGCCCATGCAGAAGGATTTCGTTCTCGTTTTCTAGCTCTTCGCTTCTGGACCTTCTTATCAAATTCACACTCAGCTTCCACCTGAACCCTTTCTATATCATTTGAGTCTGTGATTCTATAATGCTCTACTTCCACAGGTGTCACAGTCAGAACATTATTATTTGGAGGTACACCGCATACATCTCTATTAAGATTTTCAATGGTATTATGTACATCGTATCTAGTTCTAGGTATCTGAGATACCAAAACAAGTTTTTCCCCACTTTCAAAAGCAGGATCTTCATTTTCATTGCTGGAATGAATATATCAGTGTGTTAGTTTACTAACATAACCTCAAATAACTTATACAAACTATACTAATACAAACCTGTCGCTCTCTGATGAGAAATATTCCTTATCACTATCATACCCGGCAAACGGATCTTCACTTTCAGATTCGGAACTCATATGGACTGATATTGATCAAATACTGTTAATAAATTAAATACACAACGAAAAGCAAACGAACTTGTGTAACGAACAACGGAAGTGAATGCGTCATGCAATGGCGCCCTCATGAGCATGCGTAGTGCTATGTCAGGACATAGAACTTTGCTCAAACGTAGGTTAACTCAGAATATAACGTGTTAAAATAAAGTTGTATGTTGAACATAAAACATTGCACCTCACAAAGGTCAATATTTATAGTAAAGGGAAATCCTATGTTGTACATAAAACTTTGCGGTAGCAATGCTACAAAATAACGAAAAGGTCTTACGTTATTTTGAAGAATAACCCCATTCACCGTTTACATAGAACTGTGGAACCCAATTGAGCTGATAGTACACGTTCCATAGAATCTTGTGGTGCATTATCTTTGTTTTGACAAAATTGTAACATAGAACCCTGTAATTCTAACCCAGCGAATTGACGTTTCATAAACACATATAGCCAAATCACTCGGTTGGTAAATATCAAAGTCATTCGATGTTTCAATACCGACATAAAAGATGGCACACCCGATATGCATGCAAGTTACTAAAACAAAATAAAATAACATAACAAAATATATGAATAGATAGAAAACATAAAAAAAAACAACCTACCTATTTCCAACCAGCACCTTCGGAACACCGGGAGCATGTTCATCTACCTCCTTCAGCCATCTGTCCAGTCCATCGAAAGACCACCGATTGGTGATATCGTAGACCAGCAGTACACCCTGCGCCCCTCTTGAATAGCTCCGAATGATGGTACAGAATCGACCCTGACCTGAAGCGTCCCATAGCTGCAGCTTGACACGTTTGCCCTCCAGCAATATTGTCGTCGTCTTGTATGCTGTTGTTAGAACTATGTTTGGCATGAGAAATGTAACGAATACCTTAGTTCAGGAAGTATCTGTGCGTCTGCTGGGGAAAATGTTTTGATTTGGTTTTTTTGTACCGTCTTTTAACGAATCTGCATGTCGCCAGGCCCGAAATTGCGTAAAAATAGTAAAAACACGGTTTTTTTAACAACTCCAAAAACTGTTTATTTCGCTGGGTCGAGATCATTCGAACAAAAAAGGTCTTTTGTACTTTATAGGTGAGTTAAGCGATTCAATATTTGAAGCGCAAAATATATTTTCGATCCAGAAAAACAATACGAGGGATGTCTTTTAAGTTTTGCATAAGGAAATAAAACAACACGGTGGGTATTTTTTAATGACTTTATTGTTTTCCGAAGTATTCTCCACGAAGATTAATACACATCTGCATGCGCTCGAATCAATTTTCGAAGCACTTATTCCACTCGTTTGCTGGCAGATCCAAAACGGCATTTTTGAATGCGTCAACTGCTTCTTCTGGTGACTGGAACCTTTCACCACGCAGTCTGTTTTTAATTTTCGGTAAAATAAATAAATCGTTGGGCTGTGTGCACGCTTGCATTGTCTTGGTGGAGGAATCCGCAGTAACAGTTCTTAGCTGATTAAGAGGAATTGTTGCAATATGACCCGCTTTTGACACAAATGTGGCGACCATCTTTTTCGAAACACTTCGAGAACGGATGACTTCTGTTGGCTTTTCTTCACCTTGGAACGCCCAAACAGCCGAGTCGTTTATTTTCTGGTTCATAACGTAACTAATTTTCTTACTCCTAATTCTTCATGTAAAATTTTTTGAATTGAAGTCTTTGAGACCTTCAAGGACGCCTCAATCTCGCGAGATGTCACATGTCTATCTTCAATGATGAGTTTGCGCACATCATCGACGTTTTCCTGGGTGACTGCCGTTTTTGGTGCACCCACCCTGGGATCGTCGCTAACACGTCCACGTTTGAATTCTCCATACCGACGGGAAAACAGACATCCCTCGTATAATAATCGTTAATTTTAATGTAGCCGAAATTCCTAAATATTTTGCAAGTATCCATTAACAAAATCGCAAAGCATTTAGAGGGCATTTTTATTCTAAGCCTACTGGCGAAGAAGTATGTATTGTAATCGCGAAAAGTCACGTGTTTTTCGGATGTGGGGCTATTTTTCTTTAGCCAATTTTAGGACCAAGAAATATGCAGATTGGGGTCCCTTTTGTATGAGATTACGCAAAACATCGATTCAGAATATTTTAAGCACATGCAAAGGTACTTCCTGGACTACCTGAACTCACAATCTATCTAATATACAGCAGCACAACTACGCGAAAATGCGTTAAATTTTTTGGAGCTCGTCAAATGGTGCGACTGTCATGCGTAATGATGTCCCAAGGGTGATGCTGTATAGTCATCTGCGGGGAAACAGTTATTCTGTCCTCCTGTCCTCCTTGGCAACTAAAGTGGAATTCTCAGTATACTAAATTGTATTGTCAGGAGTCGCGCTGATCAGTTTTTAGATGTGCTGTACTGAGATTACACATGGTGAAAAACCATCCCACTCATTTCTAACTGCTTTTTGTCTGTCTGTCTGCCTGGCATCTGTCAGTTAAAACCTTAGGGGCTTCATAACTCGAAAATTACCTGTTGAACTCTAATGAAATTTTGATTCGTTGTTCGGAAAATCAGTCGACTGTACAAAAATAAGACACTCCACTATGTCCTCAAACTTCATTTTTGTTTTATGATATCTTGCCCATTATTTAGCTCTTTTAAAAATTCTAAACTTGACTCTAAAATAGACTTATGTTTATGCCAACTATTACATTCTTGATATAAATACCCCACAAACTTTATTTTTTATTTTTATGCTGCTTCTACCAAAAATCGAGCTATAAACATTATCAAACTAATAAAATGGAGATAAAAATTTATTTAATCAACAATGTATATATTAATTTAATATTACATTTATGAGTAAGTGGAACAATTGTCAATGTACAAAAGGTATATGCAATTATTATTACATTATCTGGAAATCGTAGATGTAAATGGTTCACTGTGCAAACTATGTTTGAGTAATTTTTATTTTTTTCATTTTTTGCCTTTTTCTCTTCCGCTACTGGAGTGATTTTCAAAAAGTACAAAGAATTTTCATCCTTGGCATAGTTGTAACCATATGAGAAAACTTCATTGATATCCAACAAGTACTTTCCAAGCTATAGACAAGCCAAGGGTTAGAGGACAGACAAGAGTGACACGTCATATCATAAAAAACATATATCTCATTTACAATTTTTTTCATGATTACGATGCTTTCTTGCCAGTAGGCATGAGAAGTAGAAAAGTGATGCATAAATGCTTTGTAAATAAGTCCAAACACTACAATGAATAGAAAAACCATCATTTGGAAATACTAGCTTGTAAGATTAATGGCAGAATTCCTGGGAGGATTTAATTGTTGAAAAATGACAGTTGATAAAAATAGTAATGAAAAAATATAATAACAATCAGTAGGAAGGCGAGGATATCTATAAATATCTTTGTAACACTATTCTACAAGGCATAGACAATTTGTTAAAATAATCTATCCTTGTAAAATAGAACCGCGTTTTTGTAGACAGCTGTTAATCATTTACTTTAATTTCAATAAAACAACTATTTTCCAATGCCTGCATCTCATATCATTTTGAAAATCATAGATGAATGAATGTAAATCTCAAACACAAGCATTGCTCCTAGAAATCAATCTTTATAATCATTGGATGTAACATACACTAGATTTGTTGTTAAACCAATTCATAATGACCTTCTATTTTTAAGTTCAACACAATTTCCAATAGGATTCCATTGTCTGGCCAAATCAAAACCACATAAATTTAGATGACATTTCTGCCACAACTAGTCTGTTTCAAGTACAAAACTTTTTCCCTTATAGGTCTGCATGAACATGAAAAACACTGGATAAGTTTCAAGAATTGCAATTTTCAATATTTCTATGGTAAATGTGTCCACTAACACTCATTGATCCATCAACAAGTACTGATGCTACAATTTACGTTAAATAGTGAACATGTTACATCCACTTCACCTATGGGATATCAAAATATTCCTACTTACCACTGTATCCACAGAAGGGGCTCTCCGAGGATCCATCGTCTAAGTCAGATAGAATTTCTTGCTTTCCTACATCACTGTCCCCCACTAAGAGGAATTTGAGCAGGTAGTCATACTGTTTTTGTTGATGTTTTCCAGAGTCATCAGCCATCGTGATTTGATGGTAATCTGCTGAGTTCAGACATAATAGTTCTGCTACAATACGCAAATCCTCCCCTAATGCTCGGTTTTACGAATGGATAGTAGTAACACTTTCATTGTATGTAATAGTATCCCTGTATGGCGAATGCTAAACACACAGGATGTTGGCTATTTTTGTAACAAGCAAAAACAGTATTCGCTACGGTGCAAGAGTGTTAACAAAAATCATAAATTCGGCTGCTAATCGAACCATATACACCAAATCAGTACCATACGTACACACAAAATGTAAATATGTAAAAAAATCAAAACCTTCACTTTATTCACAAATTCCAATTATGACAAGTTGTGTGACAGTGACAGATAGGAGAAAAACAGATTTGGACAATTGACAGGAATATGCTAATTCACCCAGCGTATGCCGCATCATTGCCAAATGCTAAGAAATAGACATTGTTTCTAGACCTGCAGGGAGTTATTTAAAAATCCATCGTGAGCCCTGTTCGTATAGCTGTCACCAACCTGTCAGTGATCGACTGATCGTGTTCATCAAGTACCACACAAATTCCGTTCATTCTGTCACGCTAATTATGTTTCTCAGCCACAACAAGGAGTTTTTAAAAAATATTTATTTTGTAGACATGAACGTGTTACAAGTTGGAATGATAATGAATTAAAATATAAAAAGAAAAATAGTTTTAATAAAGGTTTCTGCTGTCCTTGCGACTGGCGGTGTAGTCTTGCTGACGCCTCGGGTTCTTGACCTATAACGCCTCCCTCGCTAAGCTGAAAGTCCGTCCTCGGACTTTTGAAGTTTTAGGTTTTCCAAGTCGGCAATGGAAATTTTCGGCTTGAAGAAAAGCGTCTGGAGTCTTCTTCTTTTTCTTAAGACGAAGTAAATGCTCGCTGTGACGATGATGAGCATTAGGGTTGCCATGGACCAAGTTGTTGTAGACGTCACTGTAGGGCTTAGATGTAAGGGCTGTATGGCCGATAGCTGTGGTACATCTTTGAGTGGCTGCAACTCGTTGATCTGTAAGTTAAACTTTGGGCGGATCTTTATAGGGATGATATCAGGAACTTCGATTTGCTCTGAAGTAGTGCTGTAAATCTGTCCATTAATTTCGATTGGGCATGAAGAATAAACAATTGCTGCTTGACTAATATTTCGGTGAGTCTGGGAACATCTTTCAACGATTTGGATTGGCTCATTTGTACTGACGATCAGGTTTTTCTTTGTTTGGTGGATGACAGGCTGGGAAAGCTTGGCAGTGGTACAATTTTCTAAGCTGGGAAGCTGACATCTTGTGGTGGAAGCGGGTTGACATACAATTTTTGGTCCTACATCGGTGCATGTAGAATACCAGCGATTATCTCCATAGAAAGTTGCAGGAGGCAGTAGTACAATGTTTTCTTCATTATGTATGGGATAAATATGGTAAAGTCGGAAAGAGTGATCATTAAGGATCGGGATTTTGAAAAGGATGAGTAACTGAGTATTTGTGGTAATTAATGAACAACGTGAATTTTCGATAAGTTCAAAGGGATGTGAATTATCTGATAAAAGAGAATTTGATTTATATAAAGATTTTAGCTTTTCTTCTAAGTCAGTGATTTCGGAAAGTGAAAATAATTCTATGTTCGGTTGTTCTAGTGCAGATAGGTTTATACTTCTAATAAGCTTTAAAATGAATTGATTCAAACGATCAATATTACGAATTTCGCTTTGAAGAGTAATAAACTGCTGGAATTCATCTCTAAGAAAATTAATATCTTGTGTGATTCTCACTGTATTATTATTTATGGTTTCAATCAGAATATTATATCTTTTTATTGTTTCTGATGCATAACTTGTCGAATTATTAAGCACATTGATTATACGATTTTGTTTATTTTCGATACTGAAGATGTGCCTTTCCAAAAATATACGATCGTTTTCGTCAAGGTTGCCAGTCACTGATTTAATAAAAGTTCCCAAAAAGTTAGCAATTCCTCGCCTTTGACGGGGTCGGATTATTTTATGAAAATTGTCAAGTGTCTCGGAATAGAGATGGTTATATTGTTCAAATATTCGGTAGTTGGAAGTAGTGAGAGTCTTGTTAAGGAATAGGAAGTTAGTTAGAGTCATTTTAAGCGTTGCGTCGATAGCAGTTAGGTTAACAGTAATAATATGTCGGTGATAGTGATTTAACTCTTGAGCATGGCCTATCAGTTCACGATAGTATCCATTATTCGGGATCAGGTGCACTTGAAGGGCCAGGTTGTGGTTCGTCAGGATGACGATCCTGTAACAAGGGTATTTTCCTTAGACGTTTGATTTTTCTAGGATGGGTATTGGTGGGTCTATTTTTGGAAGTAACGGCCTGAATTTTGGTATTGCTACTAGAAGTAGTTTCGGCTGATACGTAAGGTGCAGATAATTTATTTCGGGGATTTTTCTGAATATATATGGTTTGGCCAGGTGCTGGAGCAGGAGTGATCTCGGGTAGTCTTTCATTGCGTTTATTTAAAATTGCTGTTTCTTTATCGTGGAGTTTTCGATAAAGAGAGTCAATGAAAGGTCGAAGTTCGTCTTTATGTCGTTGGTTATATTTTTCGTAGATAGGTAAGTCATTGTCAAAAAGTATTTCTTCTGCATATGGGCCATATAAGATAGAAAAAGGTGAATAACCTGTGGCGGAATGGATGGACTGATTGTAAATTAAAACACAATGTGTAACGAGATCAGTAAAATATTCTTTGGGGCGTTCGTCGTGCATAACACGGAGCTTTTCTGTAAAAGTAGAGTGAAATCTTTCGATAGGACTATTGGAATTCGGGTTGTTCACTGTCGTAAAGTGTAGCTCGATTTTGTGAAGATTTAAAAATTCTTTGAAGAGGTTATTTGAAAATTCGGTACCTTCGTCGCAGACTATTTTTCGAGGATAATTATGGTGGGAGAAATAGTGACGTAATTTGCTAAGGATTGTGGTATTCATTTTGTCAGGTATACTGTACACTTGGGCATACTTGGAAAAAGAGTCGATGATTGTGAGGAAAGTTTCTCGATTACAGGAAAATGTGTCAATATGAAGGATGTCGAAAGGCTTTTGTCCTAGAAGTGGACCTTTTAGGGGTAATTTATATGGGTGTCTCTCGTATTTATTACGAAGACAAATATCGCAGTGGTTAATATGCTCTGAAATTGTAGAACGCATATTAGGCCAGTAATAGTGTAATTTTAAATGACTAAGTGTTTCGAGAATACCATTGTGATTTTCCTTATGGTAATTTTGGAGATGTCGTAATTGGTCTTCGGGTCTCTCTACATCTTGAACTCGTTTGGTGCAGAAGAATATTTGGATGTTTTGGTTATAAGTATTACGGACGAAGTCGGAAATATATTTTTGGATATCGGGATTGTCAGTCAGAATGTAGTATCGTTGATTGGGGGCTATAGTTTGATGGAGAGCAGTCTTGATGTCGGTTTTCCAGTCTTTTTCGGAAAGAGTGATGAGATATTCGTGTTTGGACTTGAACTTCAGACGGTATTTGGTGTTAAAATCGGTGCCTAGATTTATTATGATCTGATTTGAAAAATGATTAATAGGTTCTTCTGAGAATGGGACGAGAGCAACGGGATTTTCATGAGAAGAATGTTGGGTTGATTGACCAGTTTCTTTTTCGAAAGATTGGTTAACGAAGTCATCTACATCAAAGTCGTCATCATCATCTGGAGGGTTGGCACACAGAGACTCGGATTCGTGCATATTTATTTCGATGCGACTTAAAGCATCGGCGACGACGTTTTCCTTTCCTTTCTTGTATTTAATTTCGAAATTGTACTCCTCAAGTTTGAGTTTCCATCGGACAAGACGAGAATTGGGTTCCTTAATTTTGTATAACCAGACTAAGGGGTTGTGATCTGTTTCCACAGTAAATTTTACACCATATACATAGGGGCGGAATACTTTGCAGGAATCGAGTATGGCAAGAAGTTCTTTTTCGATTGTAGAATAATTTTTCTCTGCTGAATTTAGGGTGCGAGAATAATAGGCTATCGGATTTCCTTTCTGTGTAAGGACAGAACCGATCGCTATGTTTGAAGCGTCTGTAGTGAGGGTAAATGGTAGGGAAAAATCAGGGTATTGGAGAATAGGGGAGTTACTGAGAGCGGATTTACATTTCTCGAAAGATTCAATATATCTGGGATCTTCGATATCGATTTTAGTACCTTTTCTAGTGCAGCGTGTCATGGGGTATGTGATTTTGGAAAAGTTCGGAATGAAACGTCGGTAGTATCCTACCAGACCAAGAAAGCTTTTGATTTCTTTCACCGTCTTGGGTATAGGAAAGTTTTCAATGGCTGAAATTTTTGAAGGATTTGGTTTTATGCCTTCAGGTGTTATGACGTGGCCTAGAAACGCTACTGACTTACTCAAGAATTCGGATTTATCGGGCTGAATCTTGAGGTTAACTTCTCGGAATTTTTGGAAAATCTGTTTAATATGAATTAAATGTTCCTGGAGGGATTTGGAAAATATGATGACGTCGTCCATATAGACAAAACAAGATTTGTATAAGAATTCTCTTAGGATTTCATCCATCATTCTCTCGAAAGTGGCTGGTGCATTTCGTAATCCGAAAGGCATTCTAAGGTACTCGAAATGACCGTTAGGAACTGTGAAAGCTGTCTTTTCTATAGAATCTGGGTGGACTTCGATTTGGTGGAAACCCTGTGCCAAATCAAGGGTGGTAAAGTATGAACAGCGTCCTAGGTTGTCAAGAATTTCGTCAATGCGGGGAAGAGGGTATTTATCTTCGATTGTGTTTTCGTTAAGACGTCTATAGTCGATGACCATACGGAATTTTCTTTTACCACTTGCGTCAAGTTTTTTCGCAACTATCCATACAGGGGCTGAGTAGGGACTTATAGAAGGGCGGATGACATTGTTCTGTAGTAATTTATTGATTTGGTCGGAAATTTCAGGTAGCATTGATTTTGGGTGTCGATAAGAGCGGGTGAAGATTGGTGTTTCATCTTTAGTTCGAATAACATGTTTTACAGAAGTAGTAACGGTTAAAGGAGAATTTTCTGTATGAAAAATATCTTTAAATCGATGACAAAGATGGAGGATCTTTTCTTTCTCTTCTGCATTCAAATGGTCTGTCCGTAACAAATTAAGATCAAAATAATTGTCGCCAGACGATGGGGGAGTGATTTCTTCGAAATCTGAAATGGATGTGGCGGAGATTGGTTGTGAGAAGTTGATTTCAACATTGTTGGGACGTGGAATTTCTATGAATCCGTCTTCAGCTACATGAATTGATGCTGGAACTATTACTTGATTTTCATGTATAATATCAGAAATGACAACTTCGCCATTATTAATGGAGACCGGAATACGTAGTCGTTTATTACTACGGTAAATTATCTTAAATGGAATAGAGATCTGTAATTTTGGAATAGAAAATACATGTGTTTCGTAATCAATATTGGCTCCTAGTTGATCGAGTTCACCTGTACCTAAAAGTACATCGAAATCGTCATGCCAGTCGGCAATTCTAATTGTAAGGGCTTGCTGTATACCAATTTCTTCGAACAAAGGGTAGTAAAGATTGCGTGTATATGTTTTTGGGGTTTTCATCGATATGAGGGTAAAAGGTTCATAGAATTCATATTTCGAGTCGAAATTTTGAGCAGCTCTGGGAGTAATTACTGTATCAGAGCCACCGGAGTCGATGAGAACTTTTAATTTGGAATGTGGAAGGTAGAAGTAAGGAAGTTTCGTTGCTTTGGAAAAATTATTCAACTGAATGATTCTATGTTGGGTGCGGGTTCCATTGAGGCTGGTTCTAGAAAATTTTCCTCAGGAGAATCAAAGTTTTCGTAGCAATCTGTCTCAGGTATACAGTCTGCTTCGTTATAAGGTAAACTAGGCGGGGACTCGGGTTCACATTCAACATTATGATGGAACGTGCGGTAAGAGGACATAGACATTGGGGTAGGTTTGGAATTTGAAGATCTCTGGGAATGAATACCAGACATGGGAGTTGGTTTATATTGGTTTCGTTGGTCTTGTGAATTATTAGGCCTAGACGATGGACCAAAGACTTGACGATTTGTCGGAAAAGATTGTCTCTGTTGGATGGGCTTATTTATATCGCCAAAAGGTCTAGGGTGCATAGAATTTTGGTTGAAAGATTGATTAGACGAATTGGGCTGATTAAAATTACGATGGTATTGGTTATTGGGATTATTGGGTTTGTTCGAAGTATTGAAGTTGTTTGGATTGGGACGAGGTTGAGGTTTTTGGTAATCGCGGGGGTGATTCGTGGATTTCAAGTAAGACATGTATTGTTGTTGCTGTCTGTGATTGTCAAGAGAGATACACTTTTGGAGAGCATCATCTAAAGTATTCAATTCGAAATGAGAAAGATGGTCACAATAAGGGTTGTTGATGCCTGTGCAGAAAGTTCTTAGAGCTTGTTTCCGGAAAAATGAAGCCTTGAACTCTACTGCCTGGGCATTACTTTCACTTAATAAAACATGTTGTAAAAGGTCATTCAGTGCCAAGGTTATACGATGATGATAATCTTGGTAAGTCTCTGAGCGTTTCTGAACAGTTGTAGTTAATTGAGTTAACAAAATTTCTTCATTACGGTGGTCACCGTATTTTTGTAATAAAAGTGGTTTAATATCTGGCCACGAATTTTTATTATGAATGTTCAGAAAATCTCGAGCTTCACCTTTTACTTTGGATAAAATATGTGCATTAATAATATACAATTGTACTGCATCAGCTCCTTGTTGGTTGAAAAATGTGATTAAATTATCTACAGAGCTTATAAATGTAGAAAGATTATCTCCAACTTTAAATTCAGGAAGAGTATTACACAAGTTATTAACATCAGAGTTAGATATAACCATTTTTGTAGATTGTTCGAAAGTATTAGATGGGTTATCAACAATATCGTCTTCTGACCTCTTTGAATGTTTACTGTAGGGTTGAAATCTAGATTTGTTTTGCGACTTGTGTGAAAAATTAACTATAGCTTGAAATGAATCTTGAGGGTACTCAGAACTCATATGAAAAGGAAATGGACTTACAGGATGAGAAGAATCGCACTGATTTTCATCGCCAGTACGGTCCTCCAATTTCTCGGTGTTTCTTCGTGACCCCAGGTAGAAATCTGCCAAATCGTTAAGACAAACCGATGATCCTTCTTGGGTGGATGCCGTGCAGATATCCTGTTCGCAGCGCCAATTATGTTTCTCAGCCACAACAAGGAGTTTTTAAAAAATATTTATTTTGTAGACATGAACGTGTTACAAGTTGGAATGATAATGAATTAAAATATAAAAAGAAAAATAGTTTTAATAAAGGTTTCTGCTGTCCTTGCGACTGGCGGTGTAGTCTTGCTGACGCCTCGGGTTCTTGACCTATAACGCGCTATTGAGACAGAATTCACATGGCCGGATTCCAGACACAGTTGCCAACAAGTCACCAGTGTACGAACAATCCAATAACATGCCCGGCGTAACAACCCTTCATATGCTCATTCCTCATTCCCATTTCCCATTATCCCATTGCCGATGCGTTCACCGTGGTGTCCGGGAGGAGGAGGTGCTGGGTCGCCATGATCTTTGGAAGCATACATTTTATGTACTGATTCCCCTTAAATGGGCCCCGAGGCACAGTATATCTCGTACGTCATTTTAGAGACCCACCCCCTAGTCATCTACTTAATGCATATTAGTACATATATACTAAGTGACATATAAATCCGAACACCCAGTTTAAATGGTTCTATTTTAATAAAAGTTGGTGAATGTATTTATCTTACTGTAAATAACAAGTGAAAAAATGTTCAGCCTTATCAGTTGGACATTCCTGTTTTTATACTGTTTTTTTTTTAATTCACTAACGCTCTAAAAATGAATATTTCAGCCGCAGTAAAGAATCATCGTTGGCGGATTTTGGTTCTTGACATCCTTTACGATCGGTTACGATGCCTAGAGTACGGAGACCTGTACGATTTCGTCAACTTAGTGAGTTTGATAGGGGCCGTATAGTGGGACTTCGGGAAGCTGGACTTTCTTTTCGGGCAATTGCAGTTAGAGTGCAAAGAAGTGTAGACACTGTGGTTAGGTGTTGTCAGGCATAGCTTCGAGAAGGCCTTACGCAAAGAGCAAGGGGCACTGGACGCCGCCGTAGAACAACAGACCGTGAAGATCGCCGCCTAAGATTATTGGCCTTAAGGGACCGTTTCTCCACTACCAGGTCCATTGCAAATGAATGGTTTGCAGAACACGGAAGACCTATTGGCATGCGAAGTGTTTACCGACGAATGAGAAGTTTTGGCTTGTTTTCATACCGGCCACACTGGGTCCTCCCTTTAACTCGAGAACACCGACGTAGTCGCCTTGAGTGGTGTAGACAACGGTCACTCTGGGATCAGGAATGGAACAGTATTGTCTTTAGTGACGAGTCTCGATTTTGTTTAGGCATAGCACGATGGTCGTGCCAGGGTTAGAAGGCGACGTGGTGAAAGGAGGAATCCACAGTTTTTTGTTGAAAGACATGTTCATCACACTGTTGGAGTTATGGTTTGGGGTGCTATAGCTTATGGTTCCAGGTCACCTTTAATCTTCATCAGAGGTAACATGAACGCGCAGCGTTATATCCACGAAGTTCTAGAACTCCATCTTTTAGCCTATCTTGACACCCTGGCAGATCCAACTTTCCAACAAGATAATGCCCGACCACATGTTGCAAGAGTCACAATAGACTTCTTTCAACATAATGATGTCACATTGTTACCATGGCCACCAAGATCTCCCGACTTATCCCCAATTGAGCACGTGTGGGATATGATGGGTAGGAGATTGCTCAATTTGCAACGTCCTCCTCAGACTCTAGAAGCACTTGGAGAGGAGTTGGTGGTTGCCTGGAATGAGATACCACAGGAGGACATTGACCACCTGATCAGAAGCATGCCTAGGCGCGTTGGAGAATGCGTAGCACATCAGGGTGCATCCACACATTATTAAAGGTCAAAGGGCTTTAAAGCAGTGCAATCATTTTGAAATTTTTATCATTTACTTATTATGCTTCATTAAGTACTTATACGAAATTTTATTAAAATAAAACCATTTAAACTGGGTGTTCGGATTTATATGTCACTTAGTATATAATCACAAGCTGCACATTTCGAAGCTCCAGTGAAATTTGTGAATACTTAATTGCGAATAGCTGGCAACATCGAGATATCCGTTGGACATGTCACTTATCAAATGTCGTTTATCAACATTAATGTCAAATAGTGTTATTGGTATTCACATGAAATGATAGACTTTTCATTTTTCTTTTTTAGAAATTTTATTGCTATAATTCTAATTGTGAATCCGTGTGGATTGGAACATAAATAATTTCTACAGCATTTATCTATTCAATAGTCTGCTATTTTTTAAACCAGCTGATTTTGATATTCAGTATCTTGGAAATAATTTTAATAACAAAGACTTCTAAAGTTATAAAATCGATAAAAGTCTATCCATTTGCGGATTGCGACGCATGTAAAGCAATGTCAAGGAGCTCAAACAGCAAAAGGTAAGATGAAATTGCATCTATATTGAATATGATAATGTGTATGTGTTTATAGCCGAGTATGGACTCCAAAAGAATTGTCCAAAGTTCCTGTCAGCGAACTGAAAAGTATTCGTGTTTCTATCAAAAGGAGCAATGTATCCGGAGCTGGACCATCCACAGATCTCATACGAGGTATAGATGATCCTAAAGCAATCAGTCAGTTGGTACATTCCAAAAGAGGTAAATAAATTATTGGATTATTAAAAAATAATATTGGCCCATTAGTCACTGTCAAATCTTCAGACAAAAATACTTTTTTCTTCTGTTCTTGTGCTTACTTATGTAGCTATCATGTATTGCAAATGATTTGTATTTATTTAAGCTTGTTTACTGAATGCTTCACTCAAGATTGATTGTTTTGCTTATGATTTTTCTTTATCTTATTCTCAGATCATCATTCAAACTGAATATTCATGTGCAAGAATTATACCTTCACATAAATATTACTTAATAAAGATGGATGCAACTTTATCATAAATAGTCTTGATAATTAATCTGTTAACAGTTTGTAGACATTCTTTTTCAGGATATTTTAGCTGCTTAATATTGAATATTAAGCTGTTCAAAGTATAGAAGATTCATATAAGGATTGATGAAGATGGATCAAACTGTCAAATGCCCTAGAGTAAGTAAATCATCTACAAAATATTATTTTCATAATGCTATAAAAATTAGCTTTGTTAGTTTTTATTGAATATCACTAGAAGAATAAAACCTTTATACTCAAATAGTTCAGTCATATTTGCAAAAAATCTTGAAGAAAGAAGAATGAAGAAAAAAGAAGACAATCAGAAGAAAATGTTTGTGTAGCATCAGCGACCTCCATTTCATTGTGTCTTGTAATTAGTTTTTGAATCTAATTAAGTTTACATCTTATATTTTATATAGTTTTTTATAGATCTATGAATTCATTATATTGTACTATCAAAAAATTGTCCTTTTTTGCTGTAAATGCTTTCAAACGATGGTCATCATGAAACTGAATGGTTGAAGAAAGAAGAAATGAAGGACCTGATCATCTGGAGACACATTTTTTTACGATAATTAATTTTTGGTTACTTTTCAAAATGTGGTGACCTCTTACATGAACAAAAATTATTTTTATTTGTAGGTGCTCTCAGATGTACGATCTTTGATAGAGATGACATTTTTGTCAATCCAGAAGAACAGTTTGTTTCAGTAGATACCAGGTAATAATTGATAGACAATGTCATAATTTTCCATGAATCCTGCAAAAGTATAAGATCAAGCATTTTTAGTGTAACCGTAAATCATATCCATTTATAAATATATACATCATCCAATAGATAAAATTCACTTTTATGATGAGATTAATGTCACAAGCCTACATGGAAAATTTAAAATCTAAAACAATGATGTGCCAGAAAAAGATTAAAAGATTGTGCTCTCAAAAATAGTATCTGATAATTGAATTGTTAATAAGTTTTGAAACAGGCTAATAACCAGTGTTGTCACTGAACTTTAGATATATACAATTTATTGACAGGTTGGAGTGTTCCCCATCAAGAAATGCTAGCAGATCTGCATCAAGAACAAGAAGTAGCAGAAGCCCAGAGGACAACAGAAGAAATGATAGACGAGATAGTAGAAGCAAAGACACGGGTATGTATACCAAAAGCAAATCACTTAGGGGATCCAAGAATTAGCGAACAGACAGAGCAACGAAAATGAGTGACATGGTTTTTTGTGATGTTCATGTCATATATATAACATCCAGGAACTATAATATCTTCCATTGACAAAATCCTAAATCATTTTAGAGGGTGTTGTTGCGTGATATTGTCTTTTTGTCTCTATTAAATAATTCGCAAGATATTCGTCATAATTGACGGGTTCTCCTCTTCACCCCACAACGTCAACGCGGGTATTCTCCAGTAATCGGTCTTGGATCAGACACTGTTCCTCTTAGATACACATGACCTCCTAACTCTATACAAGACTCAGATATGATCTAGCATCGAGTATTGCTCACATGTGTTGGGTGCCGATCTACTAACCTTAGACAGTCCAAAAATTGGATTAACAAAGTTTCTTTAAGCGCCTCTTAATAGATATGGTGCCCGGGAATGTATTCTTCTGCCTGTGCGGCTGCTTCTGTGTAAAAAAATATGTTCCTTCTCAACTTTCTGCTTTCTATCGGTCGGCCTATTCGTATATCAGCAAATGATGCTGGTATTGGTCGGTTCCTAGTAAGAATACTGCTTAAGGCTATGATATTAAGAGTGTTTTATCACAAATGTTTCTGTGCTATTAGAGAGAGAGAGGGTTAGAAGTAGAGGTAACCGCACCCCAGTGAGGGAAGATTCACATAGAAGGTCAAGGTCGCCGTCAGCTGAGGAACGTCGGAAGCGCAGATCTTCGTCCAGGGATTACAGACGCAAGAGTAGAAGCCAGAGCAAATCAGAACCTAGAGAACGTTTCGATAGACCGTCCTGTTCGACACGACGTTCGCCCTCGCCTAGGTAAGCAATTTCAACAAATTCCTATGCTTTGTGTTAGTAAGTGAGAAACGCCACCCTCAAGTGGTTTGTCAAAACTGACACCATACTCAGCCCATACCCTTTAATGAAATGTATTCATAATGTGACTTTTTGATTTCACCTTAAATATTTTCAAATTTATTAAATCATTCAATTTATTAAATTCAACTACTCCCTTTTCAAATACAGATTTGCTAGTTATGCAACTATTAAAATTTTGCAGATGGAAATCTATGCTGCCTCTCTAGGTGTGATAATGATTTAATTTTGTAAAGTTTTATAAATATGGTGGTAATGAATGATTTTGTTGTTTGAATATGAAAATGAGAATTAAATAACGTAATCTTAGCATATTTGTCTTTATTGAGAACGATTCTCGTAGCTTTATTTTGTAGTTTTAAAAATATGTTTTGATTTGCTATAAACGAGAATAGTTGAACAACATAAAAAAATCCACTTTGTCTGTTTCCCCGCCCAAAGCACCTTGTATAATCTGAATACATTGAATGTAGAAAGAAAGTATATATGTCCATGTATGTATTAAGGCAGATGGAAACATTGCAGTAGTAGTGAGACAAAAATACATACTAAAAACTTAAATCTGCACTTCTATTAATTGTAGGCCTACCCGGAGAGTTGGAACTTCACCCACAAGATCCCCTGTGATTAGGAAACGATCTTCGTCGCCCCAGAGACGCTCCTCTCGAGAAAGATGCGAGATGAGGCGGACCAGAAGCAGGAGCAGAACGCCCAGGCGATCGGACGTGAAATATAGAGACAGGCGGGATGATCGCAGATCGAGATCTCCATATCATAGGTAATGTTGTACAATATTTTCCACGATCAGCACGTCAATACATGACTACAAGTGGAGTAAGATATTTTAACGGTTATATTCTAAAGGGCCCATAATATTAATAATGTTTATTTGCAACATATAGTTTAGGTAAATAGAACATTGAAGCAAAATATACTAAGTGACATATAAATCCGAACACCCAGTTTAAATGGTTTTATTTTAATAAAAGTTGGTGAATATATTTATCTTACTGTAAATAACAAGTGAAAAAATTTTCAGCCTTATCAGTTGGACATTCCGGTTTTTATACTGCTTGTTTTTTAATTCACTAACGCTCTAAAAATGAATATTTCAGCCGCAGTAAAGAATCAACGTTGGCGGATTTTGGTTCTTGACATCCTTTACGATCGGTTACGATGCCTAGAGTACGGAGACCTGTACGATTTCGTCAACTTAGTGAGTTTGATAGGGGCTGTATAGTGGGACTTCGGGAAGCTGGACTTTCTTTTCGGGCAATTGCAGTTAGAGTGTAAACAAGTGTAGACACTGTGGTTAGGTGTTGTCAGGCATGGCTTCGAGAACGCCGTACGCAAAGAGCAAGGGGCACTGGACGCCTCCGTAGAACAACAGACCGTGAAGATCGCCGCCTAAGATTATTGGCCTTAAGGGAACGTTTCTCCACTACCAGGTCCATTGCAAATGAATGGTTTGCAGAACACGGAAGACCTATTGGCATGCGAAGTGTTTACCGACGAATGAGAAGTTTTGGCTTGTTTTCATACCGGCCACACTGGGTCCTCCCTTTAACTCGAGAACACCGACGTAATATCGCCTTGAGTGGTGCAGACAACGGTCACTCTGGGATCAGGAATGGAACAGTATTGTCTTTAGTGACGAGTCTCGATTTTGTTTAGGCATGCACGATGGTCGTGTCAGGGTTAGAAGGCGACGTGGTGAAAGGAGGAATCCACAGTTTTTTGTTGAAAGACATGTTCATCACACTGTTGGAGTTATGGTTTGGGGTGCTATAGCTTATGGTTCCAGGTCACCTTTAATCTTCAGCAGAGGTAACATGAACGCGCAGCGTTATATCCACGAAGTTCTAGAACCCCATCTTTTACCCTATCTTGACACCCTGGCAGATCCAACTTTCCAACAAGATAATGCCCGACCACATGTTGCAAGAGTCACAATAGACTTCTTTCAACATAATGATGTCACATTGTTACCATGGCCACCAAGATCTCCCGACTTATCCCCAATTGAGCACGTGTGGGATACGAGGGGTAGGAGATTGCTCAATTTGCAACGTCCTCCTCAGACTCTAGAAGCACTTCGAGAGGAGTTGGTGGTTGCCTGGAATGAGATACCACAGGAGGACATTGACCACCTGATCAGAAGCATGCCTAGGCGCGTTGGAGAATGCGTAGCACATCAGGGTGCATCCACACATTATTAAAGGTCAAAGGGCTTTAAAGCAGTGCAATCATTTTGAAATTTTTATCATGTACTTATTATGCTTCATTAAGTACTTATACAAAATTTTATTAAAATAAAACCATTTAAACTGGGTGTTCGGATTTATATGTCACTTAGTATACATAAATGAAATATTTTACAAAAAGGGCTGAAAGCGTTTAAAAATGAACTGATTTCAGCCCGGTAGCTATTACACGTTTATAAAAAAAATCTACATTAGAAAGCTCCGAAAAAAATGTATAATAAATAAATTTTCTTTAGTGGGCATTGAAGTGTTTTTCAAAAATATTTTTTTTATTTTAAATGTTGTGTGAGAAAGTTCTACAAAAATAAGAGGTTTGATGAGGAGAAGATGATATGTAACCTCAAAACTGCAAATTTAAATTATGAACATCAGTGTGAAAAGTTATGGAATGTCCAGCGTCACTAAGAATATATTTGTAAAGATTTTGATCCATTTTCTCAACAGTTTTAACAATTGGACCCGTTATAGAACTATAAAAGCAGCCTCCAAACCATGATGTTGCCTCCACCATGCTGAACTGTTGGCAACTGATACTTTTTGTCGAATCTTTTTCGTATTGGACGTCTCACATATGCCGTACCATTAGATCCAAACAAGGTAGATGAGTTTTAGCAAATTCTAGCCGAACAATACGATTTTTTTTTTAAATGAGAGGATTTTGCACTGGACGCCTATCAAAAAACCCAAAATGCACCAAGCAACAGAAAGATTCTTGGCACCCTCTTCTACGATTCTTTTGAAAATCTGTGTGGCTGGCATTCGAGGATTTTCAGGGGACAAACGTTTAATGTAGCGATCCAAAACATAATCGGTTTTTTCGGTCTTCCGCACCAGGTCCGCGTTGCTGTTGATCCGTATTCTTGATATTTACGAATAATTTTCGAAATCGTTCCTTTTTTCATTTATAATATTTGAGAAATATCAACATTTCTGACACCACTTCTAAATAATTCAATCACTTTGTCTCCTAAATCTTTTGAAAATTCTTTTACTTTTGCCATTCTCACTGATGTTAATATTTACCGCACGCAATATCAGAGTATCGCAGAACGAATAAATACGGCAAAACTGAAATGTTTCCATACTTTTGTCGTTGCAAAAACTGTGGCATTTAAAAAAAAACGTTTGTTTTTATTTTCAGAGAATTTGAATATTGATAAGATAAACATTGTATTAGTACTGAAGCCAAAGGTAGACTTTAATATTTATATTATCTGTTCGTTCACAGTTTTAATTTAGGTATATGAAATAGTTCATAATAATGTTAATATATGTTTCCAAACTTTTGTCCGTTACAGTATGAGTTTATGGTATTATAACATAAACATTAGACATACAATACTAAAAAGCATGGATACTCCATATTGTATTGTTTTCAGAACGGATTCTATTGATTTCACAATTCCAACCACAGGTCCCGCATTGCAAGTGACTGGCGCCACACTAGTGACAGTCTCATTACTTATAAAAAACAATTTTGTTATAGGAACTTGTGACATAATTTTTGTGTTCTGTATACGTTCAAGAAATTGCTATCCTATTCAGGCACGCCCTGTTTAGTCTACCATTCTGTTCTATTTCAGTTCTCGTCGTCGAGGCAGTCGCTCTAGGTCTCCGCCACCATCTATTGGGGCAGGGGGACGTCGTTCGTCAAGTCGAGAACGAAGGCGAATGAGAAGCAGGAGTCCCAGAGATCGCAGACGTCTTAGGAGCAGGTCGCGGTCCCCGCGCAGGAACGGCCCCAGGGGGGCGCAGCATCATCTCGATCCGTCTGCGAAGGTGGACCCTTATGCCGCGATGGCATCAGCCATGACCAGTTACTTTGAAGTAAGTGAAAACAGGAAATGTGACTGACATTTGATGTTGAGCCATTTTGGCCCTCTGGCACTATAAGCGAAATAATCTCCTATTTTCAGTAGCAGAATGGACCTTTTGGGAACTTAGCGAAAACGGGCACTATAAACCTAAGCTTCTTAACGATAAAATGTGCTTGCGAGTCCCATCTATGATGACTATCGATATGGACACCTAAATACTTTCTATTCTGACAGCACCGAAGAATACATGAAAACATTTTATTAGTTCTATGTGTACTGACATAGTTCGGTGCAAAAGATAAGGTGTTATATTGTCTATACATGCCTTCACTTTTACAAAGTCTTCACGTGCTTTGCCTATAAGGTTCTCCAAACTTTCTGCCTAGTAATGCAAGAGAGTACCAAAGACGTTATAGTACATCGACACTCAAGTAAGAATAGGGCATAATATAAGAAAAAGAATCGGGCCTAATATTGTACCCTGCGGCACTCCGTAAGTAGGCCGCAGATTATCAGAAAGTGTCCCGTCTATTGACACATACTGAGACCTGGTAAGCAAATAATTCAGTAAGTGTATTATTAACTTTGAAGTTCGCATGTTATGCCACGAAAACCTAAATTTTCTAAAGTTATAATGATGTGTTTTATCTTGGTTCTATGAGGCGTTTGCTCGTCGTGTTAAGCCAGAATATCGCGCAGAAGGAAGCTGGCGGTTGTTGCACCATCTCATCGATCGAGGCTTGTGTCTGATTTTTTGACAAAAAATGGCGTTTTAACCATCAACCGCTCCCCGTATTCTCCTGATATGGCTCCGTGTGACTAATTTCTGTTCTGTAAACTACATGAACGGACAGCGGTATGCCGACGTAGAGGCCATCCAAAAGGCGTCGAAGACCATTTTGAAGGACATCTCGGTCAATGAACTAAAATCATCATTCGAAAATCTTTTGATCCGTGCAAGTCGCTGTATTAACTCTAAATAAAATCAATTCGATTTTCCGAAACAAAAAATGTTTGTTCATTTGTTAATTTTTTTCTTTATCCTGTTTACTTTGCGACAGACCTTGTATATTGCTGTTCCGCCATTGAATTATACTTTGCAAATTCGGTGAATCGCTTTTGTAACAGTTTTTCAAATATCAAAAATTAAGGTGCAAATTGGTCGGTTGTTGCTGGGTTTTTAGCTTCTAAATAATCGTTTTCTCACAGCATTTTTTAAACATCTATTATTTCCAGCACCTGCCTCACGAGGTGTGGATGAACCCGGCAGCAGCCGCCGCAGCTTCAGCGGCCGCCGCAGCCGCGATCCGCTTTCCTGGCGGCCCCATTCCGAACAGATTCTTCTCACCCTTCTTCCCGCCGCGTGGCGGACCGCCCCTTTACGGACCGCGGTACCCGCTGCCCACTTACAACACGCCGTACCGCCCCCGGCAACCTGTCTCGGCCGCCAGGGTCAATCCGACGTTGCCGAATGCTCCGGCGCAGGCGACGTCCACGCCATTGCCCGAGTCTACAACAAGATCTGACAGAAATAGCAGTGATGGAGTTAGGGAGGTGAGTATTGGGATGATAAATATTTATGAAACTTATTATACACTTTGTTTGTAAATATTGCGGCCGCATGACAATATTATTATATTGCTACTTTTTTCTTTTCAGATATCCAAGCAAACCACCAACGGAGATGACAGGGCTACTAAGACTAATGATAGTCACGATACATCATAGAAGCTTGATTACACAGATTTAGTTTATGATTCTTGCTCTTGATTATGTACTTGAAAGAATATTACCTATATGTTCTTATATATGAATGTTTCTAATATAGAAAATACAAAATATTTTTTTCATCATTTCTGGTCATCATTATTTTATCCTTCATTCCATTGAACATAATTTTCATTTATCGTATTGTGATATTTCAGTGAGCATTTGTAATTATACGTAATTGAAAATTTGGCAACAGTGGTCACCTAGAAAATGGCTACTTATTAGTACTCCCTTTTTCCGTTACTGTATGACGATCTAGTTCACAACACTGTTCTTATTTCTTACTATTCCGTGTAACATATGTTTTGTGTTGCAATGGTCCTTCTAACCTCAATTTAACATGCTGTTTACATTTTCTAATTTGAAGATAATTGCCAACATCACAAACTAACACAAAAATGTCACTTGCTGATCAGCTGTTCACCTCAGTAGACGTCAAAGTGTGACGAATACTCGTGAAATAGGGTATAAGGAAAAACGCATTAGACCTATAGCCCCCTGAATACGCTAGTGACTTCTTGATCTTTATTCAAGATTTCTTACGGAACAGAAATTAATATTCTGAAATTTCATTTTAGACTTGTATTTAGGGTGACCATAATTTTTAAACAAAATAAAAAAACACTTTATGGAAAATCACCACTGATACTTAACTAAAACTTCAATTGTTTGTCTAAATCTAACACATTTTTAATCAAACAAAATAAAGGTAATTGTTTTCTTATAATATAGATGCAGCAGCAAATACGCAATGCATCAAAAACACAAAAACAGTTATAATTATTTCAGTTCTTCAAACAAAAGGTAGGACGTAACTTTTTGTTATTAAAAAAGTACATTTGGTTGTACTTGATAAAATTTTAAAGGACCGTAGTAGAGAGTTCGAAAATAAAGTACTGTCCTACTAAAAAAGGGACATATGGTTATCCTACTTATATTGCTACTTTTTCCTTTTTAGATATTCAACCAAACCACCAATGGAGATGACAGGGATACTAAGACTAATGACAGATTTAGTTCATGATTCTTGCTCTTAATTATGTACTTGAAAGAACATTACCTATATGTGCTTATAATATAAGAATTTTTTATCAAATAGGTGTATGTTTCTCTATATTGTAATATTGCATTGAGCATCGTAATTGTCCGTAATTGAAAATGGAGCAACAGTGCTAACCTAGAAAATGGCTACTTATTAGTAGTCCATTTTCCGTTACTGTATGACTATCTAGTTCACAAGACTGTTGTGTTCTTATTTCGTACTGTGTAACATGTCTTGTGGTGCGATGGTCGGATGGTCCTCCTAACCTCAATTTAACACGCTGTTTACATTTTCCAATTTGAAAATAATTTTGAAAACAGAAAATATTAATAAATGTGACCATGGAAGACTCTGAACTGGGAAAGCAAAAATGTCATAGAGACCGACACTCAGGTATGTTACTCAATTTTAGTTTGTTTGCTGTAAAGATTTTACCGGATCATATCTTCTTCAGGCAAGAAATTTGAGAAGAAAAAGGCGAAGAAAGATGCCCAAAATCCATTTGACCTTACCGATAAACAACGTAATCCCAAAGCTTTTGCATTCAACTCTGCGATTCGTGCTGAAAGACGTTTTCGAAGGAAACAGGATATTGAAACAAAGAAACAGCATATCCCTCTAGTTGATAGAACACCGATAGAGCCACCCCCGATTCTAGTTGCTGTGGTGGGGCCCCCTAAAGTCGGAAAGAGCACTGTCATCAACAACCTTATAAAACTGTTTACTAAGATGCCTCTAACAGACATGAAAGGACCTGTTACAATAGTCACTGGCAAAAAGAGACGAGTAACATTTATTGAATGCAATAATGACATAAATTCTATGATAGATATTGCAAAGGTGGCTGATTTAGTACTGCTTCTATGCGATGCTAGTTTCGGATTTGAAATGGAAGTATTTGAGTTTCTTAATATCTGCCAGGTGCATGGTATGCCTCGAATCATGGGTGTCCTGACCCACTTAGATAAAATAAAAAATAGCAAAACTCTCAAGAATACCAAAAAAGTACTCAAACATAGATTCTGGACTGAAGTTTATCCTGGGGCAAAACTTTTTTACCTTTCCGGCATAGTGCATGGTGAATATTTGAGGAATGAAATCAAAAACTTGGGCAGATTCATCTCTGTGATGAAATTTAGACCTTTACAATGGAGGTCAACACACAGTTACCTGTTAGCAGATCGGTTTGAGGATTTAACAAACCAAGAGCTGATTAGACAGAATCCAAAATGTGATAGAAATATATCTCTCTATGGATATGTCAGAGGAGTACCTTTGAAGAAAGAAGGTTCTGTGCACATAGCAGGTATGTTTATTTAATATATGAATGCTTTAAATATATACTGGGTGTTTCCAATTATACAATAAGGGTTTCAAAGTCGATTAAACAAGGACAATCTTGCACATTTTGGGTAATTAAGAAACTGGCATTCACAAAGTTTTGCATTCTGAGTATTTCCAGAGATAAATGAAAGAAAACCAAATTATCCCAAAATTATTTTTATTTTTCCTGGCTTTACTTGAGATGGGATTTCAAAATAAAACATTTATTAACATAGCCACTTTTGTGCCTCTACAAGATGACATAATTAGAAGAATTCTAGTAAGTCATTTCATATCTTGTCCTCAATCATCAACTTTATTTCTTATTATGTATGCTGTATTGGATTTTTGCACAGGTGTATTGTTTTTAAATCTGATTTCAAAAATCTATAATAGTATAATTGCTAAGCCTTACTATTGGTCGCATTTGCTATGCACCATGGGTTTGTAGATATTGCATCTTTGGTAGCAGTGCTGCAGTATTTACAGGTAGCAGTGGCATATGGATTTCTCTATAAACTGACGCCATAATGTGTAAGAGTGAGAAGCATGCAATATGTATATTAGAAAGAGAAGTACCACATTCCCTAGCAACCTGAGTGACAAGGTGATGGTCGCAGCTGCAGCTTGTCATTACCTCATCAGTGATAATTGGATTTCTCATTATTGTCTTTTCCATGAGTATCCACGTATCCAGTATGGTAGAATAACAGCTGATTATGTAGTAATATTTCATGTAGACACATGACACTTCAGATTCATTTTGTACTTGCTAACAACTCCTTTATCTAGAAAAGTTCATTTGCATACAAAAACAAATGCTACGAGCGAATTTTACTAGATTTCCATCCAAGTCATTATTGCCAACATTACAGACTACTACAAAGATGTCAATTTTGATCATCTGTTTATCCCACTAGTCGTGATGCATACTCGTGAAATAGAGTTTATACAGGGTGACTTCGAAGTTGAGTCATTTATTTTAACAGTGAGTAGATCTGATCAAAAGAAATGTTTTTTCCTTTACCATTTTTCTGGTAAAATTAAAGTAACAAAGTTATAGCCCTTTGGAAGTTTGAGTACCGCCCTGTCTCAATAATAATATTATGTGCTCGTGTTTGGCGACAACGGATATAATCCGCCTTATCGGTTCATCGCATCGGAAACAAAAAAGCGAAAGAATTTGGAACGATGTTTTTACAATTATTTTATTCATTTGTATACAGTCAGTGTCAGTCGGTAACGCGTCAGTGAATAGTGGTGTCTGTTGCGTGGCTCAAACGAAATAAAAAATGGCACATGTTTATGCGGATCGGTTTCCCAATCGAGTGCAACCAACCCCTCGTGCCTTTGTTAATGTAGTACAACGGGCTCGTGAATCAGGTGACGGCATGCCGGTGCTCCAAGACCTCACGATCAAATACAGGTCCGCACTGAAATACTTGTCGGAAGGATACTTTATAAAACAAGGTAAAATTTTTTTTATTTTTTTTTTATTTTTACACACATATTTTGGTTTATCTTCCTTCTACAATCATTATCTGAAAATTAATGACTCAACTTCAAAGTCACCCTGTATATGAGCATTATTACTTGGAGTCTAATTTATACCCTATTTCACGAGTATGCATCACGGCAGAATGACAGCTGATTACCTAGCAATATCTCAAAATTCCCCATATCGACACAGGACACAATTCTAACGGATCCGTCAACGCCAGGTAGACAGAACCGAATATTGTTTTGATTTTTTGTACGCTAATGATTCATTTTGTACTTGCTAACAGCTCTTTTCTTTAGAAAAGTTCATTTGCATACCAACAAAAAAACGCCACAAACAAGTTTTACTAGATTTATATACGATCCATTATTTCCAACATTGCAGATTAACACAAAAATGTCATTCGCTGATCAACTGTTCGCCTCAGAAATAGGGTATAATGAGGTTAGTTGATTTAGTGAGGTAATAATACAATATAGGTAGTATAGTACATGAGTAGGTAGCAAGAGCTGTTATCAGGTAACAAATATTGTTGACAAGGAGTTTTACACCAGAGCTCCAAAGAAATGAGACTAATATGTATGGACATGCTCATAGTTGCAATAAGATTTTTTTCTTGAAAAGCCCAAACAAAACCTACGTTTTTCTGATTCCATTGCACTACATGGAAATAGTTCTATAAGTTGCTTCTAAGCTCATGGGAAGTATTGAGTCAGTCTATTTAATGCCATTTTTTACTTTTTGAAAAGCACTATAGAGAGCCGTTAGAGATTCCATTTTGTGTCACAGGTATGGGTGATTTGAAGATCCACGACATCACGTACCTGCCTGATCCGTGCCCTCTCCCTGAACAAATAAAAAAACGTGCCCTGATAGAAAAAGAAAAACTGATCTACGCCCCGTTTTCCGGCGTTGGTGGCATTGTGTATGACAAAGATGCAGTCTATGTGGAACTTGGTGGCTCCCATAGCCATAAACAACGTGATGAGGATGATGAGACCAATAACATCATCACAAACATGATTGATGCTAAGGAGACACTGGATGTGAAAATGAAACATTCAGAAATGCAGATCTTCAGCGGCGGTGAAAGGCTCACTGCTGAAGATTTCGAGGATAGTGATGACGATGATGAAGAGGAAAAGCAGGTAAAACAAGCCTCCCAAAAAACAACAAATAATATGTCATAATAAAGACAAGCAAAAACAGTGTAATGATGGTGATTACGAGGAAAAATACATTTTACGTTTATAAAGAATTTTAAATTTATTAAATTGAATGTTTAAAAAACTTCGAAACGACGTGAAACAATTACATTTTGACGAAATGTATGCTATTATATGAGTATCTCTAAAAGTAACCGACTTACAAGCTGCCAAAACTAGTGTTTTCAAAATACCACATAGCTCCATCTAAACCATATACCATGGTATATAAGACTTAGAATAGAATATACAGGGTATTCAATTTAAAAATCTATTTGTTATGAATCTTCCTGTAGAGATCAGCTTATTTTCTGAGTAACCATCATATAGTTTTTTACAATTTTTGTAAATAGCTTTTTTAAATGTATTGTATAATAGCCTACTCTGTAAGTTTGATGACATGAGCTAAACTTACACAGCCGAACAGATTGAATTTATTGCATTGCAGGTTATGCTGTATGAGAAGAAATCCGGCAAACAAGATGATGAGTTTCAGAATGAACTGAATAAACTACGACAAAAAAGCTGTAAGGAGGTAGAAGATTCTGGTAGGATCAGAAGAAAAGTTACATTCGATACAAGTGATGATGAACTGAATAGCAAGTTTGATCAAGATTCTGAAGAGGAAAAGGAGGAATATATTGAGCTAAAAGAAAACAAAGATTTGGATGTATATCATAAAATTAGTAATGTTTTGAAAGAACTGGACGCCAAAGTGACACACAAACAGAAAAAAGAAGATTCATCCACTGATAGTGAAGATGAAATCCAGTTTAATGCTGCACAGGATGATGGAGACATTGATTTGGAAGACGTTTGTGATGAGAATGATAATAGTGGAGAAGAAAATGATGAAATTAGATGGAAGGATAACTTAGCAAAGAAAGCGGAAAAAACGTTCATAGAAAGACAAAGCTCCAATCAAAATCTTATGAAACTTGTTTATGGTGAGCCTTTCCTCCATCATTTACGAAAAACAATCAGTTGTACTGATTCTTTGTTTTTACAGGTGTTTTTAGCTCCAAGAATTCTTCACATAAAGAAAACATTGAATCAAGTAAAGAAAATGAAGAAGAAGAAGATATTGGAGGGTTGTTTAAGAAAGTATCCAAAGAACAACAGAACACCAAAGTTAATAAAGATACCATGAATCTAACAGAATCTTCCTTAAGTTTGCCTTGGAAGGCAGCTGTTAAGGATTGGTTGGAACCAAATGTAAGAATTTTCGTCTATATAAAATGACGTTTAATGGTTCTGGATACGATAAAAACACAGATATTTGTTGATAAATTAGGTATTTTGGCATGGAAGTTATTCCATCATTAACTGAAGACATTTCCTTTTTTATACACGAAAGAGAACGCCACAGGCATTGCACTTTATACTGATAGGATTTAAGATTCCAGGACGTTAGTTCTTTTAAGGGTTTTAATCTGTTTAAATTAAGAATAAGATTTGTTAAGGGCTAAGAAGTACTTTTCTCTACATGACCGCCTCACTCAGTACAAGGTCCAGAGTGGACCTAGCCTCGAGCACCGCTCACTTTTTAGGGGAGCTGCTGCCTCGACTACATTGTCTCTGACCTGTAACAAACAGTCTCAGGACCGACGGTGATCTAGTTTTATTCCGTCAACAGGCTTTGTTCCTCAGAGCTCACCTCCAGCATGCCTAACCATGTCGAACTTCGTACATCCAGAACTGGCCGATACGACCACTCCTTTATCCTTAGGGTATCGAGATTGTGGAAAAATCTGCATGAGGAGGCTGTTCCCAGATCTACTAACCTTAGGCAGTTCAGAAAAAGTTTCTTTAAGCTCCTCATAGCGCCCACGGGGCCCTGGCATTTAGGCTTCTGCCTGCGCGGCTGCTTCGGTGTAAAAAAAGTGTGCTGAACTGCTGGTATGTTGCCTAACATGCGTTATTTATTTTTTATTTTGGGATGTAATGTTTTGAAAGATAGTGATCACAGATACCCGTATCCTTTGTTTCTAGAATAAAGCATTGATCTTAAACTGCTTTGTAACTGGCAAATGGAAAGATAGTGAAGATGCAAATGAGTTGCTGAAACTGGACGATGCTGAAGATTTGAGCGACGTAGACTCCGAAGTATTCGGCGATTTTGAAGACCTGGAAACTGGAGAAAAGCATACGGCTCCCAAAAAGAGAAAAAGGGAGGAAACCGAAAAAGACATTGAAGCTGATCGCCAAGCTCTAGCTGAAAAGAAGAGGAAACTGAAAGAGAAATTCGATGCGGAATATGACAATACAGATAAAAACAGTTATTATGACGAATTGAAGACATCAGCAGAAAAACAAGCTCAGCTCAACAAATCTGTATTTGAAAATATGCCAGATGATATTAGAATACAGTTGGAAGGCTTCAGACCTGGCATGTATGTAAGAATCGAATTTGAAAAGGTCGCCGGTGAATTTGTCCAGTATTTTGATCCAAGTTATCCTATTGTTATTGGAGCTTTGAACATGGGCGAAGAAAATATAGGATATGTGAATGTCAAAATAAAGAAGCATCGTTGGTACAGCAAAATACTTAAAACCAATGACCCATTGATAATCTCTTTAGGCTGGAGAAGATTCCAGACAATTCCACTATATTCAAAACTAGAGGATGATTTGAAGTTTAGATATTTGAAGTATACACCACAGCACATAGCTTGTAATGCACATTTTTGGGGTCCTATTACACCACAAGGAACTGGTTTCTTAGCATTGCAAGTAGTCAGTCAAGAACAAGAGGTTGGTATTGGAATTCATATTTTTTTATTTTTTTGTTCTGTTATTGTTACTGGTCGATGACCAACTGGCTAGATACTTATGTTCAGTATAATACTGTGCTTTAATAGAAAATAGAACATCCATTACTTAATATTACAACTGTATTATTTCTATTATAGTTACATAGAGTATGCGAACACATATTACTCTTTTTTTTAACCAAGACTTTTTACTTATTTTTCCTTTTTTCTACTTTTTTCCAAGATTGTTTTTTTAAATGCATATATACATATTATACACACACATATATATATATATATATATATATATACAGGGTGTCCCAGAAGTCGACGTCAAGCCGAAACCGGGTGATAGGCAAAGTCATAACAGCTATCAGAAAAATATTTAAAAAAATTTCAGTTATGTGTTTTGAAAATTATAGGTCTTTGAAAAAAATATAGAAATTTCACACCCTACGGCAGTGTGTCAACTCCTGTTACTACAAATATTAACTTTTTTTGGATTTTATTTTTACAATGTAATGATGAATAATGCATCTTCAAACTGGTGTCTCAACCTTACTGCCAACTTTTCTCGTTCAGGAAAAATTGCCACTTATTTCCCAACCAAGTATTCCAAAGTAAAACTTTGCTCAACTTTAACTGGCTGTACTGGAAAAAAATGTACTACGAGAGTTTGGCAAGTAACCTTAAAAGTTGGCGCATTTAATAAGGATTCCAAAATGGTATAACACTTAGAAGATTACTCGTTAACTTATGCACAATTTTTATTTAAAGAAAAACTGATGAAAATTTTTCAAAATGTCCTAATTACACAGCGATTATGAAAACGCAAGGACCCTTAAGGATAACTGTTTGTACAACAGTGGGCGTCAAAATGCTGCTGATGATGATTTACCTTTACAGCAAATGCCCAAACTGTTTTCCTTCAGCCGCAATACACGCTCGACATCTTAAAAAAGATCGGGTTATTAAACGAGCGAATCCACGGTTATTAACAAACTCAGCTGCTTCCAATAGTCTTTGCCCCCCAGTAAAAAAAATCTAACGGATTCAAATCTGGTGACCGGGCTGGCCACGGTATTGTACCAGACCGCCCTATCCATCTGCCTGCAAAGTTTTGATCGAGATGCTCTCTCACTGAGAGTGCATAGTGCGCTGGGCAGCCATCATACTGAAACCACATGTCTCTGTAAATACTCAGTGGCACGTCCTCCAATAAATTTTCTAAATGATTTTGCAAAAAACCTAAATAAACCTCAGCAGTCGAAGTCTCTGGGAACTCAAACGGACCGATTATTTTACCATTTAAAATTCCTGTCCAATGGTTTATCTTGAAGCGATATTGAGATTTATCTTCTCTCATCAAATGTGGGTTTGCTACGTGCCACTCGTGTAAGTGCAGGTTCATGTACCCATCTTTCTTAAATGTGGTCTCATCTAACCATAAAATTTTTTCGAAGAACCGTGGATCTTCCCTGTGTCTTTCTAACATTGTGCGACAAAAAGCAACTCGGGGCTCATAATCCCGGGGCAGAAGAGCTTGAACACGCTGTACGTGGTATGGATAGAGCACGTTTTTTTGCAAGATTCTATGGGCTGTACTTTTGGGCACGCCTGTTTTTAGTTCTATTGCACGCACTGAAGTACTCGGGTCTTCTTCGACAGCTCCTAGCACCACGTCTTCGTGAGGAAGGAAAGACCTTCCCTCACCGTGTGATTGGTTTGGTAGTTGGCTCTCTGAGAACAGTAAGCGGTGCACATTTGTGAACAGTCGATGATCTGGATGACGAGCTGCATTCGGGTACCTCTCACAGAAAAGTCTCGCTGCAGCACTAGCGTTGCATCTGCATTACCCATAAATGAGGTGCATGTTAGCATATTCTTGTACGGTGTACACGGACATAGCGGCACTGCACAATCACACTATCAAAGATAGTCTAAGGGAAGCAAATGTTGTTTTGAAGAGCAATTAAACAGTCCAAATCCAAATCACAAGCGATCAACAGTCCAGTTCACGAATCCAAAATTAGTAACAGTACGAAATCAACAAACACGAACATGTAAAGATGCGCAGTAAACGAAGGAGTACTGATCGGTATCAAAGTGTGCAATAGCAAGTAAGTGATGTGCTTCATCCATACAACATACAGCGTGTTCAACCTCTCCTGCCCCGGGATTATAAGCTCCGAGTTGCTTTTTGTCGCACAATGTTAGAAAGACACAGGAAAGATCCACAGTTCTTTGAAAAAATTTTATGGTCGGATGAGACCACATTTAAGAAAGATGGGTACATGAACCTGCATAACTTACACGAGTGGCACGTAGCAAACCCACATTTGATGAGAGAAGATAAATCTCAATATCGCTTCAAGATAAACCATTGGACAGGAATTTTAAATGGTAAAATAATCGGTCCGTTTGGGTTCCCAGAGACTTTGACTGCTGAAGTTTATTTGGATTTTTTGTAAAATCATGTACAAAATCTATTGGTGGACGTGCCACTGAGTATTTACAGGGACATGTGGTTTCAGCATGATGGCTGCCCAGCGCACTATGCACTCTCAGTGAGCGAGTATCTCGATCAAAACTTTCCATGCAGATGGATAAGGCGGTCTGGTACAATACCGTGGCCAGCCCGATCACCTGATTTGAATCCTTTAGATTTTTTTACTGGGGAACTGTAAAAGAAAAGGTGTATTTCAATCCGATTAAAAATGTAGCTGAGCTACGGCAAAGACTATTGGAAGCAGCTGAGTTTGTTAATAACCGTGGATTAATAACCCGATCTTTTTTAAGATTTCGAGCTTGTATTGCGGCTGAAGGAAAACAGTTTGAGCATTTGCTGTAAAGGTAAATCATCATCAGCAGCATTTTGACGCCCACTGTTGTGCAAACAGTTATCCTTAAGGGTCCTTGTGCGTTTTCATAAGCGCTGTTTAATTAGGACATTTTGAAAAATTTTCATCAGTTTTTCTTCAAATAAAAATTGTGCATAAGTTAACGAGTAATCTTCTAAGTGTTATACCATTTTGGAATCGTTATTAAATGCGCCAACTTTTAAGGTTACTTGCCAAACTCTCGTAGTACATTTTTTTCCAGTACAGCCATTTAAAGTTGAGCAAAGTTTTACTTTGGAATACTTGGTTGGGAAATAAGTGGCAATTTTTCCTGAACGAGAAAAGTTGGCAGTAAGGTTGAGACACCAGTTTGTAGATGCATTATTCATCATTACATTGTAAAAATAAAATCCAAAAAAAGTTAATATTTGTAGTAACAGGAGTTGGCAGACTGCCGTAGGGTGTGAAATTTCTATATTTTTTTCAAAGACCTATAATTTTCAAAACACATACATAAATTTTTTTTAAATATTTTTCTGATAGCTGTTATGACTTTGCCTATCACCCGGTTTCGGCTTGACGTCGACTTCTGGGACACCCTGTATATATATATATATATATGGACAAAACTATATAGACAAATTAATGTTGTGCTGTATTTATTTTTTAACTTGTTTTATTAATACACCAACCTGTATATAATAATAATTCGTTATAGAGTAATACTCACTTATACATAAATAAGTTCATTAGACTCCCTTCAATAAAAAATTAATTGAAAAAAACTGGAACTATGAAGGACAAAGATTCTTTTTACATTAATTTAGTACAGTTTCGTGTCAGAAGAGGATTAGTTTGTGTTCATCAAGTTTTGTGGAATAAGTTGAGTGATTTTAAGACCATGCCGCGTGGTCCAGAAATTTCTTTCGATGTGAAAACTAAGATCATTGAGTTATACAAAGATGGTCAACGTCAAGTCGACATTGCCAAAAATTTGAAGCTGTCAAACATGCAGGCGGGTCTGTTATGGTTTGGGGGAGCTTTTCGGGTTTTCTAATGGGACCTTTACATGGAATAGATGGCATTATGGATAAGTTTGTATCAACGACTTCATAAGGTTATGAAGTCGTTGGTTTGTATACACAGACTAAAGCATGTCGTGTTACCCTATATGGAAGACAATATGCCCTTAAGATCAATCTTCCAACAAGATAATGACCCGAAGCACACTTCGAATCTCGCAAAGAAATTCTTTCTGGATGAAAAAATACCAGTTCTCAAATGGCCTTCACAGTCTCCCGATATAAATCCCATTGAAAATATATGGGAGTACTTAGATAAGCAAACACGAGATAAACATTATTCAAACAAGGATGCATTTTTTGCCGCTTTAGAGCAAAAGTGGAGACAGATTGATGAAGCTTATATCAATAAACTTCTACAATCTATGCCAAGACGATGCCAGGCGGTGATTGATAATAATGGTTATGCTACAAAATATTAACACTTAACATGGTTGGTTTTCTATAATTCAATGAACTTTGCTTCTTTTTTCTATAATTGTTTTGCTTTGTCTATATATTTTTGAACTCCATAGTTCCAGCTTTTTCAATTAATTTTTTATTGAAGGGAGTCTAATGAATTTATTTATGTATAAGTGAGTATTATGCTATAACGAATTATGTATACAGGTTGGTGTATTAATAAAACAAGTTAAAAAAGAAATACATCACAATATTAATGTGTCTATATACTTTTGTCCATTACTGTATATTACTTTATACTGATGTTTTTTTTTCCAATATTTTCTTCTTTTCTTAATGTTTTCAAACAAACTTACTGTAATTTTACATTTTATAATGTTAGGCCTACTTTCCCACAATGCTTGTATAAAAGTTCGTAAACTTGCTGGTTCTCAGAACTGAGAGTTGATTCTAAATTTAGAGGCAAAGGAAGGTGATTCGCTAAAATTTGATACAATTCAGAATTTTCTTTGTTAGAACTTGTACATTCTAATATTAGGTATTGCAAGGTTCCTATATTTCCACAACTGCAATGTGGATCATCTCCATATCCAATTCTTGATTTATGATAGGGTGTCAGGACATGACCACTTCTTGTTCTGCTCATGGTTCTAATGTAAGGACGATGGGTAATTCCTTGAAACCGAGGTCTGCTGCGAAGAGTATCTTGTATACGTTCAGGTTATTATAATAAACACGACGTTTCAGGTTATCAAACATTTAGGATTCAGGATAGCAGCTACTGGATCAGTACAAGAGCTGGACAAATCTGCAAGGATTATGAAAAAGCTAAAACTAATAGGACATCCGCTGAAGATATACAAAAAGACTGCATTTATCAAAGGTAAGATACAGGGTCCGGCACAAAGGACGGATGTTTTTGAAATGGCAAGTAGTCTCATTCTTTAACTTACTCTCAACAAAGAAAGGTAAGGAATTTTGGGACACTACCAAAAGGCTCAACATAACATGCAAGAAAACTCACTCAACTATACCCAAACACTTTCAAAATGTAAATGACATACACAATTACTTCCAACAGACCGACAATTTACCAGACACTACTTCCCAAGAATGAATCAATTTTTACAAAAACAATGTAAACATTAACGATTCTCTAAGCGTCCAACTGTTAGACAGGGCCAGTCTAATCAAAATTGTAACTAATATCACATCAAATGCCATTGGAGAGGATGGTTTCTCTATAAGAGACCTAAAGTTGTGTATCCCATTTTGTACGAATGCCTTGCTGAATATAATCAACACTTGTATTTTGGGGGGATTATTTCCAGAAATATGGAAGAAAGCTGTTGTTAAACCCTTACCAAAAATAGCAGAACCTAAAGAATTTACAGACTTGAGGCCCCGCTACATCCAAAATATTAGAAAGGCATATTTATAATCAAATTAGATTTTTTTGTGACACAAACGATATCATACCCGATAGTCAATCCGGTTTTAGGAAAAACTTTAGCACAAGTACATCATTGGTTAATATCTTGGATGATATCAGACATCATCAAGAACAAAAAAATAGTACGTGCATGGTTCTTCTCGATTTTAGTAAACCGTTCGACACTCTGAATCATGAAATGTTACTAGCCAAGTTACATTACCAGGGGTTTTCGCAGAGCTCCGTAAATCTAATAAAACATACTTAAGCAACCGTTCAAACTGTGTTATGTTAGCAAATGATTCCGCTATTTACAAAACCTATTTTAAACCTATAACAAGAGGAGTTCCTCAGGGTTCAATTTTATCTCCTTTGCTATTTTCAATCTACATATACTAAGTGACATATAAATCCGAACACCCAGTTTAAATGGTTTTATTTTAATAAAAGTTGGTGAATGTATTTATCTTACTGTAAATAACAAGTGAAAAAATGTTCAGCCTTATCAGTTCGACATTCCGGTTTTTATACTGTTTTTTTTTAATTCACTAACGCTCTAAAAATGAATATTTCAGCCGCAGTAAAGAATCAACGTTGGCGGATTTTGGTTCTTGACATCCTTTACGATCGGTTACGATGCCTAGAGTACGGAGACCTGTACGATTTCGTCAACTTAGTGAGTTTGATAGGGGCCGTATAGTGGGACTTCGGGAAGCTGGACTTTATTTTCGGGCAATTGCAGTTAGAGTGCAAAGAAGTGTAGACACTGTGGTTAGGTGTTGTCAGGCATGGCTTCGAGAAGGCCGTACGCAAAGAGCAAGGGGCACTGGACGCCGCCGTAGAACAACAGACCGTGAAGATCGCCGCCTAAGATTATTGGCCTTAAGGGACCGTTTCTCCACTACCAGGTCCATTGCAAATGAATGGTTTGCAGAACACGGAAGACCTATTGGCATGCGAAGTGTTTACCGACGAATGAGAAGTTTTGGCTTGTTTTCATACCGGCCACACTGGGTCCTCCCTTTAACTCGAGAACACCGACGTAATCGCCTTGAGTGGTGCAGACAACGGTCACTCTGGGATCAGGAATGGAACAGTATTGTCTTTAGTGACGAGTCTCGATTTTGTTTAGGCATGCACGATGGTCGTGCCAGGGTTAGAAGGCGACGTGGTGAAAGGAGGAATCCACAGTTTTTTGTTGAAAGACATGTTCATCACACTGTTGGAGTTATGGTTTGGGGTGCTATAGCTTATGGTTCCAGGTCACCTTTAATCTTCATCAGAGGTAACATGAACGCGCAGCGTTATATCCACGAAGTTCTAGAACCCCATCTTTTACCCTATCTTGACACCCTGGCAGATCCAACTTTCCAACAAGATAATGCCCGACCATATGTTGCAAGAGTCACAATAGACTTCTTTCAACATAATGATGTCACATTGTTACCATGGCCACCAAGATATCCCGACTTATCCCCAATTGAGCACGTGTGGGATATTATGGGTAGGAGATTGCTCAATTTGCAACGTCCTCCTCAGACTCTAGAAGCACTTCGAGAGGAGTTGGTGGTTGCCTGGAATGAGATACCACAGGAGGACATTGACCACCTGATCAGAAGCATGCCTAGGCGCGTTGGAGAATGCGTAGCACATCAGGGTGCATCCACACATTATTAAAGGTCAAAGGGCTTTAAAGCAGTGCAATCATTTTGAAATTTTTATCATTTACTTATTATGCTTCATTAACTTATACAAAATTTTATTAAAATAAAACCATTTAAACTGGGTGTTCGGATTTATATGTCACTTAGTATATCTGACATGGTCAAATCGGTAAAATTCGCAAAGATAAAACAATATGCAGATGACTCACAAATATATCTCCCTTTCAATAAAACCACAATCCATATTGCACAACAACAACTAAATTCAGATCTCCAAAGTATTGACAGATTTGCAAAGCATCACAATCTTAAACTAAACCCCTCAAAATCGCAAGTAATGGTTATGAATAAAAACAGTAATGAAAGAACCTTTTGAACAAAATTTAGTAATTTCTATTAACAATGACAGAATCCCCATGGTTCAGAAGACAAAAAATCTAGGCATTATATTTGATAGCTCGCTTGGCTTCGGAAGTCATATAAAAAGCAGAACAAATTTAGCTTACATGCGACTAAGAAATATAAACAAATTAAAAAAACACTTATCAGCTAAACAAAAATATTATTTGTGTAATACCTCAATTTCATCACTTTTTGACTATGGAGATGTCGTCTATGGTAATTCGCTATCGTCGCGAACAAAAAAATGCATACAAAAAGTTCAAAATAGTTGCATGAGATTTGCGTTTGGAATTCCATATCGAAACCATATCACTCCTTATCTGAATAACTACAACATATTAAACATGACGAATCGCAGAAAATATCCCATGTATTCTTTTATCTATAGGGTTATAAAACCAGGTCAACCGCTCTATGTAAGAGAAAGGTGTGTGCCTTTGCCTCGTGCCCAAAGAAGCAGAAATAATCCCAATTTCATCATACCTAGGCATAGAAGGCGTTCCTTCCGACGATCGTTTGCTTATGTGGCGGTTCACTTATGGAATAATTTACGAACTTCAGTTAAAAGCTCATCGTCAGAAACATTCTCAAAACTGACAAAAACGTTGTTACCGAATCACCAGCGACTTTAGCAGCGTTTGTGTGTCCGTTGCCAGCTCCCGGGGGTTCTTTCTTCGTTTTTGCCTTTTTTGTGTTTCACCGCCTTTTCCTTTGCCTCATTATTGTTTTTTTTTATTTTGTTTAAGGATTTTTAGGATGTTCAGGGCTTTCTCGCATGGACTCTTTGTGTTAAAGGGTCCAATGAATCGGTTTTATAATCGAGAGACTGTCCTTTTTAGTCATTGCTCTATATTGTAGAATTTACTTTGTTTATGATGTTTATTCATGACGAAATAAATATTTTGAATTTGAATTTCATCAACCCGAATTTCAGCTTGACTTGATTCGTTAAATAAGTATATGTGACCTTTCCAGAAATCATTGTTGTTCAATACATTTTGATACTAAAGTTGGAAAATAAAAAACTCTTTTTTCAGGAATGTTTAACAGTTCACTGGAAGTAGCAAAATTTGAAGGTGCTAGGATCAAAACAGTATCCGGAATTCGAGGGCAAATCAAAAAAGCTGTGAATAAACCAGAAGGCTGTTTTAGGGCTACCTTTGAAGATAAAATGCTTCTTAGTGGTAAGTCTCTAAGGAGTCTTAATTATTTTGCACTACAAAAAAACCTATTATGCAGCTGCCGCACTGACTCCATAAAAAATTCAATGGCGATGACGGTGATATAGATTTTCTTCTCAATCGTTTTCAAGGGTACCAAAATGATTCTTAATTATATATTTTTCCTTCTAGATATTGTTTTCTGTAGAACGTGGTACAAGGTAGAAATAGAGAAATTTTACATGACTGTCAACACCTTACTGTTACCTCCCGAAAAAAAGAACCAGTGGCGTGGCCTAAGGACTACCGGAGAGGTTAAAAGAGAGCTTGGTATCAAAAATGCTGCTAACAAAGACAGTTTGTATACTGATATTTTGAGGGAAGAGAAGCCTTTCAAACCATTAATAATACCGAAAAAGCTTCAGCAAGCTCTGCCGTATAGAGATAAGCCCAACCATGGTGTGAAATATGATGAAAAGAAGAAGCGGATCGAAAGAGTTGCAGTCATTAGAGAACCAAAGGAACAGAAGGTAATTTAATTTTACGAGATTATATCGTTCAATCTACCCGGCGACACCCTTGGCTCCCGTTCAAGGTGTTTTAAGAAAGATGGCAAATGGTTCCCCGTCAGATTGGTTCAAATTTTAATATGTCCTGAGCAAAAGTCAAAAAACGTGGACGATTCTAGCATTAAGGGTTTACGAGTTACGCAGTGTGCAAGTTTATTTTCGAAAACGACTTTAAATGCAACTGCAACCTATCTTCTGAATACTAGTTATTATGACAGCTGTCATCAAGTAAACACCATACCATTTGTACAAAAAAGTGACGGCAAATCCGGCGCTCTTGTTGACACAACAATACAATCAATATTAAACGTCAGTTGACTTATGAAAGGAGGAGGGGGTTAATAAGGCCGCTCTATCAGGCCTAAGTTTAATTTTGCTGAAAATATTCAAAATCAGTTCCTGTAGTATCTGCTTAAAAAAACTTGAGTCGATTCCACCCTATCCACCTAGTATGTCCAACCACCCCCTTAAAACAGCGAAAATGCCATCACTTAATAACATTTTTGGAAACATCAGCAATTTTCTGAAGACTGAAGGACGGTCATTTCAAGGTCAAGCGAACATTTTCAAATGGAATCCTCCCTTTTTCAGAATGGAAAAGAGTAGCAAATTTTATGCACAAATATCACCTTGGCGTTCGCCTTCAAAGACATTTTAAGGTCAAATGACATCGAAAACAATCTGCTCTAGAAAAAAAATTATTGACAGCACAGTTGTGAGGTTTGTCCGGATCTTCCAAAGGTGATCTTGACCATGAACTTCAAGGTCAAGTCAAAATTTCCAAAGGAAACTCGTCATTTTTATATTGGAAATGGAAAAGCAGAAAATTTTAAATAAATAACATTTAATCTCGGCGTAACCTTGTCTTTGAGTTTACACTTCAATGTAAAATTTCCTGCTTTTCCATTTCCAGTATAAAAATCAGAAGTTTCCTTTGGATATCTTGATCTGGTTTTCGTGACCCCGCAAACCGTACGACGAACATTTTTACCAGCATGGTTTCCGATTATTTGCCCCTTTTTCAATTCCGTTCAGCAAGAGGATTCCATTTAAAGAGATTCACTTGACCTTGAAGGTCATTGTCAAGGCCACCATCATGTTGCACCCTCAAAATCCTACTTTTTTTCTATGATGCGGTCAACATTGCTTCCAATATTCTTTACAGGTAACCAAAATGATGAAAATGATCAAAGCTTCGTACGAACATAAGCAAGAAAAACTGAAACATGAAACGAAAGAAAGAATGGAAAAGTACAGACAAGAGATAGAAGCGATAGAGGCTAATAAAGAAAAGAAGATAAAGCAGAAAAAGAAGGAAGTGTTTAGGAATAAGAGTAAGGCACAAAAGAAAAATCGGTAGCTCAATAAATATATATAATTGTTAACATTTTTTTGTATAAAATAAATACTACATATTTGCATATTTATGTCACTTATTTCAGTCCCTTAATCACCTACATGGGAAGTTTATTTTCATGATTATTCACATTTATAACAAATAAAAATTTACACAAGTATCTACAAATTCAACGAAAAGTACAAATCACATATCTAGAAACTTTGGACTGTGATTTGAACTTAAAAACATTCCACATAAAGGAAAAAATTACAACTCGCTGGAACAAAATTTAAATTATGTACAAAGTTATGGCTAGCAAACTGATAAGATAGGTGTCGAATCGTTAGTCCAGTTTAATACTGATTGTTGGCTGACCAAAGCCCAAACGTAAGGAATAAAAAAATCTTCAGGTTGGTCCTCCTCTACGTACTTGAATTTTAATTCAGGAAACTTCTGTAAATAAAACAGTACATTTTGATTTCCATATTTACACAGAGGTCGACGTCAAGCAGGAAACGGGGGATAGGCTAAGTCAGAATAGTTATCAGAAAAATATAAAAAAAATCTAGGTCGTGTACTTTTCAAGCTAAAAAAACGGTAAAACCTACGCTCTGTCTTTTGGTGAATGTGCACTGTTTACTCCCAAATCAAGCTCATGGTGAAGGAAGAACTCTCTTTCCTTACGAGGACGCCGTACTACAAGCAGTCGAGTACTTCAGTACATCAAATAGAAGCAAGCGCGGGTGGGCTCAAAAGTACAACCCACCGAATCTTGTGAAAGAACGAGCACGTACAGCGAGTACAATATCTACAATCCCGGGATTATCTTCTACGAGGGATGTCTTTTAAGTTTTGCATATGGAAATAAAACAACACGGTAGCTAGTTTTAAATGACTTTATTGTTTTTCGAAGTATTCTCCACGAAGATTAATACACATCTGCATGCGCTCGAACCAATTTTCGAAGCACTTATTCCACTCGTTTGCTGGCAGATCCAAAACGGCATTTTTGAATGTGTCAACTGCTTCTTCTGGTGACTGGAACATCTGATCACGTAGTCTGTTTTTAATTTTCGGGAAAGTAAAGAAATCGTTAGGACTTGGATCGGGACTATATGGAGGATGGTCCAATAATTCCACGTTTTCTTCCGTTAAATACTGCCTTGTTTTTTGGGCTGTGTGCGAGCTTGCAGTGTCTTGGTGGAGGATGATTCTTCTTTCGGAGTTGATTTTTCGAAGCTCGGTGATGACTTTTGTCAAACAAATGGTGGTATACCAATCCGCAGTAACAGTTCTTTGCTCATTAAGAGGAATTATTGCAATATGACCCGCTTTTGAAGCAAATGTCGCGACCATCTTTTTCGAAACACTTCGAGAGCGGATGACTTTTGTTGGCTTTTATTCACCTTGGAACATCCAAACAGCCGACTGTGGTTTATTTTCTGGTTCATAACAGTAAATCCACGATTCATAACCACTAACAATGCTGTACACATTTTTTGAGTTTCCGGAATTGAAACGGTCAAGCGTTTTTTGACATCGATTAACCCTGGCTGCTTTCTGCTCTTCAGTCAACTGGTGGGGTATCCAACGAGAAACTAATTTTCTTACTCCTAATTCTTCATGTAAAATTTTTTGAAGTGAGGCCTTTGAGATCTTCAAGGACGCCTCAACCTCGCGATATGTCACATGTCTATCTTCAATGATGAGTTTGCGCACATCATCGACGTTTTCCTGGGTGACTGCCGTTTTTCTTGCACCCACCCTGGGATCGTCGCTAAGACTCACCCGTACACGTTTGAATTCTCCATACCAACGGGAAATTGTCGACTGATGAGGCCGCTTCGTTGCCGAAAACAGACAGTAACTCAGCAAGGCATTCTTGTTGCGATAATTGTCTCTGAAAATTGTAATAAATTATGGCGCGAAAATGTTCTCGGTTGAGTTCCATTTTTCTAATGACTTGGTGACACAAAAAAAGTCACTGTAGTGAGAACACTGCACGTATTTTTGTGAAACTTTGAATTTAAGTTTACTAAAGAGTGTGATTAAGATTCAGTACTGACGTTCGATCAGCGCGGCCTACTATGTTTCTATATGCAAAACTTAAAAGACATCCATCGTAAGAGTTGAGTTTTGTCAAACACTATTACAGAAGCATCTGAAGATCCGCGATTCTTACAGAAAATTTTATGGACTGACGAGTCGACATTTAAAGAAGATGGTTACATGAATCTACACAACTTACTCGAGTGGCATGAAGAAAATCCATATTTTATGAGACAAGATACTTCACAGTATCGTTTTAAAGTAAACATGAGGACCGGGATACCAAATGGGAATTGTACCTTTGACCTGCCAGAGTTCTTGAATGGTGAAATTTATTTAGACTTTTTACAAAATCATTTGGAGTAGCTGAATTTGTTAATAACGGAAAATTCGTCAGACTGATAACCCGATCATTTTTAAGATGTCACGCTCGAATTGCTACTGAACGAAGGCAGTTTAACGTACATTGGGAATTTAATAAATACATTCACGAATTAATAGAAATGGCGTAACCGTCTGTCTTGCTGTCAGTACGTAGAATGACACTGTCCATTACTCCTTAGAAAAAATTGAAATTTGTAGTGATGGGAACTAAAAGATCATAGGGTTTGGATTCAGATTTTTTATAAAACCTATAATTTGAAAAGTGCACGACTTGGATTTTTTTATATTTTTCTGATATCTATCAAAACTTGACCTATACCAAGGAAGGCAAAATGTGGCGTAAAAAGTCTAGGTATTGCATCCCGTCCAATCGATTTGGGAGAATAAATGGTCCAATGAGCATACCGTTCACCATGCCAGCCCAAAGATTCACCGAAAATGTTTGTTGAAAATGTGCCCGATGGACAGCGTGCGGATTTTCTACTGACCAAACATGAGTGTTGCGAAAGTTATTCACCCCATTACGCGTGAACGTAGATTCGTCTGTCACCAATATGCACTTCAAAAAGTCCGGATTATTGTCATGTTGATGCAACAACCACTCACAAAACCGCACTCTTGCTGGAAAATCGTCAGGTTGAAGGGCTTGTACACGTTGGACGTGAAACGGATACAGCCCCTCTTCACGCAGCGTTTGCCACACTTTAGTTTTTGATACTTGCACTTCTCTAGCCACGCCTCTAGTGCTTGTTGTTTTTTGAAACGCAATCGATTATACGGGTTCGTTTACCTCTACACGCGTGACCGTAACCGTCGGCATACTGACCTGACACACTGACCCCGACCCCCGACCCAGTTCTGTCGTCGGGTTGAGCTAGTCCTAGTACCAGTTGGGGATGTCGCGACTCGCGGCTACAGGACGGTATTCAGATATTTTTGATGTTGCAGAGCCCTTTATCTCGGTTCCCTTAAGACATTGGTGTATATGGTACTAAGAAAAATTGCTTATGTTTTCAAGATCTACACGTCGTGTAAAGGAAAACCCCAACTTTGCGGACACCCTGTATTATGATAAAATATTTCAAAATTACCGTCAGTCTTTCCTTTGGCCAATTCCTAGCACCTTGTTGTATCGTCATCAGCACCTGATGAGCGTCGACCTCGTGCTGCTGTGATTTTTCTGCTAATAATTGCGAAAAGTACTTAATAATGATATCTATGTTGTGAATGATGTCATGGAACACGACGTTATCCTTAAATTGCTCGAACAAGTGCTTGTTGTACAGGAGGGTGTATATCAAGTTCGGGTTGTTTGACAGTTGCATCGAGAGACAAGAATTCAGTATCTCCAGAACCATCCTAAGTACCTCTTCTATAACCTGAAAAAAATACGCGGCAAAATTGACATCCATAATCACGTAAAAGTACAGGTTGAGTAGATACGTCGGTTCGGTAATTGGGGTTGCAATTTGGAGCAGATAATAGGGTGTCCCGAACCATGTCTACCATTTCTGGGGATAGTTGTGAAATAATATTTAGTACTTCACCTGCAAATCCTGCTCTAAATCTCCGCCATTTTGGTCTACAGTCACAGCCACCTCTTCTCCTTTCTGATTCTTTTCAGTCTTCATTCTCAACACCAACCTATGATATCTCTTTGCTAACGTTTCGAATAGTGATATCTACAAATTACAACAAAATATTTTTGTACTGCATTGCAGGACGGTTTAAATAGTCCACTTACCAACCGTTGGCTGACGTAAGGATGCAACTCTCTAAATTGTGAAGACATGTTTGCTAACGCTGCTAAGCAATTTGTGTGAAGATATTTATCTCTCATTTTGAGCATATTGTACTGTATCGTCCGAATTACAACCAGTATCAGCAATCCTCCCAAAGATATTTCCACTAGGGCACGCTCGGTATACCATGTAACGTTCTTGATTTTCTAGGGGAATTTGGAGTCAGTTTAGTAGCATAATATTGTAACAAAAAAGGATTGATATTTTAATAATTACAAGGATAATTTCAAATGCAAGGTCTCATATTGTTTTAAGTACATTATTTGTAGAGCTTGAAAAATATGTAACCCAGAAGCTACACTCAGGCAGTACAGTACAATTTCAACTTTTTTTTCGAAAATCACATGAGAACTGAATAGAAAAAAGTGTAACCAAGTAGGTTTCCACTTAGTATATCTATAGTTATATGTATAGTTTTCCCATAATGTACTGTTTCGAGAGTCGTATTTTGGAAACATCACACTCAAATTGCTGAAATGTGGCTCTGGAACATTTTAACTACATATAAATTCTAAGTGTTGTTAGATATATACAGGGTGATTCATAAAAATGAAACATCATGCACAGGACCGCATTTTAAGGGGGTCTTCTATGTAACATTTTTTTCTTGAGGGCTTCATTAAAAAGATACAGGGTGTTGAAGTTTGAAAATAGAAAACGACTATTTTTAATATTTTCAAAACCGTCCACTGGAATAATTACTCTTGTTTTTTCCTAGAGTGCACTGTTTTTGTAAAATTTTTGATTTATATGGGTTGTAAAATATTCAATAATTTAAAAAAAGATATTCAAAAAGCACCGACATTAAGCAGTTTCAAAAATCAACCTTGAAACTCTCAAAAAAAATAATATTGACAAATAAAATCTTAAATTAACAGAATTTCTAACAGATAAACTTATAATTTGAAAGTTCTTTGCATGTTAAAAAATCTATTTTAAAAATTCGACCTTTTTCAATTTTTTATTCCAACTTACCACTTCATGGACCATTTTATTGAAGGAGTAATCTTCACTTAGAATAAGTAAAATTATCAATGACATGTATATGTGGTGAGAATTGCTACTTGGTGCATTATATAAAGTTTTTAAAATAGGTATTATCTGGAAAGAAAAAGGTAAATAATTTATAATAATTATCCAGCGAATGTGATGGTGAACATGACTTATAAATTGAACATGCTAACAAAGTAAATATTTATACCGCATATAGTGCTTGGTTAAAAAATATTCATTAGATCAATATGAATATTTGTAAAAATCAACAAAACATGTGATTAAAACCATTAAGAACTCCCTAGTTGCTTGTTGCCATTTTTTGCTGCTCACATACTAAATAGTTAAAAAATGTATCAGTTAATAACACTGTTTTATCTATGCTGAATGCAAATTTGGAAGTACCAAGTTTGAAATTCAATATAATAATAATATGGATTTTTGAGTACGAAACAATGTGATTATAAAACCTATCATACAAAGTGAAAATGTTTTATGAACCATTGTAACAGTGAGAAAATTTTTGAATAGTAATTAATATTTGAGTGCTAAAAAATACACAAATACAAAGTATATCATTTTCTAAAAAGTCAGGGTAAAAATGAATATTTCAAAGAAAATCATAGTATCATATAGTTTTTGTTGCTTTCTTGTTATTTCTCATTGAATATTCTCTACAAGGTCCTTAGAAAATTATAAAAAATACTCACCAGATGGTCCAAGTCTGCTCTGCTCAAGAGATAGGTCTTAAATGTAGGATTTCGATGTAAAAGTAAATACAATAATAATGTTGTCGCATCTCCAGATGCTTTTTTGCATAGTATCGTATACAACTGATTGTAGCCTATTTTGAACAATAAAGATGCTTTGGTTTCAGGGACAGGATGATTTGCTAAAAAAGAATTAAAATTTAAAGTTCACATACGAAAAAACATAAAAATGCAATTGTTTGTTATCTACTTATTACCTAGACAAAAGCATAAGACTGTTAAAATTAAAATGATTCAAGTTTTCTTATTATTGTTTCATACTAACCTTGGCTATCTAAACAAGAAAACAAACTACTTCTATATGGATTTGATAGTGTTGTCCAATGATGGACTAACACTAATGTTAATAATAAACTTTGTACTGCTAAAGGTGTCTCTTGGAAACTACTCAAGTTTGGGTTTTCCTCATCTTCTGAGGATTTTTTACTAAAAGTCAACATTGACCAGAGATCTGATGCCAAACCTAAAAGTAAATAGTCATTATATACTGTTGGAGTATCACTCTAACTTTAGTTCATCATCTGGTCAAGCTTGAGAGAAAAATTGATGAATTATGATTTCCACTCTCAAACAACTCAATGCCTTTTTTTGTGATCTACAATAGGTTAGATATTACTTTGTATCATTTTATCATCTAAGAAAAGAACTTTTAAATTGCTATTACAATGAATTTCTACGGCACTGTTATCACAAAAACCAAATTAATGGCAACTCCACTTTAACCCGATTTCAACTAAATGTTCTGCTACTTTTTCATTCCCACTAAAGACAACTGCAAACCTTATTTTGAGGTTGTAGTTTTTGAATAAATGTGTTGCAGCTGCTACTTGCTTTTAGGCTGAATTAGCAGCATGATGGTGGACTATGACGTTCTGTTTTGTCAGTAAACCTACCTAATACAATACTGTGCCCATGACTTCCACCAAAACCTAATGGCATCTTTTCTTGATTAATGAAGTTTATCAAAAGACATTTTATAAGTACTGGTGCATGGATAGCATGTTTTCCTTTCATCATCAACTTGTAAATAAGACTTTGGTCTGACCTCATACCAGAATGATATTGCACAGATAATAGCACCAATAAACAAGTAACAGCTTCTAGATGTATCAGATATGTGGAATGATTTACTGGTATATCCACAATGATGCCTATTAAGGTGCCAATGAATGTTTCTAGAGTACTTCCATTGCCATTGTGTTCTATGTGTTTGAGAAGTTGCTCCTCTGTGGTTACTTCTGTCAAGAATTTCAAAATACATCTTATTGTGAAGATTGTGTTGAATAGCTGCCAGTTGAATAGGTTCCTGAGAGGAAATGAAGAATTATTTCATAAATGAAAATTTTACATTTACAACTGTCAAGTTTACACTAATATGTAGTATCCACACAGTAATCCAATGTTCAGCTTGCTAATTTAACCTATTCAAAAATAAGTGGAGGGGGCCATTTTGAGCAGCATGTATGAAATTTTGTTTATCTATGATACAACTTAGAGACATATTGTATTCAGTATCATAATATACAATTTACGTTTAAAAAAAACAAGTGTAATTCCGTTTTTTATAGCTGTTGAAGATTATGACTACATTTCAAGTCAACAAAGTAAAAGGGTATTATAAATAGTATTGACAAAAATACATTATTTTCAAACACAAGCTTTGACAATTCTTCCTAATGATTGGAGGTAAATATTTAATTCAATGTAAATTAGCAGTGGCAAATTGTTTAATTATTCAATTCACCACCTCGCAAAAGAAGGTTTTTACAAACAGTAACAATTTCCAACAACTCCCGACTATTTATACCACAGAATTAAAAGATATAAGCCAAAATAATGGAACTACTTTACATTGAATGAAATGGCAATCCACTTGTTCGTGCTCCACCACACAGGAAGCCACATGGTGATGTCATATGAAAATGATCTATAGTTCTATGATACAAAACTTCAATAAACTAGCTACTATCAACTATGGAGATCTGTTCAACTTACGCATCAGTATCTGTGGCTGACAGCAATTCAATAGACTTCACTATGAATACTTGTATGAGAGACCCAAAGTTTCCAGTAGCCAAGTTGTTTTTTAAAAGTTCTTGGCATAGTGGTTCCAATCTTGATTCTAATGCTAACTGATCATTGCTACAATAAAATAGCGATGAATACTACGTCTGTTAGTTGTCTACAATGTAAAAACTTACACTGTCGTGGGTGGGACAATATTAAAAGCCAGAAATGTGTTCCAAAACGGATCGTTCAGCGAAATTGATTCAGGTCCACTAAATTTCAAGCAATATTCATTCGACGACAAGTCTAAGTTTCTACTGACCACTTTTCCCATGATTCGTAGGCCTTTTTATCAACAAAATCGTCAATCAGAAATTGAAATATTAAGTTTATTTTATCGAGTTTATCAACATTTTCTAACCTGTCATGTCACGTCAACATTTTTTACGCAGATGACAAGATGTCATGTGAGCACTGTGAGCACGTGAGCAGTGTCGCCAGAGCCAACATTAAAAATTCCGCCACTCCGCTACCCCGTTGATTATCGGGGGAAAACAAAAACCAAACAGCGTGATAAAATATAACATAAAACTGTGATAAAAAAAAATTTGGCTATAAAAACAATATTACAAATAACTGTCAAACAACAGAACATTTATGACACGGTCATATTAAAAAAACATCACAGGAAACTAAAAAATAAAGGCTTGAAGTTTTTGAGTTACTTAAACTTAGTCACTGTCTGTATCAGATTCTTCTTGTTGCATTTATGTTCTCTCTATACTATATAAAATATTTTTGTATTTTTTAAAATGTTTTTCGCCAAATTCAAAGTCTAAGCAGCAACATTTTTTTGTGTTGTATCCAGTTTGATAAGTACAGCGAACAAAGTTGAAGGTAAAATTCGATTCCTTTTCTTTATTTTGATTATCTGCACATATGTGAATGTTCGCTCGACATCTGCATTACCATGTGGCAAATGTTAAAATTATTAGACATACTTTGGAAATACACTTCACAGGTTGCGTTCTTTCCACCTACTACCCACAAATCACAGAATACTTTCTATTACCATTTATACGCGTCTCCTTTGAATAAGAATTACCAACCGATGGTTACCACTGTTGATTGGAAAGATACCTGTATTTAGATTTAGTTACTAACTGCACTCAATTTCTTTTTTCTGGTAAAAATACCCATCATGTGTACCTAAATTGCAAAATTCCGCTACTTTTAACAAAAAAATCCCAATCCGCCGCTACCACTTGAAAATTCCGCTACCAGTAGCAGAATTCCGCTACTTCTGGCAACACTGCATGTGAGGTCCGAGGGCTGTGTGGGTTGACATATGACACAGACAGGTGTGAACTAGACATAAGGCTGCTGTTAAGTTATGCACACAAGGTTGCCAAATCTCCTCAGTATTTAGTTTTGATCGATTGATATTTCGATTTTGCGCAGTAAAACAAACGTTAGTTATCCGTTATCAAAATAAGAAAGCTTCCGAGAATAACAAGGGCTTATGTCGTTATTTTTCCTTATTCAGCGCTGTTGTTGGAATTCATAAAGCTGGGTAACCATAATTAGAATAATTTTAAGTTACTCGGATAAAAATCAAGGCATGAAATAGACAGTGTTGAATTGTCCTGATATTTGTTATATATGCAATGCGGCGTTTTTTAGTTCCGGTAGTTTTATGGTTCTAAAGTTTTAGGCCGGTTCGGAGACGAACATTAAAGAAACTTTTCCATGAAAAAAGTTTTGAAATTTTGGGGTTACCTTCACGTCAAAATCGAATGAAGGCAACCTGTCATGACTCTCAGCAGTCAGTACTCAGGTTCACATACATACACACTACGTCTTGTTTGCTAAGACTGTACAAGCAAAACGGACGATTTGTGTCTATGCGAACTGTTAGGGAAATGTGGGACAATGTTTATCAAACAGCGACATCATTTTATTAGGCATAAAGTCGGATGAGTGTGAACTTATATTGTGTTCCTACTAACCATTTCATGTAGGTTCGATGGAAGATTGAGTAAACATGGTTCATAAGATAAAAACTTTTAATTATATCAATCTAAATAAAAACTAATAGTAACACAAATAAAATTCCAAGTTAGTCAGCATCAAACCTTCTTTCCTCATGTAGGTCTTCCTTGAACAGCACTGTCTTTGTAATGCGCTTCTCAGATTTGCTGAAAAAAATCATGAAAACAGTTATAAAATGAGTCATTTCGTTTAACGAAAGTAAGAAGAGCGAGTTTTGGTCGAGATTATATGATGATTTATGTTTCTCAATGCAAAATTTCCATCTTTGTTATACCTTGTTACAAGCTAAGTACACCTGGGAAACTTATGGTTAAAAAACTGCTCACATCTTCAGTGTTTGCTGTTTAGCTTCAAAATACGTAAGATTTGACCAGTTTTTAGTATTCCATAGCAGTATGCGATGTAACCAAAACTTTGCAGTCGGCTCTTGGACTATTGCTGTTTTACAAATAAAAACAGCGAACTATAGTTATCAAGGCGGTGTTGCCAAGCTGCCATAAAACATTTATAAAACGCGACATTTATACTGAGCAGCTCTCAGCGGTTTAATGGTTACGTCAAAAAGTCATACAAAATGAACATATATACAGGGTGACTTCGAAGTTGAGTCATTTATTTTAACAGTGAGTAGATCTGATCAAAAGAAATGTTTTTTTCCTTTAACATTTTTGTGGTAAAATTAAAGTAACAAAGTTATAGCCCTTTAGAAGTTTGAGTACCGCCCTGTCTCAATAATAATATTATGTGCTCGTGTTTGGCGACAACGGATATACTCCGCCTTATCGGTTCATCGTATCGGAAACAAAAAAGCGAAAGAATTTGAAACGCTGATCACGATGTTTTTATTCAATCTGCGTCAGTCGGTAACGCGTGAGTGAATAGTGGTGTTTGCTGCGTGGCTCAAACGAAATAAAAAATGGCACATATTTATGCGGATCGGTTTCCCAATCGAGTGCAACCAACCCCCCGTGCATATGTTAATGTAGTACAACGGGCTCGTGAATCAGGTGACTTAAGTCCTCACAGGGGACTGCATGCCGGTGCTCCAAGACGTCACGATCAAATACATACAGGTCCGCACTGAAATACTTGTCGGGAGGATACTTTATAAAACAAGGTAAATTTTTTTTTTATTTTTTTTAATTTTTACACACATATTTTGGTTTATCTTCCTTCTACAATCATTATCTGAAAATTAATGACTCAACTTCAAAGTCACCCTGTATAGTTGAAATCACGAAAGATGACAATTACGTCATCATTTTAGTCTGTAGTAAAGACAAACGACAGCGATTTGTGCATATTTTTAATGAAGTTTCAGATATGCTAGACAGAGACAAACAGAATTTTATTGTCTAAACAGATTGTATTGTTAATATGCATGTATCCGACAAAGATAGACGATGCCTTCATGTTGCATGATCGATCATATTTGAAAGATGAGTAGTTAGGTTATGTTAAAGTAGGTTAGGTTGTTTTCAAATAATACTTTGGTCTTTGGTGTTTCTGTCTTAAGGTATTATTCTAATCATAACTGTTTTTTTCAAAACTCCGCACTAAGATTATTATTACTCAAAACCATGAAATAAAATGAAAATAAAAATAATCAGTGAAATAACCTAACTTCGCAAAATCATAATATAAATTTGTTGTCATCATGCCTGACATCGTGATTTTATCATCGAAGTACGTCCATTGATTACTTCAGTACAATTTATGGTATGACGTAAAGGTCACCTTTCGTGATTCTGACGATTGGTCCAATAAGCAATTTTAGGTTAGAAAACATTTAAATTCCAAGCTGTCACTTTTTTTATTAGTAAACTAAGCCGCTTTGTATTGCGCGTAGCGCCATAAGGTTAAATAGCTATGTGATAACTTACAAGTTTTGAGAATAGCTTCTCTCGTGAAAAGTGTGATTTATAACTTTATTTATGAAAAATATATTTCGTAGGTTGCAAATGGATGGTAAATATCCCCACAAAGAATAAATGTCCAAAGAAAGTAAATTTGGAGATACAATGCGTTCACTATGAATTCAACCTGAAAGCTTCATCTAGCAACAACGCATTCATTTCCGTGTTTAGACGCCAGCTGCTGATTTATGGACGCCATGTTTTTAGAGATTTCTCTTATCTCTAATTTTATTCGCCCTGTCTGTCTTCTCTTTATATAATTACTCTTTGACTCCATCATATTTTTTTCGTCACATTTTGTTCACAAGTATACTCTATAGACTTCGGCGGCTTGCAACCCACAAAGTATGCTGAGTTGCATGCAGTATTTTGAGCAACATACTGGTTGAGCCATTCCTCTGTAGGTGGCGCTCACCGTGAGTAGGCGCGACTACTTAGGGCAGTATTCTATCGTCACTTGTTCCTACAATTGAAGGACGCCTTTATGGCCTCCTTGATTTCCATAGTTTTTCCTGTAAAGGCAGTAGTATTACTAGATTTCTGTTTCGTGTAAGCGCTCTATTTTGAGGTTATATTGCCTTTTTGAATTCTAAGATATTTCAGGCTGATAAAACTTTACTTATATCATCTGTTTTATAAACCTAAAATGTCAAAAGATTAAAAAAACGCATAACCTCACAATAGGAGAACGCTGTCGCTGACACCGAACGGTATAAATCTGAAAGAGAATAGACCATGACAATCAAAGAGGCCATAAAGGCGTTCTACAATTGTAGGAACAACTGACGATACGGATCTTAGTGCCCAAGTTGACTTCATACCGATTTTCAATCAGATTCCATTGATTTTTTACGTAATACTCCTGCCGGTCAAAAAAAAAATAGTTGAGAAGACCTTTTTGAAAAGCACCGTTTTTTTACATACCTTGATCGACTCTTCAGAATGCTTCTACCAGGTGTAAGCCCATCATTCAACTTGATCGACTGCGAAAGGTTCATTATCGCCAAACCTGGAGAGGAATTCCTCCGTTTCTGCTGCAGTTGATTCGTGAGCAAAGATGCCCTGAGGCTACGCCTTGAACTGCCGCTTGGTTGCGTAAGGCTCTTTCTAGGTGTCGATTTTTGAGATGCGACATCCTTTACTCCTTCAATTGATATTGTCGGCAAATCATTGCTGCTGCAAATAATAATAATAAATCGTCTTTTATTTCAAAGAAAATTCAGTATAATAAAAAATATATATAATACCAGTGGTGAAGTCTAGCTGACAGCTAGTCTATTCAACCACTGGAGGGGAGCATGCAAATAAGCGAATAAATGAATTTGTTATTAAATAATACGTAATTACATATGCCAAAATCAATGAGGTGGACAGAAAAAGTATACATATGATAAATAACATAGAGCAATACAGGCATTCGCAGTAAAACATACATATGTACAGATTATGCTTTTAACTTTTAAAAACTATACAGGGCATAGAAAGAAAGGAACAACATTTCTATGCTAAACAGATCTAGCCACACTTTTGATATCAATATTGCTTTTATATATACATATACAGGTGACTTTGAAGTTGAGTCATTCATTTTCAGATAATGATTGTAGAAGGAAGATAAATCAAAATATGTGTGTAAAAATAAAAAAAAATTAAAAAAAAAATGTTACCTTGTTTTATAAAGTATCCTCCCGACAAGTATTTCAGTGCGGACCTGTATTTGATCGTGCGGTCTTGGAGCACCGGCATGCCCTCCCCTGTGAGGTCTTAAGTCACCTGATTCACGAGCCCTTTGTACTACATTAACAAAGGCACGAGGGGTTGGTTGCACTCGATTGGGAAACCGATCCGCATAAATTCGTGATGCCGCGTAAATAAGAATCATGTCCACAAGTTCAGCATTTTCGTAAACATGTGCCATTTTTTATTTCGTTTGAGCCACGCAACAGACACCACTATTCACTCACGCGTTACCGACTGACTGACTGAATACAACTGAATGAAATAATTGTAAAAACATCGTTCCAAATTCTTTCGCTTTTTTGTTTCCGATGCGATGAACCGATAAGGCGGATTATATCCGTTGTCGCCAAACACGAGCACATAATATTATTATTGAGACAGGGCGGTACTCAAACTTCCAAAGGGCTATAACTTTGTTACTTTAATTTTACCAGAAAAATGGTAAAGGAAAAAAACATTTCTTTTGATCAGATCTACTCACTGTTAAAATAAATGACTCAACTTCGAAGTCACCCTGTATATACTCATGTACACTTATATAGGAGTTACAGAATAATAAATAAATAAAAAGTTGAATACACAACATTGCATCATTGATCCTACAGCATATCAAACAAATAACGTTTTAGTTTGAATTTTAACTTGTTCATATTAAGAAGCTTGAATTCTTGTGGCAGCTGATTATACATCCTGATAGCATTATATATGAACGACCTTTGAAACATGGCGGTCTTATGCTGCAGAACGGTGTCGTTCAATTTTGATCTTATATTTTGATGATGAGTATCTTTGCGAGGTATGAAATGCTTGATCAGACCTGGAGGATTTGGAGTGTTGACCAGTTGATGCGTAAAATTTCACAGGTGAAGGAGTCTCCTATTTTTCATGTTAAGCGATTCACACTCTCGGATTTTGTGTGATATGGGGTCATAGTTCCTAATTCCGTATACCAGCCTACAGCAGCTATTTTGAACCAGTTATATTTTCGTTATGTCAGCACTAGTCAGGCACGGCCCATAAATAAAGCTACAATAGTTGAAATTACTAGGCACCAAGGTCTCACATAAGGTTTTTTTTTTGTTTTTTTACATAGGAAATGTCGACTGCTATAAATGATTTTGAGGGAACTAAATGCTTTATTTACAAGCGTTTGAATATGGAGTGAGAAACGAAGGCTTGGATTAACAGTTCAGCCTAAATTACGGGAAGAATCGCAGAAGCTTAGCACTTCATTTGTAATGTTCAATGAAAGAGTGTCCTTTAAGACATTTATACTATTTTTATTGCCAAAAGCCTTGGAAAAATTCAAAAGAACAAGAGCGCTAGACAAACCTTCATGATACGCCATTAAAATATCTGAGGTTACCGTAGCTAGTGATGTTTCAGTACGTCTTCCAGGTCTGAATCCAGACTGGCAGTCAGGAAGTAGACCAAAGTATTCATGAATTTGTATATATATGTAGATGTTTTTAAAAAATGTTTGAGCAAGTGCCCATCACTTCACAGGGCGGTCCCTTAAGTTGGCTTCACGCGGCGCAACAGCGTCGCCGAACAGAGACGCGCGATTCACCCCATATAATCTTAGGGAGTTGTTGAAATACTGCAGGTATTCGACTCGCATTGTTGTTGCCACCAGCACTCACGCTTCTTGTTAAAATATTACCTACCAACGTGTTTTTTCGATTTTTTTCGGATGCCCTTATGATATTACTTATGAAAATAATATGCAGTGTATTAGAAGAGTAATGATATCTCACCAAATCGCTATTACCTATGGGTAATTCAGCACATGCATGCATGAGAAAAAGATCATGGCTCCCGAAGTGCCTTTCCACTTTTTCATTTTGTTAAGAAAGTGGCAACTCGTCACTGGATGAAAAATATCTTTTTCTAAAATAGTGTCCTGAACAAAACACCCTATGAGGCATGCCGTAGAATCAATCTGGGCATATGATACAAATATACTTTAACGCAAATAGTCATACCTTGGATTTTGAGATTTCTTTGTCCTCTTCCTAGCTGCTGCTATCATTTCTTTGATTTTTGATGTTGCTTGAGCTTTAGTTTTCCTTTCCTTTTTCGCCTTCACAACTTTATTCACCGTGATGACCTAAGAATTAGAAAGTTTATACAAACAAACCACACTGATGATGCCATTGGTCACATAATTGCATCAATCATTCAATTCATGAACAAAAAGCTTACTTCTTGCCAATTATTTTCCTTCAACCTTTTCAAATTGTTGAAGCGTTTTTCAACATCCTCGACTTGCAAAAACACCATATCCCAAAACCCATGAAGATCTTGGCACGTCACAGTCCCGCGTTCTTCATCTCCTGATTGACACCGTTCTATTAAACGTCTAAACTAAAAAAAAAAAAAAAAAAATAAATGAGAAAACAAACATTATGATACCGTTATGATATCCATTATTTAAATGGGTGATAGAGGGGGTTAAAAAGCAAAAAGTTTCATATAACATGGGGGTCAAAACGGCATTTTGTTTAGAGAAAAGCGACTTTAAAGTAAAATAAAATCTGACAACGCCGCAATGCCAGACGCAAATTACGACGGAACGCAGTATACATATAAAGATGGAGTTTGTTATTTTTGGCTCTTAGGTATTATTTCATTATTTGATAATGTAGTCGTAAAATGCAAGCAATTAAAAAAGACGGACTTATCACTAACTGTCTGAACACTTCACCTGGTTTGTGAAAGTTTATTGAACGTATTTAAAAAATCCGCTTATAAATAGGCAACACAATTTTGATACATACATTGTTTTTATATTTAAAACCCACACTGCCCATTTTGTTATTTAAAGAATGTGTTCAAAATGTCGTCCTCCACTTTCCACACAAGCTTCATTACGACGAACCCAGTTTCTTCTTACTCTAGGTCCTCGAAGTCGTCCATTTATTATTTCAGCCGCATTAAAATTTTTTTCGCGAAGTTGTGCTTCAGTTGTTATTGTACCAGCCCCATAAACCATCCCTTTAAGTTCTCCCTGATACCAGAAATCCATCGGATTGAGGTCAGGAGATCTTGCTGGCCATTTTCGAGGATCAGGAGCATTTCGACCGATCCAGCGATTTAGATAATGTTCATTCAAATACTGAATGACGCCTCTAAAAATGTGTGGCGGTGCCCCGTCATGAAGAAACCACAAATTCTGTTTCCGTTGCAATGGCATGTTGTCTAAGGTCTGTTCCAAAAGTTCTGGTAGATTGTTGGCTAGAAAGCTAAGGTATCCTTCTACTGACAACTTTGGGGGTAACTCGAAAGGGCTAATTACCTGATCGTCAAGAATACCCGCTCAAATATTTATTTTAAAACGTTGTTGGAAATGACCTTCACGAATTTTATGAGGATTTTCTTGGGCCCACGTGTGAGTATTATGGAAATTTAATATCCCGTCGATAGAATGTTTTTAAAAAAATCCGGATTTTCAATGTTTTTGTGCAAGAATGTTAGTCTGCGAGGATAGTCTTCTGGTAACAAGGCCCGCACTCATTGTACATGGTAGGGATAAAGCATCAACATGTCGGCGAACTCTTGATTCGAGAACATTGTAAATAAACACGACGACGTACGCGAACAATAACTAATCACTGTTACCGTTTGCGATCGATTGCCGGTTCGATAGGAGTGATTAATGACCGACGCGCTGTTGTCATGTGTGTTTTAAATATTTAATTTAATGAAACTTACCGACTACAAATTTTGGCTTAACTTAGAGACGTTTTAGATTAGATTATAAAAATTAGTAAGATTGTGGTCGACATAAACCACTTAACGTTGTAAACTTATAAAGTCATTTAGACAAACATCTATTGACTTTTGGACCACCTTTTTGACGACCCCTATTACCCACTTCAATAATGACTACCATAACGTTTACATCCAGTATAACAATACTCCAACAGAAAGTTATTTTACAAATAAGTTTCAGTATCTTACAATTGATTACCTGGTTGAACTTCTTGGCTACAAGCAACTTTGATTGGCCTACGGCCACATCAATCATATTTACTGCTTCTTCAGGGATACCAGTTTCTTTACATTTATTCCACTCATCGCATTTTTCTAAAAAAAGATGGAATTATATCAATCAAATAGAAAAATATTTGAACAGTGTTCAAAACAACTTCAACTTTAGGACAGAAAATATAAAAATTCAGCCAAAAATCATTTTGCGATCTCATATACACAAAAGAACTTATTATAGTATTTCTGACCTTAATTGAAACCAACGAAAAAATGTGGAATTCTATATATACGCTTTGAATACTAGGTATCTAGAGAAGGGAAATAGTGGGATGTAAAACCTAAAATACATTTGTTGCAGAAACCGTTTGGTGCATGATACTTTATTTTTTACCTTATATGCGTTTAGTTACCTTCTATCTTCCTAATTTCTTCATTCAGCAGATTTTTGAAGTACTGAGCTCCAGCTTTAGGACTCGTAGTGGCCTCAGCGCCAGGCAAAGTGCCCCCAGTACTACTTCTAATGTGGAACTCTTTTCTGGCACTGCTTTTCCCTCTGGAGATCGTCACAAATGGACTTAGGTACACAGATTCCCGCTTTCCTTTTTGCTCAGGAGTCACAGTATCTGACGATGGTGAAAATGCCTTCTTTGCATCGGGCGTTTTTGGGACGGGCTCAACTTCTTTCTGACTCTCACCGGAATTAGAATTAACTTCATTCTTTGGAGACATGTTCTGCAAGTATTTATCCAACATTCTGTTGAGTGTTTTTCTGTTTTCAAGAGTTAATGACTCCAACGTATTTGAATCTGGATGACTTGCGCCTTCAATGGACGAGGTTGGGCGTTTATTTATAGACGCTCTAAGAGATCTTCTCTTAGCTGAGCTTGGAGCCGTTTTACTCGATTTAGAATCTTGGGAGGACTCAGATTCTGATCTTACACGTTGTGTGGATGGATTCGCGAGTGTTCTCAATCGGCTTCTAAGAGACATCTTCAAGCTGGGGCTATCAAAATCTTCACTTGATATTGGAGTTTTTGGATCTAAAACAGTAACTGATACTGAATTTTGGACAGTTGAGGTTCTTCCTTTCCTAGTTGGTGTATTTATAGACTTTCTCATTGCCACAATTCCAGAGATTTCACTTGATTTCCATTTGTTCAATGATTTTCTGGTAGTAACAACAGATGTTTCTTCAGGTTCTGATTCCAATATTTTTGTTGACGACCTACGCAATTTACTCTTAGTTTCCGCAGCTGGGCTTTTCACGCAAACTTCATCATCACTGAAAAGTATCACATCTTGACGGCGTGATCTATATGGAGTTGTTTTATACTTTTTTGTTTGTGATGGGCCACTCAGAACAACATTGCCTTCACTTTGTATTCTCAGAATGCCAGAGTGATGTCTCAGTCTAGTAGGTGATACAAATACATCATCATTGCTAGAGCCACGCTGGGAACCAAATCTAACGTTCCTCCTTCCCTTTGCAGGGGTGGGTGACTCGCCTGCATATTCATTTTCAGACCCCTTGTAATTTAGAGGTTCTCGATTTTCTTCATCACCTTGCTTTTGAATACCACTGACTGTAGCCGTTTTGTTAGGACTTACATGTGAATCAACATCGTTAATTCCACTAGAACTAGACGATTGATATCTTTTTGCAATACCTTCTCTGGATTGCCTCTGCTCTCTATCCTTCTTTGTGCTGGATCTCCTTTTCAAAGAGTCAAGCTCAACAGGGCTGGGTGATATTGGAGTTTTTGGATCTAAAACATCCAAATTTGAAGTAACCGAATTTTGCACAGTCAACCTGCTTCCTTTCCGTGTTTCCAATGATTTTCTAGTAGTATCATCAGACGTTTCTTCTGGAACTGAAGGTTTGAAATCCAAAATATCTGCATCCGATATTTTTGTTGAACTCCTATGCAATTTTCTCTTAGTTACATATTGGAAACTCGAAGCTGAATCTGTTGATGCATAGAAGTCAGATATTCCTGGAGTTGACTGCGAATCTGATGATTTGAAAGATTCTCTAAGCCTTCTCACAGCTGGGCTTTTCACGCAAACTTCATCATCATTGTAAAGTATCGCATCTTCACGCCAGGGCTTTGTTTGTGATGGTCCACTCAGAACATTGTCTTCACTTTGTATTCTCAGAATGCCAGAGTGATGTCTCAGTCTAGTAGGTGATACAAATACATCATTGCTAGAGCCAATCTGGGAACCAAATCTAACATTCCTCCTTCCCTTTTCAGGAGTGGATGGCTCGCTATCAGATTCATATTCACTTTTGAAACAGTTATTTGGTTCATACCCCTTGTAATTTAGAGGTTCTCGATTTTCTTCATCACCTTGCTTTTGAATACCACTGACTGTAGCCTTTTTGTTAGGACTTACATGTGAATCAACATCATTAATTCCACTCGATGTTATATCATTTCCTTTGATAGAAACATTTTTCTTTACTGTTGTTTTTTTCTTTTGATTTAGGCTCTGCAGACGTTTGGATGCATTTAATTTTGCTTTATTTACTTTGTCACTTACAAAATTTGTGATTTTTTGTCCACTTGGTTGACTTGAATTGACTTTTTTCATTAGCTGGGGCATTATCTTTTTATTATCATTTTTTATAACAGGTTTGCTAATACTGAGTGTTTTTGATGTCTTATTTTCATTTAATTTTTTTTTGACGCAGGAAGGTGGATTTTTATCTGTTGTTTTTGTTGACTTATTTTCATTTAAATTTCTTTTATCCAAGGAAGTTGGCTTTTTCTCTTTTGGCTTGTTACGAGCATTTGATGATGTTGTCGTTTTAATCTTATTGTCACTTCTTTCATACTTTTCAATTACTTTTTTTTCAACAGGCTTGCTAAGACCGCTCGATTTTGCAAATTCAATAGGTATTATATTTTTTGGTGGCACAAACTGATGATTCAGTGGGGCTAGAAGCTAAAACAGTATATACCTCAATTAGTTAAAATCAAATGATGAAACAATTATCAGAATTTAAAAAAATGTCAGATAAAGAACTAAAATTGGCAAATACATTATCAAACGTTTCGGTAGGTGTGCCACAGGGTAGCAAATTAGGTCCATTACTATTTATTTTATATATTAACGATATTCCTGATATTTTACAACACTGCAAAATTCAACTATTGGCTGATGATACATTAATATATATATATATATATATATATATATATATATATATATCAAATAAAGACATCGAAACTGCAATAGAGCTATTAAATAATGATATGAAAAACTTAATAAATTGGTTAAATGTAAATAAACTTAAACTAAAGACAAACAAAACAAAATATATGCTAGAACGAAAATCTTTAGGTCAAAATACGATAAATCTTACAATCGAATCATTTAAATATTTGGGCATATATGTAGACAGTAAATTAAAATTTGAAGGGCACTATGAATATATTATTTCGAAAATATCCAAGAAAATAAATTACTTTTACAGAATTTCGCATAGCCTAAGCGTTTATACTAAAAAAATTGCGTACAACACTATCATTCTTTTTGTTCACTGCAAATAAAACTGTATTTTCAAAATTACAAATATTACAAAATAAAGCTATGAGAATCATCTTAAATAAAAATAAATATACTAGAATAAATTTTATGCTGAAAGAACTACAATGGTTAAATATCAAAAATTTCATAGACTACTTGGTTTTCATTTTCATATTCAAGTTGAAAAATCATCTTCTACCAAATCACCTAGAAAATTTTATTGTATTGAACAATGAGTGCCTCAATTATTCTACTAGAGGAAGTATAGACTTTCATTTACAAAACTGCAGTAGCAATATAACGAGCAAGTCAGTATTTCAAAAGGGATTGTACGAATTTAATAAATTAAATAATGATATCAAAATGTGTGTCTGAAAATGTTCAAAGGGAAATTGAAAACATATCATGGAAAACCAGAATTCATAGTAATGAAATTTTGTAAAAAATATGTAGTCTTGAAGACATAATATATTTTGTGATATACCGTGTAATATGGATATTATGGACATAGTAGCATTAATGCTAAATAAATCTGAAACAAACATAAATACCTTTGAATATGGTTCCAGAGGCAGTTCAATTTTATCAGGTACATGAGATACTTTAAATACAGGTTTCATCTTCTTTTTTGCTTCCAATTTAATTCTTTCCTTTTCTGCCCTCCATTTTGCTAGTTTTTCTCTCATGTTATTGTTGGTGGCTTTCTTAATAAGTACCTTGCTTTGCTCTAAAATACAAATAGTGTGGCATTTAGCATAACACTAAGGGTTTGGTTGCAGCAACTGCTGGTTTCGCTGAACGGGGGTTGCAATTGGAGGAAGACTAATGAGGTATGCCACCAGAAGCCTCTCTAGCAATATCCATTCCTGTAGTCTACACATGGGGATTCAGCATAAACCTTCAGTATGAACTGAACAAATATAAGTATCAGTATGACAGTAGACATTTAGCATGCTGGTATTGAGATTAAACTCAGTTTTATATCAACTATATGTGTAATACTGAAATCCATACGCTTTTAATTACGACACAAAAAAGTTAGTCTGCCTATTCTATTTAAAAAATATATGTACGTAGGTAAGTAATATGAAATACAGGGTTTGTCCGGAAAGTAATATCGACTGGATTCGGTAGAGTGTTCCTAGCTAAGGAATGAGCGGCTGGTTAGTTAGTTTTGCGCGTCATGTTTCTGTGAGTGGTGCAAGCCGAAAATGCAGCGTTCGTTAGAGCAGAGGTACGCGATTAAATTCTGTGTGAAACTCGGTAAATCTGCGACAGAGACGTTTGATATGATCAAACAGGCTTACCCAGGAACCCAGGTGTTGCTTTAGCAAGAAGTGGTGTGTTTCGGTGGCACCAGGCCTTTTTGGAGGGCCGGGAAGAGGTCGCTGATGAAGACCTTCGACAATTTACCAAAATCTGTGGTTCATGACATTGTGACACAGAAATTGCGGCGAGTGGAAGTGTGCCAAGAAAATGTGAACGTGACCGAAAGTGACCCCCAATTTTTGAATAACGTAATCACAGGTGACGAGTCGTGGATCTTTGAGTATGATCCCGAGACAAAGAGGCAATCTTCCGAGTGGCACACGACGGCGTCTCCTCGCCAAAAAAAGGGAAGAATGAGCAAATCCAAAGTGAAAACGATGCTCATTGTCTTTTTTGACATCAAAAGCATCGTCCACCATGAATTTGTTCCTCCTGGACAAACCGTCAACGCCAAGTTTTATGTGGAAGTGCTCAGGAGACTCGAACGAAGGGTCAGTCGGGTCCGACAAGACATCGCAGCCGACTGGAAGTTGCACCACGACAACGCACCGGCTCACACCGCCTTTCTTGTGAACAGCTACCTGACCAAGGCCGGCATCCCAACGCTTCCGCAGCCGCCCTACAGCCCAGATGTGGCCCCCCCCGGACTTTTTTTATTTCCTCGCCTGAAAAGGCTGATGAAAGGCAAGCATTTTGAGATGACAGAGGGGATCCAAGCAGCATGCACCGCGGCTCTCAAGGCTATTCTGGAGAATGCCTTACGTGACGCCTTCAATGCTTGGAAATCGGGCTGGCAGCGCTGCATCGACGTAGAAGGAGCCTATTTTGAAAGTTTTTAAAGAATTGTAACGATTGGCTCAGTAATTTTTTTTAAATCGTCTCAGTCCTATTACTTTCCGGACAAACCCTGTAGCATCAAATTTCAAAACAAAATTCAGAAAGAATATGATTACACCTGACCTATGTTCTTTGTTGGAGTTGGTGTGATTGGCGACATATTCCTTAAATTTCTATAGCTACTTAACAACGTATCTCTGGTTTGTCTTCTGTCATTTTTTATTTGCTCTATTCTATCTTTTACGCTTGTTGGATGATATTCTTTACTCGCTGCAGCTTTATAGAGGTCTTGTGTGGTTTTTTGCTTTATGTATTCTGATAAATCCATCTGTGAATAAACAAATTAAAAATATGTTATTTTATTACATACTATTTTATTTGGCTCAATTAATGATAACATTATTATTACATAATTTATATCTCATGTCCACAATTTGTATCTAAACAAAAATTTATGTTGCAGGTTTTGGATTTTCTTTATGTATAAATACAGGTATTTTGGGATAACATCAAAAGAGTAGGTAGCATATTGATATTTAAATTACAGTGAAAAGTATTATGCATAATAATAAAAAAAGAGTCAAACAAAAAACAGATATTGAAGAGATACTGGCTGAAGACAGAATGAAGCAAAACAAAAAACAGGTGGTGTCTTTGTTTCAAGCTTATTTGCATTTTTATAAATTGTTATCACTTATATCTCATGTCCACAATATTTATTAAAAAAAAAAATCAGTCGTTTCCATTTAATTTACAGACATATATCCACTTGTTAGTAGGAGGTACTATTGTAATATCACATTGCAATGAAACTCACACTGTCATACTGGTTTGAATATAAAATTTTGTATGACTTAGATATTCATATTGACTTGCTAGTATTATTCTAATAGGTATAATATTACATTGTAAAAACAATAACTCATACAGTTAAAACTTTATTCATTGATAAATTGTAGATTATTACAAAAAGTAGGTACATGTCTGACAATTATTGTTAGGTGTTATAAAATGATGTGTTAGTAAGTACCTATAATGAATTTGTCAAAAATATATTTTTTTACTTGTTTCACCAAATTCATCCTCAAAAAGTCAAGTTCTTTGTTAAATGCATTATTATTATGCGTAATAGTTTACTGTAATTTAAATATCAAAATATTATGCTACCCTTGACATTACTCCAAGATACCTAGGCACACACTATTTATACACATGGAAAATCTCAAATTGTTTTATGTTTATGTGCAAAATTGTGGAAACGAGATATAAAAATACAAATTTGCATAAAACATAAACACCACCAGACTTGTTTTGTTTGTTCTTGCACCTACAATGGGAATATTTATCGTAACCATCTTTAGCTATTTGGAAAATATTATTACGCCTTAAATCTTATCTATCTCCATTGGTTTTATGTGAATCAAACCTATAATACACTTTCGGAAGAGATTACATTGGAATGTTGTTTATCTGGTTTGACAGTTTTTCTTGGGTTTATCAGTACAAGTTTTTTACTAGCATGCTTGGTTTGTCCTACATCTTATTTAGGGCGTGTAGATGATATGAAGAGATTCTTGTGTCCCCTGACTCCAAAATATGATGCGTGGTTAAATGCAAAGATAACAAAATATATATAAACTAAAGATAAAATACTGGCCATATAAAACACTGAAACTCGCGAAAATATTAATCACTGAACAGATAAAGGAAACGATCTTGAAAGTATTAAATTTAGTTTCATATAACTTTACAACTCACTTTTTGGATATTTGCTTTAAATCCAACAGATTGAAAGTGAAACGTCCAAACCGCTTGACAACAGCCACCTAACGAATAACGAACTATTTTTGAAACATAGAACAAGAAGCGCTTGCGACACGCCATAGGAACACAGAACGAGAAATAGAGGAAGTCATGATTGTGACTGACGTGTATTCTTCACCGCCATTTTGTTTTCTTTTTGGAAGAAATATTTTTCACAAAGATCGAGTCTGACTATCCATCTAGTTCATTCCATAAAACAACTATGAGAAATAATTGGCTCGAAAACGTTTGTTATAGACAAGTGATACAATTGCATACCAAAATATTATAACGTCAATATGTTGAACTGTGTGCAACTACGCGTGCTTTATTGCAAATTAGCTTATCATTTTTATGACAACAATAGCGGCAAATAATCTTCCGACACACCCTGTATAGAAGTAACAAAAAGTGATTGTGAATGGTTGTAGCTCTTTTTCCCATCCTCGTGTCAACTGTCAACGTCAAATGTTTCAACCGTCAGCTTCAGCTGATTCTGTTAGGTTAGGTTATATTTACATTCACAGATTTGATTTAGTATGACAGTGTGTTTCTGATTTTGTGATGCATTTCTTCTAATACAATTCAGGATGAGTAATATTTATATTCTAGAACCACCAACCTCGGGAAAGGTAAAAAAAAACAACTCTCCTTATTCTGTAATCTATTTTGCAATCCCTCAGGTATTGCTGAAAACCTCTGTGGGTGATATAGATATAGAACTATGGGCCAAGGAAGCTCCAAAAGCCTGCAGAAATTTTATCCAGCTATGTTTAGAAGGCTACTACAACAATACAATTTTCCATAGAGTGCTCAAGGGCTTCATTGTACAAGGTGGTGACCCTACAGGTGATGGCACTGGTGGAGAATCCATATATGGCCAACCATTCAAAGATGAGTTTCATCAACGACTGAAATTCACAAGGAGAGGTCTCCTTGCTATGGCCAATGCCGGTAAAGACGACAATGGCTCACAATTTTTCTTCACAATGGCTGCTACTCCAGAACTGAATAACAAACATACAATATTTGGTAAAGTCTCAGGTGATACTGTATTCAATATGCTGAAGTTGGAAGAAGGGCTGATCGAAGATGAAAGTCCTGTTTATCCAAATAAAATTTTGAAGACTGAAGTGCTGCTCAATCCTTTTCCAGACATTGTGCCAAGAATTCAGAGAGTAGAAGTTAAGGAAAAGAGGAAAAAAGATAAGAAAACCGGAGTAAAGTAGGTACAATTTCATAACAATGGTGCTTTAATATTTATCTTCACCATCGGCAATAGACTATCAAACATTAAATACAATTTAATACTATTTATTTTATATATTATTTATATGAATATATCATTTCAAAAATATAAAAAAGGTAAATTGCTTTTATAGAATTGTGGGTAGCGTAAGGGTTTATTCTAAAAAAATTATGTACAATACTATCATTCTTCGTCATTTGTCATATTGTTCAACTATTTTGTTTAGTCCAAATAAAACTGGATAATTTTAAATCTTGATATACCAGAATTAATGTCATGTCAACAGAACTAAAATGATTATACAGACTTTCATAACCTACATGATTTTCATATTCAGTTCAAGTAAAAAAATCATCTTCTCCCAAATCTATTTAGAAGATTTTATTGAATTGAACAATGAGTACCATAGTTATTCTGCTAGAGTCAGTATTCCAAAAAGGATTGTACAACTTTAATAAATTAAGTAATGATATCAACATGTGTGCCAGTTTGAAAATGTTCCAAGGGAAATTGAAAAAATACTTCTAGGAAAACGAGTATTCATAGTACTGAAATTTTGTATGAAAATATGTAGGCTTAAAGACATAAAATATGAGATATACTGCATAACATTGATATTTTAGCATTAATGCTAAATAAATCTACAACAAACAAAGATAAGAAAATTGTGCTTAGATCACTGGGAAATGATTACAACTTTATATAATTCAAGGAATTTCAAATTGTTGTCCTTTGGTGAAGAAGCCGAAGAAGATGAGGAAGAATCGACTAAACAAAACCAAAAATATGTAGGAAAGGGAAAATCTTCACATGATGTTTTAGGTAACATTTTATAATTTTTAAGCTTTTTACAATAGTTGCATAACTCCAAAAATTTTATAAAGCATTCAATTTGTAGATGATCCAAAACTAAGTTCTGAAACACAGCCACTTGATTCAGACATAAAAGATGAAGAAAAGGAGGAGAATGATACTGAAGAACAGTTGGACAGTATAAGGAAGAAATTCAAAGCAGCGAAAGAATCAAAATTGAAATCAAAGAAACCTCTCGCAGAAACCAGCACAAGCAGTTCACAAAAAATAATTGATGATGAAGACCATGCTCTAGAAGATTATTACTTGCATAAAGACAGAGATCTGGAGAGGAAGAAAAAAGTGTGAGTATCATTTAATAAATCATTCGCAGTTTTGAGAAACATGTTTCCACAGGGATGAAATAAAAAAAGAAATTGAGAGTGTGAAGCGGGATTACCACAAAAACAAACTGAAAAAAGTTGAGGAGCAGGAAGAAGCTAGACAGGAAGAAGAGGTCAAAAATGAAACATATGAAAAGTACAAAGCAGAATGTGAGATTTACAAAAGTAAAAAGGAAGCTCTGCCTAAGAAAGGTGCAGGTAGAGAACAATTTACATTGAGTTTATTAGAGAAATTCAAGAAAAAACTGCATTCTGCCAAGGAAAAAGAACCAGAAGAGACAGAAACTGTTGAAAAAGATGATGACATCGATAATGAAGAATCATGGTATGTTTTATTTTTGATCCTTGTGATTCTCCATCTTGACTATACAAATATTAAATTGGTTATTTTTGTGTATTAGAGAATATACATGTGATTTAAATATAAATCAATTATTTTGATTGACAATCTATGTACAGTCTGTATTGCTACACCTTCAACATTATTCGGTCAATATCGACAAGTCAACATGGTTTCTATAAGGGCAGATCTATGTGTAGTAATCTGGCATGTTTTAAGCAGTACTCCGCGTCAGTTCTGGATATTGGCGGGCAAGTTGATGTAGTCTATACTGACTTTTCTAAAGCTTTCGACAGTTTGGATCACAGTGTTCTATTGCAGAAGTTGTCTAAGTATGGTTTAACACCTAGATTCTTACCTTTCTTTCATTCATACATCAGTGATAGACAATTATGTGCGGACTTCCGTGGATATAAGTCTGGTGCGGTTTTAGCTACATCAGGTGTGCCCCATGGTTCTGTTCTGGGTCCCCTATTATTTTTAATTTTTATCAATGAAGTTACAACAGACTTGCGTTGTGAGTACCTGCTATATGCAGATGACCTCTAAATTTTTAATAGCGTATGTTGCTTAGAAGACAGTTTAAGGTTACAGGCTGATTTGAATGTCATTGATCACTGGTGTAAAGTAAATAAAATGCACTTGAATGTCAATAAATGTACTACTATGACGTTTACACGCAGGGTGGAACCGACATATTTCACTTTTGAAATCGGTAGCAATGTTCTTTGTCGTGTTAATATCGTCAAGGATTTGGCCGTATTATTCGATCTAAAGCTTTCTTTTATTGATCACATTAATGCAATAATAGCAAAAGCTTTTAAAAATCTTGGTTTTTGTTATAAGAAACAGTAGACATTTCAATAATACTAATACATTAATTTTTTGGTGTTTTTTAACAATTGGATAATTTATATTTGTCTTTTTTATCATGTACTGTTTAGAGTTTTTGTATCATTTTTTGTTTTTTCCCTGCCTGTGTATGGATTATTATAAATAAATAAATTATTTTATACTTTAAATGGCAGGTCCTTGTCACTGACATTGATTGTCCACAAGTCAGTTTGATGTTTGATCATTTCAAAAGAACTAAGTTCTTGAGATGTAGCCTGAATGAATGCAAATAAACAATGACTTAAACTGGTTTATAGAGTTTTAGAATTATCTTCTTAGATTATATTAGAAGTCAAGAGGAAAAAGATACATAATCTATGTAATCCAATGTAAAATCATATTTGGGCAAAATTGTAGTTCTGTAATTACGTTAAAGTGATCTTCACAATAATATGAATTACCTTTTTTTCTACCAGCGTGCGGAAAATACCCACTTTTAACACGCATCTGCGCACAGATAGTGGCACTTTTCCGCACGCATAACAGTGTACTTTCCGCACGCGGGTAGAAAAAATCTTGCGGAAAGTGTATTCTCCGCCCTTGAAAAGTATCACTTTCCCCACTTGTTAGGTAAATAACTATTACAGATATATTATTACCTTTTACATAATTTTACACTACTTTTATCTTAGCATCCTCAGGAATATGAAAAAATACTTTTTCCAGTGTCATATTTGTGCCCATATGTTACAGTAGTTGTTGCCATTTCCGTTTTGTATCCATGCTTCTGTTTTATTTTTCTAATTTAAAATAGAACCTGTGGAAAATCGACAGCACCTTAACAAAAAATACAATCAAATAACGTGTGTTCCAAAAATGGGATTGTCATTGCAGTTTTGAATATTTAATTACAAATAAATAAAGACATTCCCATGAATGAAATATATGTTTACAGTATTTTGTCAATGTATACAGGGTGACTGGAAACTAGATGCGGAGCCGGTGGGGAGAGATAGTACAAGCCAATCTGAGTCGATTTTACTATAGGAACTACTGTCCGAAAATTAGCCGTTATCGAATTATACTAATTTTTAAGATTTCATAAAATTAACGTCCTTTATACGTTAACCAAGTCATAAAACTTGAAAATTGGGTGTTTCATTTGATTTTTTTTTGTTTTACGATAAAAATATTCTAAAATACGAACATTGATACTAAAATGTGCATTATTGACGTTATCTGCTGCAGTAAGCTTCAAAATATTTCGTTAAAAAATCTTCGTTCATCTCAAAAGTTTAAGTTTACTAGAAAAAGTCGCATACAAATGTTTCATACAAAATAATTAGAAAACATCTACGTTTCATTACCTTTCAAATGAGGTATAAAAATCACAAATCGACTAAGACTTATGACTATTATAAGAGGAGGAAGGAAAAAGCAATAAAAATACTACACTTACAAAATCATACCTTAATACAGGATAATTTGAAACTACATTTTTTTATTTTCATAATACATTTTCAATATGGCGCACTCTATTTCTAATGCACACATGTGCTCTTCTTATAATAGCTGATTTTACTACCGCCGAATTCCTAAGATCGGCTTGAATTTCTTGTGCTGCATGTATTATCCTGTTTCTGAGGTCTTCTATTGTGGGTACAGGATTTTGATCAGAGTATACTAAAGTTTTCATGCGACCCTAGACAAAAAAGTCCATAGGTGTGAGATCGGGACTGCGTGGTGGCCATGGGATTGGTCCGCCTCTACCGATCCATCGATTCGGAAACTGCTCATTTAACCAATTTATAACACTTAGTCTGAAATGTGCTGGGCACTCGTCATGCTGAAAAATCATTCTGTGTCTTGTGTGTAGCGGCACGTCTTCAAGTAATTCTAATAGAATATTTCTTAAGAAGGAAATGTGATCCTACCAAACAGTTATTTATAATGCCCATCCAGACAAAATCGCCTTTGAGATCCTTTTGGTGTCTTCATATGAGGATTTCCCACTGCACGTTCACGCCAATAGTGAGCCTTATGGTAGTTTGTTATGCCGTCTTTATCAAATTTTGAGTCGTCGGTCCATAGAATTTTTCTTGAATAATTGCTATCTTCAACATCAGCGTTTAAAATAAAACCTCTCCTTCCTCTATGACGTGCACAGGTGTATAGTGGTAAGGGTGGAATATGTTTTCATGCCAAACCTACCACACTTGCCATTGGGATAATCCAAGCCGTCGAGCCACAGCGCGAGTAGAGAGAGTAGGGTCTCTTTGGAAAATATTTAATATTTCTTCTTCTTCCACATCATGTCGAGGTCTACCTGCATCACCTGAAATAAAATGAAAAAACAACAACAGTTTTTTGGAGGAAATTGTAACCTAATAAACATAGCGGTAAGACTATGAGCTAGAGTTGGCAAAATAATATTTAGAAAAAACGATACACTACGTGTGGATGTTTCCATCTTCAGAGCCGTGTAGATGCTCGTGTTAAAATTAAATGAATAAACTCTTAATTAAGAAGTTCAATCAACTGTATCAAAACAACTACGTTACAGTATCATCAGCTCTGCCCACAGACCTCCAAGGCTCTACATAGGCCTTACTGAATGACTGATTATGATAAGTTAATAATTATCAATGATGCAAACTTACCTTGATATCTTACGACGGTACCGCGCTCTCGAACCCGATGGAACGTTTGCCTAAATACGCGGGCGTCAGGCAGGCGACGATTAGGAAACATTTCCCTATACTCACGACGAGCTTCTTCAGCATTGCCTCTGGCATCTCCATAGTAGAAAAGGATAGCGGCATATTCTTCGAAACTGAACGGCCGCCTCCTTTGTTCATCAGCCATTGTTCATCGATAGGTAGATCAACGAACAATCAAGTCACACAGCAGCCAAGTCGTAAGGAATCACAGAGAACAGGGTACAGTCTAGGTCGTCAGGAAAAGAATCACACACGGAAGTCCAACAAGAGCCAAGAAATATCATAAACAGCGAGCAAACAAACACATCCGAACGCAACAAATCGCAAGAGCAGATTGAAGCGAGGGAGGGAGGGGGGTGACTAGTCTTACTTATCACACTATTCCGGTGACAAAGTCCGATGTTCGCGCCTCTACCTGTCATAAATTTTTCATTTCTAAACCGGTTTGTGACTTTGATACCTCATTTGAAAGGTAATGAAACGTAGATATTTTAAAATTGTTTTGCACGAAAAATTTGTAGGTAATTGTTTCTAGTAAATTGAGATTTTGAGATGAACGAAGATTTTTTTTTAACAAAAATTGAAATATTTTGAAGTTTACTGCATGAGATAACGTCAATAATATACATTTAAGTATCAATTTTCGTATTTTAGAATATTTTTATTGTAAAACAAAAAAAAATCCAATGAAACACCCAATTTTCAAGTTTTGTGACTTGGTATAAAGGACGTTAATTTTAAAAAACCTTAAAAATTAGTATAATTCGAAAACGGCTAATTTTCGGACAGTAGTTCCTATAGTAAAATCGACTCAGATTGGCTTGTACTATCTCCCCCCACCGGCTCCGCATCTATTTTCCCGTCACCCTGTATAATCCCTTTTGTTTTTATTTTACCTGTATTTGCAGGTTGTCACACAAACTACAATTTGAGGACCAGAATCCTGTGTTGGCAAAGGATGCAAATACTAAAGATGATGATTGGTTTGAAATTTATGATCCAAGAAATCCGCTCAATAAGAGGCGACGAGGTGCAGATGCGAAAAAAATAAATAAATAAAAAATTAATCTTTATTCTGTGTTGTTTTGTAAACTTTAACAGAACATTAAATTATTATAAAATGCATCTTTACACAATGAAGTGGCAGTTTTTCTTCCAATAACCCAGATTGACCGTCACTGAACTTGTACCTAGATGAAAGTTTTATCAAAAAAAGCTTTAAGCAAAAAAATTTGCAACGAGATTTATTCAAGAAACATAACTCTACTAAATACTGCTAAGTTTATATTAATTTCCCTTTATTATGAAGTTATGTTAGTTTAAAAACGGTACTTGTGAGCCGAATCGCTATTTTAAACAGCTTGAACTCGACCAAAAAGCGATACCTGTAAAAGCGCAGCAGAACACACAAATTAATTTACTTTGAAAAGGATTAGTTCTTAGTACCGTTACTGATTGCTAATTTTTGCATTCAAACCAAGTATTCCATATTCAACTGGGTACTATAATTACCAGTTTACCAACCAACAGTACCAAATTTGGAGTTTTGATTAGTTTGGTATATGCAATAAAACTCCCATGCAGTTTGGAAATTTTATTTACAATTACATAGTCGTGCCATAAGTTCTGTCCCATGATAATCTCATGATAAAAATGAAACAAGATAAGATATATTTATATGAAAGATATTATTTATTCGACAACATTTTTAGAATTCATAATCAAACAGTTTTATTCAAAATGTCCCCCCTTGGCCTTCACACACTGCTTCAATCTCGCGGGCCACTCATCTATCACTGCACGCGCAGCTTCCAAAGGAATAGCTGCCGCTGATCGGATCAAATCCGCTTTCAGGGACTCGATATTACGGTGGGCTTTGGAGCAGGCCAACTGCTCTAGCAGGTCCCACAACTTGTAGTCTAAAGGATTGAGGTCCGGACTCCCTGAGGGCCAATCTTCCGCAGCAATGAACTCTGGCACATTGCTTTCCAGCCAGCGCTGCGTACTCTTAGCCTTGTGAGCGGGGGCGGAATCCTGCTGGTAGACCCAGTGTTGGTTGGCAAACAATGTACCACTTAAAGGCTTGACGATAGGATCCAGTATGTCGCTCTGATAGTTTGCCGCTTTTGTTTTCACGCCCTGTTTACAGAAATGGAGCTGAGTGACCCCTTCGTAGGACACGCCCCACCAAACCATGACTGACGCAGGGTGGTGGCCTCTCTCAACTCTCGGAATGATCTCCGAAGCTTCCTGTGAACTCCTTGCATACACTTTGTCATTTTGTCGGTTGAATTTTTCTTCTATGGTGAAGATTTTCTCATCCGTGAACAAAATCTTTCGGAATCCCCCAGCTGCGTACCTCTCCAAGAGCTTCTTGGATCTTGTCGCCCTGATGTGTCGCAAGGTGGCCGTAAGTCGCTGGCCCGTACGTCTCCGGTAAGCCCCTAGCCCTAGGTCTTGTTTAATGATGCGCGACATCGTCCGGACAGGAATCTTCATTTCCCTGGATAGGATCTTCTGCTTCCGGAGTGGATTCCTTTGAATCCTGGCTTTTACGGCTTTGATGGCTGCTGGAGTCCTTACTTGACGAGGTCTTCCGCTTCTTGGCCTGTCATCAACAGAGGACGTCTCATTGTACCGCTGAATGGTCCTAGACACAAATTTACGCGATATTTGAAGGCCGCGTAAGAGTTCAAAAATCTGACTAGCACTGTGATTACACTTATGTAAAGCTATCACTGCAATACGGTTCTCTGCCTTGCCCCACTCCATCGTTATGCTTCGAGAGATCAATACAAACTGAGGTATATGTAATTACCCGAAAAGCGCTTAATCAACTGACACCACAATGTAAACAATCGGACAAGTATTAACAGGTCTACACTTGTTTGAAAACGAGGGACAGAACTTATGGCATGACTATGTATTATCCCGATATAATAAATAGATTGTTTTGATGTATAATCAAAACTTAGGCACATTCACTAAAACATTGAAACAAATGGATAAGGAAAAAATCTGATGAAACTTTGAATTTTTTTATTTCATAACTAAAGTAGTTATACAAAATACACAACAAGTAAAAAAGGCCTATTCATTTATGTACATTACAGTCCAACTAATCAGTTGAGGCAGTAAACATGAATTATAATAAGAATCGATAATTTAAATCAAGAATTTTTATCATAATATATATCATAGGTTTTTTAGATATTTTTACATTCCCCTCTGATTGCCTATCCCTCAAAACAAAAAACAATCCTTTCTTGTATATACAACATATACTCTATGACAAAAAACAAAGCATATAACTTTCTTTTCAGTTTTTATTTGCAAAACTAAAAGGGGCTTGTGCCACTATGCTGCACAATAGGTATAAAAAATCATACATTTTTTTATACAAAAGACATAAAAATAAGTTAAATATAGCCAACTCTATAAATATAACAACATTAAAAAACAATAATGCTTCTACCACACTTATCAATATTTTTACAAGTGTTTCTATACATACCACAGCGTATGTACGATTATTTCCCTTTTTTTCTCTCTTACGTGAAATGCCTAGGGAAAAATCTATTGCAAATTTAAAATTTCATATCTAAACTAACCTAACTACGCTTTAATCACAAAATTATGTAAATAACTAGTGAGTATATATTTACAATTTGTCTCCAGAAGGACATATTCAGTAACATTTTTTAGCTAACATCGTCCATCTCAGTCATTTGGACCTATGAACAATTACAATAACAGAAAATGCACCTTTTTGTTTAAATTCCATTCTTTATAAGACACAGGCAAAGGCAGAAACACGTAAGCAGGAAGAGACATGGACAAGAAACGTAACATTCAAAATGAAAATGTCATGAAGTGCCCGGAAATATATATTTGACGGGTGATTCCACAATTACACACTTCCTAAAATGATGAAAATACAAGTGGCATACCGTCTCTAATCTTTGCAGGATCCCTTACAGTAATTTTGAATACTAGCAAGTCAGGACAAGAATTCATGAAATGTTAGTAGCACCATAATATTTTTCTTTGGCAATCAATCGGAAGCTAAGTCTTCAGCAACCAATCTGATTATGCAAAGCAAAAGTAATAGCATGTGTCATAACGTTACCTTTGTTATTTTCAAATTAGTAAATGTACTGGTTCTGTTAGTTTCCTCGATCCCCAAAAGCAAAATGATAAGTTATATAACACATATGTGTCTCTGCAATCAGCTTAGATAGAAATATCTGATTCTCTAGAAGACAGTTATTTTAATTCACATATAACCTCCATTATTTGTGAATTAAGTAATCACCCATCGAAACATATAAGTTGTAATTTCGATTTGGTATACTGAGTCGATATTTTGGCAGATCTACAAGGCATACTGTTAATAAATTATTTTTACTTGCTTTGTCGCTTCAAATTTTCGGGTGCCACGTTTCGTCTCATATAATGAATGAATCGTCTTCAATCAAACGAAAGTTCAAAGTTTTTTCACAGAAATTTGCGATTTTCTTAAGTTACATAACAATACATACATCGAATATACGTAATTCAACTAACATTTGTGCGTTCTTTCGATACCTCAATTTTGAAATTCAGTAAGAAAAGATACCTCTTCAAGCGGATACCGTCCAATAGAATTGAGGATAGTAATATAAAAGGCTTACTCATTATTACGCTCTGAACTAGGGATTCTTATAAGAGCTGCCAAGATATCACTTTCACAGAACACAAACTTTCTCACCAACCAAGCAGTGGGTTACGTTGGCTCTATCTAAATATATTCCATTGTCGAATAAAGAATAAAATTTAAAAAGGACCTAATTTGACGACCTTCATTTAAAAATGAAAGTAAAAAAAAGTGAATCGTAACGGAAATTTGTGAGGAACTGTTATTGCTTATTATGTATGCGACAAGTGGTCATTTTTAACCGAAAGCCGCCTTTTTGGTGAAAGTCTATAACTTAAATAAGAAATAGTGGCCCTATACAGCGATAAGCTTCAAGAAAGAGTACCCGTATATAAGTTATAATGTTTGAATCAATCAAATCATATGAAATAACCAACTGTAACACTGAAAACTCCTACCTCAAATTTTATTGACATGTCTTTTTAGTATCACTGAAGAAAAGAAGAAAGTTTTAAAACACACATTCAGTCGATATTATCACAATATATTACATTATACCACTTGATTGTCTATTGTCAACATATCTAATCATTTAACTAGCTTTTTGAAACTTGGAAGCACCATTATGAAGGCGTTTTGAGAACTATTATAAAAATAAATCGCCAATTTATGACGATTGACAGGTGTTGATTTTTGTTGTAATAAATGTTCCATAAGCTACAATCTACATTGCAGCAAAATGATTTCTTCTTAGAACAGTCCTTTCTCATCGACACTCGATACTTCAATTTTAGATTATTCACGATATGTTATCACATCCAATTCTCTATTTTTTTAAATCAAATCTACAGTCATATGTCTAGAAGCACACTCCTAAAAATCAAGCGTCACATTTCAAACTTATCATACAGGAAATCAGGATAGCGTTTGAAAATAATTTGAGGTAGAAGTGCTCAATGTTAATATTCGGTTGAGCCACTACAATGCAACAATTGTAGAAACAAATAGGGATATATCGTACGACACAACGTAACACTACTCAACAACTAAACAGCCCAGTAATTCGAAAGATGAGACGGCAAAACTGTCTATACCTTGAACTTGGGATAAAGAGCAATTATTACCTAAAACGTTTCAGAATATTACGCGATTTTTGATAGCATTATTCGGAGGTATACCATGGTGATTTTTCTGACGTATAAACAACCGATAAGTTCGTTATTCTAATATACAAGTTTTCAGGGAAATCGGCATAACCATTTTCACTCAGATATTTTACGCATACAGAAAACAGTCTGCCAAGATGTGAAAACGGTGCCTCTTATTAGAAAACGACTTTTAAACTGTTCAAACGTTACGAAAAGAATAGCAGCATTTTTTGAAAGTAAGTGCGATAATATCAAATATACTCTAGACGCCAACAAATTAAAAATGACAACTTTTAAATTGCAAACTATACTGAGGACATATGTATACTTGAGCGATACTGCAGCATGGGGCATACATTTGATGTACAAGTGAGCAATCTATCTATCTGTCAAAATAGCGGAATTGGGGGCTGTACAAGGGCTGCTGGAGCATTCATATCACGCTTTTATATGGCTTAAAAGAAAGGTAACCTATTTTCTGATCACGATTTGACGTCTATTGACATGAAACAGCTGATCAGCAATTGAAATCAATTCTGTTTCTAGTCTCATCTACTTCTAGATTTCCCTATTGTGCCCCATTGAAATATATTTCAGTCATAATCTACTGATGCTCTCCTCGGACAAGTGTTGGTTTGCCGAATATTTTACGATCTGATGAAACTAGTATAGAATCCGTGTTTCGAAAAAGTTCATCCTAAATACGTTCCTGAAAGAACATTAAGCATTTATCATTTCGGCCTCGTGCTATCATCTGTCATTAAGAAGTTTTCTTTCATTTCGTTGTCCTTTCAAGAAAATCACAAGTAAAGAGCCGGAAAATAGGACATTGTTGACAGTTGACAATATTAGCATGAGCTACTCCAATCGTTCGATATTTTTGCACTGAATGCAAAACTACAAATACTTCGGAGTACGGACCAAAGGAATATGGGTACAGATAAATCCAAATATCATTGACGAGGTAATGTGTACGAAAGAGAAGCGCGAATTACGTATATTAGAAAGAGTGCGCCGATGGCAACGCGACAAGCCGCAGCTGCGTTGCTAGGCAACGTGGTGCTTCTATCTCTTCCTAACTTACGTACTGCACGCGTATCTCTCGTACACATTACGACATCAGTTGTATACGAATTTCTCTATATTCACTGGTTTTGTCAGATAAGCAGACTGTGCACCAGTGTAACATTAGTTTCACCAAAAGTAAACGCTAGCAACTTCAGCTGCCAATGCTTCCGATAGGTTGGCAGTTGAATCTTCATCCATATAAAGCTACGAAACTAGCACTCCAGCGCCCATTGTACACGGCCAATTTCTAATACACGACTTTGGTATCGCGCTGCTCACGAAAACAATGGATGCGTGATTGCAGTGTTGCCATTTTCCCTTGAACCATTTAGTGGTTGAGTAGACACGCAATATGTAACTGTATAACGCGATTATCGTCTGAACAACAACGATAAAAAATCGTCGGGAACTTAAAAGTGTACAACACGCGACTAGGAGGATGTGCTCTTGTGGGTATACTTAGATTCGGCCAACGACCTGTGCAGGGATGCATCGCCATCACCCATATGCGCCACCTGTAAAGCACCAAAACCGTCATTCACTCCTCTGTAGAATCTCCAACGTGTGTGTAGACGTGTATGTGTTTTTGATGATAATGAGGCGGAAATCTCGCAATCGTGGGACAAATTCACTTACTTGATTTTTTCATATGCACGTTTCCTGAATGCCTTTAAACATAAGAGGTTTTCGCGCGGTAATTCGGTAATTTTTGTTAATAAATTACAAAAAAAAAACAGTTTTTTTTCGCATCGGACATTTTCTTAGGTTTTGTCATCCTGAACAAAAAGGACTTCCGAAATTCTTCTCCAACGTTGATCGTTTTCGAGTTATGAGCGATTTGAAGTCTGAAAGCCAGTTCAATGCTTAAAAATTCAGTTAAAAAATGATTATTATTATTTTGAGATTGTCCAGAGTCTGAATCAAAGTTTGAACTTTCTCCTACAAGACCCTGAAGAGTATTTTTTCCTTGCTATTTCAAGTCATTGTTATTTTAAAGCTCTATGGGCGCCCGTGTCCCATAGCTGTTTTTAACAATTTAATAACAGTGACTTGAAATAAGCCCCTTCGGGATCTTGTAGGGGAAGTTTAAATTGTAGTTGCGTTCGTTTTGCGAGTGAAGTGGGACACTCCAAACAGAGATGAGGCTGTCGAATTAGTGAACGTCTGGCTCACTTCAGAGCTCAAAAAGAACAGCTGAGGTAACCCAATCTCTGATTTATTCAAATATACTGTGTGTAAAACGAATGCGTCTTCAAACTTAAACACTTGGCAACCTGTACTGAGTTGCTAAGCTTTGGAAATTACCATTTTTACGGTTTTTCATACCTTAAAACGCTAATAACATGAAAACTTGGTCAACTTTAGAGTAAAGTTACTGAGGAACTTTTTTCGGAATTATCAATAAAAAAACTTTGCACCGGGTTACTTCCTAGTAAGGGGCATCCAACATACGTGATTAAGAAAAAATCGAGCTGGAAAATTTGTCTCCTCATCTATACAGGAACGCTCACTTGTGATTGGCGTATAATCTGACATTTTGACAGGTGACTTGACATCTACCAATCACAAGTGCCGAATGCAGGCAATGATTGGCGGTGCTGCCAGGTTGACATGCTAAATGGTCATTTGATAGGTGAATGATTGATGAAGAGCTGGATACAGTGGCAATAATATACTTTAATCCGTTAAATATTTTATCGATTAGTGCCAGCAAAGTTAATGCTCGAACATTAAAAGACACACATACCTTTTCTAGGAAAGATGTTCCACCGCCAATGCATATTACTGACGATGTAAATGTTGTACGTTTCCTACTTATATATTTGCTAAACGATTCGTTAATAATGTGAAGACTAATTTGAGATAAAATGAACATTTTGGTAGACCAGACCTATGAATATAAATGATGTTAGCATATGAGATTTCCAATAATTTTGCATTGCCTCTTCTTGTAATGTTGAAATTTTGGAGATACGAATGAGCATGTAAAGGGTGTTTTTTTTAGAGGTATAGAACTTTAAATTGCAATAAAACAACGATGGATTATCCGGTTGACATGAATTTTTTTTTATCCCAAAGATAATCTTGTGGCATTACATTTTAAATATGATTTCTGGCATATGACTGTCACGGCTGGCTCGGATGTAGTCCAATCTGGACGTCCAATTTTCGATGACTTTTTCCAACATTTGTGGCGAACCAAATAGTCAGTTTTTCTGGATGTATCGGTGTTTCGACATAGACTTGAGGATTAGCTTCACTCCAAATGCGGCAGTTTTGTTTGTTGACGTAGCCATTCAACCAGAAGTGCGCTTCATCGCTACACAAAATTCGCTTATGAAAATCGGGAACAACGGCAATCTCGTTTTGGGCCCATTCAACGATTCTACGCCTTGCTTGATGACCGTTTGGCTTTAATTCTTGCACAAGTTGGTTTTTGTAAGCACTCAAACCAAGATCCTTCCGCAAAATCTTCCATGAAGTGGATGGACACAGATCCAATTCCTGTGCTCGATGGCGGATGGACTCATTCGAGCCTTCCTCATGCTACGCCCTACAGTAGCAATAGCTTCTTCTGTACGCACCGTACGGCGTCTCTGGAGATGCGAGTTATCAATTAGAGTAAACGTGGTGCGAAAACGTTCCATGGTTAATCGAATTAACTGTTCTGATTGACGATTTTGTCGACGATAAAATGGACGTAGTGCGCTACCGCGTATTCCGCACAGAACCATTATTTTCGAAATAAAACTGCACAACTTGCAAGCGTTGTTCAGGGGTGAGTCTATTCATGACGAATTGCCAAACCAAACTGAGAATAAATCACTTGACAGCTGTGAAATCGGTCGCCATCTTCAAAAGTAATGCCAACTTAAAGTTCTATACCTCGAAAAAAAAAACACCCTTTATTTGTATTTGTAAATGTATGTAAAGGGTGTTCCATCCATTTTTTGACAAGTTGAATGTGTCAACTGCCATGTGTATAGCACATATGAACTGTCAAAGGTCTGCTATTTGTTATTATGGATTCTTTAACAACGCAAGTACGCATTTTAGTCGTCCAAAAATATTACGAAAACGGACGGATCTTTAAAAAGTACTTTTCGAAAACTTCGTGATGAATTTAATTTGGTCGACGTAACCCTCCCACAGAGCGTGGAATTCGGTGTTTATCAATTGCTTTGAGGAAACTGGCTCAGTTGAAGCTCGTAGAACATATCAACATGCCCGTCCGGTACGTACACGTGAATCAGTGGATAAGACACCGTTCGCAAGAATTGGACATCAGGCCAACAACATTATCGAGGATTTTGCATGTTGAACTCCACCTACACCTATACAAGATCTAACTAACTTTTAAAGATATTATAAGAATATTAATTATAACTTTTTTTTTAGTGTTTTAACATTAATTGAAGCCAGCGGACCATCAGCAACGGCGTATTTTTGTTATTTGGATGCTTGTAGAAGGAGAGGAATTTTCGGCTAAAATCATCTTTTCACGAGGCACATTTCTACCTCAGTGGCCACGTAAATAAGCAAAACTGTAGGATTTGGGGTTCGGAAAATCCACACGAGATTCATGAACAACCTTTCCATGACCAAGTAACTGTTTGGTACTGATTATGGGCTGGTGGGGCCGTTCTTTTTCGAGGACGACGAAGAAAAAGCCGTTGCGGTGATCGCCGAACGTTATCGTGGTATGATAACGGATTTTTTTGCCCGAAATTGGAAGGTATTGATGCCAACGACCAGCAAGACGGTGCAACTTCGCTCACAGCTCGCCAAAAAATCCAGTTATTGGCCGAGAAATTTCCAGATCGCATTATTTCATCAAGCTCAACAATCGCGGCGGTGGACCAGCTAATACTGCAAAAAGTCATCGAAAATTTTGATGTTCGGATGATGGCATGTCAACGGTGCCGCGGTGGATATATGTGCGATGTTATATTCAAAACATAAATGGCAATTTTCAATAATGAGTTCGGTTTCTCACTCATAAAAAAATGTGTTTTTTTTTTTAGATTAAAAAACGGATGGAACACTCTATATATGCATTTGTTACTGGTCGCAATTTAATCAAATTTTGTTTATAACTACACTGATTATAAAAGATTTATACAGGGTGCGGCCGAGAGGACGGACGTTTTCCAGGTTTGGCGATGTTCATTGGCCTCTTCGGTCCCCAGATTTATCCATATGCGATTGTTTCTTATGGGGACTCCTCAAGGCTAGAGTATACGCGAACAAGCCCCGAACTCTGGACGAGTTGAAGCGCGAAATTCGCGTGGAAGTCGCCCAAGTTGAGAGAGCGATGTTGGAGAGAGTCTACGCGAACTTCCAAGAACGCCTCCAGCACTGCATCAACGATTTCGGCCACCACATGCCTGATGTGATTTTCCACACTTGACTGTCTCAAACGCTATTTCCTTGTGAACCTGATTCCATCAATAAATTTGTTTTCGAGTAAAAATTAACTATTTTATGATTTTTTTAAAACCGTCCATCTTCTCTGCCGCACCCTGTAGCTATTGGTTTGGGTATCGGAAACCTAGTTCATAGTCGAATAAACCTATATTTTTATACTCTACAGCATCCAATATCTAAGAAGCAATATGCGCCAAAATGACCTTGCAAATTATTTATTCAGAGTTTAGTTATACTTGGTAACTATTCCACTGATAAGAGGTTATAATTATATTATATATACATATTTACAAATCATGCACTAAACTAAATACAATCAAGGCATCGGCAATCCATGATATCCAAGTATGCAACCACACAGCTTGTGAGGAAAATATTACTCCACTTGTTACGATATGTTGGGAGATGTATGAGTGTTTACAGTCTAGAATTTTGCAAAATTACGATCCTACATGAGTTCACAAAGACTAGTGTGTGAGTGTCACAAACTATAGCTTGACCACCAACAAAATATAAAGACACCTTTGTCATTTCAAAAATGAAGTGCAGTATTTGAAATATCTGCCACGATCACGCTTTCTCAAAATTAACTTTTAACATGGTGTCGCCTCAAAAGAAAAAGCGATGAAACGTCCTCAAGTTTTGAAATGCAAACAGGACAAAACGACTCCTTGTACGAAATATTGCAATTGTCCAAAACCGCGACAGACGAAGAAATAAAAAAGCAGTATAGAATTTTGGCGTTGAGGTACCATCCAGACAAAAACCCGAACGATCCCAATGCGACAGAAACGTTCAAAGAAATCAATAGAGCTCATGCGATTTTAGGAGAACCCAGCAAGAGAAGGATATACGATAAATATGGGAATTTGGGACTTGCTGTAGCAGAACGGTGTGGAGAAGAGAATGTTGATAAGTACTTTGTGCAAACTCCTGTGTGGTTGAAGGTAATCAAGAAACTAATTCACTTTTATTTCACATACTTCCGAATTTGAGTAGATAGTGCAGTAAGGAGATAGTAAAAAAATAATGTAATGTAATGTAATGGCTATTTTCCATCCAGATTGAATTGCATTTGCGATGGACTGTCCGCTAATCCTTGACCCAGCTATAACTTGGGAAGTACCGATCAGATTTTGATGAGTTTTTTACAAGATTACTACTATGGCAATAAATAAAAAAGTGCTGAAGCTTCTGAAAATTGCTCCACTGGCGGCGAAAAAAATAACAAAAACGAAAAAATCGTTTTTTGACGTTTTAGAGGGTGCTGGTACATTTTCAGAAAAACCAGCAACCAATCCGGCCTATACCTATATCCGAAAAATGACGAACCATGTACGAAACGAAAGATAACTCGCAGAAATGTCAATAAAAATCATATGTATTTCCAGGTGCTGTGCATCTTTTTCTGTATTTTAACCGGTTGTTGTTTTGGATGCTGCTGTTGTTGTTGTTGCAACTGCTGCTGTGGCAAATGCAGATGCGGACTACAAGACCCTGACGGAACGGAAGCTAATTTTGGAGCTGGACCACAACCAAGGTGAAAACAAAGAGAAGAATCTCACATTTTAAACGAGAAAGAATGTTGTTTTTACATGAAAGAACCTCGCTGTCAAAGAAATTGTGAATATAATATGATGTAATAAGTTTTGAGGAAATCTGGATCCTGGAATCCCATCACAAATAGAATCCAACTAAAAAAAATTACCTATTAGCGAACATTTAGCTGTGCATGAAAGATTTAAAATATATATTACTATCCGTATGACACTATCATTTCTAGAATAGATAGATATACCTTACCTCAGGATGCATATCTATCGATGAAAAGTTTATATACAAATACCACTACATGAAAATTTTTTGAATCTCTATTTGCTGGAATACAATTTTTAATGTTATTCCCGAAACATCCTGTTGTTTTCATTTCCTAGGACTCGATTGTGTGGACGAATCAACCACATATATATTTTAATTTCTGTTTATTTTAGGACGTTCAGGTCAACACTTGAAAAAGGCCACAGTGTTAGCCGAAATGTCGTACAATAAAGACATTAAAATATACAGATAAATCCACATATCACTGACGTCTATAATTGGTTTGATTCGGCCAGACCATGGAGCCCAACAATTTTGCAAATTTGAAGAAATATCCCAAAATTCAGCCAGATTTTATACAACTGGATACAGTGAAAATTGCAATATTACACTAGTTAATAATACATATTTTAATATCTGAAATCAAATAGCAATATCTACACTAGTGAGAAAAGAAGTAAGATTTTAAAACGAGATAAAAACAAGCAAATTACGGTCTGAGACAAAAGTAGTAAAAAGCGAAATAATGTCCGAAAAACAACATACTAGATTATAATTACATTGTCGAGCTTTAAAGGATACATGCAAGGAATGTACAGGGGGAGGGTGTTGTTGGATATCGAATGGTCAATGTACCATGAAACTCATACAGACTTCATGAATCTCGCATGGATATTTCGACAATGGAAGCTAAGGCCATGCGATAATAAATGAAGCGTCTAAGATTACTTCACCGTTCGATAAAACGTCAAACGACAAAGAAGTACGTGTAGCTTGAAAATACTTATTTTTTTACTGACTCCATTTTTTCCCGTCTTAAAGTCATATGACTCAAAAGTTATAGCTCAGTGATAAACGATGACAAGAATTACAAAAATATAATTCTAGAATATGTAGCATGCGAGATTCGAAAACACCCCCCAGAAATTGAAGATAATAGATGCAGAGATTATGTTAATACGAGATTATTTATAAGCAAGAAAGCATGTTAAGCAAGAATGGAATATTAGTTTGTACATTACAAATCTAAAGATTACACAAAATATGAAATGAGCAATAGATATTTATCAGATATAATACATAGTTGTACAAAAATATAACTCTAACTACATAAACAGTTTCTAAATAAAACATCTACTCTAATAGAAGGATCTACTCAAAAAACAACAACTGATATCTAGCGTATGTCTTCTCAACTTCAATTTCACTACTGACTAGACCAATGAACCATCAAACTGATTTTTACACGATGGCATTAACTATTGTTTTTTAATTGAAATTGAAACTGAAGACAAACGAACCAAAAACGAGATCTTAATAATGTAAGTGTAGCGTGAATTGTACACCACACATAAATAATATGGAATGAGAGTGTTTGAGCAATTTCAGGCTAATATATATTTTCGGAAAAGTAAATTGAAACACCGCTCTTACCTTACACTTAAATCAAACGCCATACCGCACAATTTTTAGAATTCCATGTTGATATTAACAACGCGAGAATCCGTCCTCCTGTTTGTTGGTATTTTTCTACGGTTCGTAATCTCAGAAACAGTTAACCAATTTTATTGAAATTTGGAGAGCGACATGCTATGGTTGTGGGAGCATAGTGGTAGTGCTATTTTATTTTTTAAAATCAACTCAATTTCTGTATTTCTGCAACCAACTGACAATTTTTTTGCAAAGGCAAAAGCATTTTACCTGTACCGCGCCTCTAACTTTTTTGACGCCTTGATTTCAATTTGTAATACTTAAACCCTGTTTCACAAGTATCCATCACGTTCCGACGTCTAAAACGGTGAACAGCTGATCGGTTAGTGTCATGTGTAACGTTGACATTGATGAATCAATCTGGTGTAAATCTAGTAAAACTTGCTTGTAGCGTTTTTTGTAGGCATTTTGTTCTAAATAACAGTTGTTAGCAAGTAAAAAATGAATCTGATGCGAACAAAAACCGAACGGTTCTGTGTACCTGGCCTTGAAGGTTCGTCAGAATTATGTCTTTTGTCGTTATGGCGAATTTTGGAACATTACTAGATAACCAGCTGTTACTCTATTGTAATGGATACTCGTGAAAAAAAAAATAACAGTGGAATCCACTTATAATGAACTTGCTTATCATGGAAACCCGTATACAATGGACACATTTACAGTCCTATAAATAATTGCATGTAAAATCGTCGGATATTATAGACTCGTTTAAAATAGCGGACCTATGCTACAAATAAAGGCTGAAGAATTTGGAAAATAAATAACATTGTTTTTGGAAAAATGTGTGGTGAGTCAGCTTCAGTTGAAAAGAACGTTACCAATGACTGGATTTCTCAAGTTTAGTCCGTAATTTATTCAGATGATAACATAATTCAATCCAGATGAAACCGGGACATTTTATAGAATGGTACGAGATAAAACTCATAGATTAAAAGGTGAAACTTGCAATGGAGGGAAACTATCAAACGAGCGAATAACTGTTATGATTTGTGCTAATGCTTCTGGTACTGAAAAACGAAAACTATTGATAATAGGTAAGTGAATGAATAGAAATTCATGTTCTAATTTTTTTTTATATTCAATGGCAGTGCTGCAAAGAATTTATGACCTTTTTTTTAATTCAGGGAAATTTAAGAATCCCAGCTGTTTCAAAAATGTTAAAACAATTCCCGTCGATTATGTTGGAAGCTTGGATAACTTCATCAATTTTTGAAGAATATTTAAAAAAGTGGGACGCTGAACTTGTTAAGAAAAATCGTGGACATTTGGTTTTGGTCGATAACTGCCCCGCTCATCCAAATATTTCACTTCATAACATCAACCTTAAAATTTTTACACCCAATGTGACACTAGAATTTAGACAAATTTAATGAGTATGTAAATGTTGACAATAATTTAATAGCAACACAGGAATTGTCAGACTCAAATTTTTTTAATGAATCATCCGTTGATACCGAACAGGAAGACGAACTAGAAAACAACGATGAAGAAGAGCTTCCAGTAACAACTAAGGAGGCATTAGACTGCGTGAAAAAGTTGCAAGGTTATTTTCAGTAAGAAGAAGACGGTACAGCCACACTTACCAAATTAAATAAAATTCAACTTGCTGTTCTAAATAATTATACAAAAAAAACAATCTGTTCAAATTTAAATTACTAGCTTCTTTACCAAATAATTTACGGTTTTTATACGTACCTACACAGTACGTATGCCTGTAATAGGTTTATCAGATTCTGAAAAAATGCATATTTCAAAATTACATATAACTTTTTTGTATGTATCCTTATTACATTTTAAACAAACACATTTTAAGCTTTTAACATTTTATTTATGCTACTTTTTTCATTGAAAAAAGTGTTTCTTTTAAGATGGTCATCCGCCTATAATAGACCATTTGTCACAGTCCCGCCGAGTCCCTTATAAACGGGTTGCACTGTTGTGGATTCTGGGGATAGCGTTTTCTTCACTATTTTTTAGACAAGTGCTCAACAGTACTACTTAAACCCACTTATAAACACTGACTAATTTTGGCATGTCCAGAGTCATTCTGGGGCCGGTACACTCGGATGCGGTACCTTCATGAGGAGGCAGCATTTTGCCGAAAGCCGCTTACATACACTGACCAATTTTGACGTCTACTAAGATTCTACGTCATTCTGGGGGCGGTGGAGGTGGCGGTTCATTGGGCGGCGCGTCAGTCGGCAGCGGAGGCGGAAATTGTCGCCGTTGCTGTCCGTACGGAGGGGGCGGAGGAGCTGGCGGGAACATCGGGTACCCCTGATAGTACCCGGGCATTTGGTACATGTACGGCGGAGGCGGTACGTTCATGTTAGGCATATGCGGGGGCGGCATTTGAGCATAGAAATACATGGGGTTGTTTTGTGGCGGCGGAGGCGGCGGCGGGAACGCGGGCGATGGTAAGAGCGGCGTGTAAATGTTACGAGGATGCGGCAAAAGGCCGGCACCGCCATTGCTACTACTGCTGCTTACCTTACTGTTGCTACTGCCACTGCTATACGAATGGCGGCCGTTTTGTTTTGCGTCTCTGCTGCTTCCTCCGCTACTCGACTTGTGCACCTTGTTGGGAGGCGGTTGGATGTCGTTTGGTGATCGATCCCTGGAAGAAATTCTACACATAAAACTTGTTCTTGATACAAAAGCAAATTTCGATGGCGACTAGAGAAAGTCACTTTCAGTCCCATTACTACAAATTTAAATTCTTTCTTAGACAGAGTAACGGACAGTGTCGTTATTCTACGTAGTGACAGCAAGACAGTAACGCCACTTTTATCAATTCATGACTGTCTAGTGCAGCGTTTCCTACCCTTTTTTTTTTGTTGAGGCTCCCGGAACTATAAATTATATTTTCATGACCCCCTTTACTTTTTCAATGAATACAAAAAACCGAACATTATACAGGGTGTTCCAGAAGTCGACGTCAAGCCGAAACCGGGTGATAGGCAAAGTCATAACAGCTATCAGAAAAATATTTAAAAAAATTGTATGTATGTGTTTTGAAAATTATAGGTCTTTGAAAAAAATATAGAAATTTCACACCCTACGGCAGTCTGTCAACTCCTGTTACTACAAATATTAACTTTTTTTGGATTTTATTTTTACAATGTAATGATGAATAATGCATCTTCAAACTGGTGTCTCAACCTTACAGCCAACTTTTCTCGTTCAGGAAAAATTGCCACTTATTTAACAACCAAGTATTCCAAAGTAAAACTTTGCTCAACTTTAACTGGCTGTACTGGAAAAAATGTACTACGAGAGTTTGGCAAGTAACCTTAAAAGTTGGCGCATTTAATAAGGATTCCAAAATGGTATAACACTTAGAAGATTACTCGTTAACTTATGCACAATTTTTATTTGAAGAAAAACTGATAAAAATTTTTCAAAATTTCCTAATTAAACAGCGATTATGAAAACGCACAAGGACCCTTAAGGATAACTGTTTGCACAACAGTGGGCGTCAAAATGCTGCTGATGATGATTTACCTTTACAGCAAATGCTCAAACTGTTTTCCTTCAGCCGCAATACACGCTCCACATCTTCTTAAAAAAGATCGGGTTATTAAACGAGCGAATCCACGGTTATTAACAAATTCAGCTGCTTCCAATAGTCTTTGCCGTAGCTCAGCTACATTTTGAAATACACTTTTTCTTTTACAGTTCCCCAGTAAAAAAAATCTAACAGATTCAAATCTGGTGACCGGGCTGGCCACGGTATTGTACCAGACCGCCCTATCCATCTGCCTGGAAAGCTTTGATCGAGATACTCTCTCACTGAGAGTGCATAGTGCGCTGGGCAGCCATCATGCTGAAACCACATGTCCCTGTAAATTCTCAGTGGCACGTCCTCCAATAAATTTTCTAAATGATTTTGCAAAAAACCTAAATAAACCTCAGCAGTCAAAGTCTCTGGGAACTCAAACGGACAGATTATTTTACCATTTAAAATTCCTGTCCGATGGTTTATCTTGAAGCGATATTGAGATTTATCTTCTCTCATCAAATGTGGGTTTGCTACGTGCCACTCGTGTAAGTTATGCAGGTTCATGTACCCATCTTTCTTAAATGTGGTCTCATCTGACCATAAAATTTTTTCAAAGAACCGTGAATCTTCCCTGTGTCTTTCTAACATTGTGCGACAAAAAGCAACTCGGGGCTCATAATCCCGGGGCAGGAGAGGTTGAACACGCTGTATGTGGTATGGATGAAGCACATCACTTACTTGCTATTGCACACTTTGATACCGATCAGTACTCCTTCGTTTACTGCGCATCTTTACATGTTCGTGCTTGTTGATTTCGTACTGTTACTAATTTTGGATTCGTGAACTGGACTGTTGATCGCTTGTGATTTGGATTTGGACCGTTTAATTGCTCTTCAAAACAACATTTGCTTTCCTTAGACTATCTTTGATAGTGTGATTGTGCAGTGCCGCTATATCGAAAAACCTGAATAAAATAAGGGTAGGTACTAATGAGACACTGGAGATTGCGTGTTCTGTACCAGTTGGTTGATTCTAGGTTCTGTTTTTGCCAGAGCTGTCATCAGGTCGCTATCGACATCAAGACGATTTCACTGTTCAGTTTTGATTAAAACTAGAGCAGAAAAGCCTATCTCACATAAGAAAGTTGAAGAAAAAGGAACTAGGATTCGTAAAGCAAGAGAGGCAAGTGTCGAATTAACAGGCAATCTTTTGATCCAAAATTTCTCCAATGTTAAAAGATGGAAGTCATCTTTCATGGAAGAATCAAGCTTCATAGCTAGAAATTCTTCCTGAACTTCTTCTGGTAATTGTGACACATCGACACCAAATGGATTTCTGGTGACTGAATTGATGTCTCGATAGAATCGGCGAAATTCGTCTTCCAGCGCTTGCAAATGAGTTTTTATGTCAGCTTTTAAATTTGCGTCCAGTATGTTATTTTTCGGAAAGCCGAGAAAAAGATATAACATTTTCAGAAGACACTTTTTGATTCCAAAGTTGAAGCTTTGATATGAACCCCTGAATACAGGGTGACTTCGAAGTAGAGTCATTTATTTTAACAGTGAGTAGATCTGTTCAAAAGAAATGTTTTTTTCCTATAACATTTTTCTGGTAAAATTAAAGTAACAAAGTTATAGCCCTTTAGAAGTTTGAGTACCGCCCTATCTCAATAATATTAATGGGTGATTTTTTTGCTAGTATCTTTTTGGCAACACTGTTTTTGACAGATGACGCGTGAATCGTGTCTTGTGTTATTGTTAAACTTGTTCAGTTTGGTCTATAATTTAACCATGAATCGACTTACGAACGAACAACGCTTGCAAATTATTGAATTTTACTATAAAAATTCATGCTCGGTTAAGAGAGTGCATCCATGCTTCCAATTGGAAGCAGTGCTCGATGCTCCATAAATTTATGGGCAATTTGGTCGGCCTACTGAGGGAGCTATTCGGAAGCTTGTGACTAAATTTCGAACCCAGTTTACATTATTGGACATTAAACCAGCAACACGCAGACGTAGAGTGAGGACTGAAGAAAATATTGCGGCTGCATCCGCCAGTATTAGTGATGACCGTGAAATGTCGATTCGCCGCCGTTCGCAGCAATTGGGCCTCTGTTACTCCACTACGTGGAAAATTTTGCGACAGGATTTGGGTGTAAAACCTTATAAGATTCAGCTGGTGCAAGAATTGAAGCCACACGACCTCCCACAACGTTTCCCATTTGGTGAATAGGCGCTGGCAAAGTTGGAGGAAGATCCACATTTTTATCGAAAAATTGTGTTCAGCGACGAAGCTCATTTCTGGTTGAATGGGTACGTTAACAAGCAAAATTGCCGCATCTGGAGTGAAGACCAGCCAGGAGCATTGCCAGAGCTACCAATGCATCCCGAAAAATCACTGTTTGGTGTGGATTATGGGCCGGTGGCATCATCGGGCCGTACTTCTTCAAAGACGACAATGGCCGGAACGTAACTGTAAATGGTGAGCGCTACCGTGCGATGATAACAAACTTTTTTTTGCCCAAAATGGAAGAGCTGGACTTGGCTGACATGTGGTTTCAACAAGACGGTGCCACATGCCACACCGCACACGAAACAATGGCCCTATTGAGAGGCGAGTTCGGTGAACAGTTTATCTCACGTTTGGGGCCCGTCAATTATCCGCCTAGACCGTGTGATTTAACGCCGTTGGACTATTTCTTGTGGGGCCATGTTAAGGCTAATGTCTACAGGGATAAACTAGCAACGATTGACGCACTGGAAGCCAATATTGAAGCATTTATTCGTGAGATACCGGAATATATGTTGGAGAGAGTATGCCAAAATTGGACCTTGCGCATGGGCCATCTAAAGCGGAGCCGCGGCCAACATTTACATGAAATAATCTTTAAACATTAAATTATATCGACCGTTCTATCGACCCAAATAAAGATTTAATCGTTTTTTCAAATTTTTTGTGTTTTTTTGAAAATCAAATCCTATACCTCTTAAAAAATCACCCGTTATTATGTGCTCGTATTTGGCAACAAGCCCAGCTCTGCGTCGAGCAAAACGGAAATCATTTCGAACAGTTTTTGTGACATGCTTTTGGGCGCACAGGTCCGCACTGAAATACTTGTCGGGAGGATACTTTATAAAACAAGGTAACATTTCTGTTGGGCTATTATGTATAAAATAAAAATAAAATTAAAAAGAAAGTTTGAACATTTATTTTAAATTTACTAAATACATTCATGAATTAATAAAAGTGGTGTTACTATGAAGAATGACACTGTTTAAGAAAAAATTAAAATTTGTAGTAATGGGGACTAAAAGATTATCACAGGGTGTAGATTTTTTCAAGCCTATAATTTGAAAAGTATACGACTTAGGATTGTTTTTATATTTTTCTGATAGCTACTAGTTTTGCATCTAGAAACTTAGTAGGCCGCGCGGACCGAACGTCAGTACTGAATCTTAACCTCACTCCTTAGTAAACTTAAATTAAAAGTTTCACAACAATACGTGCAGTGTTCTCAGTACAGTGAATTTTTAAGTGTCACCAAGTCATTAGAAAAATGGAACTCAACCGAAAACATTTTCGAGCCATAATTTATTTCAAGTTTCAGAGACAATTATCGCTACAAGAATGCCTTGCTGAGTTACTGTCTGTTTTCGGCAACGAAGCGGCCTCTTCCGTCGACAATTTCCCGTTGGTATGGAGAATTCAAACGTGGGAGTCTTAGCAACGATCCCAAGGTGAGTGCACCAAAAACGGCAGTCACCCAGGAAAACTTCGATGCTGTGCGCAAACTCCTCATTGAAGATAGACATGTGACATATCGCGAGATTGAGGCGTCCTTGAAGATCTCAAAGACCTCGATTCAAAAAATTTTACATGAAGAATTAGAAGTAAGAAAATTAGTTTCTCGTTGACCTGTTGACTGAAGAGCATAAAGCAGCCAGCGTTAATTGGTGTCAAAAAACGCTTGACAGTTTCAATTCCGGAAGCTCAAAAAATGTGTACAGCATTGTTAGTGGCGATGAATCGTGGATTTACTGTTATTAACCAGAAAATAAACGACAGTCGGCTGTTTGGGTGTTCCAAGGTGAAGAAATGCCAACAAAAGTCATCCGTTCTCGAAGTGTTTCGGAAAAGATGGTCGCGACATTTGTGTCAAAAGCGGGTCATATTGCAACAATTCCTCTTAATGAGCAAAGAACTGTTACTGCGGATTGGTATACGACCATTTGTTTGCCAAAAGTCATCACCGAGCTTCGAAAAATCAACCCCGAAAGAAGAATCATCCTCCACCAAGACAATGCAAGCTCGCTCACAGCCCAAAAAACAACGCAGTATTTAACGGAAGAAAAACGTGGAATTATAGGACCATCCTCCATATAGTCCCGATCTAAGTCCTAACGATTTCTTTACTTTCTCGAAAATTAAAAACAGACTGCGTGGTCAAAGGTTCCAGTTACCAGAAGAAGCAGTTGACGCATTCAAAAATGCCGTTTTGGATCTGCCAGCAAACGAGTGGAATAAGTGCTTCGAAAATTGGTTCGAGCGCATGCAGATGTGTATTAATCTTCGTGGAGAATACTTCGAAAAACAATAAAGTCATTTAAAACTACCTACCGTGTTGTTTTATTTCCATATGCAAAACTTAAAAGACATCCCTCGTATCCCCCGTTTGGGGCTTGACGGGACACCTGTGTATACGCATGCAAGAGATTGACACGTTATTCAGTGTACTCACCTATCTCTTTTCCTACTGCTTCCATCCAACCCGGAAATGCAGTTGTTATAGTTGATCACCTCCTTTGGTATTTTCAGTTTGATGCTGGGCGGATGATGGGTGGTGGTAGATGCCCCCGCTGGGGCGCCCAACTCCGGCAGCACTTCAGTCTTTATCTTATCCCTGGGGATCTTTATTTTCAGCCCTTGGCCGGGCAACAGCGCCATCGGGCTCGCCGCCGCTGCGGACGTCGAACTTTCGGGCACCATTTGGATTTTGTCCTTTTGGATTTTCAGCTTGATGGGCTCGGCGATCGGCGCCGACGTCGACGATTCGCCTTGTGCTGGCTGATGCTGGTGCTTGTCTTTGTGTCTCTCGCGATCCTTATCTAGAACAATGATAGTTCACGTGAGGCAGGAAAATTAAAGGCCAGTTGGTTTATCTAGAAACCAAATTTAAGGATTCATGGACATGCAGCGTCCAAGTCATATTGCAAAACTTTTACAGTACCCTTTGTAGATGGCATCATAAAAAACAACTACTGAAAATTCCGAGGAACTCCTAGAAACTCACCTTTATGCTTTTTCTTTTTCTCCCTCTCTTCCTTACTCTTTTCTTTATCTTTATGCTTGTGTTTCTCCTTGTTTTTCTTTTTGCTTTTGTGATGATGGTGATCCTTCTCTATCGTCGATCCAGTCAACGTTTTCGCCTCTTGGTCTGTCGTAGCTGCGGCAGCTTCTCTCAGCAGATTGCTGATCACTGTCGGATTGGTCTCCATACCGTTCACTACGGCTGTGCTCACCGGTGGCGGTTCTATTACGTTAGGTTTCGCCTCTTGTTCTTTCAGTTCGTGATCAGATACGTTGTGGATCTTGTCCATGCCTATCGTGCTGTCTCGCATCAAGTTCTCGAATCCTTCCACTGGAATGAGAAATGAACATAAACGCCGAAATCTAAAAGGGAACATAATTTTGATACATACATTGTTTTTGTTTTTAAAACCCACGCTGCACTTTTTTTGTATTTAAAGAAGGTGTTTAAAATGTCGTCCTCCACTTTCCACACAAGCTTCATTACTCTAGGTGCTCGAAGTTGTCCATTCATTATTTCAGCCGCATTAAAATTTTTTTCGCGAAGTTGTGCTTCAGTTGTTATTGGACCACCCCCATAAACCATCCCTTTAAGTTCTCCCCAATACCAAAACTCTACCGGATTGAGGTCAGGAGATCTTGCTGGCCATTTTCGAGGATCAGGAGCATTTCGACCGATCCAGCGTTTCGGATAATGTTCATTCAAATACTGAATGACGCCTCTAAAAATGTGTGGTGGTGCCCCGTCATGAAGAAACCACAAATTCTGTCTCCGTTGTAATGGCATGTTGTGTAACGTCTGTTCCAAAAGTTCTGGTAGGTTGTTGGCTAGAAAGCTAAGGTATCCTTCTACTGACAACTTTGGGGGTAACTCGAAAGGGCCAATTACCTGATCGTCAAGAATACCCGCTCAAATATTTATTTTAAAACGTTGTTGGAAATGACCTTCACGAATATAATATGCCGTCTCTCGTAAAAGTACATTCGTCCGTCGTTAGAATGTTTTTAAAAAATCAGGATTTTCAATGTTTTTGTGCAAAAACCACTGACAGAATGTTAGTCTGCGAGGATAGTCTTCTGGGTAACAAGGCCTGCACTCGTTGTACATGGTAGGGATAAAGCAAATTTTCCCGTAGGATTCTATGGACTATGGCATGCGATAGTCCTACGCGGCGGCCTAATTCCCGAGTTCTGATATCTGCATCGATTTCCACGATATTTAAAATTTGTCCCTCCTGCTCTACAGTAACCTGTCTTTCACGAGTGCGAATATTAGTGGGCTGAACACTTCCGGTATCTCGAAGTCTTTGGTACACTTGCACAAATGTCCTTCTGTCTGGGTGTACCCGTTGGCGAAATCTATCGTGCTAAATTTGAGCTGCAAGATTTGAATTCTGACGAGCTTCACCGTAAACTAACAACATGGCGAAGTCTTGATTCGAGAACATTGTAAATAAACACGACGACGTACGCGAACAAAAACAAAACAACACGCCCGATGCTCTGCTCGACGAAACGATAAAGTAATTTATCTATGCAAAACGATAACTAGCCACTGTTACCGTTTGCGATCGATTGCCGGTTCGATAAGAGTAATGAAAGACCGACGCGCTGTTGTAATGTGTGTTTTAAATATTTAATTTAATGAAACTTACTGACTACAAATTTTGGCTTAACTTAGAAAAACTTAATGCCATTTGTTTGTTTATTACCCAGTTTAAAAACGTTTCAGATTAGATTATAAAAATTAGTAAGATTGTGGTCGATATAAAGCACTTAAAGTTGTAAACTATAAAGCCATTTAGACAAAAATCTATTGACTTTTGGACCATGGGTCATATGGAATTTTCGATTTGTTTTGACCCCCCCTATTACCCATTTCAATAATGACGACCATAACGTTTACACCCTGTATAGAATAGAACTTCTATCTCTTTGAGCGTACTTTTTCCCATGGACATATAATCTCTAGGGGACATTGCATAACGTCTTTGCCACGGGGTCAGGTCAAGATTAAGGGATACTCTATTTCAAAACACTCAAAATTAATCCTGAAGGTGAACTCACCTTGATCAATTTTCTTCATCACCGGCCTGAGTTCCGGTTCCGAACCACTGGAGTAATTCCTATTTCGTCTACTAACAGGAGACGCCAACGGTGACAAAGGCGGTAATTCTCCTAAATTATCTCTCTTGATACTCATTATAGGAGATAGTGGCTCCTTCTTAACCCTAGGCGGCGTCTTTTCCGGTGAAAACAAACTGGGCCTCTTGATCACTGGAGGCACGGAAACCTCGGTCTTTATCGGGCTAGCAGGTTCCTCCTGTATTAAGAAAAACAAAGAAAAATAGCAATATAAATGAATCAGTCATTGCAAAAATATATCAGTTTTAAAGTACTTTTTTGAGCTCAATATAGTATTTAGACTTAAAAAGATTGCAATTTCGAATAACCCTCACAGTTTATTAATGATAATAACGGAGAAGCCCGAAAAGCACTACACTTACAATGTTTTAGCAGAAAATAGGGTTTGTGGCATATATGTTACCGGCAATCTGTATAATCCGGTATTCTATACAATACCTAGGTAATGTATAGAATACCTAAAATGTGTAGGTGATGCATGAAATATTATTTGTTTTATACTTTGCAGGGGCGACTCGCCCTTAAGTTCTGCAGAGCTGCAGAACTGCCAAAACTTTTGTCTTAACAGAAAAAAAGCAGTAGTAATTTGATAATAATAATGTTTATTGTCACAAAATACAAGTAAATATCAAATATTGTGCACAATAAACATAAAGCACCCAAAAAAAGTTTGCACTTGTGTTTGGGTTTGTACAAAATAAAAACTAATAGTACAGTCAGTGTATGAAAAAAAAAAAAGAAAAAACCCGTTAATACTGTATAATTTGGTGAATTATTATGGTAATGTCAGGAAAAATATCCAGACAATTAGAACTGAAGTAAAAGTATGGATGTTAGTGTAAGTAAAATATTATTGATTTTGATAATGATTTTTCAGATCTACAATTTCGTGGATGGAGTACCTTGGTTGTTGTAAAATCCATTTTTTTAGTTGTTTTTTAAATGATTTATTTGATTTAATTACTTTTAATGACTCTGGTATGAAGTTATAGAATTTTGATCCCAAGAAAAACAGAGATCGTTGTGTAATGGTTTTTGATGTTTGTGGAATACACATTGAATTTTGATTGAATCTTGTTGGGTAGTTATGAATGGTACGATTAAAGTATTTTGAATATTTGAAATAATGTATTAGACCACAATAAAAATAAATTTGTCTGCAATCTAATAGCTGAGCCTCCACATATAGAAAATCACTTGAATAAGTAATCTCCATATGGAGGATCAATTTTAGAATTAATTTTTGGATTACCTCAACCTTTTTGTAATTATTATTCATAACTCCCCCCCAAGCCAAAATTCAGTAAAGCAATAGAGAATAAACAAGAGCATAATATAAATTATATAGATATTTCTTATCTAGAATATCTCTGAAGTACCTGAATTTTGGAATAATACATCTCAGTCTCTTCACAATGTACTCTGTATGGGTATCCCATTTTAAGTGTTTGTCCAAAATCACGCCTATGTATTTTATTTTATCGGCTGACTGAATCTCTTTGAGACCAATGCTTGTATGAATTTCAAGTTTTTTAAATTGCGGTGAGAGCCTGTCGTTACAAGAAAATGCTATATAGTGTGTTTTGTTGTAATTAATTGTCAAAGTTCTTTCCGAAAAGAAATTTATAAATGTTTTGAAATCATGTTCGATTGTGGTTTTTAGTGTACATGTATGTCACTGGTTGCTTTCATAGAGAATAGCTGTATCATCCGCAAAACCGATAACTTTACCTGTACTATTTATTTTGAACAAATCGTTGATAAATAGATTAAATAAAATGGGTCCTAATACTGAGCCTTGAGGTACACCGTGTGATATAATATGGGGTTCACTGAATGTGTTATTAATTTTGACGCACTGTGTTCGATTTGACAAATAATTTTCTATAAGTTTGTATGTTATTCCCCGGAAACCTAAGCTTTCTAACGTTGTTAAAAGCGATTCATGAGTAATAGAGTCGAATGCCTTTGCCAAGTCAACAAAAACACAAGCAGTTGGTTTTCCAATATCGAGATTCGTATATATTTTATTTGTTAATTTTACAATAGCATCTTGAGCAGATTTGCCTTCTTGAAAACCATATTGCTCTTCCGCTATGTTATATTTTTTTTGCAAATTCGGTGAATCGTTTTTTTAACACTTTTTCAAATATTTTAGAAAAATTTGTTAAGATGGAAATTGGTCGATAGTTGATGGGTTTTTCTCTTTCTCCAGATTTAAATAATGGTTTTACCATAGCGTGTTTTAAACATGAAGGGAATATTCCTTTATTCATACAAGAATTTATCAAATATGATAGTATGCCGCAGATGTTGCAATTTATTCTCTTGAGAGTATACGCTGTTAAATTATCTAGACCTGGAGATTTGCTTAATTTCAATTAATTGATTATTGTCTTTATTTCATGCGTATCGGTCGGTTCCAGATGTAATGAGTTATATAATCTGGTCTTACTATAATTTAATTTCTCCGCGTTTTTTATGCTTTCTGACAACCTTTTCCCGATTTTTGAAAAATATTCACAAAATTCATTTGCTATATCTACATCATTACTCACTAGTTCATCATTTTCTTTTTTAATTGTACTAATTTTGTTGTTTTGTTTTTTGCCTTGTATTTTATTGATAAATTGCCACATTTTGGACGAACAATTTTGTAGATTATCAAACTCGTCTTGGAGATATTTAATTTTAGCCTCTTTAATTATTTTTGTCAGTCTGTTTCGATATGATTTAAATTCATTCAAAAGTTTAACATCATAAGGATATTTTTTGGTTTCCTTATATAATTCTATTTTGTTGTTGATGGAGGTAATAATCCCTTTTGATATCCATGCTTGTCTTTTTATTTGTGTTCGTGGAATCTTTACTGTTTTGGTGCATTCAGCAATATGGCCTTCAATGCTAGATATAAAAAGGACAAATGCATTTTCAATATTAGGTTCGTTATATACTACAATCCAATTTTCATTGAGTAAGTTGTTATTTAGTTTTTCATAATCAATGTAAATTTTCGTATTATTCACTGTCTTTTCAATTTTTGTTGATGTACTTTCAAGATCGATTTTGAGCAAAGTAGGAAAATGATCAGAAATTTTGTATTTTAGAATTGCTGAATATATTTTGTCAAGTTCTAAACGTGAATTTATAAACATATGATCTATACAACTCCCACTGTTTCCTTCTACTCTTGTCATTTCGTTAATGGCTGACAGGTAACCATGTTCAGCCATTATATTTAAATAATCTTGAATATTTTGATTGTTATGATCTAATATGTTAATGTTAAGGTCTCCAATGAATAAGTTGATGTCAAATTTTCTAGTGCTTTCTAGATAATCTTGTAATTGACCGTTAAATGTTGTTACAGATATACAGGGTGATTTGTACACACCAATGATCTGTATCCATTTATTATTCTTTTGAAGAATAACTCGTAAAAGTTTTGTTTGAGTTATATTAATAATTTCATACCCACTGTTCATATTTTGTCTTACATCATTATTTATTTTCCATGTTATCACACAAATAGAAACAATACCGGCAACGCTGCCCCCGCAAGACACTGCGTCGAGTCTGTTTTGTATTGAGAAAGCAGTATAATCGACCAATTGTGTACTTGTCCTTTTCGTCGCGACCGCAGCGTAACATTATTCCCGATCTAAGTCCTAACGATTTCTTTACTTTCCCGAAAATTAAAAACAGACTGCGTGGTCAAAGGTTTCAGTCACCAGAAGAAGCAGTTGACGCACTCAAAAATGTCGTTTTGGATCTGCCAGCAAACGAGTGGAATAAGTGCTTCGAAAATAGGTTCGAGCGCATGCAGATGTGTATTAATCTTCGTGGAGAATACTTCGAAAAACAATAAAGTCATTTAAAACTACCTACCGTGTTGTTTTATATCCATATGCAAAACTTAAAAGACACCCCTCGTACTAACTAATCTAAGACAGTTTGAAACATACTTGTGTCTTCAGTTTGCGTGCTAACTTTATACAGTTCAGCGCATTTCAGTATGGAATATTTTTTTTATAAACTTTAAGGCTCATTTGTGACCGCGTAAACATGTCATCTCCAAATATGTATACTCAAGACTATGAAGAAACCTTGAAAAAAAATTGAAAATTGTTTTCTTCATAACAAAAGATTGTAGCCACATCCGCTTTGTTTTAAAATGGTATAGTAACGTATGTTTTTCGAATATCGTAGCGAATCTGTTCGGTTACTCACATATATACGAAATGTTTGAATTTGTTTAGAACAAAAAACTCAGCCCTTCGTTTTTCGCATAAAAATAACAATTATCTTTCGGAAAGGTTTGTGATTCATATCGGAAAGGTAAATTCGTGTATTTTGCTATAAAATGCCGTTTGAACGAACATTGTATAGTGCTCAGTAAGCTTGTAGTGAAGACCGGAAGACAGGTGTTTTGGAATAAACAATTACAAATACTCAAAAACTACTCCACCAATCGACTCCAATTTTGTTGTGGTTATTTAGAAGCATGAAGCCTACGAATTTGAAGAATTTCAAGTAGCTGAGTACAACAAGCGCCTAAACCTGCATCTTGCCTCGGTTTTCGGCCATAACCTTTTTACTATTAGTCGGATCTTTTTACGCGTGGTCTCATAAAAACCTAAAAATCTTATTTGAAGAATTTTTTCGTTCCTGCTAACACTTACAATTGAATCTCAAAAAACACGTTTTCTCATTCTTTGTTGTCGAATAAAAAGTTTTCACACAAAAATTGGTGTACCCATTTTATGCGTCCATGTCACCAACCTTGCAGCAATAAAACCAGGCTTTACAGTTATTTCGAGGAAATTTGCTAATATGATTAGACTACCAGTACTTTGATCAGCTTGTCTGTTTACTAGTCCCTTTTGCAGGGAATTATTTTTTTTTCTTTGTATCTTTTTCCTCTGGAACTAAACGCTATTATTATTATATTGTTTTTCATACCTTAACGATAGGCTCCTTGATTTCCTGCTTGATAGGCGGAGGCATGAATATGCTGTCATTACCGGCACTGCCCAGTTCCTGCTTCACTTTGATCATCGGCAAACCGGGCTGCGACTGCGGTGGCATGTGCTTGAGGACGGACTTCGACGCTTCCACGCTGTCAAACGGCGACTTTGACACTCTCTGCGGTTGCTGTTGATGAGGCTGTGAGGTAGACACGAACGGGGGTTTGCTGAGGTACGGATGAACGCCGCCGGGGGCGCTGTTACCGGTGTTGTTATTGCTGCTGGCACTCAGGTGTTTCTTTATGTTTTCAGTCTCGGTTTTTAGGTAAGGGGCGCTACCAACGCCCGGTTGTTTCACGTCGTGCCGGTTGCGCGACGAAGACGACTCCAACCTTTTAACAAAATTTATCCAGTGAGCAATTACCAAAAATCCTGCAACAGTGGATATATTTCTAGATCAGGAAATACATCCAAAAATAACAAAAATGAACATGTACTGAAATGGCCCAGAGTTGTACAGTAATGGACAAAAGTATATAGACAAATTAATATTGTGCTGTATTTCTTTTTTAAGTTGTTTTATTAATACACCAACCTGTATACATAATTCGTTATAGCATAATACTCACTTATACATAAATAAATTCATTAGGCTCCCTTCGATAAAAAATTAATTGAAAAAAACTGGAACTATGAGGGAAAAAAATATATAGACAAAGCAAAACAATTATAGAAAAAAGAAGCAAAGTTCATTGAATTATAGAAAACCAACCATGTTTGTGTTAATATTTTGTAGCATAACCTTTATTATCAATCACCGCCTAGCGTCGTCTCGGCCCAGATTGTAGAAGTATCTTGATATAAGATTCATCAATCATTTGAGAATTGGTATTTTTTCATCCAGAAAGAATTTCTTTGCAAGATTTGAAGTGTGCTTCGGGTCGTTATCTTGCTGGCAGATTGATCTTAAGGAAATATTGTCTTCCATATAGGGTAACATGACATGCTTTAGTATGTCAGTGTATACAAACTTATCCATAATGCCGTCTATTCTATGTAAAGGTCTCATCCCAAACCCCGAAAAGCACCCCCAAACCATAACAGACCCGCCTCCATGTTTGACACTGGGCAAAGTGTACTTGGGGTTTAAGCTTTGTCAACTAGGACGTCTAACGTACTGAAACACCATCTGATCCAAACTTGGATTCGTCACTGAAACATACCCTCTTCCAGTCACAGATGCTCCAATCAAGATGCAACCGTGCAAATTGTAATCGGTCCTTACGGTTTTTCCTCGAGATTAGCGGCTTCTTACTCTGGCGACGTGCAAATAACTTGCAAATCATTTAATCTTCTACTTATAGTTTTCGTAGAAACACTGGCAATTCCTTTTGTATCGATTTCGGCTTTTATTTGTCTTGGGGTTTTAAACGGATCTTTGGACGAAATGACTTTTATTAATCTAACTGATCTAGCATTTTGTTTTCTAGTCCGAACACTTCTCTTAGAGGCTTCCAAGATACCTTTTTGTTTATATTTGTTCAATATTGCCCAAACTGCTTTATGCTTCAGCTTCAAATTTTTGGCAATGTCGACTTGACGTTGACCATCTTTGTATAACTCAATGATCTTAGTTTTCACAACGAAAGAAATTTCCGGACCCCGCGGCATGGTCTTAAAATCACTCAACATATTCCACAATACTTGATGAACACAAATCCTCTTCTGACACGAAACTGTACTAAACTAATGTTGAAAAGGATTTGTCTACATATTTTTGTCCCTCATAAAAAAATGCTTATATTCAGACTTGTATTGTGTTCATTGCAGATAATGTAGAAACAAGGAATTTAGTTTTTCTACTAATAACGCATTTGTTTATGGAGCAATGAAGTATGAATTCGTTTTCTAAAGGTATTTAGGTAAATATTCATATTTGTCTATATACTTTTGTCCATTACTGTATATCATTACGGCACTAATGAATCCAACGAATTCCAAAACAGTGACGAGACTGGCAATGAAGCGTTCGATCTGGCCACACTGGATGCGCCGGGCTTGCAGGGAAAACAGAGGAACATGTGATTCGCCTTCAGTACAAGTCTGAACTCGCTCGAGTCATTTGGTTGTCCGCAGCATTTTTTTTGTAAAAACGTTTTTTCTAATGTAATCTGAAAATGTGTGACATCAATTTCGAGCAACGGTGCGCTATCAGGTTTTGCTTCAGACCTTGGCTCAACGGAAACTCTTGCTAAACAGGCCTACAAAGATATCTCAGCCATTTTACGAAATTTCGCTTTCTATCCATCAGTGGATTCAAAACTTGCAAAAGTATACCTAAAATTACAGCACTTCTAGGCGATGTTGCATTTTCTATGTCATTTAATATATTTGAATAAAAAAATCAGTCTCACCGCTTAATTTACAGACCTCGCACTACCTGGATTAAAAACTATTTACTCTATTCGATTGATTTCAGTGTAGTTACTCACCGCATGCGTTGCTTATCATTGTTATAATCAGTCTGCGCGTTCGGCTTCAACAGGTAATCGCTGCCGCCTCCGCTACTCCTCTGCTTCTGCGCGTCTTTCATATGCTCCCTGCCACTATTCGTCCCGGCCAAGCCGAACGGCGAATCCCTGACCGCTTCGCGCAGGATGTCCCTCGGTTCGCGCGGTTGGTAGCCGCCGGGGGGCATCGAGGGCGGTCGCGAATGCGGTTGCTTCAATTTCGGGTCAACCGAGGGCCGTTGGTGGCTGCCCGGGGGCGGTAGCGGCTTCGACGGAGGTGGCACCTGGCCAGCCATCATCGCCTTCTGCTGGGCGGCGGCAGCTAGCCGCTCGCGATGGTGCTTGTCGCGTTCGCGCATTTGTTGCGAACTCGGACCGGTAGGGTCGTGCAGGCGAGAGGAACGGTGTTTGTGCGGGTCGCCATCACCTGGAGAACAAATAAGTAATTTCAGCTTAAAAACATAAACTGCGAAAAACTGAAGAGCAATGATGTAACAAATAATCATTGCTGCTTTATTTATCCTATTGCTATTCTTACATTTAACACTGTTAAGTATTAGGTTGTTCGGAAAGTTCTTGCTGTTTTTAACCTTCAAATTCCAAGCAGCTTCAAATAGATTAATCAAAATTAAAACCATTATTTTTTGAGTAGCTCAGTGACTGCCAGTGCCGGTCCCAAGCCCGGATAAAGGAGGAGGGTTGTAGCGGCGGGTTGGCTCCCCGCCCTGTGGAAAAAAAAAGCATTGCTAAAACACCCATACAGCAGCCTCGGAATTCGGACGGATTACACGGAAAACGACAAAAGCAAAGAAAACGGTTAACGAATATTGGATGCTGGAATATACAAGGACTAAACACTAAAGATGATCAAGTATTTAGAGAACTCCACACATACGACATCGACATAGCAGTACTCAGCGAAACAAAGAAGAAAGGACAAGGAAACAGCTACAAAGATGAGTACATATGCTTTTGGAGTGGAGTAGAAAAATCGAAACGGGCCAAAGCTGGTGTAGCTATTGCAATAAAAAAGGTCATGGAGAAGTTCATAATGGACTGGAACCCAGTTGACGAAAGGATCATAACGGTTGACATGAAAATAAAAGGAAGAGAAATTAAAATATTCGGTATCTACGCGCCCACAGACGACTCAGATACAAACACAAAAGACAAATTTTTTGACAAACTCTCTGAGGAATTAGATAAGACGAAAAATAGACAAGAAATAGTCTTGATAGGCGACCTGAACGGAAGAGTGGGCAAAGCTCTTGACAGTAAAATAATTGGACAACACGGAGAGGAAGTAGTCAATGAAAACGGAACCAGATGGATAGAGCTTTGTGAACAACACTCGTTAAGAATCTTAAACGGATTTTTCCAACACAAAGACATACACAAATATACTTGGACTCAAAAAACAAAAAACTTGAAATCAATTATTGACTATGTCGTGATTAAGCAGGACACTTCCATAATACCCTATGATGTAAAAGTTTGGAGAGGAGCTGAGTGCGGTTCAGATCACCGGCTAGTAAAAGCACCCATTGAAATTACTTACAATAAACATCTCATATATCAAGAACAAAATAACAATGAAAAACCCACAAAGCGATATAACATAGACAGCTTAAGGGATGAATCCACCAGTTTCCTTTACAAACTACGTTTAGCACAAAAACTGGACGAAGATATTAACGGCAAGGCAGAAGAAATGTATGAAACTTTGAAACACAAAATTCACGAAGCAGCACTAGAAGCCCTTGGTGTTAAAGATAGAACGGAACACAAAAATTCTTGGTGGACGGACGATTTAACCCAACTGGTAGAAGAAAAGAAAAACTTATATCTTAAATGGTTAACTACAAAAGACGATGAAGATCGAAAAAGCTATAATCGTTTTAAATATATAGTAAAAAAGAAATTAAAAAAATAAAAAACAAAACATGGGAAACCAAATGTGCTGAAATTAGCTCAATGGTAGGAGGATCTAGGTCTAGAGAAGCTTGGCGAACTATAAATGGTCTTAAAACAAACACGAATGAAAGAAGAAAAATAAATCCCATAAAAATAGAACAGTGGAAAGACTACTACAATAATCTACTGGCAGAACAACGTGGAGAGTATTTAGACACGCAACTAGATATAGATCAAACGGGAGTTAACAGAGTAGATACCATTCAATTAGAAGAAATAAAAAAAGCATTACAAAAAATGAAAAATAATAAAGCTCCGGGACCGGGGGATTTGCCTATCGAGTTAATTAAACACGCCACCACAAGAACGCACGAGCTACTCTGTGTAATTTTTAACAAGTGCCTGGAAGGGGAAACGATTCCCAGAGATTGGAGGAGCTCTTACATAAATTCCATTTATAAAAAGGGAAACAGGAGTGACTGTAGTAATTATCGGGGTATTAGTATTACATCGTCCATCGGAAAGCTGTACGAAAGAGTCCTAACAGCCCGAATAGAAGACGAAGCCACGGAAATTGAAGAACAAAGTGGATTTCGACCTGGGCGCTCCTGTGTCGACAACATATTTACAATAAAACAACTGACAGAAAAGAGATTAGCAAGAGGAATGGAGCTACACGCTACTTTTATAGATCTCCGCAAGGCATTCGACTCCGTCCCTTTGCAGAAATTATGGATCGCAATGAAAGAAGCAGGCATAAATAGCAAATACATAAACGCCGTAAAAGCAATGTATAGAGAAAATCAAGTGGTCGTCAAATTTCTGAGGCTTTCCCACAAACAAAAGGTGTTAAGCAGGGCTCCTGCCTCTCTCCAACCCTGTTTAAAATTTATCTCTGCAGCGCTTTAAAACAGTGGATAAGAAAGTGCAGCCCCATGGGGATATGGTTAGAGGACTTTCACTTGTATACAATCCTCTTTGCAGATGATCAGGTAGTCTTTGCAGAAGACCAGCAAGACATGACTTACATGATAAACAAACTTATAGAAGAATTCACTAAATGGGGTTTGGAGATAAATATACAAAAGACACAATACATGACTATAGGAGGCACAGGACAAGACATCGAAACAAAAAGCGGAAAAATAGAAAACGTCGGACAGTACCAGTACCTAGGAGTTACAATAGATGAAAGCGGAAAGGATAATAAAGACATACTAAGGAAAATAGGAAAAGGAAAAAATATGATTAAAGCACTACATCCGATCTTGTGGAGTAAGAACCTAACAAAGAAAACAAAAAAATTATATATCAGGCTATGATTCAGCCAGTACTGACGTATGGGTCAGAAGCGTGGGTTGTAGATAAAAATATGTCACAAAAGCTTCTCTCAACCGAAATGATGTACTGGAGAAGATGTTCCGGTTTAACTTTACTTGACCATGTTAGAAATGAGACCATCAGAGAAAGAATGGAAGTCGAAAATACAATAATGGACGATATAACAGAGAGGCAGTTAAAATGGTATGGACACCTGCAACGAATGAACGAAGAAAGGATACCATTAAGGGTTTGGAAATGGACACCAGCACAAAGAAATAAACGAGGAAGACCGCGAAGGAAATGGATTTCAAACATCCATACCGCAATGGAAAGTAGAGGACTACATGAAGGAGACTGGAACGATAGGATACGATGGCGTATGGGTTGCGAGAAGCGACCTTAGGTTGCAGAAACTCGCCATATAAAACCATTATAATCAGTACACTTTTGCCAGCGAGAAACAAGTTTATTTATGCCGCTAACGTAGAAATCCGGAGTTCTGGAGGCGATGAACTCATTGAAGGCGTTTTTAGCATCGTCGTGGTTATTGAAGTGTTTCTCGCGCAGGTAATTGTCGCGATGTTTGAAAAAGTGGTAATCGGTGGGCGAAAGATCCGGAGAATATGGTGAATGAGGCAGAGTTTCGTAGCCCAATTCGTTCAGCTTTTGCAGGGTCGGTTGTGCGACGTGTGGCCCGGAATTGTCGTGGAGGACAATTTTGGCCCCTTCATATTGACCAATCTAGTGCACATACGCCGGAGCTTCTGATGTATTTTGTCGATTACTTCTCCGCCATAATCGTTTCGCCCGGATTTAGAAAGGTGTGGTGGATGAGACCGGCTGCAGACCACCAAACAGTGACCATATCCTTCTTTGGCCGCAGTGTCGTGTTGTCCAACCTTGAGCAGAACGTCGCCTATTGTCGTATAAAATCCACTTTTCATCACAAGTCACAATCCGGTCGAGAAACGGGCCGTTTTCGTTGCGTAGAAAAAGGGCAGACGCCACCTCAAAACGACGATTCGTGCTGTATCCATTTATCGAGCTTTCCGATCCGTTTCAAGTGGTCGGAAATGGTCGCAATACCCACATTGAGCTCCTCCGCACGCTCACAAACACTTGTGCGTGAGTTTGCTTCCACGAGGCTTTTAATTCGTCGTCGACGACATCATGTGGCCGGCCACTGCGCTCTTCATATCCAAGGCTCTCGTCACCGCTGCGAAATTTCTTGAACCACCATTGTGCCGTACGTTCGTTAGTGGCTCCTTGGCCAAATGCATCGTTAATATCGCGAGCTGTCTCGGCAGCTTTTTCACCCCATTTAAACTGGAATGAGGAAATCGTGCTAATTTGCCTCGTGTCCATCCTATATTTGAAGTCTTGAAAAGAACAAATTATCGTTGAACAAAACGAATACAACGGCTAGAGAAAACGAAAAACGCGCTTTAACATAATATATAAAGTCCAAGTACTATAGACAAATTTTACTGTAAAATACATCATTTAAAATATGAATAACAAAAACCGCAATAACTTTCCGAACAGTCTAATAGATTATAGCAGCTAGAAAAAACTTTATTCCTCACATATTTTTTTCTTTGGTGTTATAAACAATCAACTATTTCTCATTATAAAACGTAAGTTTTGTAAGTGAAGCGGGAAGGCTCAAACAGCGAGGCTGTTAAATCTGTGTATGTCTGACTTACTTCAAATTCCAAAAATGACAGATGAACATAACCTTAAAAATGAAATTATTTTTATAAATCGCGCGTGTTCATCTACATTTTGAAAAAGAATATGGTGTATCAAAGTAAGTTAACATATAGCCACGAGGCTTTTAATTCGTCGTCGACGACATCATGTGGAAGGCCACTGCGCTCTACATATCCAAGGCTCTCGTCACCGCTGCGGAATTTCTTGACCCACCATTGTGACGTACGTTCGTTAGTGGCTCCTTGGCCAAATGCACCGTTAATATCGCGAGCTGTCGCGGCAGCTTTTTCACCCCATTTAAACTGGAATGAGGAAATCGTGCTAATTTGCCTCGTGTCCATCCTATATTTGAAGTCTTGAAAAGAACAAATTATCGTTGAACAAAACGAATACAACGGCTAGAGAAAACGAAAGACGCGCTTTAACATGATATATAAAGTCCAAGTACTATAGACAAATTTTACTGTAAAATACATCATTTAAAATATAAATAACAAAAACCGCAATAACTTTCCGAACAGTCTAATAGATTATAGCAGCTACCAAAAACTTTACTCCTCACATATTTGTTTCTTTGGTGTTATAAACAATCAACTATTTCTCATTATAAAACGTAAGTTTTGTAAGTGAAGCGGGAAGGCTCAAACAGCGAGGCTGTTAAATCTGTGTATGTCTGACTTACTTCAAATTCCAAAAATGACAGATGAACATAACCTTAAAAATGAAATTATTTTTATAAATCGCGCGTGTTCATCTACATTTTGAAAAAGAATATGGTGTATCAAAGTAAGTTAACATATAAATAGTGATAAGATGAAAACAAAGTGCATGAAAATGTTGATACCAACCTGATCTATGATCTTTTCCATCCTTGTCTGTCTTTTTGGCGTCTTGAGGTTCCTGAAAATATTTCGGAACATGAATGACAGAATATTTCACCATCAATTCAATAGTTTCCCGAAAATATTATCAAACAATGATAGAATACTACCGACTGAAACATAAGAATGATAAAAGTTTATTTACATATACATATACAACTATCCTAATATGAAAGAAGAATTATTATGAATATTAAATTAAATAAATATTATGAAAATCTAATAAATTGTTGTTGTTTGTTACGTTACTAGTTTTGAGTAATAGTTCATTATGTTTAATCTATTTTACCAATAAACACACTGTTTAGCAAAGACATTCTTCAGGACTTATTTTTTCATCAACATTACTTTCCAACAAGTAAGTAAACCTTAATTACCGATTTTCTCCGCATCAGTCCGGATAGACTATTGTCGTTATTCCCCGGTAACCTTCAAATATATAATGCCTGCCATTGATGAATATTTGCTCTAACGTCCCTTTGGCAGTTTGAAGTAAACAAATATGTGGCATTGAAACCACAACAAAGAGTAGTTTACCAAGAAATGACACTTCGCAACCCGCTGGTCGGCAACACTGATCTTGGATTTCTTCTGCATTACTGGCTTACAACAAAAACACAGCGTCCTATGAGCGAACCGCCCTTGGTTTGGCGATTGTCTCATACACGGATCGGCATTTCCTGAGGCAATGTTGCCAAACTGACCGAAAATGTGCAAGACCACAACAAAGTGTGGTTATACCAAGAGAAGCCACTCTGCAGAATGTTTATAAATCGCTAGTCGGATCTATTGACCTTAGGTTTCTTTTGCATCACTGGTTTACAACAAAAACACATCACTATGCATTTTGAATATTCATAAAGTGAATTTTTAATTTCACCTTAAGCATTTTTAAATTCGAACACTGATATCATTATTTTATTAAATTCAAATACTAAACAAAGTTCGTGGATTTCTTCACCTAATTAGAGCTTGTTCTAATTTTTGCTAAGTTGGACGTCAAATTCCATGATGCCTTGTTTTCCTTTCCATTATATTGCAAAACTTTTAATTCAAGTAAAGATCTTTGATGGAACCACAACATTCAACAATATGGTTTCTGTTAATGAAATTCGCCTTAAATCAAAACCACAGTAGACATAAAAGCACAACAATTTGTTGTGTGGTTGGCAGCACTGACTACTGACATCCATGTTTGTCCACTGCAAAACATAATCAGGATGACCTTGAAGAAATCCATCTCAATAAATTCGTGAAGAAATTGTTGATGTAAAACGACTATTGGCACAATTACTCTCACAATGAACAACGCCTCGGTAAAATGGAATGAATAGGAACAGAGAAACGAATCAAGTCATCTTTGGAAAACAACTGAGCACAAAAGTCGATACTTACAAAGCTGACGTGATTCATGTTCGGGTTCAAGGTCGGCGTATGGGCTACATTATCGGGGATCGCCATGATCTTCTCTTTCAGTCGAGACGGGCTCGCCTCGAATATAACTAGGAACTCTTCGGTGAGCTGCTGCAGCAGTTCCGCAGTGACTGTCGGGTCGACGTACGAGTACCATGGTTTCTTCTCGTTCGACAACGGAATCTCCCAGTTGGACCATTTGCACGCCACCAGAATGCAAAAGCACGCCACCACGGTGGGTTTATACTGGATGCACATCGTCGTCAGGTGCAAACTGTCGTGAATTAAAAAAAAAATTAGAGAAAATGGTTCAACAGCTTTACTTGTATCACATAAGATTATTTACTGTGATTTATAAAAGTGTTCTGGGCCATCCAGATTCGGCACTAGTGCCGCCAGGATCGCATACAGATGTCTGCATCCAGTATCGTAATTGTTAGTGTCGACGTATATGGGTATTTCTCAACAAATTTAGAAATTTCATTTTGCGTTTCTTAAAAAAAATAATAATGAAAATATATCATTTTTTTGCTGATATATAAAGTTTTACTTTAGTGAGGTACATTGAAAATGAAGGTCCTCCATATTTTTGTGTATAACATGTAGAAAAATGACTTTTAAAAAACTATAAAATGAGGGAATGACTGATAGGATGGGGGAATGATTTTTACAACAATTTGATGCTGAATTGCAATAAAAAACGTAAGTTAATTTATTAATAGATGTATTGAGATTTGTTTTATACTTTAAAGGGCACATACCAAATATTTTAGTAATATTCAATTTATAAGAATATGAACAGATTTGATTGTATATATTTTTTATCAGTAATTTCAGACCCAGGGACGATGAGGGAATGACTTAGACTAATAAATTAATCGTATTTTTTTGTGTCAATATAACGTGACTTGTAATGTCACGTATCTGTTAAGGGGTGATAGATTAGGCCAAAAGCAACCGATTTTGTCCTATCATGTCTTATCCAAAAGTTAACCATTTTTGAGTTATTTGAATTTCAAGTTTTTTATTTTTTATTCGGATTTCAGACGGTTAAAATTGAAATACAAAAAAACTGCATGCTTGATTTTGAGTTTTTTGTTATCGTCGCATACCAGACATTCCAATAGTTCATAATGAGTAATAAAATGTTGGAAAGCTAGAAACGTTTTAAAATTACGCTTTTTAAATGTATCATTTTCTTTTTTTTTACTAACTTATTCGATAAAAAATGCAATTTTCTGTAAAAAATCTCCTAGTAATGAAATGTGCAAATTATGTAAATAATATCTCTATCTAACAAGCTTTCATTTGAGGTATTAAGCGTTCAATTATCTGAAGTACATGCAGAGAAACGACAATGACCCCCTACAGAGGCTGGATTTTTAAGGAATTTGTATTACCTGTTTGAACAAGTCGTAACTGTCCTCAAAGGACTCGCATGCCATCATGATTGTTTTATGGCATCGGCTCGACGAGGAAGCAAGCGAGAAGAGCTGACTTGGTGGAGGAGTGAGAGAGAGAGAGCTGTTATTATTCATCATTGTAGTTACGCCATCGCCGCACGCCGAGTGAGAATTAGGTTTAGTTGGTATCAACTACTGCGTACGCGCACACGTTTTACGCACGATTATTATTTTCGAGTTTCCCAGTTCATTTCGAGTGGTTTCTTTATCATCATGGCAGACGCAGAAGATCCGCCAGGACCTCGCTATAGCGAACACGGGCAAACTTTTACAAATGAAGAATACGCAGACATTATGTTCTGTTATGGACTTTGTAACGGCGAGTCTGTAGCTGCCCGCCGTGAATATCGGCAACGTTTCCCGAATCGCCGAACACCTCATGTTACTGTGTTTGACTGTCGTGTATGGCGCATCCGCCAAACCGGACGTGTTCAAAGGCAACATAGTGATGCTGGTCGACCGAAAAATAAGACCGACGGGGTCTCAGAGCCGGTTTTCAGTCAATGTGTGGATGGGCATCATTGATGGATATTTAATTGGACCTCATTTTCTGACCGCCAATTTAAATGGAGAAGTATATGAAGAGTTCTTGAAAAATCACTTGTTTCCATTAATGGAAGACGTCCCATTGGCGACGAGACAAAATATGCGGTTCCAGCACGACGGCTGTCCCGCACAATACAGTAGATTAGTACGGGCGTATTTGGACTCTAAATTTCCAAATCAATGGATTGGCAGAGGCGGGCCCATTGCCTGGCCAGCAAGAAGCCCAGATCTCACACCAATGGATTACTATGTGTGGGGACATATGAAAAGCCTGGTGTATGATGTTTCGCCCGTACCAACGCGCGATGAATTAATTACAAGGATAATCAGTGCAGCTGACCAAATAAAAAGCCGCTTAACAACTAGAGTTACCAAAAGTGAATTACGTAAGAGAATGCGGACGTGTATTCGTAACAGGGGATTACAATTTGAGCAGAATGTGTAAAATACTAAAGGAAATGTAATTAAATAAAACTGTAATTAAAATAAAAGCCTTTTATTTATCCTACGTAATTATCGTTCGTACAACTTTACCCATCTTTTTTTAATTCTATGTCTTTGTACTTGAGTTAGTGTATGATTTGCACATTTCATTACTAGGAGATTTTTTACAGAAAATTGCATTTTTTATCGAATAGTTTAGTAAAAAGATAAGAAAATCATACATTTCAAAAGCGTAATTTTAAAACTTTTGTAAGTTTTCAACATTTTATTACTTATTATGAACTACTGGAATGTCCGCTATGCGACGTTAACAAAAAACTCAAAATCAAACATGTAGTTTTTTTGTATTTCAAGTTTAAGCATCTGAAATCGGAATAAAAAATAAAAAAAATAAAATTCAAATAACTCAAAAACGGTTAACTTCTGGATAGGACATTATAGGACAAAATCGGTTGCTTTTGACCTAATCTATCACCCCTTAACAGGAATACGTGACATTACAAGTATATTTTTTTATTAGTAATTTCAGACCCAGGGACGAGATGAGGGAATGACTTTTAGACTAATAAATTAATCGTATTTTTTTGTGTCGATATATTTACTAAATTTTAGCTTTTAAAATATTAGATACTTATTGATATAATAAAAATGTTAAATGGATGATAAATCCATGCAACTTAGCATCAATGGCTCAGCACATGAATTTCGAAATTTGCTGAGAAATACCCATATGCTGCAATAGCTATGAGCAAAATTTTGGTTTACAGGCAATATTTATTGATTTCAAGCAAATCACTCCATTGACAGAGAAAAATTATATAAAGCTATGAGTCGGCTAGGAATACCAAATAAACTAATAAGGTAGGTCAAAATGCCAATGAACGGGAAAATGAAGAAAAATATCTAGATCTTTTGGCGTAAGGAGAGGCCTGAGACAAGGGGACACGCTATCTACAACATTGTTCAACTATTTTTGAGTGTGGTATACAAACCGACGGAGTTGTTTAATATAGAAAACATCAATTGACTGCTTATGCCGATGATATAGCGATAATACCGAGATCCAAAGCAGAACTTGACAAGATGTTTAGAAGGGGCTTCATATAAATAAAGACAAAGCAAAATACCTAGAAATGTGAGGAAGTTAATAATAAATAGTAGTTGCTGAGAATACTGCTTCAAGAACCTGTACCATTTTGAATACCTTGGAGTAATAATAACAAATTTTTTTGTCTTTTTTCTAAATCAATACTAGGTAAACAAAAAAATATATTCGAAGATTGCAATCAAATTTTATCGGAGATTTATTCCAGTTTCCGGAAATGCCCTTACATTCTCTGTGATCACTGGTTACCGAGAGATCAGTCGTCGATGACAAAGGGATCCTTTTTCTTTCAAAATTGGATATCTCCGGGCCAAATGATCGTAGCGAATATTAAAGTTAAATAAACGAGCTACCCGATCCATATGATTACATAACAGAAAAAATATTTTAAAAAACCCGTGGACTAAAAGTACAAAAATTTTGCAAAACATTTTTCTTGCGCTATCTGATAGAATTGCACGAGAACTAAAATTTTTCGGCTAAAATATCTGAAAACCAAAATCTTAAGAACTTCAAAATGCTTTTTTATCCTCTCAATACGAACATTTTTCATCGAAATACGAAGCATTTTGTTCTTTTTTCGAGAAGAGTAGTTAGCAGTAAAAAATTCTATACATATCTCGGTGTGCGTCTCAGGATGCGTATGACGGTATCCTTATCCATTACAGGTACTTTTGATGGCACCCGTACTTTTCAAAAAATTAGGCGAAAACTTACAATTTACCAACGTATAACAAAAAAATTATTTTGGCACTATACATAGAATACACCGAGTTAAAAATGAATTATGATAGCATTATTTTGTGTTCTGGACAAAAAAATGGGTTTCGCTTTAATATCAGTCGACTACTCTAAAGCCTTCGATAAGATAGATCATAAACTTTCATGTGCTAAGCTACGTTCTGTTGGTTGTGATGAGGTTGTAATCAAATTTTTTGAAAGCTATCTTAAAAACAGGACTCAATGTGTTTCAGTGAAGGGTATTACATCTGATGTCACTCGCATACCTTCAGGAGTGCCTCAGGGTTCCATTTTGAGACTTCTTTTGTTTTTAATCTATACATTTGACTTATCTAGATCAGTTTACAACTCTGATATTCAATCGTTGGCTGATGACACCCAGCTCTCGCATTGTTTCGGTATAGAAGATATACAGAGCACTGTCCAAGTATTACAAGCAGATATTGATAGTCTAATGCAAATATTCAACAGATCACAACCTCAGCATAAACCCGGAAAAATCTAAGATTATATTGTTTTGTTCAGACAGCAGAAGGAACGACGTTGTTTCGCTCTTAAATGTGAACATAGACAATAAGCAGCTCGAGCTCACCAATAGCGCAAAAATATTGGGTGTAGAAATTGATACAAAATTAAGATTTACCGAGCATGTAAAAAATCTGACACAAAAAACCTATGCACGTTTACGCAGTCTTTATTCAAACAGATATCTGCTAAACTTCAAAATGAGGAAAAAACTTTGCGAAACCTTCGTTGTGTCTGTCTTGAACTACTGCAGTATTCTATATTTTCCCTGTTTGGATCAGATCAACACAGAATCCAATTGATTCAAAACAGCTGTGTTCGCTTTATATTCGTCATGAGAAAGTTCGACCATGTCTCTCACAAATATGCAGAGTTGAGATGGCTAAAGTTTGACCAGTTGGTCAAGTTACATTTTTCCACATTTATCCATAAAATTTTAATTAATTCTAAGCCAGAATGCCTATGTGAAAAAATTATTTTTAATAACACCATTCACAATAGAGCTATTAGAGACAGGCACGTTATCAGAATTCCGAAGCATACAACATCTCTGTTCCAACGAAGTTCCTCATATAACGTTGCAGCAATATATAATTCTTTGGACAGTAAATTTAAGACCATGAGTTTACCATGTTTCCCCTACAATGTTAAGTTGAGATATTTGAACGATTAACTTTTCCCTCAATATTTCATAGATGTAGTATGTGCACACAAAATATCTCATTTTCCACTTCTCATATGGGTTATAAGTGATTTGTTATATATATTTTGCATTTTTTTTCTGTTAGCTGTTAACAACGTAATGTTTAACTTTAGTGGTTAAGTGTTAGAGTAGCATATTGCTAAACTATAGTTACACTTTATATATATATATATACACGTATTGTATATATTATTTAATAAAGACGTTTATTATTATTATTATTAGCTTCAAATAAGTGAGTAGCCAAAACGTCCTATTATTTTGTTAGCTATCATTTCATTCCTGATAAAAGGCCCAAATTATAAACAACCATAATCGCGATAACATTAGAATAGCATCAAGAGTGAAGTAAATTGACTATGAATTGGTGGTCATCCCAGAAGACCAGTAGGGTAAAAACGGTTAAACAAATGCTGCCTGGAAACATTTTTTAAGGTATATGTCAGAGACTTACTTTCATATCACTACACATACGCTATTTAGAATCAATAATTCAAACATATTATCATAAGAAAAATATTTACCGAAATTGGATAGAAGGTAAACTTACCTATTACTGGCCATGAAATATGAAGTCTGCGCCAGGTCCTTGCTGGCTCGCACTAAATGGCAACACCGCACCACATGGGTGTGGGGATGGTCTATCGCCACGTCAAATCCTAACGTTTGTAACAACACATTTTCATTGAACACTAAATCCTGAGATTGGGCTATATACCTGCAAAACAAAGAAATAGTGCATTACATACCTTGGTGGAGAATAACACGTATTGTTATCCCAGATTAATCGGTGAGGTTCAAATTCGATCTTCACAATTGGGATCTGGGAAACGGAAAAAGATACGAAGAAGAATGAGGGCAAAGTTGCGCATTTAGGTATTTAAGAAAATAGTAATTACAAAGTTGCACAATGCCGAGTATTTCCCGACGAATGAAACCGAATTTTCGCACAATCGTTTTTATTTTTTCCTGACTATTTGAGACACAGTACATTGGCATTGATACTTTTTGTATGACTGCAATGAACTTTCGTGTTCCTAAGAAAGAAGTTACATGTCCCCCCTCGGTAAATGGTAATAATGAAAAAACCCTAGTGAAGAATCAATCTGTGCATTATTTGGCTTGTTTTTGCTACATTTTTCAACATTACTAATTATTATTATTGTTTAGTACAAGTTAATGTAGCATGTAGAATCAATGAAACTATTCTTGATGATTGTATGTATTTATCACACTATTTCGTCAGCCCGAAATTTCCGTGCTACTTAATTAATTGGAATATTTGAAAATGACTGGAACAGATGTGTCAACGAATGTACATAGAATCTTCTATGTCATGCGCTTACTATGTAGCGGCAGCGCCCCGTCCTGCGTACCGATGTAGACATTGCGTCAGATTTATACCCACAGTGTTGCCGGACGTTGAGAAAATTCTCAGATATGCTATATTTGCAAGTCTAATCAAATTAAAGGTGGTAATAGTAGTTAGTGTATATATATATATATATATATATATATATATATATATATATATATATATAAACATATATATACCTTAGTAGAAAAGGCCATTACATCTCTCGGCGCTATGAGCGGCAAATAATGTCTACTTCTCCAACAAGGTATGTAAAGGGCTATTTTTCCACGACATAAGCAAACAAAGGATGCTGCGAGAGATTGTATGGAATCGGGTACGCACCTCCAATAGCTGCATGTAGTGTATCACTGGGTAGCTCTTTTTGTGGTAAAGTTATTATGGAGTCTAGTTTCAAATCTTAGTCATTTCAGAAATGTACAGTACTTTAAATGTATGCGTTTTGATTTTGTCATATTTTTTCATGTTAATAGCTGGAGTCTGTCTACAAAGAGAAACGTATAAATAAATGAAGCACAATTATAAGGTATTTCAACTTGACGTTTATTAATAAAAATAAAAAATAATTCAGTCATCATTGAATGATAGCCAGGGTACTCGTGAAAAATAGTATACAGGGTGTAAAAATATTTTGACTCTTGCTATAGCTAATATTTAAAAAGTACTGAATAATTATGAATTGACGAGGATTTGAAACAAGGCGTCATAAATACCTTCTATTGAGCTCAAAAAGAGCTACCCAATAACGCACTACACGTATCTATTGCAGATGGGTACCAAAATTTGCGAAATTCTTTATAACCCTTCAGGATCCTAAAAATGTACAAACATACCTTTCGGACGTCACATCAATGTTGGTATCCCTGGAATTTCTACAGATGTTGGCCACTTTGATGACGTATTCTAGTTTCCTGGGCTGCTCTTCAACCTTCGCGGCCAGGAACAGGGCCGCAGCGGCCATTTGGTACCAGGGAAAGTGAGTGAACGAATGGAACACGTAGAATCGGTGCATGTATACTATTGCTGTGTTGATACATAGTTGCGAACTGTGCCGCAGATAGTTAAGGAAATATTTCGCCAGAAATTGTATAAATCTATGAATCAATAAATATGTTTCTTAGGGCTCCACATGAATGTTTAAAAAAGTTTAAGCTCACAAGTGTAGCTCAGCAGCAGAAAAACTGATCAAATTTCATACATACAAAGTCTGTTAAAAAAATGGACATAAAAACAAAAATTCAGTTTTACAGATTACTCGTTCTTGTCCCCTTCAAATCAACTTTCCTCCCATATTCACAAACTTCTTCCAGCGGTGTTTTCACTTTTCAAAACGGACCCAATAAGCTTCTTTCTATATGTTCTTCAATGCCTGAGACAAATTTGTTTTAATGTCATCAATGGTGTCAAAACGGCATCCTTTTGCAAGTGATGTCAATTTAGGGAATAAGGGTAAAATGGGTTGGGGTAGGTCAGTCATTTGATTCTTGGCACAAAACTGGCTAATTGACAAGGTTGCATGAGCTGGCGCGTTGTCATATTAAAGTAACGATGAGTTGTTTGGCCACTTTTTGCAAATTTACTCATACAATCGTTTCAAAAATTCAAATTGTACAACTCCATTGAAATCGAAAAAAAAGTTATATTCAGTTTGACATTTTGATCGAGACTGTCGTACGTTTTTGGGTTGTGGAGACCTTTTACCAGCCCACTATGGTAATTGAACATGTTTTTCTCATGTTGTAACCTTAAACTCAAACCTCGTCGCCCGACTACTTTTGAATCAGCAAAACTAAAGCTTTTTCAGAAGTTCAAATGTTTCAGTAAAGGTTTTTTTTCCGTTTCACGAAAACCTTCGCATTTCATCATTATTCAGAAGAAAGCCATTAATTAAAACTATGACCAGTTCAGCATAGTATGATTATTGTAGAGATCACTTGAAAAATCTCTAAATAATGCCTGTTCCAACATCATATACGAGTATGACACTTTAATAGATGTACATAAAAATATAAATAACTACTTAATGAACTCTAATCTAACTACCACTGGTACGCAAACTCTCGCTATCGATATGAAATCCGAATTTCCCACATTTAGATCTGGACAATTATCTAACAAGTATTTATTAACACAATTTTTCCGCCCGTTCTTCAATTTTCAATCGCCGTATCCCCCCCCTTCCGAGATTGTCATATTCCTGAACACGAATCTTGAACTTCCCCCCCGCAACTTTTTGCGCGAGTAATATCAAATTCATCATAGGGACCATACCAAAAATATTGTCTTCTTGTTTCTGTGATTGTTTTAATATTAATGCCACTGTTGTTCATGATAATATGTATATCTTGTACTTTGTACTCGCACTCGAACAGATGAAAAAATAACTACGCAGGAAATTATGACGGAAATCCATATGTACGACGTAGGATAATTACCCCGCAATTGAAAGAGTTCGGTAATTTTTTTGAAGAGATCTCGTATACACATACCAATGTCGAATAACGTAAAACCAGATGCTAAAATATCTTAGGTAATGCGATTGAAGTTAAGAGAAAAAATAATTAGATATTAAACAACTGCTGTCTGATGGGTTGATACTTCTAGCCCTTAGCCCTCCTTGAGAGATGAAATTTGCTTATTTAGCACGATTTTGTGTAGAAATTTAGCGCTTCCTAGCTCTAAAAATTAAAAATTCCAACCAAACTCTTCACATTCAATCTGATACCACTACGCGAAAAGTAGAGTCAACCTACTTGATGCCATTTTTCAAACCTACTTTGAAAGCTGATGCAGCTTTTTCGTCGCTTTCTAAGCATTCAACTACACAGCCCTACTTAGGAAAAGGCAGTGAGGTTAATTTACTGATTAGAATTTCAAAATATGTATATATCATTGATCACATTATTAAACAAAAAGTTATTTTTTCACTTTGTCAAATATTTCATATTGATTACATTTCCTAATCATAAAAGGAGTAAATCAGTATATCAAATTAAAAAAGCAGTAGTTTTCAAACTATACTGCTTTTATTATCTGTATAACTACTTCCATTTTACTGTTTATACTGTTTATAGCCTAAAAATATGATTGCTTATTCAGCATTTTTATGGAATAATTCTATTACTTCAGAATAAGTATTTATTAATATAATTTATTTAGCTCCGAAGGAACAATTTTGAAAAATGTTATTTGTTTAACAAACATGCTGTTTTTAGTTAATTTCCATAATTTCAAAGTCATTATATAATCATTCAATAGAATTATTAGGTGTTAACTTTTATGCTGCATATATTTTGGAAAAAATTAAAATAAATAGTGTATGAAAACCATGTAAAAAGTCGGTAAACTTATTTTTGCAGAGTATAAAAGCAGTAAATTACATGTAATAGATTTTTGACTTATGACAAAGACCAAATGTCATTTACTTTAGACCTGGACAAGCATGGCCAGAAATCTAATTTAAATGACTCTCTTTTAATTCATGTAACTTTGCAATATTCATTCACTTTTGTTCTGTCACAATAATACTATTCATTTAGTTCAAATAAATCCAGAATTTTAAGTTAACTTTCTCAGACTCTGACTTTTACTTTACTGCATTTCTTCTTAAGTATGGCAATACAGATTTGCCAATTTGCCAAATCAAAATATCTGATAAAGAGACTCAATGAAACATATAGAAAAATTGGTAATGTTCTAAAATTTTGTTTTTAGTGAACTGTCAACATGACACTAAAAATATAGCTCAACTGCAGCTAGGGTGATTTTTATGCAAAGTATTAGCAGTTACAATTTTCGCATATTTGAGTTAAAACGAAACTCTTGATTCAAACTCTGTATCTATGAAAATTCGTATTATTTCCCATGTCAATCAATATCAAATGTGATTTGTTTTCCATTGAAAATTAGATTTAATAATGTCTAGGTATCAGTATAAGATTGGTCGTGAACTTTATGGATTAGCGTTAATGACTAGCCACCAACCGAGTGTCCAGATCTCTCTACTTTCACTATAGGCATCAAGTAGATACACTCGCAAATCGTCCCTTTAAGTCATATTAGCCTTTTAGGAACGTTCTGGAAATATTTAGGCTTGTGAAACATTTTCTGATATTTGAATTCCATTTCAACCCTCAGCTCAAATCAAATTGACATTATTTTTAAATGATTGCCTTTAGGTAGAAGGTTCGATCTGATGTCATGTTTTCTCTGTTTGGCCACTATAAATTCATTTAATTTTTATAGTTGTCAACATACCACTTACCATAATTTATATAGTGCCTCTTTCATGTAATTCAATTGATCCAAAAGTTTATACTTATAGAAATCAAATATCCCGCTTGAAATTATCATATCTATATTATGAGTTTATTTCAATTCCAGGACTTCATTTATGAACAGAACTAAAATTTGTAAGAAATGATCTGGCACATTTAATTCTCCTGCATCATTTCAAAATATTACTCAACATCTTGAAAAACAGACTCAAGTAGAAGTTTAAAAAAGTGCTGTGGAACAATGAAATCTTTTGAATACTACCAGAATTGATATATTGTTATTTACTGAAACCAGCCGAGTTCAACTGAATGAGAAGTGTAAGATCAATATGTTTGACAATAGTTTTTAGCACAGCTATGGAGCCTCAGTGCATATTGCCATACAGGTCCAATCCCCATGCATGAAAAATAAATTTCATAACTTTGATATAGCCATGAAAGGTTCTTCTACCCGTTTTTTAATCACGTTGCTTTAGTTTTTGTAAGATTTCTGACTTACTGGTCATTCTATGTTGTAATCATTTTTTGGTGATTACTCCATTGATACATCTTTTTCCTTTCTAATTCTCTTAAAGCATTATGAAGACATTTTTGGGAGACTTAAATATGTTTAAACCTGATCTTCAAACTTATGGATACCAAGAAAAGTACCCCAAAAAATTTAATATTTTTATCAAGTGGGAAAATAAAATACAATGAATGTAAAAGAATTTTCTAATGATTGTTTGAGAAAATTATTTCATACTTCTATATTCTTACAGCTTAAATTGCATCTAAACATGATGTTTTTATTGTAGCATATCAAATAGCCATAGTTTCCTTGAAAGATTTTGAATAGAATATGTTAAAATTCTATTAAATATGGTAAATTAAATAATGCTATTTATAAATCACCATCCAGACTAATTATGTTGATAACTCTATTTTAAACTAGTTTTATATTATAAATTAAACTTCCTGTTAAACCCTCCATGCTAGATAATCAAGTGAGTAATTCTTTATCATGACATTAATAGCTTATGAAGTTTATTATCCATATCATGATAAGAGGTGCGCAACAAATAATACATATGTGCATTCTATTCAGTTTGTTCAGAAAAGTTTGTAACTTGGATTGGTGAAAATAAGGTTCTCAAAAATTAATACTGAAGAAAATGCAACTCTCACAATGTGAAGAAGGCATCTCTTAAAAATTGATACTTGCTATATAACATCCATGATATTGACAAGTATCAGATAAGAAGAGTAAGTTAAATTAAGTATATTATAATAAACATACTCATACAGATAACTATTATTTGGAGGTTTGAATCATTTTAATATCACCAAATAACTGATAAGATTATCACACAATGTTGATTGTTTAACAATTCTATAAGATGGGCTAATAACATGGTCTATTATCAGCTCTACTTTTTTCATTTCTTTCATCTACCCTTGCAAACATTTTAATTCAATGAACATATACTCAAATATTTAAGGTATTATAAATATGCTTAATCCTCCTTGACTTGTAATACGCACTTATTAGTACACTTTAATTTTATGAGAATCACTATGTTTGAAGTGAACCTTCCTCTTAACTTTTCAGATATTTTGGAAAATAAAACAGAAGCAAAATAAAAGTTGAGAAAACAAAAATATTAATAAATACAAAATGTATGACTTATATAATCAGGTTTATTTATCAATAATTTCTGCAATACAATATCCATTTCACATAAAAGTGATTACAATGGTAAACATACATGAAAAATATAAAAATAACAATGAAGAAAAGTTGGCCTACAACAAAAGCTAGAAAATTGCTGGAAAAAGATATGGTAGTGTCCGATGGGTTATATTATGGGAATGGAATGATGAAAAGTTTATAAAAGCGTTCATTGGAAACATATGAATCAATAGATATATGTGATTAAACCTGTAAGTAAATGTTGACCTACAAAATATTGTAATGACCTGTAAAAAATCAGTAGAGGGGATCAAGATCAAATTTCAAGATATCACTTGCTACTGTTATATGAGGAGCCCCAGAAAATAGAAAGAACATGCCTTCTTACATGTAATTTATGCCAAACCGTTTCCAAACCTTGTAAATATAAGGATACACTTTCAGCCTTTGGCCCATGTCCTGGATGAAATTTGCAGCCTGTTGCCTGTAAGAGAGCTCCTTATGGGCGTCGAATCCGCATTTTCTTGACGGCGTATTTTCCAATTGTTCTTTTGTGAAGTACCATTTTTCGCAAATATTATTACTGGTACTTGCATTAGCCATTTACACAACACGAGAATATATTTATACAGATGGCGTTGCCTAATAAAGCCGATCCATTTAACAATTTTGTGTTTACTTTCAAACTACGTTATCCTCCACTGTAAATCCAAAATAAATATTTAAAGGAACTAATACTGTTGGTCACTTATCACAATTTTTTAGAATCGAAATATGTAGAATGCTCGATTTGTTGCGTCACTGTTAACTTCGGGATTTCCAGCTCGTCAACCCGTGCCAGATTAAACAAATTTTCGTAGGTAATTTGCTCACTTATAATAACTGTTATTGTTTGAACACGAACTATATCTCTTCTGCTATGTTTTAAATAGTTTTTCAGGTCTAAGAGGTAGATAAATAGTTAATTACAACGATACATACACAAAGTCGTAGAAATTGATGTTATTCACTGTTCGATGGCCGACAAACCACGACGGTCAACACACGCACTGAACCACCAAAATATTTTTCTAACAGTCGTTGATCTTATCTCGACATCATCGAAAATTTCAGGTAGGATTTTAGGGCGTCATTGGTGCAATTAGAATGTAATTAAAGGGATATTAGAGAAATTTCAAGAAATTCTAACCACAACAACCATCAAAATGAACTGTCATTTAGTGACTAATGACAGCTGGCAGTTGACAGTTTCCGCTGTAAAAATAGCGGGCTTATTTGAATATTTCCTTTTTTTTACTGCTACTTTCTAAACCTTTACTTTGAAAAATGTAATAGGTTAACTTTCAAAGTTATAATCTCACAGCGAAATATACATTTTCCCCGCTGTATAAATAGAAAATATTTTTGCGGTGGCATAATATTCCACAACGCAAGCAAGACGTTAAAGATAGGACAAGTGGCGACGTTATCGATAGGACTGACATTCATGAATGTCATATTTTTTTACGACGTGGGCTGTCGGGAGTAGAGCTGGGGCTGGTTCTAAAGGAACGATACCGCATAGGAAATTGAATGAATCGCATCCGATCATCTCATAGGAGTCGATTCTGGTGGTCTATCCCAAATGTTTGTGACTCCGATTCCGGTGGTTTTGAGTTTTGACTCCCATTTTTGGAACCGGATTCGTCAGTTGCCAAGCCAACGCTTAACACCTAATTTTATTTGATCGAACTGCTTTGAAGACACTATCGCTCGGATTCCAATATCGCCACTACGGGAATACAAATTCTCCAAAGGAGTAACGATGTACAAAAGTGGTATTAAAAATAGTTGAAGCATTGATAAAAAAGGTTTAGCGATATAGAAAAAAGCAATCTGTAAGGCATCTCAGCCAGCAAAACCGTCTGTAATGCGAACAGTAACAAGGAAAATCAGTTAATACACGTCGACATCCCTTCCGCCATGTTACATGCGTGACAGAGATTCACGACAGATAATAGATTGTTCTACAGCTGTCCATTAGAAGTCATCAAAATCAATATCCAAATCCTAACGCTAGCATGCTTTTCAAACACTTCGCGCTAGAACTAAAGTGTACTTTCGTAGTTGTTGGTATCGAAACCATCGAGTTCAATAGCGACCGTCGGAATCAACAATCAATTCCTATTGCGACGTCGTTCTTTTGTAGCGCTCGTTTGGAATTTCGAAGACCTCAGTCAAAGGAAATCTGATTTAAAAGGAATCGTGAACGAATCTCTTTCAAGGCATGATTCGAAACCATGGAATGGAAATGGAATCACTGAAACGAACGTTTTGAGCCAGCTCTGAAATTTGGTTGGAATGGTTATGACTTGTAACGGTACGTGAATAGTACGACCTGCCATGCAGATTTGTAGATATGGCAACAGTGCGTTGAAACTGACGAAACGAGAAGTTCGATGTGAATGCTCAATTTTTTAGAAAAGTCGATGTTTGGACATCGACAAACATCGCCATCGTATCATCGATGGAGCTCGATACATCGGAACAAATCATCATCGATACATGGAAGCAGCCTCTCTTTAACGTTGCCTGCTTTCAATCCAGCAACGAATTCAACGATTGCTATCGGTTTTAGCGGAATGGTGATTTTATCCGTTGGTGTAATTCCCACAGCGCTTTTTTCTCGATTTCAGAACCATTGAGTAATAATAAAAAAAGCGACAGCAACTTTACAATAGGATAATTAAATACTTTACGCTGTTCACAAGCTGAAGAGTATCTTTTTAAAGTATTTCCACACATTACTTTTTCGTGGCATTTCGATTAATTAACAATAAAACAGCGTCACGACAACTACATATAATAAAATCATCAGAAGAACTTAAAATCATAAAGTGCGTAAATGCGCTGTTTTCAGTTTATTTTATTCTATCCCTTGGGGAAGTATAGGATAAAGAAAATACTACAGTCCATCTCACGTCTGTAATGATAATATTGAGATACTACTAAACAGGTTTCTGGTCTTTCAATTTCGAAGCTACCAGTCCTCGCTTAGAGATGGTAGCCCAGTTAAGGATATACTCGTGGTACACCGATATGATCCTTTCGATGTTGATATATCGATATATCGTCATGAAATCATTGATGCCTAAACATCGATGTTCTACGACAGATGTATCAATGTTTTGTGCATCGATGTATCGTTGCCATCCCTATGCTCAATGCGTTGCTTGATTGGTTGCTTGTGACTGTGTTGTGACTCGCCATTTTCATTTTTTGTAAAGTTGAAAACATTTTATAGACAGTTGAAAGTGAACTTATTTTTTATCCAAAGACTCGATAGGGGTTCGGTTTCGGGCATTCATCCCGAACGAATACCTGCATGACAAATCTATAATTGAGACCAATGTTATCTATGGAATCGGATGCTGCGGCAGCCTTGAGAGCGGAGGTGGAAAATGAACTAATGAATAAAAAGCAGTGCTGCTACCAGTCTTACGAATGCACTCAGTTATCTGTAGATGGTTACAAATATTGTCTCAAACACATTCTACAAGACAAATGTGCTCCTTTCAAACAGTGCCAGTATGTTTACAGTAGCAATGGAAAAAGATGTTATTTACCTGCTCCTAGGACCGACAAAAAGGACTATGGGTAAGATAAATAAATGCAAATATCATACATATGTTATTTTGTTAATGTTGCAGAGGTATACTAATACATATATTTTAATCCTTTGCAGCAAGGCTTATCTTTCTATCCTTCATTTAATATATGGATATCCAGGGTGTCTCCTAATTGAATATCAAAATTTAAGTGGGTGATTTTTAGGTCCATTTCGATAAATTACATATTGAGATAAAGTATATTAAGTATATATATAATTTTCAAAAGTAGATCATTTATTATTAATATCCATAAATACCAGTTTAGATATTTTAATGAAGTTTGGCATTCAAGATGCATTTTTTAATTTCATATGGAGTTTCATGTACCTATTTTGGCAGACATTGCTCATATGCTTCTCATTTCTCGATTAAAAATTATTCATAAAATCCTTGATCATTTCTAAGCAAATTATTCATTGAAACAGACATGTTCATGACATTCTCTGTCTAAATGGGTTTATTATGTGAGAGGTTTTTCCAAATAACCAAACCAATTTATTATAATTTTTCAATTGCTTTCTGGAATTACAAAACATGTTTTTTGCTGAACAAATCTCCAAATTGTAAAGACCAAAATAAAAAAAAATATGACTTGGATATCTGGTGATTTATGTGATGAACCAACATAAAGAATTCCTTGAATCTTAAAATCCCCAAAAGTGTACACAAAATCAAGCTAAATATGTAAATTTTAATGTATATGCTCAGATCTGTAATGTTCCAGTAAATCGAAAAATCAACGTGAAGCGCGCATATGTCGCTGCACTTAATTTTCAATTGCCTACTTGCCTAAACATAGCAATGAAGCATTTTCATTCATATAAATGACATAAATCTCAATCTCTTTTCAATATAAACTTAGTGATTTTCATGGTAACGTCAAGAGGCAACTAAATAGGCTGTGGTGGTCATCTCAGAAGATCAGTAGGCTGCAAAGCGCTAAGCATCATAAGGAATGTAATTTAGAGTAATTTGCTGTCCAACATTGTGTAATTTCTTGTAGCACGCAACACATTTCACTCTGAGTCGCACTTGAGTGGTGTAATATTATTACTTAGGATTATGTAGTATCTTAAATTAGCAAATAAAACGTGTTTTGTATAGGTACTGTAATGAACATGCTCTAAAAGCAACATTGGCAAGAAATAAGCAGAATGTAAAGTATCCACCACCGCATACAGCTGAAGTACTTTTGAATCAGTTGTCTCACTATATTAAAAAACCGAGATATAGGACTACATCATCTAGTGCACAGTATTCCGAAGATGATAGAGCTAGTGCTGATGATGTTAGCGATATTAAAGTTACCAAATATCAGGATGTTTTTGGTAAGCATTTCAGAATCGCAAATAATTCAAATAGGATTACTGTTGTAATATTTAAAAAACACAACAGCTTTGGATTTTATTATATTTAAAGCTCTATTATTTATGGTGACATGGTCTGGATTTTACATATTTATTTTATTGTAAAAATGGTTTCATAATTTCATGAAAATAATTATATGTTCCTTAAGAACAAATGATCCATGTCAGGTTCTTTGGTCATATACAGTAAGTTATACCTGGGACTGGGTCAGTATGTAGCTAGTCAGCAGCATAACATCCATTTATTTGACTGTCCTTGCTGGTACTGACTGTTTTAATTTACAAAAATTTTTTAGCTGATCTAGATGCCAGCCAGATCTATAATGAGCAATGTACTGAAGTTCTAGACTTTTGCAGTGATTCTGAGAGTGATGTTGAGCCTTCAACTCTCACTACAATTTGGCATGATGCACAAGCTGATAGTTCTGATGATGAAAGCATAGATTCTGAAAGTGAAGATCTACTTAAGTATGTCCATCAAACATTAAGTACTATAATTTTTGAGAATAAAATGATGTATAATTTCATATCATTCTCTATCTTGTTTTTTAGGCATGCCAATGTCTATACTGCTGAGGAAATTTGTATGATAAGTAGGGATAAACTAGTAAGATTACAATCGCTCTATGTTGAGCAGTACAGACATTTACAGTACTTGTTGAAGGAGAGGCGTAGGAAGTACCTGCATGCCCTGAAAAGGGAAAAAGAAACATGCTGTAAGTTTTGAAAATATTCTCCATATGCCTTATATTGAGTAACTGAAATGTATTGATGTTTCACCTTTCATAATTAAAAAAACTTGCAGTGTGTGTAGTATAGGGTGGGCTATTTAAAATTTGGAATTTGAATGTAGTGATTTTTTTTTCAAATATCTTGTTTTACCTTGATATTTAAGACTGAAACACAGTTTCATTCAAATGCAAGGCTTCAAATGCCTTGGGATGCTCATAATAACATTTATCGTGCATGTCTCCCCAATAGTCCAACAGGTCCAATCTTCACCCCCAAATGATGTGATATTAGGTTTTTGGAAACTGTACCTAAAAGTATGATTGTTATCCTGTTGAATTCAAATATCATTCATGTTATTTATTCTCTTTAACTTTTGGAAATCAAATTTCGTTAAGCATAGGCGGTAATGAACGCTATTGACTGAAATGGCAAATGTTTGCTTATTAATGAAGAAGAAATGGCCAAATGAAGTCTTGGAAAAGGGGCCTCATTGTAGAGGCATTGGATTCTCCTCAGCAACATGTGGGTCTGAACCCCAAATGCTTCACTTTTACTTATTCATATAGCTTTCAAGGTGAAAATAAGCATTTTTGTTTACTGATTTTGGGCAAAGTGATTTTCACTAAAAACTCATGGAATGGTCCTATTTTGTAAATGTCAAACATAAAACTAAATTTTGTCACGTGATAAATGAGATTCTTGGTTTTGATCTCAACATAACTGCTATGCCATTAGGAAATGCAAGTTCAAGAGACAATTGGACAGCTTCTCACGTTTTTTTTTTCATATATACTCCAGCTTCCAAGAAGACCTAAGGCCTAAACACCCATTGGGTACCACGGGGCTAATGGGGGATACAGCTTAAAGGGGGACGCCACTCGGACTCTAGCGAGGGAACACGTGTGCATGCAGCATGCACACATTCTGGCCCCGCCTACGAGATCCGCCGGGTGGTACCTCCGCGTACGATAGTCACAGTCCATTGACCACCTACGGACAATCACAATATCCTTAGCCGACAGAAAAATTTCTGTTTGGACGGGATTCGAACCCTCGCAGCGCACTGCGACTTATTAGGAGATATACCACTGCGGCCACCGTTGCTGCCGTGTTTGATCTCTCGCTTTTACGTTTCTCTTTGTCTGTTCTAGGTAACATTTATAATCAGGTTAGAGACAACCCAAAAGAGCAAAGATTGTACAAAAAATTGAAAGCGTTGAACAATTACCATAGACTTCATGGGGTTGATGCTATTTTGAGTAAAAGGTTGATAGATTTGAGATCAAAGGTTTGTTTTTTATCATTGAATTTAGTTCATTAGATCATAATGATTTCTTTTTAGCTTGTAGATGGTACAGTAACAAAACAACAATCTACTGCAAAGTGTTTATTCACTGAAGGAGGAGTTAAGTGTGGTGAAAAGCCATTACCATTGACAAGACATTGTAAAAAGCATATATTGGAGGTAATTAAAATGTATTGAATTTCTAAATACCATGTAAACATCAAACATTTAAATTATCCGTGAAAATGTATAAAATACTTTGTTAAAAAGGTTATTCACTTTGTTTTTAGTTGACTTTGCCATTTTGGATTCAATTGTAATAATTATTTGGATTTGCAGGATGCCAATCAAGTATTGTTCAGAGCCTGTGGGAAGGTAAATGGGGACATTGAATGTACCACACCAGTTGCAGCCATTTTTGAGGATTCTACTTGTCCTTTGCACAAAGATGTTCCACCACTTAGGTCCTACAGCCAAGTTAGGGTGAGTACGGTTTTGTATATATTTTTTTCTAACATATCACGACAGAAAATTCTAACCATAGAATATTTTTTTCTTGATATGTCGGTTGCGTTGATCACGAATCTGATGTCGCCCATTTCGTTATTCAAAATAAGCCTTTACGACAATTAACGGTTTTTTAATGGTAATTTTCGAAACCAGTATTCGCTTGCAGATACGGCGTCCGAAAATGGAAATTAAGCATATGGAAACTAGATGGGTTTTCAAAAATTCTTGCTTATCTACAATCTCGGCCAAAAGCCGTTTCTTTGTCAAATCGGGCGCTTAGATCACGAATGTGAGGCCAGATTTACTCCGATATTGTAAACTCGTACTATCTCAAAAAAAGCTAACCTAATGCTATATTCCATCATCAAAAAAATTATCCGAGATAAAATGAGCTACAGTGGCGACACCTATAAAAATTTGTAACAGCTGTTTTTCTGTTTACTATGCGAGGTTTGTCCGGAAAATACCTGTACTTATAAAACATTCGGGGCGTCGAGTCAAGGCGTTGTGGAGGTGTGGCCCGGTGGTTCCCTCTCTCTATACAATCCCCTCTACCCCTCTACGTCTGCTTGTTGAAAGTAACCCTTTTTTTTACCTGCGATCGAAAGATTTCTGAAAGTTTTCAGTTGGAACACCATTTATATTTTCACATTTTTTGAATTCCCTATTTACAAGCTTTTTTTGATATAAGGTTTATCGGATTTTGTACCAATCGAGTTACAGTTAACCTGTTTGTAAATGGAATATCAGGGTAAATAAAAAATATTACAATACCTTTCAAAATGGTATTTTTTTTATCAGAAATTAAATCTACCCAACCGTATGCAATAAGGACGGAAAGTCGAGGACGCGTCCGTGTGTTCTTAGTAATTCAAAAAGCAGTTATGACAACTTTGGGAGTAACTCGAAAGGGCCAATTATCTGAAGAATACCCGCCCAAATATTTATTTTAAAACGTTGTTGGAAATGACATTCACGAATGGTATGACGATTTTCTTGGGCCCACGTGCGAGTATTAAGGAAATTTAATATACCGTCTCGCGTAAAAGTACATTCGTACGTCGCTAGAATGTTTTTAAAAAAATCCGGATTCGCAATGTTTTTGTGCAAAAACCACTGACAGAATGTTAGTCTGCGAGGATAGTCTTCTGGTAACAAGGAATGCACTAGTTGACCATGGTAGGGATAAAGCAAATTTTCTCGTAGGATTCTATGGACTATCGTATGCGATAGTCCTACGCGGCGGCCTAATTCCCGAGTGCTGATATCTGCATTGATTTCCACGATATTTAAAATTCCGTTCCTCCTGCTCTACAGTAACCTGCGAAGTGCGAGTGCGAATATTAGTGGGCTGAACACTTCCTGTATCTGGAAGTCTTTGGTACACTTGCACAAATGTCCTTCTGTCTAGGTGTACCCGTTGGCGAAATCTATCGCGCTAAATTTGAGCTGCAAGATTTGAAGACGAGCTTCACCGTAAACTAACATGTCGGCGAACTCTTGATTTGAGAATATTGTAAACAAACACGACGACGTACGCGAACAAAAACAAAACACGCCCGATCCCCGATAACTAACAACTGTTACCGTTTGCGATCGATTGCCGATTCGATAAGAGTGATGACGACGCGCTGTTGTCATGTATGTTTTAAATATTTAATTTAACGAAACTTACTGTCTACAAATTTTGGCTCAACTTAGAAAAACTTAATGCCATTTATTTGTTAATTACCCAATTTGAAAACGTTTTAGATTAGATTATAAAAATTTGTAAGATTGTGATCGATATAAAGCACTTAAAGTTGTAAACTATAAAGCCATTTAGACAAAAATCTATTGACTTTTGGACCATGGGTCATATGAACTTTTTGACTTGTTTTAACCCCCCTATTACCCATTTCAATAATGAATACCATAACGTTTACACCCTGTATAGTAAATAGAGAAACTACTCTGACATTCTCATAGATGAGTACAGAAAATTTTTCGCACGCGAGAATAGAGCATTGGTTAGACTATTTTCTAGTAGGATACGTTAGTCTTACTCAAAATAAGGCTTTGCGACACAGTTTTACAGTCTCATTTGTTTCTTTACAGAAAGACTCAGAATCGGATATGGACGAATCAGGTGAAGCTCATATGCAGTATCATTCTCAATTCTCAGAGAATATTAAAACCGAATTTATGAATTATGACATTCCTCCTGATATTCCAAAAATGGAGACGCTGCCTTCCATGTTGTTCGAAGAGAGTTCTCAAAGTATTATATCAGACACCAACAGCCAGCTAAATGTTACTACAAATGCCCCAGAAAATAACAGTCAGGTTGATGTTACTTCAGATGTGCCATTCGATGATTCTAAAGATGTGGATTTGGAGAAAGTTGATTCAGATGGACAAACTCAGGAGGCTGAGGAAAAGATTGACGTTATGGAAACCAATGAAGAAAATGGTGAGAAAAGAGAAGAGCCATTGGAAGTAATGAAATGTAAAGAAGATGACAATACTCCTGAGGATGAAGATGACAGCCAAGAATTGCCTAAAACGGAAGATAGTGTGGTCGAAGCTGAGCAGCAACATGAAGAAAGTGAAATGGAAAAACTTGATATACATGTGGAAAAAGATGCAACAGAAGAACCAAAAGATGATGTAGAAGATGCTGCTGAAAAGCAGATTGAAGAAGGCAAGGAAGAAATGGAGGTACAAATGGACGAACCAGAACAAGCTTTGCATGAGGGTATGGAAGTACCTGCAGAACCAGGAGAACAGAAGGAAGGTAATAACATTGCATCAGGAATTGAGGAGCCCGGAAAAGAAGATGAAAAGGAAGAAAATGAGTCATGTACACAGGTCGATTCTGAAATGAAACCAGATGAAATGACATGTACACAGGTTGATTCTGAAATGAAACCAGATGGAATGACATTAGAGGACACAAATTGATGATTTGAAGTGAATTTGAGTATGAGGATTGTATGTTTTGTTACTTATGATTTGTTTGTTTTAAGAATATTGTTTTGTGTTTATAAACGTAATATAATGCCGTTTATTTTTGACATGGTTCAGTTTAATGTAACATCTGAAACTTATCCTATGGTTCACATGTTGAAAATCTCCCATGCTCATCTGGCCAATGAAACCACATATATTGACAGATCTTCATTACTCTAGTAAATGTTTCAATCACAAAGGTGATCTTCAGAACAATGATATTTGATTTATTTGTCTTCCAGGTGACGGTTCGTTTGCTTTTTATTTTTATTATCACTTTCCTATAGAGTGTGTTACTACGATAAGTCCCATAACAGATGCAAAACAATGCACTTCCAACATTTCAGTCAAAGATTGCATAATAATTAACTAGTGTGTTGCGACGACAGTTATGCTGGTTTTCGCTTTTTTTTTGAGGCTTGGTATCAGTATTTTTTTTAATCGTACGGATTGTCTAATTCATGTTATGAAAGTAGGAAAGCGTCCGGTAAATATAGTAAGTTCTAATTGAACAATAATTATGAATACTTAAGCATCCAATTTAGTTGAAGAATCCCTATATAATTTATTGAGTTCCTTATCGATACAATCAACATACAAAACACTGAAAATATGATGAGTGTAATTACAAGAACCAGTCAATAAGTATATACAGGGGATTACGTAATGAACGAAATTTAAGTAGAAACTAGAAATGTTCATATAAACATGTCCTAAATACGTTGTTTTTTACTAACATCTCAAAGGTCTTTATGTTGACTAGACGATAATTATGAATTCCACGGGCGGCAGTCTCATGAATAATGTTTATAAAAAATGGGCGGCACTGCCGTTTTAAGAAAACATGTTTTTTTTCGGATTAAGCAGCTAATGATTCAACTTTTTTGCCTCTTAGTATCAACTCGTATCTTTTTTGAGGGAAAAATAACTTCATTACATGCCGAAAAGTTGTTATAATATGGGAGCAGTAGGCTGCATAAAAGCTGAGGGTAGTCGATTACATCATTTTTTGAAAATATTTTGTCAAATTGTCACTTTTTATTCCCTACATTTTAGAAAATGGCTTACAAATGTGTGTGTTGTGCATCGATGAAATTAAGTTGGTTTCAACGATGTTTCAACGTGTAAGGAAGTGTTATTTTTTTTCTCGGAAATGAAGTAAGATACGAAGGGATATCGAGAGTCGAAATCCAAAAAAAAAAAACATATTTTTTGTCAATATTATACGTCCCCCGACACACCACTCGAATTTATTCAGTGCTAAATTAGCGTCTTATTGCAATGAACAACACTGCTAAACTTCTACGAAATCGGCTCAATGATCTTTGAGATGTTGATAAAATTGTTATTTTAAACTTCGGAACCAGCCTTTTTTATTTAAATTTGGTTCAGGAATCCTCCTATGTGATTACGGCCTATCATTAAGTAATACCTATTGAAGAGAACAGACAGCTGGAATCGTTCAGAAGAAACTAAATGCCTTTTTCTATGATGATTTACAATTTTAATTGTTCTCAGATAAGGTCAAAATGAAAAGTTAGTCTACACGTATTACATCTTCAACAATTTTCCGCCAGGCAAGCATCTCTACAATCTCGTCAAAATCTTCTTTTATGTCTAGCTCAACATCCGGATATTGTGAACGTTCTTCTTCCCTTAGCTGCTGCCTGAATACCGAAGCTATCTCCTCTATTCTGGCTTCATTGTCGCAAAATATCCGACAGGGATCCAATTCCAGCAAATCTTCGGGACCAAAGTTATGCGGGTTGTTCTGCAGATATTCTTTGAATTCAGCTTCAGCGTTGAGCCTTCTTTCCGTCGATGACGCCTGGATAACTTGCGGCAATATACTTTCAACCTAAACATAAAAATGACGTCAAGTAGATTGACTCTATACTTCTTACGCCTTCGTTGTAGGTGAGTCAAATCTTTTAAAAAGGACAATCGTGCTTAGTTAGGTTCACTTAGGTACGATTAATCTTCGACCTCTGCATATCAAACTATATAAAGCAAATACTTTGATATATAATTCTTTCAAATATTTGTTTCCATGGCAGATATAGGGAAAATATGTGACTTATTATATCTAACATCTAATTTTCGTACCCTCCAACGTCTGGATTAATTTTCAAAAAAAAAAAATGCCCGAAAATGATCAAGCGCCTCTGAAACGTCAAAAAACGGAGTTTAAGCGGTTTTATTTTCTCTTCGTGTTTTTGTCCCGCCACCATTAGACCGATTTCGAAAAGCTAAACAAAAATAATAAATACTGATTTGCATTATTTATAGAATAATCGGCTCTGTTAACTATCGGTTTAAGTAATAAAATGAAAAAATCTTTAGTTATCACAACTACTGCGGAACTATTAGAATTTTGAAAATCTCATAGACAAACCAGTGATAAGGGATAGTCAAATCGAGAAACATGAATAAGGGGAAAACAAAATCCTCTACAGGGTGTTCCAGAATAGCATGTCAACATCTCATGTACATGTAGAATAAAAAAACTAATGCACAGAAGTTACTATAAGATCTTTAAAAACATGTCTTCATTTTGCATTTATGGATAAAATATGTATGAAATACTAGCCTAGACCAGCGGCTATACCCGCGTAAAAGTAATGTATCTATAGAGGGTGTACACGTTATGATAGTCATTATTTAAATGGGTGATATAGGGGGATATAAAAAGCAAAAAGTTTCATATAACATGGGGGTCAAAACGGCATTTCTTTTAGAGAAAAGCGACTTTAAAGTAAAATAAAATCTGAGAAAGCCGCAATGCCAGACGCAAGTTTCGACGGAATGCAGTGTAAATAAAGAGTTTGTTATTTTTGGCTCTTCGGTATTATTTAATTATTTGATAATGTACTCGTAAAATGCAAACAATTAAACAAAACGGACTTCGCGAAGTTGTGCTTTAGTTGTTATTGGACCAGCCCCATAAACCATCCCTATAAGTTCTCCCCAATACCAGAAATCCATCGGATTGAGGTCAGGAGATCTTGCTGGCCATTTTCGAGGATCAGGAGCATTTCGACCGATCTAGCGATTTGGATAATGTTCATTCAAATACTGAATGACGCCTCTAAAAATATGTGGTGGTGCCCCGTCATGAAGAAACCACAAGTTCTGTCTCCGTTGTAATGGCATGTTGTGTAAGGTCGGTTCCAAAAGTTCTGGTAGGTTATTGGCTAGAAAGCTAAGGTATCCTTCTCCTGACAACTTTGGGGGTAACTCGAAAGGGCCAATTACCTGATCGTCAAGAATACTCGCCCAAATATTTATTTTAAAACGTTGGACATGACCTTCACGAATGGTATGAGGCATATATTAACATAATAACCTATCCCAATAACTAGTTATCACTTGAAGTAAAACAAAACACAAAACAAATCTAAATCAAGATGATCACGCTCATGACGCTTATAAACGGGGAATATTCGTCTAGCCCCCGCAAGGTTATAACGTAAAAAAAAACAACGACACCTTGTGCACTAGGGAGCCACTAATTCGTTTCGCGTCTACTACAAGTGAGCACGAAGCGAATGTTCAAAGGTGACATTTTATAGAAAAACCATCACATGCGAAGGTATCCGTTACGGGAATTGTTTCATTATTTTTCTTTGTATTCTACGAGAAATTGGCATGAATTCTGGTACAACATGCTTGCTTGGCGCGTCGACAAATGAAAATGTTTTATTAAAATTTTGAGAAAATGTATGGTACCTGTATTAACATTTGCTCAGGTTGCCGCATTGCTTCCTCGATGTCTTCCCATGAATTTTTATCTTCTACCAAATCTTCACTCATCTTTCTGACCATTTGGTTATATTGGAGTGTAAATGTACCTCCTACATGGTAAAATTATGATTATAGGAGGGTAATCCCAAAAGTAAAATTCCTTATTTTTTACAAAGTATAAAAAGCATTCATTAATAAATCTTAGGCGTTGGTCTATTTCTTATAAATAACCTTAATTCCAGTTGACGCATTTTCGTAGGAGCTGTGGCAATATTTGTATCATGTAAGAAATACAGGGTGGCGCATCGAAAACGAAACAGACGCATTTACTGGCCCCCCAAAATCTTAAATGGAAAGGGGGGTCGAGTGATACCTTATTTTAATGTACTTCAGTTCAGTAGTTTTGATGATTTATTGATTTAAAGCTTAAATAAAACTAATACATCATCATTAGAAGGATATCAATACATTTGGCAGCAAAGTAATTTAAAAATGAAGAATGAACTGACCCGTTAGGCAAGTAAATGTTGAAAATGGCCACCATGACTCTCCATGCAATAATAAAGATTTTGGTCAAAACGTTGCCGCACATTTTGCAATATTTGAGGAGTAATTTACAATTCTTTGTCGCAGGTCTTCTAATGATGTTGGCTGAGTAGCATAGATTTTGATTTTTAAATGACCCCACATAAAGAAATCCAAAGGTGATAAATCTGGCGATCTTGGGGACCATTCAATGGCACCTCTTCTATCAATCCATCGATCTGGAAACGTCTGATCTAAATATTGTCGAACACGTAATGCGTAATGTGGTGGGGCACCATCCTGTTGGAACATCAACTTATTCGCAATGTACCGCCGATCATTCTGATTTTCAATTATGGCTGTTAATGCAGGATCTATGGCCTCTTCCAGTAATTCCAAATACATTTCACCGGTCAAATTTCCAGGTAAGAAAAAAGGACCAACTAAATGATCGCCAAAAATACCAGCCCAAACATTTAATTTTTGTGGCTGCTGTGTATGAACCTCATGCTAAATTCTGGGATTAGAATCGGACCAATACCGGCAGTTATGACGATTTACTACGCCATTTAAGAAAAAGGAACATTCGTCGGAAAAGCAAGTGTTGAATAGAAAATGTTCATCGTTTATAATTCGTTCACTCATATCGTCACAAAATTGTAATCGCCGATCAAAATCGTCTTCATTAAGTTCGTGTACCAGGTGAATTTTATACGGATGAAAACTATGGGCGTTTAGAATCCGTTGGACAGTACGTCGACTAACACCACACACAGTCTACAATTTGCGGGTACTTAACCAAGGATCTACATAAACTTGCCCTAAACCCCCCACTTCTATTGCTTCGTTCCTTATGGGATTTTCAATGTTGCGTTTTTTATTGGCGACTGACCCAGTTTCCCGAAATTTAGCTACAAATTCTAGAACATATTTTCGATGCACGTTACTGTTCTCATGTCGCTCATTAAATATTTCTGCTGTTCTATTAGCGCACTGATTATTTCCGAAAAATATTTCGATAATTTCAACTCTTTCTGCTGTGGAATATACCATGGTTAATTTATCTAATAAAGCGTTACAAGTTATTTTAGCAACAAAGTTTGGTCAAATCAATCGCAAACTATGTAATAAATTCCTATTTAAAATAAGTACGAGATATTCCCTTATCTTTCTTCGAAAAATAACTTTTTGCCACAAAAAAACGCTCCAATAGCTATGTTCAACAACAAAATGATAAACAAACCATGGGCGTAGTGAAGAAAAGCATTTACTTATTAAGGAAATTCTTTTAGTCAAATTTCTTCTGAAAGTAGTACAAACTAATCTGATGTACCTATTAAAGTCTACTTTAAGCTTTAAATCAATGAATCTTCAAAACTACTGAACTGAAGCTCATGTATTTTACATCATTATAAACGGAATTGAAAGACCTTTAAAATAAGGTATCACCTGACCCCCCTTTCCATTTAAGATTTTAGGGTTGGTGTCACCCCGGCCAGGGGGCTGCACGTGTTAACGTGATTTTTTTGCCAAACTTGTGTCCCCCTCGAAAACAAAATCGACGGGTCTGGGCGTTTTTCAAAAAAAAACTGAGGTGCTAGTAAATGCGTCTGTTTCGTTTTCGATGCGCCACCCTGTATATTCACGTCTGATGGAAAAATATTCTGATTCGGATTTTTTGCTTATGCAACATGCAGGTTCGTTAAAAGGGGCACTTTTAAAGAATTTGCATGTTGCCAGACCCAAAAATTTTCGCCAACTTTATTTTTTAAATTCCAACAATTGTTTTTTTCGCACCGGTAAACATATTATTACGTTTTTTGGGATATTATGAAATGAAAAGGTACTCTAAAACTGATCTCTAACGTTGATAGCGATGTAATATTAAAAAAAAAACAATATGGAAAAACGAAAATTTTAATGTTGCCAATGTCCCTAAATACATGGCATGATATGGACCTACGATTATGCAGGAACATAGACCAATGCTTAAAATTTATAATAATGTATCAATTATTGGAACCAAACAGTTTTTGTACCTTTAAAACTATAGGAGACCTAGTAGTAGTTTTTTACCTCCGACCGATAAGTTTATTTTTGTCTTTTTTTTTGTCTGAAAGATGAATTGATCGGACGTTATACCTACATATATTTCAAAGAAGTTTATTCATCGACAGTTCATGAAAGCTTAATGCTCAGATTTGACCGAATTTCCTTAAACAATCTTGATGCTACATGATTAAAATATCAAAATCTAAGTTATTGATTTTATAGAAGCATATATATATTTCCGAGGTGACTATATTACTTAGAAACTATCGTAGCATAGTAACATACTTAATTTTCTTGCCAGATCCAAGGTAACTTTTGGATCTTCAGTAGACCCCATATCCTCTTCTTCCACTCCTCCCAGGAGTTTTTTAAAAATGTTGTTCTTATTATGTCGTTGTCCTAGAACCAATACTTCACCGAATGTTCGTGACAGATCATCTATCTCATTATTGCAACTCATAATTTTTGAATCTGGACGAAACTTTTGCAATTGGCCGCTCTTTTCAGATACATCAAAAGACTTGTTTTCCTTCCCAGGTGCGTTGTTAAAACTCTTTATATGTGACTGCTCACAGTACCTAGCATTGTTATTAATATCTGGTAGATTGTTGAATATTTCTTCTGTGTGTCTCTTGCTTGGCGTTAAATTTTTGTAAACTAAAGTTTTTTGTGCGATGGCAACATCTGTATTGCTATTCATAGTTGAGATTGCAAGTAGTGGATTCTCATTGATAAGCAATTCACTGTTGAAATTTCCATTTTTGACTTCTCGCTTGTATTGCTCGTACAATACATTTTGATGGGTATTTGTCAACTTCTTTGAGTGCGAAGAGCCTTTAAAACTATCACTAATAATGCCTTTTTCTGTATAGTACTGTGTGGTACCAGAATCTTCGTTCAACTTAACTTGTGATGTTGCCTTTTTTGTTTTAGACTGGCAGTTTCCTCCACACTGATTTTTGTATGTGTCATTGATGATCAGTGACTGGTTAGACAACGTGGGAGTTTTTACAATGTTTTGACCAGTAGCTAATGATCCAAAAGTATCACTTATTTCTTTTTGCTCCTCTGAAAGGCCACTTCGGCCTGTCAGCAACAAGTTGTTACCACTGCTGTAACTGGCTTCAATTGTTCCCCTTTGTCCATTTTCTGAATAACTTTTTCTTAACGTAGACTTAGATACTTTCCGTTTTATGGAGACATTTGAAGGTTTTTTGAATACATTTTCATCCGACTTTTGGAAAATATCCGGTGTTACTGTATTGGTGTCTTGAAAATATTCCTTCTGTGGACCAATACCGTTTTGTAAACATTCAGATGGGTCGACGCTCATATGATGTTCAGTTTCTTTCCACACGTTTGAATATGAATCAAATATAAACACTTTCTTGCAACTGGAAGGTTGATCAACACGAGGTAGTGTTAAAAATGCTTTTGCAATGTCCTTATCCTTAGGTGAATTTTGACTGTCCATTATCACATCGTCACAAATATTTTCCGAATTAGTTGTAATAAAATTGGCATTCGAAAGCATACCAGTATTGAAAATTAGTGAGGAACATTGTGAAGTATCCATGTTGGAGTCATTGGGTATCATGGTTGCATCTGAGTCTGCTTCAGAGACATTATCATTATCCGTGATAGAATTATCTAGACTATTCATTGTGATAGTATTGGTCTCGTCTTTTCTAACACAAGGCTGCTGGCCTACATCACTACAAGTTTTTGTGTTAGTAGTTAGTATCCCGCCACTACTATCAATAAAATTTTTATTAGAAAGCAACGTAGAAGGGAATGACGATAAGTTATCTGAATTCTCACCAAACAGAGGCTTCAATAACGGCAAAATTTCCTTTTGATTCTCCGATATGTAAGTTAGCTGATTCAAGTCTTGAGAAAGAGGAGATAACATCCTTTCCAATTTTTTATTGTAACTGTATATCAAATTTAAGGAGCGTTTCAATTCATCAACAGCATTTCGATTACGACTGAAGCTGTTCAGTTTCTTCAAATGCGATATGATTTGTACGTTTGTGAGTAACTGCAATCCTTGGAAGTGTTTCTCAATTTCTTGTTTTACACAGTTTATATAAGATATCTGACTATTATATCTGCGGCAACGTAATGTTGGAGTCATTTTCTCAATATTATGATTTTTCCGATAAATTCGAATTGAAATTTCATTTGCTACTGTCACGGCAGCGATAGTACAGCCAACATAACAAGAACAAAACACCCTAGATGTCACTGATGGATGTGTGTACCAGAATTGATGACATACTAAACAGAAAAAGTAAAGGAAAAATAGAAGTCCGCCATATTCTAGGTAAGGTTACGAGGGGCTGACGAAAATTACATAACTGCAACAATTGGCTTGAAAATTTTATTAACACTAATGGTACTTCGATACACACAAGCAATTCAATGTTCTTGTTATTTTCAGCAACTGATCTTACTGCGTATTTTTGGTAAAAAGCCTCCTAATGTCGATTGTTCAACAATCTCGATACCTCGGTACCCGGTTCGGCTCTATATTTCTAGATGTTTTTAGACTTTTAGGTAGTGATATCGAAATAAACAACACATTATCATCATTACATTTAATCCACTAAATAAGATATTGAAAAATTACATAATGAATTTAAATTGCGGTTTTATTGCGGAACCGAAATGGTAATGAACATTTCACTTGAATTAAATTACTACTACTAATAAAGTAGATAAAAAAATACACATGCTTCACGCTTATATACATTACTGCAAGAGATCATTCAAAAGCCTGGAATATAAGGGATACAAAACATTTTTGACAGAAGATTTCTTATAAATCTTCGTCAAAAACACCAGACTTTGTTTCAATCATATCCAGCGATCGTGGTTTTGAGTGTTCTCAGACAGTGATGCATACTGAAATTATTTTCTGTGATTATTTCATCGCCTTTCTCTATATCTATGTCTCCTTTCTCGATCCCTTTCTCTCTCTCGGTCGCGATCACGATCTCTATCCCTGTCTCTCTCCCTACTTCTGCCTCTGGAACGATCTCTTGTTCTCCACAGGAACTCATCCACCGACCTGGAATTGAATAACAAAGCAACCTTTGGAACACTTTTTAAAGCAATATGGAGATGACGGCAATGTTTTAAAATGGTGATACTTCAAAAGGTGCTGCAGTCTATTTAAGCGACCCCTTGTGATAATTGTGTACTGAGAACAGTGAATCTGGTAACATCCAGTAGTATAACGCACCTGTCATACCGTTTATCAGTGCTGTAGGAAGTGCTCCTTGAAGAAATGTACTCAGGGGGTATTGGAGGTCCATCATAGTACCTTGGAGGCGCCAAGTCGTAGCCAGATGGCCCAAATAACCCTTGTGTTATGTCTGGTAGAGCTGAAAATGAAAGCATTGCGAGCTTAACGTTTTATTAATAATAATAATAGACGTCTTTATTTATTTACAATATTGCTGCTAAGGTAACACTCAAATGGCGAAATTTAGCGTTTGCTAATCTTACATTTAACCATAAAGTCACCAGTAAACGTTAATAATAATGAAGTATCCAAGACAAATTTGAACTTAATTTTTTGGTGTCTATTACACCCCTTTCCCGTCCATTGGCTTCACCCAAATTCAAGTTCTATATAACTCCACTGCGTGCGAGATTATGTGCCGAATGTACGAGAAATTTGACATATCTGGCAAGAGAAAAAGATCTTGGTGTCTGACAACTCTGTTTACACATAACCAAATGAGAACCCATACATTGTTTCACTTCGCTTCAGTGGTATCCACTACAGCGACCTAGCTTGGGCCATTGTGATGAAAACGATTCACATTATCTATTCAATAACAAGACATTTTGATAGCTAAAACGATTACCTGCTGGTGGAACATAAGGTAGTGGCGGTAGCTGATGTTGCATAGTACGCATATAATCTGCAACATATGCTTCAGCGGCTGCAGCAGCTGTAGAATACGGACGACCACTGGGGTCACGATCGTTGTAATACAGAGGATACCTAAAAAATGTTTACTTATTTGTTGTCAATTATACAATATACAATCCATATTCATGGGGTTAGAATCAAAGTTAACATCATAGCTAGTCAAATTGGCAACACTGTGTACGATACTGTGAGCATTTCGGTGAAATGGAGGACGACTAGGTCGAATCGTTGCGTCTCTGTACTGCACAGTGTTGCCAGTTTTTTTTCATTACTAAAATCGTCGGCTAAACATCATTGTTGGCAATCAGTTACCTGTCTCTTCCCCTTGGAGATGGAGACCTTCTGTAGGAACTCGTAGTTAAACCTCTAGTCTGCAGGTAATACTTTCTCCTAGACGAACCTCTAATTGCGCGATATCTGAAAATCGGTAAAAATTTAACATCGCCAAAATTCACGTTTGTTTAAACTTACGCAAATGATGGGACTCTCGCAGAAATGGGCATTCTCGATTTGGGATGCCTGGAGCCATCTCTGCTAACACGGATTTCTGGAATCATTACAAAATAAGTGTAATTGCACATATTTTCGAATTGCTATCCTGATACCAACATGCAGTTTTATCTTTTTCATAATGTATGTTTACCTGTTTTCTTAGAAGCCTCTTTAGACAATCTTAGTATAGGAGTTAAATCAATTCCGTCATCTTCTGGGAACAGTCTACACAGTTCTTCTGCAACTCTTGGTTCAATTTCCTGACCATCTCTTCCTATTTTCACTGGTTTACCATCATTCCATGGATTATAGAGGTGCATTGTATTGGAAAAGGGAAGCTCCTTGCGACAAATCCAGTCAACCTGAATAAAACAATAAAATATAAATAGGATAATTCAAAAACAGAATAGTAATGCTTAGGCAAATGCAAAAAATTTCTGGTTACCTTCAAAACTTACCATGCCCTCAATTATTTTAAATACCAATCCTATGTCACTGTTTTTATTTAGCTTATCAAGATAAGAATGTCCAGTCTTATGATTTTTTAAACTATATATTGGATAATCAGAAAAAATCAACTTATAATTTATTCTGCTGTCTGATATGTGTACTTAAATTTTTTCTAAAACCCATTTCGATACATATTTTGGTGTTTACCTTAAAAACACCTCCCAATGCTTTTGCTGATAACCCAGGAGGTAGCACCCATGAAATTTCTTGACCGTCATGCCTAGACTCTGTTCGCAATCTGTAATGAAACATACCAGAAAGGAATTATATGTTACAGTTTGACTTTAATAATGTGGTGGCAAAATTCATTTCAATAAGGTGCTGATATTTTGCTTACCTAGCTAAACCAGCAAATTTTCCACTTTCTTTGACAGAGAACACCAGAATTACATTCCGTGCCTCTCTAAAAGCCCTGTTTAGATTGGCCTCATTTTGTGGAAGAGTGGACCAAACTCCTATAAAGTAGAAAGTTGTAAGGACACCAAGCATACATTTGAACAATATTTCCCTCTTTATACTTAAAGGTACTCCAAGAAACAATAGGGAAATGAGAAAAAGATCAATACTTCCTAAAAAGCAAGAACTTGTAGATCCTCTCTGGAGATCTTACCTGGAGAGAATATTTTCTGTTCTAGTCAAAAACTAATAATTTCTGCAAAAACATATACTTTGTAGGTTTGTGTTATTACAGCAAAACAGTAGTGAGGAATTAACCACTGTTTGTTAGGTAGTAGGTGCATTAGCTTTATAAATATTATGTGTGAAAAGGAAGTGTGATTTGCAATGTGTTTGTTTCATATTCTCCTTTCAACATAACCCATATCATAAATTTAAAATATAGTTTTACTACTACAAACAATATTCTTACCTTCAATATCCTAACAAATGATGAAGTTTTAGGAAGTTTGTTGACGAAATATACAAGTTTCATTCAGTTCTTTAGGACATTTAACAATATCAAGTTGTAAAAATAAAATATAACAATTTTAAAAATTATGGTATCACCCATAAAAAGCATGATTGAATTTATATAAAAAATCTCTTTTATTTTTTTGTACATTTATAGAGAAATTATGTAGGTATTGTATGCAATTAAGAATATTACAAAATTATAGAAATGTTACAGATTAGTTCAGCGAAATTGTGTTTTATGGATGATGCCATATTATCCAACATAAATATTGAAGACCTAGTTAATTTACATACATTTATGTAGCAAACTTTTCAACTTTTACCACTTGAACACTTTTTCAGTCCTTAGTCCAAAAAAACATGAATCTGATTGAGATAGTCCCAAAAAAAAAATGGTATAGCCCATTGTATTTCCTATTTTTTAATGTTCATCCAGCACAAAAACAACTATTTTTCATAGATCCCTATAGCACTGAAACATGTAAAAGAAGAGAAAATCCATTTTTTCATCGTGAATAAGGAAGAGTCCAGCCCCCACATGAAATTCACTTTTTTTTAACAAATTGTCTATAGCACAAACAACACATTGATATGAGTCCATTCAGGTAGGATAAAAAGTCCAGTTATAATTCCGGTACAAACCTTTGGCCTTGGAAAGGGTTATATTCTCAGCATTATTTGATTTAATCACAAAGAACCTGGCATCACGGAAAAGATAGTTGAGTTTAGTAATGTAATCATATTTTGCTCGAACTTCCTTGGACCTTGCTCTTTTCGGAACAGGTGAACTACTTTTATCCTTGGATCTCAATCTCTTTCTCGGGGAACTGTATTTTCCCTTTCCAGAACTTTTAGAACTGGCAGAGCTGATGCTTGGGACATTGGATGTGTCTGAGCTGCTGGTAGTAACATCACTCTCGTAGTTTACCTCCTCAAGTTTTATGTCGTCTTCTATGTTCAAATCCAAATTGAATTTATCATTCTCTAAAATTTCGCTTTTGGACCTAGATCGATCCATTTTGTTACCCTAGCTTCGTTCTCCCACGTGCACTGTGTTTATTCAATGATGGTATTATTCACTTCAAGTAGATCAAAAAGGAGACTTTATAACTGTTTTTGTTTCTTTTTCACGCTTTCCTTCAGTTGGAAACTCGCAAAAGTAAACAAAAGCCGGACCCAAGACTCCTTTCATCAACGCTTCAACGCAGTCAAAAAACAAAAGCAAGCTGACATTTGACATGCAAGTCAATCACGTTAGAGAAGAAGGAAGAAGAGCCGCTACTGCTATCTTTAAAATCACTTTTCTGGCCATTCCTATACAAGGGTGTGTCAGTGTGTAAAATGGTATTGTTGTTCTAAACTTTACTGATTGGTGATAAATTGATCGGGCCCGAGTAAAGATAACATAGCCACACAAGACAACAATTGAAATATACTCTACTAGAGTCTAGAAGAATATCCGTAGCGAAATTTTTCTCGAAATCGTTGAAAACACAACAAAATATGCAAATGGAGATGGGAAAACTGCCGCCTTGACGTTCTAAATGACTCCGTCGTTACCCCGGATAGACATACATTTTGAAAGTTAACCGACAATATTACAAAATTGGTTTAGGTTTACTAGGGGTTTTCCTTGTCCAAGTGCGAATGCAGTTACTAAAAAACCATATTGTCCCAATAAATAGTAGAGAAAATGAAAATCGTACTTCTCCTATTAATGTTCATGTAATTGTGGATCAAATATTTAATAAATACATTTATATAATAAAACAATGTTTTTTTCCAATTGTTGGATTCCAAAAGTATTTATCCTATTAAACTGTGCATTTATAAAAGTGACATTATCGTTCCGCAACATAGACGCAAAATGTAAACAACAGCAATTTAGTTTTTTAGCAAACATTGCTACGCCTCAAATTCTATATATCTCCATTGGTATCCCTCTATATTTTATTCAAAGCTTCTTTTTTTTATAACATTCTAACAAAATAGCAGAGGTAGCAAACTTGTTCGTTGAGCTGGCAACGCCGCAATCTAGGTGACAACAATAACAAGGTCAACTGCCAAAATGTATGTCTATCCCGCGGTAAAGATGGAGTCATTTGGTACGTCAAAGCCGCAGTTTTCTAATCTTCATTTGCATTTTTTAAACCTGGCGAATTCTTTAATTCACCGGTTGAGCCACCGGTGCAACCAATTTTAATTCTTTTAATTTCCGCCTGAAGCACCGGTTGTATACCAAACTTGTCTATATAGTTTATAGCCAAGTTTGGTGTACAAACGATCGCTCAGGCGGAAATTAAAGGAAGTAAAATTGGCTAATTGGTTGCAGAGATGGCTCAACCGGTGAATTAAAAAATACGCCTGCTTTGTGTTACGATTCCGAGAAAAATTTCGCTACCGATAGTCTTCTAGAGTCTATGTCTTGTGTGGCCATGTTATCTAGACTCGGGCCCAGACTTTTTTCCGAAAGTGTTGCACAACACTTAGAAAAAATTGAAATTAAAATTGCAAAATTGACAACACCCCGATTGGCCTGATTATATATAATTTCATCTCTATTAATCCCCTAGCTCTCACCCCATCTCTATCATACCTCTTTTGACCATCTCTGTCATCTGATTTGAACTAATGTCAACGCGTAAACGTCATATTTTGTTAATTTTTTAGGAGTGAGTACCACATTTTGGGGTTATGCTTTTCGTTTTATCTTTTTTGACAATATTCAGCGTTTCTGAATATTATTTCATGCTGAATATTGAATTCTACGTGAGAAGGCATTAAATACAATTTAAAATGTTGCCTCCAGCTAGTGGGACAGGCATTTTCGTCAACAGCAGTGAAAAGGTTATCCGACTGTTGAGGCAAGGCTGCACGAACAGACCTTTTTTCCACATTGTTATTATTGAGGCAAGTACATATTTTAAGTTCTCGTTGAAATATGTTCATTTTCAATTTGTAGAGAAGAAAAAATCAGCATAGACCAGTTATCGAGCAATTGGGGACCTTTGATCCCATGCCGAATGAACACAATGAAAAGCTGACTTCCTTGAATTATGAAAGGATTAGGTATTGGATTGGAAATGGGGCTCATGTTTCCCAACCTGTTGAACAATTATTAGGTATATCACTTTCTGTTCTAATGCTGTTAGCTATAGTTTTGGTTTGTGCAATTTTGAGTATAGATAAATATTTTAGTTTAGAGATTATGTTTATTTTACTTTTTAGGACTAGCAGGCTTTTTTCCAATTCATCCTACAAGCTACATGACTGCTTGGAGAAATAGAAGAGCTACAAAGGAGAATCAAGAAAAATCAATCAGTGTAGAAGCAGATGATAAAAATGAAGTTAAACAATAGTATATTTGAATGTAGAATACTGAATATTGATGATACTTACAAAGAACTGAACAGCTAGTTTCGTTTTGTAAAATGAAATGGACTCTACCACATGCTGATGTCTGAATTATAAGAGATACTACTTAATATCCATAGTGGAAAGTTTCTGTAGATCATAAAATTAGGCCAACATTTATTTAAGAATCTGGTAATTTCATACATCTCTCCCAATAAATACCTAATAACAAATTGGTTATATTCTGTCATTCTCTAACCATCAATTTTTCCTGTTCTCTGTATCCCTTATTCCTATCTTTAAATATTCCTATTGGATACTAGGACCATCAAACATGATGGCTGATCAAACAAGCATACTCAGTTTTTAATTCCTGTAACTGTGTACAAGGTGTGAGACATATGGTGAAGTCTGCCATAATGCAGGAAAGTTTCTCCATCTTGGAGAAAATTGTAAATATGAGGCAACATCCAAATAAGCTTTACAAGGGATGTCTTTTAAGTTTTGCATATAGAAATATAGGCCGCGCGGATCGAACGTCAGTACTGAATCTTAACCTCGCTCTTTAGTAAACTTAAATTCAAAGTTTCACAACAATACGTGCAGTGTTCTCACTATAGTGAATTTTTAAGTGTCACCAAGTCATTAGAAAAATGGAACTCAACCCGAGAACATTTTCGCGCCATAATTTATTACAGCTTTCAGAGACAATTATCGCAACAAGAATGCCTTGCCGAGTTACTGTATGTTTTGGGTAACGAAGCGCCACATCAGTCGACAATTTCCCGTTGGTATCATGAATTAAAACGTGGACGGGTGAGTCTTAGCGGTGATCCCAGGGTGGGTACACCAAAAACGGCAGTCACCCAGGAAAACGTCGATGCTGTGCGCAAACTCATCATTGAAGATAGACGTGTGACATATCGCAAGATTGAGGCGTCCTTGAAGATCTCAAAGACCTCAATTCTAAAAATTTTACATGAAGAATTAGAAGTAAGAAAATTAGTTTCTTGTTGGGTACCCCACCTGTTGACTGAAGAGCAGAAAGCAGCCAGGGTTAATTGGTGTCAAAAAACGCTTGACCGTTTCAATTCCGGAAACTCAAAAAATGTGTACAGCATTGTTAGTAGTGATGAATCGTGGATTTACTGTTATGAACCAGAAAATAAACGGGTGGGTGTTGCAAGGTGAAGGAAAGCCAACAATAGTCATCCGTTCTCGAAGTGTTTCGAAAAAGATGGTTGCGACATTTGTGTCAAAAGCGGGTCATATTGCAACAATTCCTCTTAACTGTTAACTGTTACTGCGGATTGGTATACCACCATTTGTTTGCCAAAAGTCATCACCGAGCTTCAAAAAATCAACCCCGAAAGAAGAATCATCCTCCACCAAGACAATGCAAGCTCGCACACAGCCCAAAAAACAAGGCAGTATTTAACGGAAGAAAAGTGGAATTATTGGACCATCCTCCAAATAGTCCCGATCTAAGTCCTAACGATTTCTTTACTTTTCCGAAAATTAAAAACAGACTGCGTGGTCAAAGGTTCCAGTCACCAGAAGAAGCAGTTGACGCATTCAAAAATGCCGTTTTGGATCTGCCAGCAAACGAGTGGAATAAGTGCTTCGAAAAACAATAAAGTCATTTAAAACTACCTACCGTGTTGTTTTATTTCCATATGCAACACTTAAAAGACATCCCTCGTACGGTAGTTCTGTTTGGTGAATTGCAAAGGTGCTGAAAACGGTCGAAACTATGGTGGATTTGAGCTAGCCAAAAGTTTTGGTGATACAATGCATTGTGTGATACATAATAATACTTTTTCAGGCTATTGATTCACCAATGAGTTCGAGATAGATGAAATACGAGGAAAACACATGGTCGTACCAAGTCATGAAAAATGACAACATCGCATCAGTCTAGCGTTGCTTGATATGGTAGTTTTTCTGAAATCTTGAAAATCTGCAACTCCACTATTTAAGTAATTATATGAATGATCAAAATGTTATCATAAACCTATACGTGGACGAGGTGTTTTTGAGGGAAAAAAATTGGTTGCGCATCATAAACATTACATAACATTCATGTCCTAATTTTTTGTCCTTAAACAATACATTAGAACAATTTAATTAACCAGTTAATTATTCTGCAAGATAATGACGATTCAATTGTCTCTAGGTACCTACACTTAGAAATAATTGCAGACTAATAACCTTTTGTACTGCAATGTTCAGAGGCCTATGACCTCACAGGTTCCATAGAAAATGATACGGCACTGATTTTACCGCGTCTGCCCTAATTTCATTCATGCCTATGGATTGTTTTCCACCAAGAAAATCGAGTGTTCTGAAAAACTCCCCGGATAAAAGTACTAAATTGGCATTTTTGCAGTTATCTTGATAAAAGACAATTGGTACTCATCCTAGACTTTTAAGATATTATTTGGTTTTTCAAATCTGAAGTTTTCCCGCAATTAAAATGGCGACTGTGAGGCCATCTTGCTACTAGAATCACGTGACCTGTAGTTCGTTGTGGGTCCGGAATTTATTCAGGTATGGTTAACGGCCTCCACATTTCATTCGTTGGAAAAACAATTGTTAGTGAAAGTGTATTAGATGTAATTCTTCACAAGTTTCCATACTACAATTGGGTTTTGATAAGTATTTCGCCGATGCACTAAATTTTCTCGTGTTTAATCCCAATAATCTGTTGTGTCAACGTAAAGATCGAGCTTACAAAGCTTGAAATGGCGTCACTCCACATGGCGATAAAATCTTTTCGAGTGTTGAACGTGTGATAAAATTCGTTTGTGAAGTTAATTTGTGATTCGTTCGAGGTTTTCCTGCATAGCTATAGCTATTAATTGATGAAATTGTTATTACTTTTTGCTTTCTTTGTGTTTAGTACGTGCCACAGTGTTGCCGTCATCACAGTACCGCAAGAAATAAGTTCAAGAGTAATTATTATTTCGCTAGAACCGGTATTTGGCAATTCAGTACCATATTACTGCAAGGTTTCTTCGTATAAGTCCCCATTTCGAATGATCAACCACAAATGCAACAGTTCAGTATCATGTTTCCCCTCACTTCAGTGCTCATCAAAACCCATTTGGATGAAACCTATTTAGCTGAAAAAATCAAGTCTGTTGACGTCTTGAAACGGCAAAACAGAAACAAACTAGTCTTTGCCATTCCAAGGTTCGCAGATTTGTCACTTTTACAGTTAAGTGACATTGACAATTTCTTAACTTTTAATTCCAGATAGTTTGTAAATATACTACTGTACATATTGTACAAAAAAGATGAGTCCGAGCAATCGGGCCACTAGCAAGAGTGGCAAAGGAGCAAAGACAGACAAATCTCACAAATCAGAAAAAACAGAGCGTGGTAAATATTTCATTCAAGTTTGAAAAGACACTTTGTAACTCACACACACATTCTTTGGTTTTAGGGAAAAGTGGTGGTGATAAACAGCAACACAAAGATGGAAAATCTAAAAATGAGGACTCCAGTATTATAGACAAAGTTAAAACTCTCATGGAAATGTCGCAGAGGGCAGAGGAAGAAGTATGCCTCGCATTGTATGAATGTGACTATGACATGCATCTAGCTATAAACATGTTACTTGAAGCTAACAGTTCTGTAAGTATTGCTATATCAATCAAATCGGTTATTCCATAAACTTTCATATTCATTCTTACATGATCTTTTGCTGGCAGTGCTTTCTTGAAGATGTATGTTTATTCTGTTTATGTACCATGCATTAATAATATTTTGCATCAGATGTTTATTGCCTGAAGAACATAATCATACATTGATTAGTGAGGTTGTTTTGCTTAAATTATATATTTATAACCATACTTCTTGCTGAAACAACATAAGAATACTGTTCCAGGTGGTTTTCATTATTATTATTGATAGTTTGTGAGGGTTATTTGACCTTTGAAACCCAATGGGTTAGGCTCAAAACAGTCCTTTAGATTTTGTTTATTTGTATGACAGTTTTTATTGATACCAGAAGAATGCAAATGGTCTGCTTTTGAGATTTTTGAAAAGATTGATTTTTTTTAATAAATGATTTGTCCACCAGTTCATGCATGGTTTGAGATACTTCACCATCATCAATTTCATATTGACAATTATCTATGGATTTTTCTATGGGCCTCCTACTGGAATTCTCAATGGCCAATTATTGACAAGAGATAACATTTTGTAAAAGTATCCTTGCTCTTAAAACGAGCAAATTCTAAGAATCCACAAATTTGTACACAAAATCATGCTGAATATGCTTATTTTGAGTTTTAGCCAGATTTTCAGGGGGTAAATTTTAAATAAATTCATGAACCTATTTGTGAATTTCATCATGCAATTAGAACTTGTTCTAATTTTTTACAAGTTGGACTGTAAAACTCCATAGTGCTCTTGTTTTCCTTTCCATTACATTGAATATTTTTTCAATACAAGCATAGAACTCTGATAAAACCACTTTATTGAACAATATGGTTTTGGTTTATGTGATTTACCTCAAGATAACAATACATATAAAAACTCAAAGTCTTTTTAGCAAGAATTTGTTGTGTGGTAGGCACTGTTGGCAGGCCTGGCAGATAATCCATGGATTTGCTCATTGTAACAGTATATTCAGTATCCCTTCTATCTATTTTTCTAACTATTTTTTCAGCACTCCTTAATTACTAGAACATTGAAGATAATAAGAAAAGAAATAATTACAATTCTTTTCTGGTTATTGAGGAAAAGAAAATTTCGTGAACACCCCACTTATTGGTAGTACAGATTGGGATTAAAATTATGAGGAAACTATTTGTTTTCACAGAGAATCTAGATCCCAGTTCTTGCTTTATGCTTCAAGTTTTGGATTTGAGTCAATTATTTTATTTCAAAAGAAAATTTTTATTTTTTGGAATTCAATTACAAAAAACTTGATGTTCGGTCACATATAAGCAAGTAGTTGAATGTTTTCGTTGTTCTTAAAAATGAGAGTGTTTGCCATATTATATTTACTAGTTTTATTTTTTTAAATCATATTAAACGTGAGCATTTTAATATCACTTTATCTTTTTCCATATATTTCATTTTGAGAGAATACACAAATTTTACTAGTTTTTTTAAACCTACCTAACTATCCATTTTTCTTAATATCACTTTACTAAGCTCGTTTTATCAATCCAAATTTTATTTTAAACTTCCTAAATGAATTTGTATTGGATTTTACATTGTTACAGGAAGTGTATATGCTGATATAAATTTATGATTATATCAGAAATTAGTCACATAGTAGATTTATCTGAAATTCACTGATTAAAACATGCATACTAACCATGTTTCTTATCTGCATTCAGCTATGAGAAAAATTTAAGAGATTGCCTACTGATTGCAAGGAGAGTATAGTTTAATCTATGGCTGATTCTGTAATAGTTAAGTATAACTATACAAATTTTATTCTCACAGTTTGTTTATTCATATTTGTAGTAGTGCAAAACAAAAAACTTATAATTAGCAGCTGATAGTTTTCTTATCATATTTCTATACATATCTCTATTTATGACACAATTTTGGTGTTTTTTTTTTATAAATGATGTGATAATTTAGATAATATCTACTGATATATGATTTGTCTATAATTGATTGATTTCTCATATAATGGCTGATTTGAAGATTATTTTCAAATCCAAAAAAGTGTTGATTTCTGCTCACAACTAACTAAAGCTTTTTGCGGATTTATGTTATAGCCTCTTGAGAAAATACTTTCTGAACTTTTGAAAAAGTTCAAAAATTTGCAACATGACACATGACAGAGCAGTTAAAACTGTAACACTTGAGGTGCTATAATTTTTGGATTTGTCCACAAAAGGAGATTTGTTTGAACACCTGTCTACCTTTGTCATAGTTTATTTTATAGTCATTTTTACTAATCATGTGAGATATGTAGAAAAATAGACTGATTCAGGTTTTTTATTATTTTTTGTCAATTTCTCCTGTCTTTTTTTTTTGAAAATGCCCTAATGGTATTGGAAAACATTATTTTGGTACAACATTATATTAGGATTTCAACAATACAACATTTATAAAAATTGTTTTTACTAGAAAAAAAATTAACATAACTAATGCAACACCAAAAAAGGAAGTAATGTTGAAATCATTTATATCCTTGGGTCCAAAATTATTTCATAACATACCAACAAATATAAGTAATAACAATATGAAAAAATAACTACATGAGAGTGGCTATTGAATATACGAGGCGTGTCCGCAAAATAAGTTCCACAAATTTTTTTCATATCAAAAAATTGGTTTAATTGCAAAGAAAATACATTTTTGGAAAGCTCAGTCTTTCTTTTATTTTTCTACGCCGTTGCGTTTTATGCATCTCTGCATTCGAGGCACCCACTTCTTCAAACCAGAGTCATAGAACTCTGCCGCCTGTCCGTGTAGAAAACTAACAACCGCGTTTTGCACCTCTTCATCTGTCTGGAATTGGGTTCCGCCAAGGTTTTTCTTCAACTCAGGGAAGAGATGGAAGTCACTTGGTGCTAAGTCTGGGCTGTAGGGTGGGTGAGACACCATTTTCCATCCAAATCTTTCGATGAGGGCTGTGGTTCGATTGGCGGTGTGCGGTCGGGCATTGTCATGGTGAAAACGCACTCCTTTCGTCAGCATTCCTCTTCTCTTGTTCTGAATGGTACGTCTAAGTTTTTTCAAGGTCTCACAGTACCGGTCAGCATTGATTGTTGTCCCGCGAGGCATAAACTCGCACAACAATACGCCCTTTCGATCCCAAAAAACGCTAGCCATGATTTTCCCGGCAGACAGGATTTTCTTCTTTGCTCTTGGTGAAGAAGAGTGCTTCCACTGCTTCGATTGCTCCTTCGTTTCCGGTGTGGTGTAGTGTACCCAGGTCTCGTCACCAGTAACAATAGAGTCCAGAAATTCCTCTTCGGTTGTTCCGTGAAAAGCGAGAAATTCTTGGGCCGCTTCAACCCGCTGCCGCCGGTGGTCTGCAGTGAGCATTCTTGGTACCCATCTTGCGCAGACCTTTGAATAGCCTAAATGTTCAGTCAAAATTTTGTCAATTGTGGTTTTGCTGACCTCTGGAATCTTTGTGCACAGCTCCCGAACTGTAATCCATCGATCTTCAAGCATTGCCGCTTCGACTTTGGCAATTGTTTCGTCGGAAACCGATGGCCGCCCTGCACGGGCTTCGTCGTGGACGTCTGTTCGGCCATTTTTAAAGTCCTTGACCCATCTGCGCACCATCCCGCAGCTCATATAGTCTTCTCCATACACTTGACAAAGTTCTTCGTGAATTTCCTTCGCCGATTTCTTCTTAGCGGCCAGGAAACGAATAACAGACCGCACCTCGCAGCTGGCGGGAGACGCAAGAGGAAGCTCCATCGCTGACGGCTGCTGAGCCAAGACTAAACGTCGCAGCGACGCTGGCTTGGTGAGGGATTGGAGTGGGGGAACCAAACAATCTGCCTCTGTTGCCTGGCTGTGCATAGAAACGATCCTAGCGCCAGCGGCAGCCCGTGGAACTTATTTTACGGACAAGCCTCGTAGATACAAACATGATGTAATTTATGAAAATTCTGACATATAGATATATTTTCCGCATTACTGACCTACAATACAAAATTACTCTATTATTTTTATTTTGTTTGTTGAGGATTTATTTAGCATTAATGCTGCAACGTCAATTTTTTATAAATATCCGTTTACATATTTTTTTAATCAGTTTTCTGTAATTTTACATTCTTTTCTATTAAAATTACATCACCATGAATTTTGAGTATTCATAAAGTGATATTTATAATTTCAGCTTAAATGTTTCAAACTGTTTAATATCACTAATCAATTTATTAAATTCAAATACTCCCCTATGAACTACAGATTTGCTAGTTATGCTGCTATTACAACTTTGCAAATGAAAATCTATACTTACTCTAGTTTTGTAAAGAGAGTGGCAATTTAATTTTGTTGTTGTTGTTAAGTTTTCTAAGTGCTGTATCGTCAGTCGTTCCTACATTATAGCCTCCTTGCTTTTCATATTTTTTTCTATCCTTCAGAAAGGCAGGGATATTTCTAGACTTCTACTGTTTGGTCTCAGTGCTTTATTTTGAGATTATATTTTCTTTTTGAATCCCAAGAAACAGATGATAAAAATCAAGTCTTATCATCCTGAAATTTCTTAAGATTCAAAAAGAAGACATAACATCACTATAGGAGAGGGCTGACACTGGCACGGAACAGTAGGAGCCTAAAAATACCACAGGCTTTCTGAAGGAGACGAAAGACTATGAAAATCAAGGAGGCCATGAAGGCATCCTACAATTGTAGGAATGCCTGACGATACGGCCCTAAATTTGGTGGTAATAAATGCTTTTTCAATTTGAATATGAAAACAAGAACTAAAACTTTTTTTACATTTAACTGCTGTAGTTCTTCTAACATAGATTTAATCTTAGCATAATTGTTTTCATTTAAAATGCCTTATTTTGTAGATTTGTGATTTCCAAATTGTGTTTTCATTCGCTGTACACAAGATGGTTGAACAATATAAAAAATGGGGAAGAATTTTAGTGTTATACACTCACTATATTCTATCGAATTTTTCTAGTCATTGTCAATACCATAGACCATTTATTGTTACTACTGTATTATGTGTTGTAATGGAACTCTACACACAAGGATATTTTCCTTTTGTAATTAGTGATAATAACATTTGCACCAAGTTCTCGAAGAATCAGCTTCATACAAATGTCGTAACAACCTTTTTTTGAAGGGCGCCTGGGAAACTCGGGTGAAGAAGAAAAAGAACAGACAGACATCCACCGGGGGCGGCGGCAAAGAAGGCAACAACGGAAAACAACAGGACGCGGGCGGTGATGCTGGCAAGACCGGAGGCGGCGACGACGACTGGGGAAGCGTGGACGTCGGGGGGCAGCCGGTAGGCGGCGTCGGAGGCGGCGCCGCCAACACAGACGGTGCTGGCAGCAAAGGTGGCCGGGGTGGAGGCCGTGGAGGCGGCAGACGTGGCGATCGAGGTTAGTAACACTAAGTCGCATCAAAATTGAAATAAATAACTAATCAAAATGAAAACAAAATATTAAATTAAATGTTCGAACATACATCCTTCATGCGTTTGACGTAACTTAATCTATTGTAACAGCATGACGAGCATTTTCTGGTGTAACATACTGGCGACGCCGCAGATTGCACGACCTTCTGCTAGGCAACGTGGTAATGCCGGCTACTTTATGTTATTATATTTCTGCCCCCGTGACTGTACAACACTGCATCATAATGAACGTATTTTTTTCTTTAAACATTTTCGTTATTATGTGCTTAGGTGGCTGGCGTGGTCGTGAGCGACAGGAGAACGAGCGCAACCTGGAGGACGGTCAAGGAGGCGGTGGTTATCGTGACCGTGGAGAGCGTGGAGAACGAAGGGGCAGACCCGGTGGGACGGCTCGAGGAGGCGGGCCCGCCGGTCGAGGCAGAGGTGGAGGCCGAGCGGGTGGAAGGTAAAGTATATACAAAATAATAGGTTTTTACTTCACACTCCCGTAGATGCAGTGTTCTTACAAGGCGTAACACTTTGTTTTATCTTTGAAGATGATGACAAGCTATACCCAATCGTATTAATAGTTTCCTGAATCTAGACTAGGTTAAGTCGATTTTTGTCGAAAATGAGTTAATATCTTAAGCTGATGAAATATTGTGAATTTTCATTTGCTACATGCAGCGTCCATATATCTGTAATAATCAGGCAGTTACAACATTTTAGCTCATTTTAAGTCACATACAATATAATGCAAGAAAAATATTTCAGATACAATTATGTCAAAACTAAGTATTTGGAGTTTACCTAGTCTGACTCTGAGGTACAGAAATTGTATTACCACAACTCTGAATAATATTCAACTTGGCTGATCGTCGTGTTCGTCAAGTTGATACGCAGTTGCCAAAGATTAAATGTTTAATTGTAACATTTTTAACTGTATTAATGCGAATACTGAAGGGTTTTATACACGCGTGTGGTTTTTGCGGGTTTATGTTGTCTGTTTGCGTGTACAGTCCTACAATTTTGTTAAACCTATATTGATAGAAAGCGTTCGATCAGCCGCACACTTTTATCCTATGGCCTCCCCAAGTACGTTTGCAGATGATTGACTGACTTTCTCTCTGGCCGCAAGGCATCCGTCTTAATTGATGGATTCTCTTCATCCTACAACGTCAACGCGGGTATTCCCCAAGGAACGGTCTTGTTCCTCTTACATATCAACCTTCATCCTTTCCAACTCGATCAACCCAGTCCACAGCTTTGCTGATAACAGCACGCTACATGCAGGAATTCAGAGCAACAAGCCAATCTCTGCGGGTGAGCTGGAGAAAAGACTAGCACCGACTTCCTCTCTGACGAGAGACCTGCACGTTATCACTGCTTGAGGGCGCAAAAATCTTGCACAGCTTAATATGTACAGCAGACGCTCGATAACGTAAACACGGGATAATGAAAACTTGCGCTAATGTAAACACAAACTTCGTTCTATGGGATCAAACGGAACGCGCGATAACGTAAACAATGTGTACGCTCGATAACGTAAACAACTCTGGGCGCACGGAAACAGCGCGACGGTAAAATGCTGAAGCCTCGATGATTTATGTCGGGCGTCGGGGAGTCCCGGTTTATGATGTAGAGTGTAGGGGATTCACCTCTGCGATAAAATACGACAAACTCGGTCAGTCGTATGATCGTTTAGTATACGTTTATACGTACGTATGTATTTCATTTTTGAACTTAAGTGAATACATTGCACGCGTTAATATATTTTACGACTATGGCATCCACATCCTATAAAAGAAAGTGTTTAAAGTTGAGTGAGAAAGTGAAAATCATAGACGAAGTTGCATTAGGTGCGGGAGTGACACAGTTAGCAAAAAGGAGTATCGAAAGCAACAATCTGTAAAATTAAGCGTATGAAAACTCAAATTTTACAAAGAACGTGCAATACATTTGGAGGTCCGGGAAAAAGAAAAACTTAAAAAAATGCGAAGGCACCTAAAATGGAAAATTCCCTGTATAAGTGGTTTTTAAAACAACGGGAAAATCATGTCCCGGTTAGTGGCGAAGTACTTAAACAGAGAGCGAGACTGTTAAATGAAAAACTGAAAGAAACTGAAAATTTCGTAGCTAGTGATGGCTGGCTACAACGATTCAAAACAAGATATGGAATTCGACTGCTGTCTATATCTGGTGAAAAATTATCAGCACAACCACAATTAGTGCAACCATTCAAAGAAAAATTGATGAAAACAATTACCGAGCTAGATTTAAGAATGGAACAAATTTACAACGCAGATGAAAGTGGCCTTTATTTGAAAATGTTACCAGAGAAAACCTATGCTGCATCATTTGAAAAATCTGCCCCGGGAAGAAAGCCGGAGAAACAACGAATAACGTTTCTAGCCTGCACTAATGCTAATGGTTTACACAAAATAAAGCCACTGGTAATTGAGAAAGCAAAAAATCCGCGCTCATTTAAAAATGTTAATATCCCTGTTGATTATGACTGTTCAAAAACCGCTTGGATGACTAGCAGTATATTCCTGAAATGGTTCCACAGGTGCTTTGTCCCTCAGGTATGAGAATCAATTATCACAAATGCTCTATTCATAATTTGAAGATGTGTTTTCAATTTGTAGGTAAAAAGTTTCCTAAGCCTAAGCTTCAAATAAAAGCGTTGTTACTATTGGATAATGCACCAAGTCAACCTTCCGAACAATAACTGAGGAGCAGGGATGGGTCAATTTTCGTCATGTACATGCCGCCCAACGTAACACCGTTAATTCAACCGATGGACCAGAATATAATAAGACTCACCACACTATACTATAGGAAGTTTCTACTTTCGTCTGTCTTATCAAAGAATCCTGAAAACTTATCTGAGGCTTTAAAAAAAGTAACATTACGAGAAGCTGTTTTAGATTTACATATGGCCTGGAATGAACTTAACCAGCAAACTATTCAAAAATGTTGGAACAATCTCTTTTTTACCAATAATGAAGATGATGAAGAAGACGATGTCCCCTTAAGCGTAATTAGAGAACGTTTGCGATCAAATAATGATAATGTTATTAGTGTGTCATTGGATGTTGTTGATGTATTGAAAACAGTGAATCCCAACATTGTTTGTACTCCTGCTGATATTAATTTATGGAACGAAGATAAGCAGACGAATGATGCTGATAAGGAGGAGGATATGGACAGTGAGGATGATGAGAACGATCCCATTGAAGTCAGAAGTGTAGTGACTGACGCGCAAGCTATACAAGTTTTTAACCAAGCTTTAGATTGGGCTGAAAGAAAAGAAGTTTCATACACGGATATTTTAGTTCTTCGTAAATTACGGGCGCAGGCATTGGAAGACAATGCTAAGCGCAAATTTACGCAGACAAAAATTGTTAATTATTTTTCTTCTAATTAAAAAAATACTTATCGCTGTTAGAATATTTGTTTATTTTGTTATAAATAGTATGTATTAAACGTTTCTTTTAATAAATCAAATATTATATAAATCACGTTCGATAATGTGAACCACACTTGGATTAAATTAGTTTACATTATCGAGCGTCTGCTGTATTTCCAAAACACAGTTTTTTTACCTTAATGAACAAGAAGCGCCTTGTGGTTGGTTGCAGTCCAGATCAGCGAGGACCTGATCTGGTACGAACACGTCAATAGCGGCAGCTGCTGGGAAAAAGCTAGACTATCTGCTTAGGGCTAAGAAGTACTTTTCTCCACATGTCTCCCTCTTTCTGTACATGGCCCAGATGAAACCTAGCCTCGAGTATTGTTCGCACGTGGAACAATCTACGTATGGAGTTTTTCCCAGTTCTACTAACCTGAGGCACTTCAAAAATCGGATGAACAATGTTCCTTTAAGCTCCGCATGCGGCCGCGGTTAGGCTTCTTCCTGCGCGGTGTAAAAAACGAAAGTATAGTGTCTGTGATAATTATTATACATATTTGTTGCAGATATCCAGCTCGTGGTCCCAGAAACAACACCTATAATAAACCTATCGATACATGGGACAATTCAAACACCTGGGACAATAGTACTGCTACAAACACAAATCATGCAGGTGAGATTATGTGCATTGTACGTAAATATTCATGCTCTTTAGGATTTTGGCACCTTGAATTGTTTTGCTTTTGGTTATATAATTATAGAAATTCTAAATTTCCATTAGTTACCTACTTTTATTTCTGCTGTCCATAAAAATAAACACAGTGATCGTAGCTCGGAATAAATGCGTCCATACATGATTTCACTTTTTCTTTGAGTTACTAGAATTACCTTTCTGCTTAAAATTTAAAAAAAATTGGATACTCAACTTCCCAGGCTGTAGTGTTGGAAGTATTGTAATCTTGAAAAAAATAGTTGAAACAAGATTTTTTCTCAAATGGGCCAACTTGTGCTGAACATAATCTTACATAAACTGATTTATATTCAAAAACCTTACTTGTTACGATCAAGTTTTATAGGAGACGTGCCTTCCTGTATAATCAATTTGTATATCTTTCAAATGATGATACGATGACGAGACTGAGGTCTGATTAAAAGTACGCTATTTCGAATTTCCGACAAGTTATTTGTCAGTCTTCTCGGTATCGCTGTACTTACCAGACCGTACGATTGATCTTGGCGTCTGACTACACGCATCTATCCAAAATACACCATCTGGTATCGCACGTATACGACACGACGACCGTTTTATTCCAGAAGAGACGTGGGACGACTTCCCAGGCGCGGACGAGTGGTCCACCGAGGAGTACCAGGGCAGCTTGGCCGACACGAAGGTGTTTACGCCTAGCGTCCAGCAGAGCGCCGAAATGGCCGCGGCGGCCGCAGCGGCGGCGGCAGCTGCAGCCGCGGGCGTGGACGGTGCCTTAGATGCTCAACAGCAGCAACAGCACTCGGGGGTCATGCAGCCGCAGGAGCAGGAGTCGCAGCAGCCGCAACCCGTGGCGGTTGGGACGCTCACCGCCGCGCAATCTCAGTATTTCTCACAGGTGTGTTTAGGTGTTTATTTAGCTGTAAGCTACAATATTACGCGAATCACATAATAATAGAAAGGATAATAAAATTATTTTTGTACGTGTTTTCAGCTTCAACAGAACAATGATATGACAAAAACGTACGGTGCCGCCACGCAGTCGTCAGTTCAGCAACAGTCGTACCAACAGCAGTCGCTGGCGACGGCCGCTACAGTACCGCCCTCCCAGTACGCATCACAGCAGTTCCAGACTGCCTATACGGTAATAGCTTAATAATTCGTTATATACGTAGTCGTGCCATAAGTTCTGTCCCATGATAATCTCATGATAAAAATGAAACAAGATAAGATATATTTATATGAAAGATATTATTTATTCGACAACATTTTTAGAATTCGTAATCAAACAGTTTTATTCAAAATGTCCCCCCTTGGCCTTCACACACTGCTTCAATCTCGCGGGCCACTCATCTATCACTGCACGCACAGCTTCCAAAGGAATAGCTGCCGCTGATCGGATCAAATCCGCTTTCAGGGACTCGATATTACGGTGGGCTTTGGAGCAGGCCAACTGCTCTAGCAGGTCCCACAACTTGTAGTCTAAAGGATTGAGGTCCGGACTCCCTGAGGGCCAATCTTCCGCAGCAATGAACTCTGGCACATTGCTTTCCAGCCAGCGCTGCGTACTCTTAGCCTTGTGAGCGGGGGCGGAATCCTGCTGGTAGACCCAGTGTTGGTTGGCAAACAATGTACCACTTAAAGACTTGACGATAGGATCCAGTATGTCGCTCTGATAGTTTGCCGCTTTTGTTTTCACGCCCTGTTTACAGAAATGGAGCTGAGTGACCCCTTCGTAGGACACCCCCCACCAAACCATGACTGACGCAGGGTGGTGGCCTCTCTCAACTCTCGGAATGATCTCCGAAGCTTCCTGTGAACTCCTTGCATACACTTTGTCATTTTGTCGGTTGAATTTTTCTTCTATGGTGAAGATTTTCTCATCCGTGAACAAAATCTTTCGGAATCCCCCAGCTGCGTACCTCTCCAAGAGCTTCTTGGATCTTGTCGCCCTGATGTGTCGCAAGGTGGCCGTAAGTCGCTGGCCCGTACGTCTCCGGTAAGCCCCTAGCCCTAGGTCTTGTTTAATGATGCGCGACATCGTCCGGACAGGAATCTTCATTTCCCTGGATAGGATCTTCTGCTTCCGGAGTGGATTCCTTTGAATCCTGGCTTTTACGGCTTTGATGGCTGCTGGAGTCCTTACTTGACGAGGTCTTCCGCTTCTTGGCCTGTCATCAACAGAGGACGTCTCATTGTACCGCTGAATGGTCCTAGACACAAATTTACGCGATATTTGAAGGCCGCGTAAGAGTTCAAAAATCTGACTAGCACTGTGATTACACTTATGTAAAGCTATCACTGCAATACGGTTCTCTGCCTTGCCCCACTCCATCGTTATGCTTCGAGAGATCAATACAAACTGAGGTATATGTAATTACCCGAAAAGCGCTTAATCAACTGACACCACAATGTAAACAATCGGACAAGTATTAACAGGTCTACACTTGTTTGAAAACGAGGGACAGAACTTATGGCATGACTACGTACATAGTAGTCATATATTACTTTTTTTTCTATTTGAAAAATGAACACGCTTTTTACGAGGTGAAATCGATTTTTTTTATTGATAAATGAAGGTTGATTTATGCCATTTATGTATGAAAAATAACATCAGTCATGTGACCACCGCGGCTTCATTTACAGAACATCAAAATTTTCAATGACTTTCCCCAGAATAAACGGTTCTATGGCCGCAATTTCAGTCCGAATATTGCGCTTTAGGTATTGAACTGTCCGGGGACCATTCGCATACACTTTTCCTTTAAAAAATCCCCAAAGAAAATAGCCAAGAGGTGTTAAATCGCACGATCTCGGGGGCCAACTGACATCTGAATTTCGTGAAATTATGCGGTCTTGAAATTTCGTGTGCAATAAGGCGATTGTTTGGCGAGATGTGTGAGCCGTTGCTCCGTCTTGATGAAACCAAAGATCGTCGGCACCAATACGATCCAATTGTGGCCACAAGAAGTCTGTTAACATGCCGCGATAACGCTCCCCGTTGACGGTAATGGCCTTTTCTTCGCACCAAACAGTCACTTTTTCAGGATGGAGAGGTTGTTCATGATATTGGTGTGGATTTTCAGCCCCCCAGAATTTGCAATTTTGCTTATTTACGTACCCATTGAGGTGAAAATGAGCCTCATCAGAAAAGAGCACTTTGGCCGAAAATCCGTCTTCTCTTTCCAGCATCCAATTAACAAAAACACGCCGCTGTTGCTGGTCTGCCTACTTCAGTTCTTGTGTTAGTTGGATTTTGTATGGATGGAGGTGTAAATCAATGTGTAAAAGCCGGCGTAAAGTGGTCTCACTAATTCCCAATTGTTGCGAACGGTGCCTAGTCGAGGTGATTGGATCTTCTCGCACACTTTCACTCACTGCGGCTATGTTTTCATGAGTACGAGCTGGACGAGCATGTTGCTATGGTCTACGACCTTCAGCTGAACCAGTTTCCTCAAAACGATTAACAATCCAACGAATTCCAGGCTCTGTAAGGCGTCCATGTCGGCCAAAACTATTGCGAAGTTTGCGAAAAGTATTTTTTATATTTCGACAGTTTTCGTAATAAGTTTGGATAACCAAAATGCGTTGTTGTGTTGTAAACGAATCCATGACTATAAATGGCATATCTTTGACAGTTCATTTATGCATACCACATCACTTTTGACTCACATGGTTACACATAAACTTATAGGTAAAAAAAAGTAATAGATCGCGCACCCAGTACTTTACACATCCTCCACTCGTCTAAGACGTTTCGGTCTCATCTCTATTAAGATTTTTCAGTTCACTGCAGTTTCTTTGGAGCCACGTGATATTTACAATAGCATTCATTGCCTAACAGATACAGGATCACTTTTCAGAGCAATATAAAATAAAAAATTATACTATCCACAGGTATTTTATGATATATTCTTAGCAGCACTCTTGAGTTCCTTGAGTTTACAAAATGTCAACATGCTGAGATATATTGTGAATCCATTAGTGATAATGGAGATTTCGACACTGGATTTGTCCTAGCAGCAGTAGAATAAAATTCTAATTATTGTCTAGAGTCAAATTGAATTTAATATGCGATAAAATGTCTGGACTGTGTAAAAGCCGGCGTAAAGTGGTCTCACGAATTCCCAATTGTTGCGAACGGTGCCTAGTCGAGGTGATTGGATCTTCTCGCACACTTACACTCACTGCGGCTATGTTTTCATGAGTACGAGCTGGACGAGCATGTTGCTATGGTCTACGACCTTCAGCTGAACCAGTTTCCTCAAAACGATTAACAATCCAACGAATTCCAGGCTCTGTAAGGCGTCCATGTCGGCCAAAACTATTGCGAAGTTTGCGAAAAGTATTTTTCATATTTCGACCGTTTTCGTAATAAGTTTGGATAACCAAAATGCGTTGTTGTGTTGTAAACGAATCCATGACTATAAATGGCATATCTTTGACAGTTCATTTATGCATACCACATCACTTTTGACTCACATGGTAACACATAAACTTATAGGTAAAAAAAAAGTAATAGATCGCGCACCCAGTACTTTACACATCCTCCACTCGTCTAAGACGTTTCGGTCTCATCTCTATTAAGATTTTTAAGTTCACTGCAGTTTCTTTGGAGCCACGTGATATTTACAATAGCATTCATTGCCTAACAGATACAGGATCACTTTTCAGAGCAATATAAAATAAAAAATTATACTATCCCCAGGTATTTTATGATATATTCTTAGCAGCACTCTTGAGTTCCTTGAGTTTACAAAATGTCAACATGCTGAGATATATTGTGAATCCATTAGTGATAATGGAGATTTCGACACTGGATTTGACCTAGCAGCAGTAGAATAAAATTCTAATTATTGTCTAGAGTCAAATTGAATTTAATATGCGATAAAATGTCTGGACCATCAATAATGTCATACAGCATTTTATAAAGGAATCTCAATGATGACAATGCCTGCCTGAGCTCCAAATTATTAATGTCAAAAAGTTTTAACAAATCCTATACTCGATTCCTTGTTCTGGGTATATGTGGTGCTTATTAAATGCTAGAAACTTTCTTCGTAGTTTACCCAGCCTTTTTTTGTGACGGTGATAGTATGGATTCCAGACACTTGAACAGTTATCCAACTTAGAACGTACATAAGAAAAAAACAGACACTTGAAGGCTGCTCCACTATTAAATGATCGGCAATTTCGATACATTTTGTATGCTTCAGCAGTATTGTTATAGTTATGGTTAACGAAACTGATTTGCAAATCAAATAATATTCCTAGATCTTTAGTGCGGTCAAATGATCCTCCAAAAAGATGCCATCAATGTTGTAATCAAATAAGATTGGCATTTTTTTCCTAGAGAAAGTGACGACTTTACCCTTTCTAACATTCAGTGACAATCTACACACCACAAATGAACATTGTTGAGCATGACCTGTAACCCATCACATCTTCCATAGCAGTTAATTCTTAATGGAATCATTAATGGACATATTGAATAGTTGTAGGCCTAAGTTTGATCCTTGTGGACACCTGAGCTTACACTATATTCAATAACTCAGTTCCACGAGCAACACTATCAATGCTTTCTGAATATTAAATATCTTTAGTGGTCAAATGATGTTCCAAAATGATACCGCCAATGTTGTAATCAAATAAGATTGGCGTTTTTTTCCTACAGAAAGTGACGACTTTACCCTTTCTAACATTCAGTGACAATCTACACACCACAAATGAACATTGTTGAGCATGACCTGTAACCCACCACATTTTCCACAGTAGTTAATTCTTAATGGAATCATTAATGGACATATTGAATAGTAGTGGGCCTAAGTTTGATCCTTGTGGACACCTGAGCTTACACTATATTCAATAACTCAGTTCCACGAGCAACGCTATCAATGCTTTCTGAATATCACATATCTTTAGTGGTCAAATGATGCTCCAAAATGATACCATCAATGTTGTAAACAAAGATTGGTGCTTTTTTTTAGAGAAAGTGGCGACTTTACCGTTTTTAACAATCATTGACAATCTATTATTACCACTCCATAAATGAAGATCGTTGAGCATGACCTGTAACCCACCACAATCTACCACATCAGTTATTTCAAAATAGAATCATTAATGAACATACTAAATAGTAGTGGGCCTAAGTTTGATCCTTGCGGAACACCTTTACACTATATCTATTTAATAACTCAGTTCGACGAGCAACACTATCAACGCTTTCTGAATATCAAATATTTTACCTTGAAACATTCCTTTCAGCCCACTGGGTATAGTGCAGTCACGGCTCAGGACAGTCAAGCGCAATCGGGAGTAACTGGCGTGCAAACGCAACAGCAACAACAGGGTAGCCAACAACAACAAAGGACGAAAACGCAACGGGCGAGGGTACCGCCACCTAGTAAGGTAAGTACCAATTGGACAGTCAAAATTCAACCTTAGTTATTTACACATTTCCTTCGATTTATATGTACAAATAGCTTATAGTAGTAGAACCGCCAGAATTGTCAGCTTCTGGCGGTCACAGTGGTGACTGGGCTATCAAATCGCGAACTGAGATCTTTAGACCTGGATAAGTTTCAGGTGTTACATTAACCCTTAACAGGAAACGTGAATTTTTGGAACACAAAAGGAAACATGCCGTCTCTCAGACTGCGAACTTCAAGATGTTCAAAAAATTAGAGTAAGGCGAAAAGCAAGCAATAACTTCGCTGAAACTGATACTGGATGTTTATTTTATGTGTTTAATACGTAAAATGCTCATTTCAAAATGATACAAGAACATAAAAGAAACATTTTTATTAACTATGCTAAAACCATACAAAAATAACGCTGTTGTTGCAACATTCAGAAACTAAATTAAAACTATGGAAAAGTCTCAATATTTTTCTATTTTCTAGTTAAGTAATGAACAAGGAAAGTATATTATAGTCAATAAATACAAAAAGATCACAATCAAAATTCACTGCAAGTCTCAAACATTGCCTATATTTATGCAGCTAATACATTTGGGTTTGGAGCATTGAAGACATACAGGCTTCCTACATTGTACACACAAAAATTTGGTCATCCGATGGGTCGTTCGGTGACATAAAAAGCAGGCTTTCCTTTTTTCCAAAACCAAATTTTCAGCTTCTGTTGCTGGATGTTCACATTTGCCAAGGATGCGATTTATCGTAAGTCGCAAATCCCGAGGTAAACTCTCTAGTCGCTTTTCCATATGCTCACGGACCAGGTTAGCGGCCAACATCTTAGCAAATACCGATTTTTCCTTCTGCAATTCATTTTTCTTATAGCACTGGTGTAAAATATACGAGTTCACTACCGATATATCCAATAGTCGGTAGAAAATAACCAGTGGCCACCTACGCGAACGGCGACTTGAGGTACTCTTCGAACATTTTTCCTCAAGAGAATCAACTCCACCTTTATTAGCATTGTAATAGGCTATTATTTCCGGTTTCTGTGTTTCCGGATCACAATATTTTCTGTGGTGCATAGAGATATGAGTATTGTGGCTTTATTTTTTTTGCTTACATGAGACACAATAGTGGAATCTTCTCGAAATCCGTACATTGTTGATCCGACTTCTCTTGATTTGTTGGGTAAAAATGCCGGAGGAATTTCTCTTTTATTTTTCTTCATTGTACCCACATAGGTCAGTTTGTTCTTCAATAGGACATCCATTAATTCTATTGACGTAAACCAGTTGTCCGCTGTAATGTTGCGATTAGTTCCAAACAGAGGCTTCGCGAGACGTAGAACTGATTGTGTGGGTTTGGAATACCGCTTGTGTTCCTCAGGAAGTTCGAAACTATCGGAATCTTTACCGCAGTATATATATGCGTTATAGAGGTAGCTATTCCTTGCATCCGTCAATGCCATAATTTTTATGCCATATTTGCAAGGTTTCGCAGGCATATACATTTTAAATCGACATCTTCCTCTGAAACTCACGAGCATTTCATCGACAGTGACAGACTGGCCAACTCCGTACACATCTTGACAGTTCTTTATAAAACTATTAAAAATGAAAGATATTGGTGCTACCGGATCTAGCTTCTTTCTTTCATTCCTGTCATCTGGGTTATCAAACCTTAAGGCTGACAGGAGAATACCAAATCGTTTTATGTTCATGACAGCTCTGAATATATCTCTTCCAGAGCCATCGGTGGCAAAAAGTGTTTCAATGTTCTCGTGGTTGCTGTTGAACACCGATGTATATACTAAGAGACCCAATAGTGCCTTTATTTCGACTAAATCAGTGTCGTTTAGGTTGCTGGTTTAATTTTTGTATCTCTTTCGCATTTCTTTGAGCTTGTGATTGGTCCACTTAACGATATGTACCAACATGTCGTCAGTGAACAAAAGCTGCCAAACCGTCAACGGAGCTGCTTCTTCTCCATATTCATGAGCTTTTCCTCTTAGAGTTGGTACTTTAATGACTATATTGTGCTTCCTTGTACGTGATGATGGTACAACTTCCGAAATATTCCACCTATGACGATTTTTTCCATAGAAATAATTCTGAGCTGGTAAATCCTCTTCATTTCCTTCGGCTCCGTCTTCTGATAACTCACTATCACTTGTATGATCTGATTCCATGTATTCGTCTTCTGAGGCACTGTCTATATCACTAAAGTCACTTCCTTCATCCTCAAACCATTTTAGAACGGTTTCTTCGAACTCCGGATCATCGTATCGTACACGTTTAGAAGGTCCCGCCATACTCGCAAACGCACCTATGCAACACAAATAGCAAACGGGAACGGAAACGTGCCGTCTGACAGACTGCAACAAACTAAAATTGGTCCATATTTTAAGGCACGTTTTGGCTAGACTCGTGTGAATGGGAGTGGGCGATGGTCACTAATAGCTTATGGATTAGATGGGTTTTTACGTCTGTTAGAGGTGCAATAAAAAAAGATACGCTCAGGTATAGAAACGCCGCAGTCTCACAGACGGCACCTTTCCGGTTAAGGGTTAACCGAAGCCACATATTTAGGAAGACATGCTCGCATCTTGGAAATGACTTGATATCAATGTGGATACTTTGACCTCGATTTACACGTATCGCAAGGACCATACTGAAAAAATGATTTTATGTCGTTTCCTAGGTTATAATTGCACTTTATTCGTTTCCAGATCCCGGCGACGGCGGTGGAAATGCCAGGCGGCGAACTGAACAGTGGCATAGGCTACCTGGACGTCCAGTTCGGCGCGATGGACCTGATCGACGCGAATTCCACCTTCGACTCGTCCTCCGTGGATGGAGGCGGGCAGTCGGTGAACGCGTCGTCCGCGGCGACCGCCTCAGCTGGCAAGTACGCCAACAATCTGGACGCAACTTCGGTGTCCGGTGGTGGAGGCGGCTTGGATCTCGGAGGCGGCGCGGCTGCGGTGGACGCGTACTCTAGCTCTGGCAGTAAGCAGACGGGTGGGATCAATTCGACGCTCACTCAGGGGGTAAGTTGAAGAAATAATGCCAGCATCATTAAGAGACAGAAAAGAAGGTAAAGGTCAGAGAGATATAGACTGGCCAAACCAATTTGAAATATCACTGATTTTATACACATGCAGACCAATACACATAATCATCCAGATCCGATCTTGCTATTCAACTAACTTTCTTCTCAAAGATAAAAACTACAGACACAGACCACTCAGCCGCACATATATGCAACCAATAATGCGTGTAGTTTAGTTGAGTGATTCCTCCATAGGTGGACGTTCACAACGATCCTAGTGAGTAAACGTGGCATGACTGTTTGCGCTCTAAAAACTACCTAGTCTGCAAGTTGACATCTTATAGGTTTATTTTGACGTTTTATAGGTTTACATGATATCCGTGCGGCTGTCGCCGGAAAAGCCGTTGAAGCCGCAGTGGAGTCTGCAGCCGAGTCGGTACAAACCGCTGTCTGTGTCATCGCTCTTGAAGCGCTGAACCTTCTGTTAGCCTTCGTTTCAATGATTAACGTCTTGTTCACCTTTCCAGCTGTCAAACGCGTCAGACACCGGCAACAGTATCCAATCGGCGACGGGCGCATCCTCCTCGACGTCCACGGAAAACTTCTCGTCCGGGTACAGCTCGTCGACGAACCGAAGCGCAGCGCCGAGCAGTTCCACGCCCGCCTCCAGCGCCGCTTCGTCTACCGTGACCGGGGGCGGCGCGGCGGCGGTCGATTATGCGGCGCAATCCGCGGTCGCGGCGGCGGCGTCTACGTTCGCAGCGTACCAGCCGAAGAGTCAAGGGTATGGGGCCGCGTCATATAACAACTCACAGGTGAGTGCGAAGGTGTTTTAGTAGTTATACCCCATTCGTAGTCCATTTACGCCCAGACAAAACATGCCCAAAAGCGAGATTGTACAGGTCCGTATTTTCCTCAGTGGTCTTGGAATAATCTAACAAAATAAATCATTTTTTTATAGAAAGAAATGCACATACTTTTCACAATTCTTTATTCGCTGGAGGTACTTCAATCATCGCCCGAATGGTTAATATTAATTATTACAGGTTCAATTTGATTATCGTACGTGACAGATGCAATCTTTCCAATGGTTTGCCGACACCCTGTTGACAGCTTCATAAAACAAATTTTTCACGTCAGAAAATTTGAATGTTTTATTGTTTGAAGTTACATAGTTTTTTATACTTGCCCAAATCATTTCAATGGGATTTTATTTGCAGTGATAAGGAGGTAGCACTAAAACAACCTTATTTTGGTTTTTAGCCATTTCGTCAATAACATTAAGATTATATTTATTATTGTGCTGTCTGACTAGATGGATAAGTTCTGCTTTGACCATATTTTCATTGAACCTAACGTCTTTTCATAGGAGCCATTGTTGAATTTCTGCCTTTCTTGTGGACATTTCGGGAATTTTTTCTAGTTTTGTAATGTGGCATGAAGCATTATCAAGTAAACTATCGTTCAAATGAACTCCCGTCTATTTCTTCATGGTAGTCGATCGTTTTCTTTGACTCAAATGCCCATAAGGCAGTGGGCACAAATCTATCTTCACTGCCAATGTGACAGATAAGGCACCATTTTTACAACAGAAATGACGAATTGGTTAGATACACGTACCTGACGGGTCCTTTAGGCCAGTGGTTAGTCCATCTAAGAAGGATTGTCTTCCTGATTTACTTGTAGAGCCAGCCCATACTTTAAGTTTTATAAGTCCTGCATTTATCCAGGTTTCATCCAAGTAATAAATCTTCCTGCCCGGGTCGCGGTATTTCTTTATTGATTTTAAATAATTTCTTCTCCATAAAATACTCTCTTGGCTGTCAAAATCCTATTTCTGCCCCGTTTTCTATACTCAAATGAAATTATTTAAGTAAAGTATAGAATGTGGTCATTCTGAAAGTCATCACACCATTAACCTCCTGGAATGATTGCTTCTTTACTAGCAATCCCTTCCTAGCATTTGATGAACAACTAGTAAATATTCTTTTTGAAAGCTTACCAAAAAGTTAAAATTAAGAAGAGTAAAAAACCGAGTATCATGAAAGGGTTGAAGATATCATCTCGGAATTGCAAATCTTTAAACTATGTCAAGAGATTTGTAGAAAATGAAAGTTTCAATAACTTCTATATGATGTATCATAGATCATAGAATATACACCTTCGGAAAAACCATTATTATACATTATGATGAGGAAGAGAGATGGAAATATACAAAAGTATGTAGGTGCGTGAAAGACACTCGATTGTAGGATCCTATCTGGCAGCGAGTGTGACGGACAACGGGTTAAAGTAGAAGAGTGATAAAAGAGAGATGGCAGAACGGGCGCTGGCGCCTGCCGCTTAGACGGATGCGCTCAACAAATGCGATTTGTTTCTCCCATTCGCAGAGTTGCCGATACCAATATTTCATATTTCTAAGAAATCTAAGTCTACCCAAATTTCGGGAAAAATAGCTGCTGATTCCACATAAGAGTATTCCAAAAATGAAAAAAGTTCAAACTATTAAAATTGTATTAATGTTTCATGGTTCAAATCATATTTTTCATGTTTGTATATTGTTGTATAAATGATTTTGTAATCCCTATTCTTGTTGCCAGTAGAGATACAACAGTATTGAGAAAAATCATGGACCGCTAGATAGGGCTACAACTACCATATGACTATCAAATAGTAGTGATAAACAGGGTTTGTTTATAGCACAGTTGCCTGGTGTGGCGAATTTGCGCCATAGGGGCGATTTGACAACTTTGAAGGACAACTATAACGGGTACTATGATGCCCGGTATTCGGGAATCTGGCAATACCTGATGATTCCTAACGTTTATTACGCCAGATTGTTTGCTGACTTGCGCAGTACAACATGACAATCAACGTGACTGAGCACCTGGTAACCCTGGTTTAAGGTGTTATATTTAAAGAGCTTGGGGCAGTTAGGTATCTAGGTCACATTTTTTAATGTATTTCGAGAAATCCGTAATGTTGAGTAAATACTAGATCACGTTTCTTGCTTAGTTTGCTGAAAATTCTACAATAGACGTACATTTTGAGAAACAGAGATTTGGTGACGACAAAATCGTAAAAATATAACGCATTTTCGTAAAATAATTTCTTTGTTGAAAAGACTGTGGCTTGATGACCCATTGAACGAGTATAGTGTCCCACTCCGCTTTGAATATTCGAAACACTATACTCCAGCAGCATTCAGCTTCAATGTTATCTTTATGAAGTTCTAACGTCTAGGACATGCTGATTAAAAGCTTGAATGAATCAACACTTAACTCTAAATTCCCCACAATTCGGGAAGCTCTACTCAAATTGGCAACACAGCGTATCTGCCTATTATTCTCATTCGTGATACAGGTCTGCGGTCTGCTGCAAATTTCAGTATGCGTTGAGTCGACAGAAGAAGTACAGTAGATGCGCGCATTACGCACCAGTTCGATTGGACGTCCTGTGAACCGATTTCGGTGATTTCGAGATTTCACGAAATCACCTAAATCACTCTACTTATTTTTATGAATGGATAATTGGTTTTGTAGCAATAAAGGTTGCGTCTCATAACAAAAATAACAAAAAATAGCACACTCTTAAAAATGTGTAACGAAAATAAAAAGATATTCTAACAAAAAAGTAAGTTCTCAAAAATAAAACCCAATAATGAACAGAAATGTTTCAAATGGTCCTTCACAGCTGGGGCTCAAAAACGTCTCCTTCATTCAATGAACAGTATGTCAGGTGGTTATAAAACTCCTGACGAACTCTCAAGAGGGTAGAAGGCTGTATTGGCCCGAGCGCTTCAACGATTTTCACCTATAGGTTATGCAAATTGTCTGCTCTCTCATTGAAAGTGTAAACAGTACTTTTCACATAACCCCAGAAGAAAAAATCATTGGGCGCTAGATCGGGTGATCTAGGAGGCCATTTTATTGTTCCGTTACCGCCAATAATCCGGTGGCCGAACACACTTTCAAGGTAAGTGTGTACGATCGCCGCATTATGCGCCGGGCATCCATCTTGTTGGAACCAAATATTAGCGAGATCAATGCCAAGCTGCCTAATTGCAGGAACAATCTGCGTCTGTAGTAACGCCAAATATTTTGCAGCCGTAAGAGTTCCATCAATAAAAAACGGTCCGATAATGTTATTACCAATAATTCCTGCCCACACATTCAGTTTCTGTGGATACTGCGTGCGGACGGGAATACTGAGGTGTTTGTTTTCCCGAGACCAATACCGAACGACTGAAGGATTGTGATGACCGTGGAGAGGGAATGTGGATTCATCAGTAAACAAAATGTTACCAATAAAACTGCCATCCCTGTTCGCCTTCTCCATGACCGTTTCACAAAACTCCATTCGACGGTATTTGTATAAAGGAAATATTTCTTGAACCGTTCCAACCTTGAAGCTATGATAGCCGTTGCGATGCAAAATATTTCTTGTTGTTCTGGGTGTGAGATCGGCTATTGGTACCATTTCAGCAATTTTTCTGCTTGAGCATGGCTCAGATATTTCCGCAGCGGCACAAACAGCAGTTTCGATCTCCTCCCTTTTCTCGCCAATTTTTGGTTTCCAACCTTCAGGGTGCATGCAGCTATGGCACTTATGTAAGCAGCCCACCCTCTTGAATTTTTCGTAGGTATTTATAACCGTTGCGTGAGACGGAATTGGCCGATCTGGGAAGCGTACCGCAAATAATTCAACAACCGCGCGTGCTGAATTATTCTGGATGTACCATTCTATCATTTGAAACTTTTCTTCTTGCGAGTACATTTTTAAGATATTTTGGATTAAATAAAGACGCACCTTTCCTACACAAAACCCAACCGCAGAGTGAGTCATGAATCTCTTATCACACTTGACGACGGCACGCGCGTTAACGGTAGGAAATATGTATGAATAGCGAAGAAAGTAGACGAGCCGATGCGCTGTTGCCAAGAAATGATTTCCCATGTATAACAATGGTTTTTCCTAAGGTGTATAAGCAGGTTTAAGCTTCATCAATAACGATTTATTATAAACAGAAAATAAGTTCAGGAACCGAGGAAACATGGAAAGTCCTAAATGAATTAGGAGGCAAACCTCATACATACCACCTAAAAATCCTGATAAAAAAACAAGGCATTGATGACATTTTTGTTTGAATGTTATAGCTGATCTTTCATTCAATCCTCTTGACACAGTCACAAACCATGGATATTTCTCTTAACACAGGTGTTTCCCCGTTATTTCCCCCGAATTTTTAAAATCATCAATAGTTATTCCCATTTATAAAGGAAGTCCAAGCAATTTACCAGAAAATTATAGACCCATAAGTTTAATTACTGTTATACCAAAAATAATAAAAAAATAGTTTAAATTAAAGAAACCTTCTAAAAAACAACAAAATTGTGACTCCCAAAAATACCATGAATGCTATTTTCATATTAATCCAACATCAGTTATACTCAAATTTGATTGATAAAGAAATTTCAATAGCTCTTATTTTCGACTGTTCCAAAGCTTTTGACTGTGTCCATTATTAAGAATATTAAACAGATGTGGTTGTAATGGAACTAAACTTAATTGGTTTAAAACATTTGAATAATCGATCTCAAATTGTAAAATTATCAAGACATATTTCAAATAAATTACAATATAAACGCAGGGTCATCTCAAGGATCAGTATTAGGCCCGATCCTATTCTTAGCCTGTATCAATGATTTAATAAATTTAAACAAATAGTAAATTAAAAAAAAAGGTTCAACTTATAGTTGGTCAATATCATAAGTAAATTGCGTGCTCCTATTTCAGATCCTTTCTTGTTTAAATTGTAGTGTGTTTCCAAAAGATAGCTGAAATATCAAACTTCGAAATCGCTTGGGAACTGAAAATGTCGCTAAATTAGTTTTCCTGTATGAGTTTTACATTTGACTTCCTAAACACATGTTTTGTGTATTCGTTAATAATTTTTGTCATTATTCACGTAGGTAAATGTATAAACTATAAACTGTTTTTGTTGTCAAGTATGTTTTCTTAAATTTACTTTACGAATATTTACGTTGCACTGACGAGGATTAGTTAAGTTTTTAAAGTTACATTGTGTATGTAAACTCTTAGTTTTAAATAAGCAATCTTCCTTTTTTTTAATTTCCTAATGAGTTATTTGCTTCGGCCAATTGCTTTTACAGCAATTTATAATTTGATTTATGCTTTTATAGATTGTGCCAGAGTTAACATATGTTTTTAGCTTCCACATTTCATATGATGAAACGATGACGAGACTGAAGTACTGCCACAGCGAACAGTGCCATCTTTCTGACAAGTCTTTTGTCGTTTTTTGACACTGTTTCGCGCGGTAGTACCATAAGAGTGATCTTGGCGTCTGATTTATCAGTAATCGCGAATCGTATCATCATGCACCCGACATTGGTACTACCGATTTTTTTTCTATTTTCCAGACGACGGCCAGTTCGTATTCGACGAACACGAACAGCTATGTGACGAACAACCAATCGAGTGGTTACAACGCGAACGCCAGCTCGTACCCGAACACGTACTCGTCGAACAGTTCGTACCAGTCGCAAACGGCGGCCAATTCCGCAGCAGCATACCCGTCCATCAGCCAGCCTAGCACGTACCAGGCGAATAGTCAGCAGTCGTATGCAGCGCAGAACGCTAGTCAGTCAGTTTATGGTGCTAATTCAGGTAATAATGAAAATTATTAACATCAATTATAAATTGTGAATAAATTGACATGCCACAAAACACATATAACATAGTAGTTACAATAAATTGGTTTATAAGGACTATAAAAATCTGTATTAATATTTTTGATTTTTATATTGGGCGACGCGAAAATCTCGCATTCACGGCACGGTTTTTTTTCATAAAATCACTATGTTGCAGACCGGTAACTTGGTACAAATTCGTTTAGTATTTTAGCAGATTACACAAATAAACATTTTTTTTGGTTCTGGACAAGGTTTTCGTTTAGGTTTTTTGGGTCATTCTTCATCTACATTTGTTACTATCAGTATGACAGTTCACTTGTCATTGAGTTCACGTTTTGTTGATCACAGAAATTTCTGCAAATACAATAATTGTACATACTTTTACCTTAGTATCCTACGACAAATTTTCAATCGATACACCTTGTTGCTACGGCATTATTTACCGTTGCCTCTTTTGGATCCTTTTGCTGGGCAGATAATCGAGTCGACTTTTTTTCAACGAACATAACGAGAAGCTCCGAGAGGTACTTTTCTATCAGAATCGCTATGACTTTGAGAAAACGACATAATACGAGAGGTTTGTGTTTGGGTACAATACTCTCTCGATTTTTACTTCTCACACCTTCTGGCGTATTGTACTCGCGGACAATTTCGAAAATGAGATATTCAGTTTTTTGGATATTATATGGCATGGATGACACGAAAAACGATCTCACTTTCCGTCGGTATGTCCGCAAATCTTTGGCCATCTATGCCAAGTATGAAAAAGCTTTTGAAAATCGGTCCAGTGGTTGCGGAGAAAAATGCCAAAAACGAAAAAAAAATCGGCCAATTTTCATTTTTGACGTTTCAGAGGATCCCGATCATTTTTGAAAAATTCGTAGGGATAAAAAAATTGGGGGGTGGGGGAGAGTGAATAGCAATTTTTTTATGTTGGTATACACTTCCGACTACGGTAATTTTACTCACCTATTATATTTCACGCATACAGTAATCAACAAAAGTATATAGACAAATTAATATTGTGCTGTATTTCTTTTTTAACTTGTTTTATTAATACACCAACCTGTATACATAATTCGTTATAGCATTCGTTATACATAAATAAATTCATTAGACTCCCTTAAATAAAAAATTAATTGAAAAAAACTATGAAGGACAAAAATATATAGACAAAGCAAAACAATTATAGAAAAAAGAAGCAAAGTTCATTGAATTATAGAAAACCAACCATGTTTGTGTTAATATTTTGTAGCATAACCATTATTATCAATCACCACCTGGCATCATCTCGGCATAGATTGTAGAAGTTTCTTGATTCATCAATCTGTCTCCACTTTTGCTCTAAAGCGGCAAAAAGTTCATCCTTGTTTGAATAATTTTTATCTCGTATTTGCATATCTAAGTATTCCCATAGATTTTCAATGGGGTTTATATCGGGAGACTGTGAAGGCCATTTGAGAACTGTTATTTTTTCATCCAGAAAGAATTTATCTGCGTGATTTGAAGTGTGCTTCGGGCCATGATCTTGCTGGAAGATTGATCTTAAGGGCATATTATCTTCCATATAGGGTAACATGGCATGCTTTGGTATGCCTGTGTTTACAAACTTATCCGTAATGCCATCTATTCTATGTAAGGGTCCCATCCCGAACCCCGAAAAGCACCCCCAAACCATAACAGACCCGCCTCTTTGTTTGACAGTGGGCAAAGTGTACTTGGTGTTCAATTTTTGTCCACTAGGACGTCTACCGTAATGATCCAATCTGATCCAAACATATTGAACTTGGATTCGTCACTGAAACATACCCTCTTCCAGTCACAGATGCTCCAATCAAGATGTAACCATGCAACTTGTAATCTATCCTTACGGTTTTTCCTCGAGATTAGCGGCTTCTTACTCGGGGGACGTGCAAATCATTCAATCTTCTACTTATAGTTTTCTTAGAAACACTGACAATTCCTTTTGTCTCGATTTCGGCTTTTATTTGTCTTGGGATTTTAAACGGATCTTTGGACGAATTTACTTTTATTAAGCTAACTGATCTAGCATTTAGTTTTCTAGGCCGACCACTTCTCTTAGATGCTTCCAAGATACCTTTTTGTTTATATTTGTTCAATATTGCACAGACTGCTTTACGCTTCAGCTTCAAATTTATGCCAATGTCGACTTGACGTTGACCATCTTTGTATAACTCAATTATCTTAGTTTTCACATCGAAAGAAATTTCTGGACCACGCGGCATGGTCTTAAAATCACTCAACTTATTCCACAATACTTGATGAACACAAAATAATCCTCTTCTGACACGAAACTGTACTAAACTAATGTTTAAAAGAATTTGTCTACATATTTTTGTCCCTCATAAAAAAGTGCTTATATTCAGACTTGTATTTTGTTCATTGCAGATAATGTAAAAACAAGGAATTTACTTTTTCTACTAATAGCGGATTTGTTTATGGAGCAATGAAGTATGAATTCGTTTTCTAAAGGTATTTAGGTAAATATTCATATTTGTCTATATACTTTTGTCCATTACTGTGTATTTCACACATATATTTCCCGGTACATTTGCCCTCAAAATGAGGCATGTTTTTGAAACGTGACCCTGCGTTCGCTCTCTGGCTTCATGAGTGGTCGTGTCGGCCTTCGTAAGTGTCCTGGCATGACTGGGGCTGTGTTGCGTCGGGGTATCTGGAAGTGTCGTTGCCAGATGGGTGGTACTACAGGATCTATGGACCTTATTTATTTAATTTTGATTACACATGTCCATAACTGACGTTTTTCTCAGAGGATCTAACTTGAACATGCTGTTTTCGTCTGTCCGACCAAGGCAACCAAACATGGGCAGCTGCACGTGCTTTTTTTTTGGCAACTTATCATGGTCTAGGTTTGGTCTCTGGGACAATAAATGAAAGCATATCCAGGGTATAAGATCTATTTCACAATCTAATCGCCTATGAATTGAAGTCGGCATTGCTGGGAATTGCAGAGTCAACCTATTTGACGACATTTTTATCCTAGACTATAGTGATTTTGCAAAAACCTTCAACTAACATGATGAAACGATGACGAGACTGAGGTACACGTACAGCGAACTGCTGGGAACCATCGTTAAGTATTTTATCGTACCTTCCTAAGCTTTCTCGCTGAACTGTATCGTAAGAGTGATCTTGGCGTCTGATTTACCCGTTTTTCTTAATTTCCCCATCCCCACAAACCGAACAACGCCCTATATGCCACAACCGTTCTCTTGCAGGTTTGAGCAACAGCTCGAGTTACACGCCGTCTAGCGGCGCGGCGCAGTACAACAGTTACGGAGGCGGCGGTTCGGCGACCGGGAAACTGACAAAGGACACCGGTTACGATGCGAGCAGCGTCAGCAACAGCCAATCGAATAACCAGACGACGTCGGCGAACAGTAACGCGACCAGCAACGCTTCGTTGTCGTCGCTGTCGCAAGCGTCGACGGGAGGGAAAACAACGTCCACCTTAGGTATTCCAGTTCCGTTTAATTGTCGCTTTAATGTGTTCGAGGTTTGTAAATTAGCTGATAAAACTGGCAAGGTAGCGTTCGATAAGGCAACACTGGACGCGCCGGGCTTGGAGTGGAGACAGGAGAACATGTGATCCGCGTTCAGTACAAGTTCGAACTCCCTCGAGTCATTTCGTTGTCCGCAGCGATTTTTTTGTTACAGTTTGTTCTATTGTGACGTCAATTTCAAGCAATGCTGTCAGGTTTTGCCCCAGTAAATGGCACCGTGCAACGAAACTCTTGCTAAACAGGCCTACGGAGAGATAGTGTTTTGTAAAGAGCCCAGGTTTTTCGGTGGTTCAAGGTATTTTCAGTAGGCAGAGAGTCGAAATACCGGCAACCATTCATCAGATAAAGAACAACTGGGTGTTGCAATGCTTCTCGTCACACAGCAATGTCAATATCAATAAAGGAGTTTTTGACTAGTAAAGACATTCCTGTGACACCTCAGCTTTCTTATCCGCCTGACTTGAGTCCTGATGACTTTTTTCTTTTCCCGAAGTTTGAAAATTCGCCTCAAGGAAACTTATTTTGAGCCAGTGAAAAACGTCCCCAAATGAGTGTAATCGAAGGCTATTCCAGTGTCGGAGTTCCAGCACTGCTATGAGGAGCGGCAGAACCGCCTCCAGCGTTGTGTGGCTTCAGAAGTCATTTTGTGGGTGCCAATATGAAATTGTAATTTGAATAACAAAATCTACTTAATTTACAGGCTTGTATACGTACGGTAGCGGTGTCAACCACGTATGCTTACAAGCATTGTTTTCGAACAAAAAAAAAGACGAAATCGTTAGTGTAGATACAAGGTAACAAAATCAACAGGAGGAAAAATGGCCGTCGGAAGATCATCAGTAGATCAACGGCCTTTGCGTCACGCAGCGCAGTCTATGAAAAAAAGCATTGTTTTGTATTGCGGGCACACAGGATTTTTGATAACACCGTTTCGTGAAAGAATATTAACTCGTTTATTAAAACTTTTACAATTCTGGAAACTCATTTTTCTATTCTTTGTTTATAAGATGTGAAAACTTTTCTGTTTTACCCCTGAACTTGTAATCTCATCTCCTGACATTTTAATTTAATATCTCATTAAGTAGACGAGCCTTGGTTTCCTCATTGCTTGTCCGATGATGAGGTAATACAGAGGAAGCAGAGTATTGATGTGCCTACATAATTATAGACAATCCAAATCTACGTCCGTAGTGTGCCCGATTGCCAAAGTGTACGCATATGTATGATTGGTATGGGGCATAAAACCACAGAATACGACGTGATATTTTTTTGTTCTAGCTTTTGTTTCGGTAAAAAGTATGGAAATATCTATTTTAAAAAATCGTTGAAACAAGGTCTCATTTCGGTAGAAATACCGAGAAAATTCTAGGTTCAGCAACACTACTTACAACTATACAGGGTTATCCAAATTAAGTGTCCACCATTAGTAACTTTGTTATTAGTGAAAATACAAAGTTGTTTGAATTAGCAAACTAGTAGCATTTTTAACGCTGGTAAAAATGAGAAATAAAAAAAAAAACAATTGAGAGTCGTTATTTTGATTTTTTTCAGTAAAATAACATTTTTTTAAATGGAAACCCCTGTATATTATATTTTTTTCTGTTAAAGCATCAAATTTTAAACAAAACAGTTCATAATGACTTTTCCGCTAAAGTCAAAAATAAAGTCAAAATAACGATAAATATTTTTAATTATTTGCAGTATTATAATATTAAGACGGCTATGAAAACAACATGGCGTTCGCGATTTGACAGCATTAAGATAAGCGACAAATTGTTAAACTGGACATACTCGCAACTAGAAGGCTTTGGAAAACAATGATAAAATCAAATAATGTCAAACATTAGTGTAAATACTTGTTTATAAGCTTTATTGTGTCATTAATTTAAAGAAAAATGTTCTCCCATGAAGAAAAGTGTGATATGTTAGAATGCTGTTTAGTGTGCAGAAAATCCTCCTTGAGAGCAAGAGAATATACAGTGAATTATATCCCGCTCGCATTCAACCGTATGAACGATATTTTCTGAGACTTTATCGAAAATTTAGGGGCAACGAAAATGTTTTTGCTAAAACAAGGGCAAAAAAAGAATTCATAATAAGCGAGGCCACGGAAATTGCAGTTATTGGATATTTTGAAGCTTATCGTGAGAATTCAATAGCAGATATTCTCAAGGACTCTAATTTCAGTTATGGTACTGTTCAAAGGATTTAAAAAAAATACAAATTTATTCCGTATAAGTACCGACCAGTTCAAACGCTTTTGGCAGGGGATCCAGAGAGAAGACTTGTTTTTTGCCATTGGTATCTTAGCTTCTGTCGCCAAAATGTAAATAACTTTCGTTACCTTTTATGGACAGATGAATCAAAATTTTCAAATTCTGGAATGTTTAATAGAAAAAACCACCATTATTGGTCAAGAGAAAATCTTTTGTTAGTACATCCAAGAGGCCCACAAGTCCGTTTCAGTTTCAACGTTTGGTGCGGTATAATTGGTTCAAAAATTGTTGGCTCGTTCTTTTATGAGGGAACCCTAACTGGTGAAAGATATGTGGAATTTATGTCAGAAATTCTGACTAATTTCTTAGACGAATTGGATCTTATAAGTAGACATCATCTGCATTTTCAGCAAGATGGCGCACCTGCCCACAACTCCAGAGGTACTTATCATTTTCTAAGTACTACTTTTAATGATCAGTGGATAGGAACAAATGGCCCAATACAGTGGCCTCCCAGATCACCAGATCTAAACCCACTTGATTACTTCTTGTGGGGTTACTTAAAGAACCAAATTTACAAGCGAAGGTACGATAACCTTGACGCGTTAAAGACTGCAGTTAGGGAAAAGATAACCCAGATAGATGGTAGGACCATACTTAAGACAGTTCGAGCAGTTGAAAAACGTGCCCAAAAATGTATTGAAGAACAAGGTGGTGTTTTCGAGCATCTTCTTTAAAAAAAATTGTTATTGTATTTTGTAAGATTATAAGTTGATGTTGAAAATAAAGTTTGTCGATACAATTTAATTGTTTCAGATTGGAGGCCATAACTTCAACAATTTGTAACCTAGGAGAAAAGTTATTGTAAGCTTTTTTGTTTAAAATTTGATGCTTTAACAGAAAAAAATATAATATACAGGGGCTTCCATTTAAAAAAATGTTATTTTACTGAAAAAAATCAAAATAACGACTCTCAATTGTTTTTTTTTATTTCTCATTTCTACCAGCGTTAAAAATGCTACTAGTTTGCTAATTCAAACAACTTTTTATTTTCACTAATAACAAAGTTACTAACGGTGGACACTTAATTTGGATAACCCTGTATAGCTGTCGCCCATCGTCTTTGTCACCTTTCGGACTATACGAGATATTGATGGACGATTTTTCCTTGGAAGGTTTTTGCGATATTTAATAGTTTTAACAGTTTTCTTTAGAAGGAAAATGACAACCAAATCTGATTTTTTGTGTTGCAATTTGATTTCAAACGCATCATCAGATTCGAGCAAATTTCAAGACAGATTTACAGCAGTTGGTACGACTGATTGACGAAATATTAGTCACATCAGTAGTTAAAAATACTGCAATATTGACGAGATTCAACCATTCCCGCCAAATTTGTTACGTTGGCGAGGTTAGAAATATCTCAACATCTCTAAGATTACGTTTAATTTCATGTTAGTTGTGGTGCAACACAAAAGATTAGCTGGATAGGAATAAGCTAGCAAATGGGCTGAAATTGGTGTCAGACAAACCACTTGTAGGTGGTGTTCTCATCTACTTGCACACTACACAAAAGGTGCTTTCAATTTTCCTTTAATGTTTAAGTTCAAAGTAAACATCTTCATGATTTTTTTACATCCGTGCGACGTGAGACGTCATATAATTGGCATTCTAATCGTTAATTTTCTTGCAGCTAAAAATTCAAATAGTGTGGTATCAAATATCCCTCCAGGTGTAGCGCCGGTGATGAGTACCCCTTACATCATGGGACAAGTTCCGTATTTCCAGCAACCAGTGTATTCCTATGAAGATATGCAACTGCTGCAACAGAGGCTTCCTCACATGGTAAGTTATATTATTTTCAGATTAAAAGGGGTGCAACAGCCACAGCCTAAACTTTCGAACAGAAACAGGGAAGAAATGGGAACGACCAGTTTTTAGAGGAATGGAGGAGAGAAACGTTCCTTTTTGTTGATTTTGATCCAAGTTATGCAATAGGGAATATCCATGTTTTTTTTGTATTCTCTCTCTCTCTCTCTCTCGACTGTTTACCCTAATAGATATATAAATAGATAAATATGCTTTATTGTGTGAAGAATACAATCATTCTTAATGACAAAGCTAACAAAACTTTGAAGGTGTTTTTTGTATCATTTCATTATTTAAATTGATAAAATCAAGGTAGCATTTAAAAGTCATAAATTTCGTCTAACATTGAACGTCAAGTAATTGTTGTCACACCATTTTTGTTTGTTGTATATCACTTTAAATTTTTGTCTTCATTTCATTTACATCTGTGTCTTGACAAAGTATTGTGGTATCGTCAGCAAAAACTATGAATTTACCTTTTGAGTATACGTTTATTAAATCATTTATATAGACTAAGAATATGATCGGACCTAATACTGATCCTTGAGGGACCTCTGCGTATTTAATTTATTTTATTTACCGTAAACACATACGCCATTCATGCAAATGTCTTTATTGTTTGTTAATTAAATATTTAAAAGTGGACTGTCGCCACAACTCATGATTTATCATTTTATTTTTTTCCATATTTAAAATTTGCCGCGTATTTTTTCCCCATTTTTTACTAATTAATACTTATAATTTTATAACGCATACGTTGAAGATGGCTTTCTCTGACAATATAGACTAAATAAAAAACGATCGACCAACCAAATTGCCTATAATTTTAAACATTAGTAATGTCGGAATTGCATACAATCACGTCATATTTGCGATTATAAACTTATCATGTAAATTTGTTTTAAAACAAAGCAGTTGGTACGTCTGATTGATGAAGCTATCATCACATCAGTAGTTCATTGAGCTGCGAGATTAAACGAGGTTTCTTACCTCACGTCAAATATTAACACTTATTGGCGTGATATGTACTACCTCAACAACTACATTAGTTATTTGCAAACAATGTATGTGAAATATAAAAGCTAGTTCAAGCGTTTAACCTTTGCTGTTAGTTATTTTGAAGTTTATTTGCCTGGCGCAATGTTCCCGTGACAAAAATGTGAAAGAAAACACCCACAAAGTCTTCTTTAACATGGAGATTGATTGAGCATTGTAGTGATGAAATAGCGAAATGTCATTGTTCGATCCGGTTTGCGTCTGAGAACGGAACATTTCTATAGGACCTTGCTATTTCGATCGTATTTGTCAAATAGGAAGCAGTGTATAAGCTGTGAAGGGCACTGCCTCTTACCTTTTTGCTATTTGCATCGGGGTACTGCAGGGATCAGTACTCGGCCTCCTGCTATTTCTAATGTATATTAAAGACCTGCCCTCGAGTATTGGTAATGGATCCTGCTTCGTGTTTGCAGACGATACCATCTTGCTGTCTAGACCTGACCAAAATACGGGTGTGGATAGTCTAAAACATGTCAAAAGTTGGTTTTTAGCCAACAAGTTATTGCTAAATCTAAACAAGACATATATTTTCCTCTGACAGGTGGGTTGTGTGATCTGAACCAGTAAAATTTCAAGGAATAGTACTTGATACCAGACTAAACTGGACGTTCCATCTTGAATATTTACATTCTAGACTGTCTTAGAATTTGTTCTTAGAAAGCAGATGCCTTCATAAATATGGAGAAACTCAGTAGTTTCTAGCAAAATATTCATTTCACAAAAATCGGTCTTGAGGATAATTACAAATTCCAGTTATAGATCAACGTACAGAAATCGCTTTAAACATCAACAAATATAACTACTTCCATCAATTTATATTTTTCTAAATATCAAACCTCTCTGCTGAACTGAACGCCTCAGTGATTGCGGTAAAGCGTACTTTGGCACATGGAACTCCACTTTCACCCTCACAAATTGGCCATTGTGCAACAGTTACAGCCTGGAAATTACGCACAACGAATGAACTTCGCACGTGAGATGGAAGCACTTATCGAGCAAAATGAGAACCTCAACGATGAATGTTAGTCTCCTGCTCTTGTGTGGTCGCCTTATTTCCAGGCTTGTTGATGTTCATTGGTCTCCTCGGTCCCCAGATTTATCGGGTCGGGTCGGTCACCACATGACTGATGTGATTTTAGATAGATAAATAGATAGATAGTTTATTGTCCTATTGGATCATGTTACATGATATAAGACTTGTCAATATCAATTTGAGGGTCATATATGCGTTTGAGCAAATATGCCTGAAAAATACTTATAATTATAAAATAAATAAGGACATTACAATTACAAAACATTTTAAAAGGTTAAATCACATTATAGGTACAGGTACAGTGCAAGAATCGTAATGTGTTCAGTCTGTAACGGTAAAAATATATACATATACAGCGACTTTTTTTATCACAAAAAATGTTCGTCTAGCCGGTAAAAATCATTGAAGCTGATACAAAGAAAAGAAAAGCGGTAGGAGAATCTGTTAGAAATACATAATATATAAACACAATAAACATCGAGCAGTGAGGACAAATGGTTAAAAGCGTAAAAAGAAAACATACATACTTTCGTTAAAACTCGAATAAAAAGTGAAATTAAAATACATTTACTCCACGATAATAGACAATTCACTGATAACGAAATGATTAACAGCTTAAAAGAATTTAAAAAACAGATACTTTCATTTGTTAGCAAAACTCATGTAGAGAGTAATAGCATTTTTCAACCAGATATTTCCTGAGATGTTTTTTCAGCGCAAGGATATTAGTGCTTCTCCGCAACTCACTCGGCAGATTATTGTATACCTTAGTGCACGCTAGAGTGGGAGATTTTTGGAATAGGGCAGAGTTATGTGTCGGTATACTCAGATCATGTCCTATTCTAGTGTTGTATTGACTATTAATGGCGTTGTTACGAACAAATCTATTGCTATGTTCAAATGCGAAGATGGCACATTTGTAGATATAGATGGAAGTTAATGTAAGCAGACTACAGCGTCTAAATATTTCTTTACAAGAGTCCCTCTTATTAATATTAAAAATTAATCGAAGTACTCTTTTCTGCAGGATGAATAATCTGTTAATCATTGTTGGCTGTCCCCATATGATTATATTGTTAGTGAGGTGAGAATAAACTAGCGCGTAGTACATATCTAAGAGTGAGTTTAGATGGATGTTAGGCTTTAATTTCAATATTGCAAAATAAGCACTGTTAATTTTGTTGCAAATGTGATTTATTTGTGGTTGCCAGCTTAACTTACTATCAACATGAGTTCCTAAGAAGACAGTTTGATCTGAAAAGCTATCAATATCCATGCGTGGTTTCTTGTTGAAGAAATGAATTTCAATAGTCTTATCTTCATTCAAAATGAGGCGGTTAGACTGGCACCACTTGCTCATTTCACTTTTGACTTTGAGCCGTTTTACACACAAGAGAATTACTCCGAAAATTATGGTCATTATTATGCCGAAAATTTTTGCTGTCGTATTACACGTAAAAGAATTCTTGTGAAAACTTTCATGGTAAAAATATAAAACCCGTTCTATATTATATGCGCGAGAATCGGCGCAGAGGGTTATTTCCGTGCATGTCAATATCAAATGTCAACGACAACAACAACAACATAACCTCACTTAACATTTGTGGGAGTGGTCCTGTTCGAGTCGTACGAAGGAGCATTTATTGTTATTGTTTATTCATAATGTCGTGGAATCGGGAAGAATTTACAATGTTGTTGGAGGAGTACCAAAAATGGCCAAACCTGTACAAGGTGAAGTCACCCAATTACAAAAACAGAAATTTGCGGCGTCAGGCGCTGGATGCGATAGTCCAAGCATTGAGAAGTTTTATAATATTAACCAAGATCTCGATTTCAAAAATAAATTTAAATTATCGAGTCTGTTGTCTTTCCGATTATATTGGACGTCATACCCGTTAAGGTTATGTCCATTTGAAAATATAACTCTAATGCGCAGGCGTATCATATGAATTACTCCGAAATTTTGTTTGCTTGTGCCATACAGGTTGTAGAGAAAATCTTCAATATTTTTTCCATGCAAATTTTCAGCATAATTATGACCATAATTTTCGGAGTAATTCTCTTGTGTGTAAAACGGCTCTTTCTCAATAGATTCGAGAAGATCCTGCGGTGTCGTGACACTGACGACGATAGATGTGTCATCCGTATAATTAATCATGAAGCCAGACAATTTCAAGTCATTTATGTATACAATGAAGAGCAGTGGTGCAAGTACTGAGCCTTGTGCCGCACCCATATTCACGGAAGATTGAGTTGACGTATGACCATTGACCTTCGTTTTCAATTTTCTATCTGTGAGGAAAGACTGGATCCAGCTGAGAATAAAATCCCTTATACCTAAGCAGTACAATTTTTCCACGATAAACGAAATATCCATTATATCGAATGCTTTCGAAAGGTCAAAAAATAGTCCAGCAACGTATCTGTTTTCGTCTACTTCTCTATATATATGGGAAAAAAGTCAAAGGTTGCCGTTTCTATAGATCGTGAGGGTCTAAACCCATGCTTGGTATCTGATAAGACATTATAGCGATTGAGAAAACATAATATACGTTTATACAGACATTTTTCAATGACTTTAGAGATCATCGATAAAAGTGATATTGGTCTGTAGTTTTCAAGGTCTGTACGGTCACCCTTTTTGTATACGGGAATAACAATAGCTAGTTTCAAGCATTTCGGGAATTTACCTTGCTTCACTGATTTATTAATAAGGACTGATAGGGGGGAAGATATTTCACGTTTTACAAACTTTATCACACACGTTGAAATTCCATCATTTCTACTGCTTCTTTTATTTGGAAGGCTGCTGATTACTTCCACGATCTCTTCAGTGGTGACATCCTCGTAGAATATTGATGATGCTACCCGATTTTGTGATGGACATCTTGATGGGTTGTCACATTTAAAGTGTTCTGCTAACTTGCTCGCTGCTATTGTGGAAAAATACTTGCCAAACTTGTCGGGTACGAGGGTGTCAGTAAATTCTTTGTCTTTTTCCACACTTAATTGTGACAATCGCTGTTTCATTGTTAACCCGAATCCGTGAATAAATTTGTTTTTGAGTAAAAATTATGGATTATGCGATTTTTTAAAAACCATGTCTACGTTTTACGTCAATGCAAATAAAGAACATAATTTTGAAAATATGTCTAATCGCTACTCCTCAAAGTTTGACAAAAAAACATTGCCTAACACTGTTTCAATTGATGAGTACGTCACGTCACTCGTGTCGTTAATAAATTGGTAAGACCTCACGTACATTGTTTATTCATAATGTGATCAGTAGATGGTATGGTATGTGACAGTTCAGCACTTGATTTTTTTGGGGCTTTTTAAAGACATTTTCAAAAGATCCATTTTTTATAAATAATCTAATGTTTACCGGTCAATTTCAGTAGATTATTTTTCGTTTGTTATGTTATTTCAGACGACGCCGTACTACGACATCAGTTACCAAACACCGCCGCCCCCGACGACGTTGGCAGCTGTCCGAGAAGCGGCACTGGGCGGTTACTCGATGTCCTCTGACGGAAGATTCACGCGCACCGGCGATTCGGCCTCCCCGGTGCCGACGGGCGGCTCGGGGGCGGGCAGTCAAGCAGGTGGTGGTTCGCAGGTGGGCGTACCCGGAGTGGGCGGTCCCGGGCAAACGCAATCGCAGTCCGCGGGACTTGGCGGCGCTGGCGGTCAAGGCGGGCAGCCGCAGCAGCAGCAGGCGCAGCCCATCCTAGCGGCAGCCACTGGGGCGGCGCCACCGTACTTCTTCGCGACGGCCTTCAACACGATACCCAACTACCAGTTTAGCACCATGTATACGGTGAGTGGCGGCAGGTGGTAGATTGATATGGCTTATGATGTGCCTTATACGTATTGTATATTAGACTGTTTCTAATTTTTTGTTTTTATATGCAGAAGTTGACAGTATATTCCTTGAAAGGTGGTTACTCAATGCGGCATATAGCGTTTTCCACTGGCATGCATTATTTGACAGTTTTTGTATTGCATGTTAACTGTGATTTTACAGATGAGCAGAAGTGAACTTTTAAAATGTGTTTTTGTGTCAAAAGGAAGACTATATACTAGTTAACGAGAAAGTTACACCGCAATTCCTAAACTTTTTTTATTTGACAGTGACTTGAGCTGTCACGGATGACACGACACACAAACATCGAGCGTCACAAAATCGACAAAACACGAACAGAGCAGCGTTGCCAGATCAACCATAACGTGTTAGTTATCAGATACTTTACGGATAACTACTAGTTAACGTACAATTTATAGTTACCAAACTTGAAAGTTAACTGGCGATTGAAAAACCTTGCTGTAGAGTCTTCTGCATGGCGAGATACGAGGCGTGTCCGTAAAATAAGTTCCACAAATTTTTTTCATATCAAAAAATTGGTTTAATTGCAAAGAAAATACATTTTTGGAAAGTTCAGTCTTTTATTTTTCTACATAATCGCCGTTGCGTTCTATGCATCTCTGCATTCGAGGCACCCACTTCTTCAAACCAGAGTCATAGAACTCTGCCGCCTGTCCGTGTAGAAAACTAACAACCGCGTTTTGCACCTCTTCATCTGTCTGGAATTGGGTTCCGCCAAGGTTTTTCTTCAACTCAGGGAAGAGATGGAAGTCACTTGGGGCTAAGTCTGGGCTGTAGGGTGGGTGAGACACCATTTTCCATCCAAATCTTTCGATGAGGGCTGTGGTTCGATTGGCGGTGTGCGGTCGGGCATTGTCATGGTGAAAACGCACTCCTTTCGTCAGCATTCCTCTTCTCTTGTTCTGAATGGCACGTCTAACTTTTTTCAAGGTCTCACAGTACCGGTCAGCATTGATTGTTGTCCCGCGAGGCATAAACTCGCACAACAATACGCCCTTTCGATCCCAAAAAACGCTAGCCATGATTTTCCCGGCAGACAGGATTTTTTTGAACTTCTTTGCTCTTGGTGAAGAAGAGTGCTTCCACTGCTTCGATTGCTCCTTTGTTTCCGGTGTGGTGTAGTGTACCCAGGTCTCGTCACCAGTAACAATAGAGTCCAGAAATTCCTCTTCGGTTGTTCCGTGAAAAGCGAGAAATTCTTGGGCCGCTTCAACCCGCTGCCGCCGGTGGTCTGCAGTGAGCATTCTTGGTACCCATCTTGCGCAGACCTTTGAATAGCCTAAATGTTCAGTCAAAATCTTGCCAATTGTGGTTTTGCTGACCTCCGGAATCTTTGTGCACAGCTCCCGAACTGTAATCCATCGATCTTCAAGCATTGCCGCTTCGACTTTGGCAATTGTTTCGTCGGAAACCGATGGCCGCCCTGCACGGGCTTCGTCGTGGACGTCTGTTCGGCCATTTTTAAAGTCCCTGACCCATCTGCGCACCATCCCGCAGCTCATTCAGTCTTCTCCATACACTTGACAAAGTTCTTCGTGAATTTCCTTCGCCGATTTCTTCTTAGCGGCCAGGAAACGAATAACAGACCGCAACTCGCAGCTGGCGGGAGACGCAAGAGGAAGCTCCATCGCTGACGGCTGCTGAGCCAAGACTAAACGTCGCAGCGACGCTGGCTTGGTGAGGGATTGGAGTGGGGGAACCAAACAATCTGCCTCTGTTGCCTGGCTGTGCATAGAAACGATCCTAGCGCCAGCGGCAGCCCGTGGAACTTATTTTACGGACAAGCCTCGTATTATTGTCGAAAAATTACCTAGTTTGGACTATTTCTTTTAACTTCTACGTGATGCTTTTTATACCTCCCTCAAAATTAGGGAAGAGGTATGGGTAATAGAACCAGAAAATATGATGACTAGGTCAGGCACGTCATTTAGATACCCTATGAAAGAATTGATGTAAGAAGCCTAGTTTTGTTTCCGCATGATTGCGCTTTTCTCGATATTGCGCTAAATTGCAAGAACCAATTGAGTGCTGAAATGCACCAGGGCATGGCAGTGGAAAACGCAATTAGGTTTGATGTAATCGGTGTTCAAATTTTGTCTTGTAAGGCGACAAATAACACTAAATAGATGGACTGTTTTTGCATGATAGAATGGTTATGCACTCAGATAGTGTTTTTCAGCATGAGATAGAATATATTACGGCAGAAACCGGGAACGCATTGATATAATGTATTTCAGTATATTTTTTAGTTGTATTGCTTTATAGACAGTCAATTTTTAATGCTTTTCATATTGACATTAAAATCAAAATGAATTGCACGTAACCACTTTGGTTTTCATATGAAGAATTTAGCTAATTCGCATGTTTAATATTTCACTCCATTTTTAACTGTATACGAGAGTGGTCTGAAAAGTTTCCGACCTAACAAAGATACATTTTTTAGAATTTTTTTCCTAACAGTCTCCCCAGCGATGTCGCTTGGGGCTAGGCCTTGTGAGTAAGGCGGATGGTCAAGCAGTTCAAACCTTAATTCGTGGATTTTTGCCAAAGCAACCGCTGAGGTGTGAGACGCTGCATTGTCTTAGTGAAACAGGATTTTCTTTTCTGCAAAATGGCTGTTTTTCCGTAAGCTCTGCCCCTTCTGCTTGTCAAGTAATGAAGCGTAGTATGCCCCTGTAATGTTTTTTCCTTTTTGAAAATAAGCAATTGAAATAACTCCATGACTATTCCAAAAAAAAAAAAAAACAATCGGCATCACTTTCCCAGCGGAAAACAGTTTCTTTTTGCATTTTTTGGAACTGGTTCCTCCTTTGCAGACCACTGTTTGGACTGTATTTTTGTTTCGGGCGTATCCAAGTTTCTTCTACAGTATTCAATTTCTGATTTATTGCGCCTAAACTGCGCCAACAGTTTTTGGTCTAACGTGAGCAAACGCGGCACTCAATGCGCGGACAGCTTTCTCACGCGTAAATGTTGATTTAACATGTGACAAACAGGTTCCTTTGACATGTTCATAATCTGTCACTTTAATTCGGCGCTCGTCTAGCACCATTTGGTGAACTTTGGCGATGTTTTCGTTGGTAGTTCGAACGTTCATCGTCCTCCAAGCTCTTACGGCCACGTTCAAATTCAACTGCCCAAAATTTCACTGTTGTAAATGATGGTGCAGAGTCCACATACAGAGAATCCTCCACTCATCTTTGATTTGCGTATTTCCTTTCAAAACAAATATTTAATGACAGCTCGATACTCAATTTTGTCCATTTCCACAAAAGCATTCACATCAACTCATTCAAACGAGTGTTACATAACAACTGCGCGTTAAAAAATGGCTGAAACTTTGGTGAGTAACTGTCCACAGATGAACAACGCAATTCACTAGGTCGGAAACTATTCAGACCACCTTCGTATCTCCTGCAAAAGATTGAACGTTGGGATTAAAAACTTATCAGGTACTATAGTCGATTCTGTCTTGTGAAAAAGTTTATGAAACACGGATTTTGTGATGTCTTATGGTAAAACGCAGGGTATCTATGTTCCTCAAGAGAGGTGGATGTCAATTATGTGTATCGTCTTTAAAATGCCTTTAAATCCAGGCCTCTTAAGGTGTGCCACATTGTCATTTTGTTATATGTAATAGAAATGTGTTTGTGTATCTTATATTTTTTGTTTGCTTAATAGCAGTTTTTATAGATATCTGTTGATCTTGTGCCTTTGTCAAATTTTAAATGACTAGGTATGGTAAACATACTCGCTGTTGCGGATGTACTCATCCAAAAAATCGTATACAGATTTTAGTTATTCTTGTACACGTTCCTAGAAAAAGAAACTAATGCCTTTCACCTAGAATAACCTATAGAATGTCTATAATGAATATAGAAATGTATTAGACAACCAACCTTTATGTCCCAACTATGAGGATTAGGTAGGATAATATTATAGCAAAATTTTGCTTTTACAGTTTTGCTCTGAATTTTAAAATCATTATGCTATGTTATCATTTTAGTTACATTTAATTATACAAATGTCAAATTTTTTTTAATTGAATAAATACCGTTTTGTTGTGTATAATTATTCTGTATCGTCATTGTTAACAAGCTTATTAAAAGTTAATTTTAATTACGTTATGTTACCTTCAATGTAAACATCAGCAACCGTAGAAATATGGTTTTAGCCCTAAGAGCATGTTTTGTTAGTATTTAAAATTTTGAATACTTAAAATGTAATTATGTAAAAAACCAGTTTTGAAATGCAGTTATTTGAAAATTATCCAGTTGTTTTCTTTATTTTCCCAGATTTTTTTTTCAATAATTTTGCTGAAATTAGCACTTTCGGTATTCACGAACCCTTTTGCAAAATCTAAGTACAGTCTAGATATAGGCTGTTAAAATCATACAATATTGTAAATTGTATGTGAATTACGACCAAAACTGGTTTATTACAAGCACTTGGTTAGTCATTGCAGCCCACGAAATATACTTTTCATTCAATAAAAATTACATTAATTACACTTTGTCATCTAGACAAGTTATTCTCAAAACCGCAAAGTTATCACATTCAGTAGCGGACAAAAGTTTGGAAAAATTCTTAGTAATTTTTGAAAACTCTCTTTATTATTAAGGACTATATTTTTTCTCATATAGTTCGCTTACAGTCTTGAGGATACAAATGACAATTTGTGTTTGCGGTGGTACTACAGACTAGCATTAAAATACCTTCACATTAATGAGACGACAAAAGTATGGAGACATTTTTATTACAAAATTAAATACAATAACTCAACAAAAATATTTAAAAATACTGTTTAGCTAATATTTGGTAGCATAGCCTTTAGCATTCAACACTGCCTGACATCTGCTGCTCATAGAAGACACCATATTTTTTTACAGACGTCTGTTGGGATATTTTGGCAAATATTTTTTACATAATCAAATAAATGGTTCATATTTATAAAAGTTTTTTGTCAGTTGTCTTTTAACATGCTCCTAGAGATGTTCTATAGGGCTTAGGTCCGGGATTGCGAAGGCCATGTAAGAACATTAACGTTTTTTAGTCTTAACCAGTCCTTTACGAATTTTGAGGTATGCTTGGGGTCATTATCTTGTTGGAATGTCCATCGTAAAGGCATTTCTTATTCAGCAAAAGGGAGCATGTGCTCACTCAGAATATCTTTGTAAAGTTTTTGATCCGTTTTCCCAACAATTTTAACAATTGGACCCGTTCCAGCATGAGAAAAACAGCCCCAAACCATGATGTTGCTTCCACCGTGCTTAACTGTTGGCAACTGATACTTTTTGTCTCGCAGATGCTGTATCGTCAGATTCAAACAAATTAAATTTGCTTTAATTGCTCCACAAAACTGTATTCCATTGTTGTTCTGTCCAAGTTAGATGAGTTTCAGCAAATTCAAGAGAGGCTTGCACTGGACGCCTACGAAAAAGCCCAAAATTCACGAAGCGTCTCTGCACTGTTCTGACAGAAAGATTCTTGAGCAACAAAAGAGGGATGTCAGCTTGAAATTAAAATTTTTGTGACCTCAAATTGCTTATTTGACCAATCGTAGGTGTATTTGACATGCGAGGAGAAGTGACGATTGATTTCTCAACATAGTCTGCTAGCTTGATACACTCGACCCAGCAATGCTCCAACTTTTGAACCTCTCGGAAAAATACGTTTTCTGGTCTCTGGTGTCTACCAGATCTATGTTTTGTCGACGGTCACGAAACGACGCAGAAACTCCTTCGGATTATGCTTAAACAGCGTCAAACACCGCTCTGAGGTGGTCTCACGGTGGTTCTTATCCAGAGTGAGGAAACGCGGTACCCATGCCCAATATTTTTTGCAGGATATGACTCACGCGGTCTTTTGAGAAGCCTACTGTCTTGGCTATCTCGCGCACCGATAATCGGTGGTCTGCCAATACGAGATCTTGGATTTTTGTCACCTCCGTGGTGGCCGTTATCGGGCCGCCTGGGCGTGGCCCTTCAAAAACCGACGTGCGACCACGATGAAACTCGTTAAACCAATTTTTGGCAGTCGCCATCGAAGGAGAAGAGTCATCGTACGCAGCATCCAAGCGCTCTTTGAGTTCGCTGCGCGATTTCCCTTCCAAAAACAAGAATCGAATCACCGAGATATTACTATTTTTCCACGTTTCGCGGTCAAAACAAAACTGCGAGTCTGATTCCGCTGAAATTTTGACAATCTACGAGAAGTGCTTATCGAAGATGGACCGAATTGTGCTTCATAAAATTTACGTATTGATGTCAATACAAAACAGCTCGTTTTTTATACAGGGGAGGTGATTCCTTGCATTATTCTAAGCAAAAAAGTTCATTATAACTAATGTCCGAAAATCACTCGTTTTCGAGGAAATAATGAAAATTTCTCAAATATTTGGCAACGCTGCAACGCAACGTTTGTATGATATTTTTGTTGAAAATATGCCTTGAATTATCGAATACTTTTACCCAATTTTTTGTGGCTAATCTTTTTTATTTAATAACGCTTTCAGTATAGTACATTTACTTGAAAAAAAAATTATAGAACTTACCGGTACGTGGCGATACACACTCCCAATTCCCACGATTATGTCACTTATTTGAAACGATGCGATGCACGAAAAAAGAAAAAACAACATCCGTAAATCACATAAAGTTACAGTTAAATGCATTAGTAACCAAACCACACCCGATGATAGGTACATGCAGTGCAGGCGGAGTACGACGTTGCCAGTTGTGTGAAGGATTTTGTTTTGTATGTTTTTCTTCGGAAAATTGTATTTAATAAGCAAGAAACTTATTTTGTTAGAGACAGTTAATTAATAAATAATAATAATAATATTTATTCACCCAATGTTCATACAGATCAAACAACATGAGTAAATAAATATAAAATAAAAAAAGGCCCAATAGAAGGCATTGCCTGTACATGGACCAATAATAATTTTAAGTTGCAACTGTAGAATGCAAATGAAAAAAAAAGGACAAAAATTAGCTACAGTAGATTATGTATTTACTTGATGTTCGTATTTATGAGTTTATGAATTTCAGTCGTAGATATAGAATGTAGCCACTTTTTTAAATCTCTTTTGAAACAATTTCCGAAACGTAAGCCTTTTAAGTTCTTAGGTATAATTTCAAAAATTTTTGGCGCTAAATAGAGATATGACCGCTGCATTATATACTAAGTGACATATAAATCCGAACACCCAGTTTAAATGGTTTTATTTTAATAAAATTTTGTATAAGTACTTAATGAAGCATAATAAGTAAATGATAAAAATTTCAAAATGATTGCACTGCTTTAAAGCCCTTTTACCTTTAATAATGTGTGGATGCACCCTGATGTGCTACGTATTCTCCAACGCGCCTAGGCATGCTTCTGATCAGGTGGTCAATGTCCTCCTGTGGTATTTCATTCCAGGCAACCACCAACTCCTCTCGAAGTGCTTCTAGAGTCTGAGGAGGACGTTGCAAATTGAGCAATCTCCTACCCATCATATCCCACACGTGCTCAATTGGGGATAAGTCGGGAGATCTTGGTGGCTATGGTAACAATGTGACATCATTATGTTGAAAGAAGTCTATTGTGACTCTTGCAGCATGTGGTCGGGCATTATCTTGTTGGAAAGTTGGATCTGCCAGGGTGTCAAGATAGGGTAAAAGATGGGGTTCTAGAACGTCGTGGATATAACGCTGCGCGTTCATGTTACCTCTGATGAAGATTAAAGGTGACCTGGAACCATAAGCTATAGCACCCCAAACCATAACTCCAACAGTGTGATGAACATGTCTTTCAACAAAAAACTGTGGATTCCTCCTTTCATCACGTCGCCTTCTAACCCTGGCACGACCATCGTGCATGCCTAAACAAAATCGAGACTCGTCACTAAAGACAATACTGTTCCATTCCTGATCCCAGAGTGACCGTTGTCTGCACCACTCAAGGCGATTACGTCGGTGTTCTCGAGTTAAAGGGAGGACCCAGTGTGGCCGGTATGAAAACAAGCCAAAACTTCTCATTCGTCGGTAAACACTTCGCATGCCAATAGGTCTTCCGTGTTCTGCAAACCATTCATTTGCAATGGACCTGGTAGTGGAGAAACGGTCCCTTAAGGCCAATAATCTTCGGTCTGTTGTTCTACGGCGGCGTCCAGTGCCCCTTGCTCTTTGCGTACGGCCTTCTCGAAGCCATGCCTGACAAGACCTAACCACAGTGTCTACACTTCTTTGCACTCTAACTGCAATTGCCCGAAAAGAAGGTCCAGCTTCCCGAAGTCCCACTATACGGCCCCTATCAAACTCACTAAGTTGACGAAATCGTACAGGTCTCCGTACTCTAGGCATCGTAACCGATCGTAAAGGATGTCAAGAACCAAAATCCGCCAACGTTGATTCTTTACTGCGGCTGAAATATTCATTTATTTTTAGAGCGTTAGTGAATTAAAAAAAAGCAGTATAAAAACCGGAATGTCCAACTGATTAGGCTGAACATTTTTTCACTTGTTATTTACAGTAAGATAAATACATTCACCAACTTTTATTAAAATAAAACCATTTAAATTGGGTGTTCGGATTTATATGTCACTTAGTATAATAGATTTATGCGGCTGTATTGATACATTTTACTCTATTAGGCATATGAATTTAAATTATTAAGGTGCAAAATTAATTTATTTCATGACTAAAAAGAAATAAGTTCAGCATTTTTTTTTTGCTCCGATTGCTCCCTTGATTTTCGGACATCGGTTGTAATGAACTTTTTTGCTTAGAATAATGCAAGAAATCACCTCTTAAAGTTACGAACATTAATAATTTTGACAAATTTACCAACTGCATCCCGCCGATATGTTAAGTTCACAGCTTACCTGTAGCACTTTATGCCAGAGCCTCCTAGCTCCTACATCTCCCACTATTTAGCCACAATACATTTCACGTATATACCATCCCAGCTACTTTCGCCTTGTTTCACTTTTTATACTCATTTTTAAATATCTCCAAGCATCACCGTTGAGAATCTGGCTGTTAACCAAAAGAAACACCATTTTTGATGTTTTTTACGTTTAGATAAAGCTAGAGATGCCGATAATGCAGTTTTCTTTTTTTGCCTGTAGAGGATGTCCTTGGCGTTGCCAGTTCGCCTATGTGTTTCCACACCTCTGCTCTTAAGCATTCACGCCCTTTCAGCCTCTCTGATTATCTCTAAATTTGAAAAAAGGTTTCCTTTCCACGGCACCATCTATTCTTAACGATTATTCCAAATCTCCTATGATTTTAAAAGTGAATTTAAAATAAAATGCTCTTACAGATACAATTTATGGAACCCACAACCACTTAAATGCGGGCTCTTTAAACTTATGTTCCTCTTATGATTTTTTATGAGATACAGTTATTAATACTCAACGTTGTTACCCGTAATATGTTAATAAGCTGCAGTAGTTTAGTAGGTCCTTCTGGGGAATAATATATTTTGTATTTGTAATGTATCCAGGGTGTTCCAGAAGACGACGTCAATCCGGAAACGGGGAATAGGCCAAGTCTTGATAGTTACCAGAAAAATATAAAAAATCAGGGCGTGAATTTTTCAAATTATTATTATTATATTTTCTTCTCTAGCAACTGCCAACGGCGGCGGCGGCAGCCAACAGTACCGGGGGCGGTTCCCAATACGGCCCGAAACCCGCGTACGCCGGCGGCCCTACGGCAGCTGCAGGCTATGGCAGCTACGATGCGCTAAACCAGGCTGCGGCGGCCGCAGCTGCAGCGCAAGCCGCGCAGGAGTACAAGGGCGGGTACGCGCAGGTCGGAGGCGGCAGCGCGGCGCAGCAGAAGGCGGCAGCTGCGGTCGCCGCGGCAGCTGCGGCGCAACAGGCGGTAAATAGCACGTCCGCACAGGCGCAAGCGGCG